CTGTCATCTCTGCCTGTCATCTCTGTGGAGGAGCCATGAGTAATCATGACCTGAGGTAAAATTCAGCCAATTGCTGGACATTGGCACATTTCTCTTTGTCCTTCTCAACTCTGGTTCTTCTTTCCAAGCATTTTATCTCAGTCACAAAAATATAGGTTACTTAATCTGTAACTGGGATAACTTTGTATTCAAGCATTCCTTTTAGTTATGCCTAGAAGTCCCACTCCAATCCTGCAGAGATTATATCCTGTCTAAATGCCAAGTTGCCAGCTAATCAAAATGATGCTGAGACTGGTTTTTACAAATACAGTACATATTACTGTTCATATATAAAGACTTAAAGGAGTTTTTCATTTGTCAAGATAAAGTTTTCATCTGGTTCTCATAAGTTAATCAAATTTAGAGATAATTTGATTATATGTGCCTTTGTATACAAACTTTGATTATATATGCCTTGATTTAAAACTGTTGTTGCCCAAAGGTGCAAAACCTCAAACCTCAAGGCATTATGCAGATGAAAACCAATAATATGCTAGATTCCACTTAGATTCTTTTTACTGAGATCCACCAGATCTTGTCCAAAGAAAGCTATATGATATATATATATATCTCAAGGTCTTAACTATACGCAATGAGCCTTAAATGACACTGCTGCTGGTCTCTCCCTCTTAAATAAGTAAAATTAATGAAACAGATCATCCTCCAAAATTGGATGACATTAGACATTCTAACAGCAGCACAAGGGAGCACTTACACAACTATAAAAACTGAGTGCTGTGTATACATTCCTGATTCTTCTGCTAATATCAGTAGCTATTCAAGATATTAGATAACGGGGGAGGGGAAGAAAAAAAAAGAAAAAAAATATTAGATAACAAATCAATGATATGTCAGATTCTAAAATTCCCTGGACTTTATCCTTATAGGAATTAATTCCAGCTCCTCTTGGTGAAAATCTTGGTTAACTATGCTCATAATTATCTTATTAGTTCTATTATTGGCCCATGAATACTTAATTGTTCCTTTGGCTTTGTCTCCTTCAAACTTACAGCTGTATGCCCACCCAAGATGAAAGTGCCTGGTGTCTATTGAGGGCCTCTACATAGGATCTCTGTAGAAGTACCTCTGACTGCTGTTCAACCACTACAACTCTCTTCAGCCTGAAGAAGCCTGATGGGTGATCACCCATTATCCCCTCACAGCCTCTTCAGGCTACTTCTTCAGAGGGGGGAGTATTACAGGCAGCCGAGTTAGTTAGAAATATTATAGGCAGTCAAACAGGGCTGGGTCCTCAAAAGAGCCAAAGCAGAAGTTCAGATACTTTACAGTCTTGGAAGAAGCAATCACCACCTACTGTGGGCCAAATCTCAAGACAAAAGGCCAAGCAAATACAACCACATCCTAAGGTTGACCGTTCAAATAGTTCTCTATCAACCTGAAGAAGTCAAGAGTTAGCATCCCACCCCCATACAGGAAGAGCCCTTGCTGTTAAGCATGCCTGCTTACTCTGTGACTCATTTCCTGATTTGCTCCTAATTTAATCAATTTTACTTGAGCAATTAATCTTATTGGTTGATCACATTTGTGTCCCGCTTTATGCCTACCTTGCAAATTCCCATTTTCCCCACCTTTGACCCATTTAACCTCATGATTTTACCCAATAAAAGTCTCTGGGAAAGACAGAGTCCTTGGCAACCCACTCAGGACTCCTTTGGTCTCTCTCTCAGACAGAAACTTTCTTTCTCTCAATAAACATATTCCACTCTTTAAAAAAAAAAAAAGTGGCCTGGGGACATCAGAAGAAGCAGTAGAACTCCACCCTCTGCAGCCTTAACCCCTACAGTAAAACAAGAAGAAAGCCTGGCTACTTCTCCAGCTGGTAGCAGATCTTGGCATCATCTATGTGCCACCAGTTTTAGAAGCATGGAGAATGGGAGAGTTTCAGGTTCAGGAAAGCTTCCACCCGGATTTCAGAAGCAGGCCTGGAGGTCAGGCAGTGTGGCCCAGACAGGGCAGTGTATGAAGCTGAGTGTGAAGCCAAAGGTGCAGTGGAGACCCCAGAAGTTTAGAGAAGCTGGAAACGTGAATCATCTGAGGAAAACTGCAAGGAGGGAGCAGAGCAGAGTGGGTCCAAGACAGAAGTCACGGGAGTTTCAACTACCAGCAATGCCATAGGGGCAGAGCTACCCAAGCCCTTGGGAGTTCACATCTCGCTACAGATTGTCTCAGACAGAGCACACAGAATTACAGGACTTAATATGTGCCCTGCTGGATTTTGGACTTGGTTTGGTCCTATTTCTTTGTATCCCTCTCTTTGTAAGTTCTGGAAAGGAAATGTCTATCTTGCACCATTGAATGTTGGAAGTGTTTAATTTTCTTTTCATTTGTACAGGGCTCACCTTGTTAAGAGCTTGCCTTACAACTCAGAGAAGACTTGGGACGTGGACTTTTCAGCAATGCTGAAACTGTTAGGAATTTGGCAAGTGTTGGAGATGGACTAACTGTCTTTTGCATAAAGGAATGTCCATGGGTCTTTAGGAGGCCAGGGGTGGAATGTTATTGTTTCGGTCTAGCTGTTCCTCCCCAAAGCCTCATGCTGACATGGCCAAAGTGACTCCATTTTATTCTTGGGCTCCTTTAGTTTAGTTAACTTCAGGCTGAACTTCTCTTCTAACCCTCTCCCACAAAGTTAACCATAAATCCCACAAAAGAAGAACCAGCTGTTAAATTAGGAACAGTTTTAGCACACAAAGAAACAGTTTTAGCACACAATGGTTGAGCTGACCATCACTGCATCCTGTAAGACAAGCAGACCAGATGTTTGAGTAGGGGTCTTGCTGGAATCTTGTGACATCCCAACAAAATGACACACTGTAACCTGGCTGCCACAGTAGCTGAGGATCTTGGTCAGTGTATAAAAGCCTGGGAGAACAAAGACTCGGGGTCCATTGCTTTCACTGTCTTGCTGTCTATCATCTGCTGGCTCAATAAAGCTTTCTTGTTCCCATTTCTCGGCCTCCCGTGTGTTTCTCACAGTCAACCATAATGATGCAGTCATGGGGGCGGGCAGGCTTTTCAGAGGTGACTGAATCTAGCTTGATTCCAGTTTGTGACTGATTCATGGTCCAATGCTGGATGAGGCTGCGAGTGTTATACCACCCTAGGTTGGGTGGCCTGCATACAATACAAGGGACAGAAAGACGCCGGTCTCTCACTCCCTTGTTGCTTTTGCTGTCTGCTATACAAGGAAATATTCTTTGCCCTGCCACCCTGCCTTGGGAGCCAGCCAATTATGGACTGAAACCTCTTTAAATGATAAATTAAATAAACCTTTCCTCCTTTTAATCTTGGGTGTTGAAGTACTTTGGGTGTTGGGTGTTTTGTCCTAGCAATGAGAAAAATAACTAAGACACCCCTCAAGACATGCCTACCCCTGCACTGGAGCACCCACATGCAGGGCGTAGCACCCCTTCTCCAGCACAGCCTCTGACAATGACAGCCAGGCTCCACACCCCTTGGGTGGGACAATTTGAAGGCATCCCTTTCATCATCTCCCAGTGATCCCCAGGAGAATGGAGCCCAGGCTGTCCACAGCCCTAACCTGCTCCTTCACCCTCATTAATAACTACCTTCTTTCTCCTCCTCCAAGTATCGATTCCTCCTTTCCTCCCTGGTGCCTCCCGGCTTCACCTGCACGCAATTCCTCCTCTCAGGCCTGAGTTCTGAGAAGCCCAAACCCAGATGGCACTCACAGGGTACCTATCCACTATTCATGGACTGTCTGCTATGTGCCAGGCACTCGTTCCAAGGGCTGGGGATGCCAGAGACCGAAGGCGACAAGTGATGTGGGTGGGGCTCTCTCATGATCTCCTGAGTCAGATTCTGGAACTAGCAGCAGAGAGACGGATGTCAGGGTTCAGGATATGATTGCAAACACACCCCCAGGGCATGGACCCAGGAACCTATGAGGAAGAAAGAGAGAAAGAAAGAAAGAAAGAAAGAAAGAAAGAAAGAAAGAAAGAAAGAAAGAAAGAAAGAAAGAAAGAAAGAGACAGAGAGAGAAGCCTCTACCTCCAAGGGTACCCAGGAAGCCCTGTTTGCTGAATCCAGGCATTTGTCCCAAACCGACATCATTCTGTTCCTTTTGTTTGTGGGTCGGAGTTGGTGGCACAGTGATGAGCGTACCTGCCTTCTTTCTTTTGTTTGTGGAACTGATGTTGGTCTAGGACAGAAACTCCAGGGCTGGGGGTGTGGCTCAAAGGTAGAGCACTCAACTAGCACCCTGGATTCCGGGTTGGGGGCGGGAGGGGCGCGCACAAAGAATTATACACACTCAAAAAAGATCCTGGAGTCCTTAGCACTCAGGAGAGACTGAGGTAGGAGGGTCATCTCCAGTTTGAGGCCAGCCTGGGCTACGTAGTGAGTTTAAGGACAGCCTGAACTGCAGAGTGAGACAGTCTCCAAAAACAATAATGACAACAAAAAAGACAAATGGAACGTTTGTGTTTGGACTGCTTACAGGAGAAAGCCTAGTTTAAGGGGCTCCCCCGGCCCTAAAAATGTCTAGTCTCACACCTGAAGACAGTTCCTTTTTCCCCAGAGTAGAGAAAAAGAAAATACCTGCTTCTCATTAGAGAAGGATTTTCAGAGCAGGTAGATCAGAGTTGAACCCTAAGCAGAGGGTGATGGAACATACCTACAATCCCAGCACTTTGGGAGGAGGCAGGAGGATTGCCAGTTTGAGCCCTGCCTGAGCAACTTATCAAGACTTTATCACAAAATAAAAAATAAAACAGACTGGCATCGAGCTCAGTGGGAAGTCCCTAGATTCAATCTCCTAGACTATCGAAACTTTTTAAAAAGTTGAAACCCAACTGCCTACAGCTGGAAGACAAGACTGCATCGTAGCTCTGTGACTAGCCCAGCCACCCAGATCTGGAAGCGGCTTGCCCACCTTGCCCTCAGTAGACCGCAATCAGGCCAACACTCCACTGGGCCCCAAAGGCCAGCACAGAAAAGGGCAAGCCCGTTTCTCTCCCCACCTGGAGGTGCTGATCACTTGTATTTTGATTGGGCTTGGAGGCCAGGTGGTGGTGCCTGAGGGAGGGGAAGGAGTTTCTCCACCCATTCCTAACACCTGCTCAAAGGCATCCCTAAGGTGGCTTTGGGATCTCAACACCTCCAGCTCCTCGGTCCCCTACCCCCCTACCGCCAGACTCGTGGAAAGCAGACTGTCTAGGGCCCCGCCCCAGGTAGGAAAGCATTATAACCCTCCCTCCCTGTGCTCCTGGAGAAGGCAGAGTTCCCACCTGGGAGCACCCGGCCAGTCAGTCGCCACTGTGTCCCGGGAGCAGTAGGGGGCGGAGCGGCTCTGGGATCCTGCCCCGCCCGCCTTGAGTCACCCTCTCCGCCTGCTGCCCGCCCTGGAACTCTCCGGGAGTCCTGGCCACTCCGTACCCAGGGACACAGGAACTTGGCCCAACGTCCGCACCGCACTGGTGAGTAGGGAACAGGATAGCTGGGTGGGGGTCTGGCTGGAGCCAAGGTATGGCCCAGGGGGAATGGCTCAGGTGTGGCCAGCCAGCGCGTGCCCTGGACACACAGGAGCTGGGGGTGGGGACAGGGGTGCACAAACAGGCCAATCCCCAGGGGCACCTGTGCTGTGAGCTAAGCAGTCCCAGTCCAGTGAGAGAAGGCAGGCAACAGGTAGAGGTCAGCACTGGCCGTCCTGAGCGCCCGAGCTCGTCCTAGCCTGGGAGAGCAGCACCAGCTCCTCATGGTGAGCACCTCCAACCCCAGGGCCCCACCTCAGGGAATCCCGTCCCATTTGCCCTCTGAGGGTCTCAACTTGGAGATTTCCAAGGGGCCATCCTTCCAGCCCCAAGCCTCAGTTTCCCAGCTGTGGAAAAAGCAGGGCTTGGACTTCGAGTTGTTTGAGACTGAAAAACTTGGCTGTTTCTTGCTGCACCTACAGCATGCAAGCTGTGGGTGGGTGACAGGGTTGTGGGTGAGGATGGGACTGGGCCAGCAGCACCCACCACCTCCACCCGAGCAGGAATTTGAGCCAACGCATTTTGGGAGGCAAACAGCTTGAGGCCAGCCTGAGAGAGAAGTGCATGGTGAAGCATGGATGAGGGGGGTTTTGTGGTCCTGGGTTAACAGGACAACCTGGCATGGCCTTCTAGGATACCCCTCTCAGGTTCTTTCTGCAAAGACACTATACCTCAAGCAGGGTATGGTGGCTCATGCCTATGATCCTAGCACTCAGGAGGCTGAGGCAAGAGGATGGGCCTGAGTTCAACATCAGTCTGGGGTACACAGTGAGTTTAAGGCCAGGCTGAACTCCACAGTGAAATTCTATCTCAAAAAAATAAAAAATGAATAAAAGAAAAGCTGCCATGGCAGCCAGAGGTGCTTTTCCAGCACAGTCCCGAGTTGATGCCGTCAGATAGACAGGAAGTGGAGGCCGTCCCAGCTCAAAGGCTACCTGCCAAACCTCGAAGAAGTTATGCCTGGCCCTCTTACCCACATCTGGAAAGCAAGAGCCCCAATACCCAAGCTCCCAAAATTAGGGTAAAATGTGGCATGGAGAGCATCAGGGGGCACACACTGAGGGTGGGCTCTGAGGCTGCTTTCCTTCCCCTCAGCCACCCTCAGTGTTGCAAACTCTGCTCAGACACGGGGGGGGGGGGCACCTCGTGGGGGAGATTTAATGGCAGGTTTGGACGATCACATTTGAGTCACAGAGACAGTAATGACAGTCCCCCACATCCTCCACAGGGCCCCTGTGTATACATACACCTCATCCCCTGGGAGCCTCGAGGCCGCCTGCATGGGACTCCAAGGGTTTATGTCCTCCTCTTGCCTGTGATTGCATCCCTGGGATGGTGCAGGTGGGTGGCATCTACACCATTATGATATGGGTTTGAAGACATTGCTCCCTGCCTGTCTGTGTGACATTTTGCTGTCCTCAAAATACTGTTTTTTTCTTTCTCTTTTTCTCTTTTGAGGGGGAGGTGCGAGGGCTTAAACCCAGAGTCTCCTGCATGCTAGGCAAGCACTCAACTAAGAGCCACATTGCCCGCCCTTTTTAAGATAGTGCCTAAGCTAGGCACGGTGGCTCACACTTGTAACCCCAGCACTTGGGAGGCTGAGGCAGAAGGATCATTGCGAGTTCAAGACCAGCCTAGGCTACAAAGTGAGCTCAAGGCCAGCCTGAACTGCACAGCGAGACCCTGTCTCAAAAAGACCAAAAAAAAAAAAAAAAAAAAAAAAAAAAACCCTTAAAGACAGTGCCTCAAGCCGCCTTAAACTTGCCATCTTCCTGCTTTAACCTTCTGAATAGCTGAGATCTGCACCCAGCCCCAACTTACGGTTGGTTCTTAGGTTAAAGCAACCAAGCAGTGTCCCCTTGAAAGTTAAAGGAACTGAGCAGTGGGCCCAAAATGACTCATCGAGGCCACCCTGGGTGGCTAAAACTCAAAGCAGATGTTACCACTCCCCAGCTCTGGGTCTTCCCTCCGCTTCCTGTGCGTTTGGGCTTTGCACCCTGGCACATGCTCCCAAATGCCCCCTCCCCCCCGCCCCGTGTCCGATTTTGGTGGCTGTCATATGTGCTCATTCCGAGCTGCCTTGGGCTTTTTGTACTAGATTAGACACTGACAAGGACACCGAGCTTGTTCTCACTTGGCTTTTGTGTAGCACACGGAGTATTTGTGAGCAGGGGGAGTGATGGGGCCTTGTGTAAGGTGTGCTGTGTTCTGGGTTTCCCCCTTGCCTGCAGAACCTCAAACTGAGATGTGAGCCTTGAAGGGCGCACGGTTGTGTGGACCACCAGGTGGGCTTGCCCTAGAGAACGGCCGCCATCCCTACCTATCTGGACTCAGGAGTTCCCCCCATCTCTGTGGAACACTGGCATACATGGGGGCACACAAGTGTCAACAGCTGGCTGAGCAGAAGGCTGGGATTTCTCAGCTCTTCTCTAGGAGATGCAGTAGAGGCCACAGAGACCATGGTGCAGCCTAGAAATCTGCTTCAGAGCTAAGAGACACAGATGGGGGAGGCTGCCTCAGGACCCCTAGCCTGAACAAGCACCGTCACTACCCCAGAAAGTGATGTCCTGACAGTGCCACCCCCTTCCCCGGGTGACTGGGGCCTGGCCCCTCTGCATCTGCAATAAGGTTCCCTGGGTCAGAAAGGAAGCCAGGGACAGACTGTGGGCCAAACTCCTGCCCCCTGGGTCTCTGTAGACCTCAGATTCTTGGTGTCCAGACCCCTCCTGTGTAAACTCAGGTGTCCCTGTCACACACACCCCCCCCCCCAGGGCTGCTAGCCTTCAGCATAGCCACTCCCTCACCCCTGGGGCGCAGGTAACCACAGCACTGCCAGGCTCCAGCCGGCTTTTCCAGTTGGAGGTTGGAGGTGGTGCCCAGAGTGCCCCTGGAGGGGATGAGAGTGCCCACACCCCGGAAGTCCTGAGCCCTAGGACACTCTCTGATCCCAGGGCAGTGAGAACTGGCACAGGAATCAGGTACCTCAGAGCAGGTATTTGGGGGGGTTGCTCCTGGCAACACAGTTGGGGGATGATGCCTGGGTTTTAGAAGAAGGCCACACAGGAAGCTGGGACAGTGAGCTGCAGATGCCTCTCCTGAGCTCTGAGCTGGCGGGCAGGCAGGTTGGGGCAGGGTGTTGGGGCACAGGAGAGGCACAGAGGTCTGGAGGGGTGAGGACTGGGATGGGCCAGGCAGGCGAAGCCCAAGCTAGGAAAGGAAGCGGGGCAAACAATTTGCAGATTCTGCCAGGTTGTGGCAGGGCCAAGAGTGGATTAGGATCCCTAGGAGAAGACACCAGCAGAGAGATTCCTCTTGATCTGTCTACATCCCATCTCTCCACTTCCCATAGGCACCATGATCCCCGTGGCCGAGTTCAAGCAATTCACCGAACAGCAGCCCGCATTCAAGGTGCTCAAGCCCTGGTGGGATGTGCTGGCTGAGTACCTCACAGTGGCCATGCTCATGATCGGGGTCTTCGGCTGCACACTCCAGGTGAGGGGTGGGCCAGTGAGGGGCAGGGCCTACCTGAGGAAGCACAGAAGCTGCCCTGTGAAAACCCCAGAACCCCACGCCACTCCCAGGCCACTACCCACACCACCCCTGACAGTGCCATCAGTGACCTCCACGGTGCTGTGCTATTTCCTACTTTTTTCTTTTTCCTTCTTGATTGTGCTTGGGGATTGAACCCAGGGTCTGACATGTGCTAGGCTCTTTATAATACTCCAACTTGGGGCTGGGGATTTAGCTCAGCGGTATAAGTGCCTGCCTTGCAAGTATGCGGTCGTGAGTTCAATCCCCAGTACTGATAAAAAAAAAGACATTATAATACTCCATCTTACCCCTGGGATCTAGAAAGCATCTCAGCTACCGAGATAGCACAGGGCGAGTAGCTTAAACACCAGAAATAATTGCAGGTCCTGGACAGGGCGGGATGCACCTGAGGCTTGTCCAGGAGAATCTGTTCTAACCTTTCTCCTACACTTGAACAGCTCCAGGTGTTCTGTGGTTTGCAGATAGCATTCTCTGTATCTTAAAATTGTCTTCCTTGCTTCATTTTACACCATATGGGGGATTAAACTCAAAAGTGCTAACCCCTGAGCTACATCCTAGCTCTTTTTTTTTTTTTTAATTTTTACTTCGAGACAGGATCTCATTAAGTTGTCCAGGCTGGCCTGGAACTTGTGATCCTCCCATCTCAGCCTCCTGAGTAGCTGGGATCACAGGTGTGCACCACCATCCTCGGTGGCCCCCCTCTGCAAGGACACAGTTCTACAGGATCAGAGTCCACCCTCATGGCCTCACCTTGACCTGATTACTTCAGTCAAGACACTATTTTCAAATAAGGCCACATTCACAGACACTGGAGGTTAAGATTTCAGAATCTTTTGGGGGGACCCAACTCAACCCAACTCCTTTTTTCAGACAAAGACTGATACTGAGTTTTTAGCAACTCTTCCAAAATCAGTGAGCTGGCAACTATCAGGTTCAGGGTCCCCCAGCTCCCCAGCCCCTCACTGTTGTTTGCCATCTTATGACCACCAGGTGACACAGGACAAGATCATCTGTCTTCCCAGTCATGAGCCCCAGGAGAACGTCTCAGAGGCCCCATGCCAGCAGCTGCTGCCTCGGGGGGTCTCTGAGCGCATGGGAGGCCTCCGGGAGCTGAGTGGCCTCAAGAACAACTTGGACCTGCAGCAGTACAGCTTCATTAACCAGCTGTGCTACGAGACGGCCCTGCACTGGTACGCCAAGTACTTTCCCTACCTGGTGGTCATTCACACACTCATCTTCATGGTCTGCACCAGCTTCTGGTTCAAGTTCCCCGGTACCAGCTCCAAGATTGAACACTTCATCTCCATCCTGGGCAAGTGTTTCGACTCGCCATGGACCACCCGGGCCTTGTCTGAAGTCTCTGGAGAAAACCATAAAGGCCCAGCCACTGGGCGGACCGCAGCGACCGCAGCAGCTACAGTAGGGACCGGGTCTGGGAAGGCAAGCGAGGGCGAGAAGGAAAAAGTGCTGGCAGAACCCGAGAAGGTGGTGACTGAGCCTCCAGCTGTCACCCTGCTGGATAAGAAGGAGGGCGAGCAGGCCAAAGCCCTGTTTGAGAAGGTCAAGAAGTTCCGGGTGCACGTGGAAGAGGGGGACATCCTCTATACCATGTACATCCGGCAGACAGTGCTCAAGGTATGCAAGTTCTTGGCCATCCTGGTCTACAACCTGATCTACGTGGAGAAAATCAACTTCCTGGTGGCCTGCAAGGTGGAAACCTCGGAGGTCACTGGATATGCCAGCTTCTGCTGTAACCACACCAAGGCCCACCTCTTCTCCAAATTGGCTTTCTGCTACATCTCCTTCGTGTGCGTCTACGGGATCACCTGCCTGTACACGCTCTATTGGCTCTTCCACCGGCCACTCAAGGAGTACTCATTCCGGTCTGTACGTGAGGAGACAGGCATGAACGACATCCCTGATGTCAGGAACGACTTCGCCTTCATGCTGCACCTCATCGATGAGTATGACTCGCTCTACTCCAAGCGCTTTGCTGTCTTCCTCTCCGAGGTCAGTGAGAGTCGCCTGAAGCAGCTCAACCTCAACCATGAGTGGACACCAGAGAAACTGAGGCAGAAACTGCAGCGCAACTCACGGGGCCGGCTGGAGCTGGCTCTCTGCATGCTCCCCGGACTGCCTGACACTGTCTTCGAGCTCAGTGAGGTGGAGGCCCTCAGACTGGAGGCCATCTGTGATATCATCTTCCCCCCGGGACTGTCACAGCTCAAGAACCTTCAGGAGCTCAGCTTGTTGCATTCGCCAACCAGGCTGCCTTTCTCTTCCCAGATCTTCCTGCGAGACCGCCTGAAGGTGATCCAGGTCAAATGTGAGGAGCTCCGTGAGGTGCCACTCTGGGTGTTTGGGCTCCGTGGTTTGGAGGAGCTGCACCTGGAAGGGCTTTTTCCTCCAGAGCTGGCTCGGGCCGCTTCCCTGGAAAGCCTCCGGGAGCTGAAACAGCTCAAAGTGTTGTCCCTACGCAGCAATGCTGGGAAGGTGCCAGCCAGCGTGACTGACGTGGCTGGGCACCTGCAGCGGCTCAGCCTGCATAATGACGGGGCACGCCTGCTCGCCCTCAACAGCCTCAAGAAGTTGGCAGTCCTCCGGGAGCTGGAGCTGGTGGCCTGCGGGCTGGAGCGCATCCCCCACGCCATCTTCAGTCTAGGTGCACTGCAGGAGCTTGACCTCAAAGACAACCACCTCCGGTCCATTGAGGAGATCCTCAGTTTCCAGCACTGCCGGAAGCTTGTCACACTCAGGCTGTGGCACAACCAGATTGCCTATGTCCCGGAGCACGTGCGGAAGCTCAAGGGCCTTGAGCAGCTCTACTTGAGCCACAACAAGCTTGAGACCCTGCCCAGCCAGCTTGGCCAGTGCTCCAGCCTCCGTCTGCTGGACGTATCCCACAATGGGCTGCACTCACTGCCACCTGAGGTGGGCCTCCTCCAGAATCTGCAGCACCTGGCTGTCTCCTACAATGCCCTCGAGGCCTTGCCCGATGAGCTGTTCCGCTGCTGCAAGCTGCGGACATTGCTTCTGGGTTATAACCACCTTCGATACCTCTCACCCTGTGTGGCGGCCCTCAGGGTCCTCAGTCGCCTGGAGCTCAAGGGCAACAGTTTAGAGGCGCTGCCTGAAGAACTAGGTGACTGCACAGCGCTAAAGAAGGCAGGGTTGGTAGTGGAGGACACCCTTTATGAAGGGCTGCCTTCTGAGGTTCGAGAGAGGCTGGAAGAGGAATGATATCGGGGTGGGGGAGCAGGTCGAAAAACAGGCCATCGGATGCTTCCACCCTGTCTACAAAGGAAGAAGGCCAAGGAGCCCCACCAGGAGAGGAGTGGCAAATGTGTTAGTTCTGTGGGGTCCAGACTAGATCCTGAGACTGGTTTGTCTGGGAGACACAGGAAGTTGTGGATTTGGGGTGGAACCTATGTGGAAACATTAACCCAGTCACAGAACCCTCAGATGGAAACCACACCTATGTCTCTGGCTGGCTGGCCTGCCCTCCCCCTGGTCCTTTCAGCTCAATTAGTGCCATGGATGGGGGTGGGACCCATCCCAGTGGCATTTTCAGCCCACTTTCCCATCAACAAAGCAGCTTAAATCTGTGGTTGTCTCCCAAGGAAGGGACCCAGACACAAAGGACCAGGTTCCTACACCCCCATTCCCACTCGAACGCTATTTTCTTATAGGCTGTTTGCTGCAGACACTTGTACTTATATTTGGCTGTGCACCAAAATTCACTGAGGCGCTAAGACCAAACAAAACACGTCAGACCCTACCCCTAAAAGACTCAGGAGCATCGGGTGGAGGCCAGAGAGCACTTGTAAATGAGCATGCCACTAATTCCGACGCAGGTGGTCCTAGGACAGAATGATGGAAAAAGCCAGCCTGAAGAGTATGGGTACTTCTGGGTCTAGATTCTGAGCTTCTTTCAGGTCTTAGACTCCGAGAATCTTATAAAAGCTGGGCACCTCCTCCCTTGGCGAAATGTTCATGTACCACACACACAAAACTCTGCGGACAATTTGCAAGCGGTCCACAAGGGCTATTCATGGGCTTCAGGCTAAGAACACCTATCTTGGAGGCTATTCTTCCCAAGACATGCAGGCCTGCTGTCTTTTGGATGTTCCCTTTGTGAGGGAACATAATAGTAGTGGGTGCTCAATAAATAATACTTATGAGAATTATAATCTGATCTCTTCTACGCATGCCTATTGAACTCCACTGGGACACCCAGTCTCAAAAACAAAACAAAAAATCTGCACTCCACAAGCTGTGCTCACATTCTGGGGGCAGGAGAGATGGAGATGCGGCGTCCTAACGTTCCACGCAGGTCTGGTGGCACAGTGACCTTGACCTTGGCCTGTCACCGAGGTCAGGAGTCATGTCGCTGGATTCCCATACGCCTTGGCCAGCTCAGCGGGCTAGGACTGGGTGAAACAGAAAGGGATTACCATGGGTGCCCAACTATGGTGCGGAGGCGGCACTGCACTGCCAGCAGGAGGTCAGGTAGCAATTAAATCTAACAGGAATTTTAATAAAGCACTGTCCGAAGGGTGGAAGGCAGTTTCTCCAGGGCACGGCAGCCAAGGTGAAACCGCCCGGGAAGAGCGAGAGAAACCGGACGAACCGCGGTGGAAACTGCAGGCGATACGCAAAGCAGACAGAGCGCCAGGGATACGCATGCGTAGTAGAGGGCACGCGCGTGCCAGCACCGGTCCATCTGTACGCCTGCGCACCCCGCCTTCCAAGGCGCGTTGGGTTTCCACGCAGCGCCTCGCTCTGGAAGGCTGGGGAGCTCACGCATGCGCACCACGGGAGTAGTGGTGGGTGGCAGTGTTGCACGTTGCCAGCTGTGAGCTCTAGGTGGCGTCATTCCTCGGGCTGGAACGAAGGACGCACGCGCGAAGATTCGCACGCGGATGGGGCGGGGGTGCCTCGCGGGCATGCGCCTTGTGGGACGAGACGGCGGCTCGGCGGGGTCATCCAGGCGCAGGCGCAGTGCGGTGTTTGTCTGCCGGACTGACGGGCGGTCCGGCGGTGCGCGGCGGCAGCGGCGGCGGGGAAGATGGCGGCGTCTTCCCTGGAGCAAAAGCTGTCCCGCCTGGAAGCAAAGCTGAAGCAGGAGAACCGGGAGGCCCGGCGGAGGATCGACCTCAACCTGGATATCAGCCCTCAGCGGCCCAGGCCCAGTAAGCACGGCGGCGTGGGGGAGGGGGCGGGCGGGGCGGGGCGCGCGGCGCGAGGGCCCCGCCCCCGCCACTAGGTCCCGCCCCCTCTTCCGGGGCGCTTGCGCTCCTCCTCCTCGTCCCCCTCCCCCCAGCTGTGATCTCTCGGGGAGAGGGTCACGGTGACCCGGGGCCCAGAGGCCAGCAGGCTCCTAGAAGGCTCCCCTCGGGCGTGGGGGTGCTCACAGCCCCAGTCCCTCGAGCCTCTGTTCCCCGCCGCGGTGGAGGCCCCACCGCCCAATGACCCGCCCCCGTCGCTGCGAACCCGAGAGCTCCTGTCACTTGCGCTAAGCGGGACTCGCGACCTCACGCCACGGTGACCGCATCCAACTCCCGCCCGCAGACAGAGTCATACCCTTTTGACCTCCTGACTATTCCTGTCTCGGTGACTGTCAGACACCCCCTTTCCCTCATGGACTCAAGTGCTCGCCCATACAGGGGACGCCTCAGGTCACAAAACGAGCTGTTAACTTCACTCGCACCCAGTCGGGTCTGACCCACCCGAGGAGCCTCCCTTTTGATCACTCCTGCCGCACCTGCTGGTTCTTCTCCCCAGCTTGGGACTGTCCTGTTTTTTTGCTTTATAGGGACACACACACACACACACACTCTCTCTCTCTCTCATACTCCAGACTACCTTACTTTGTGCGAAGCTTCAGTGCTACCGTATTGAGGGGTGTGTGGGTCTCTAGCAGTGCACACGAACCTCCCAGCCTGGTGACTGTTCCCTTAGCCCAGGGACACCTAACTTGAGGTCGCTGGAGGCCAGTGGGAGTTTACCTGTCCACTCTCCCGCACAACACACACACAGCATTCACAGCCCTCTGCTGATCTTCCATATTGGTACCTACTTGGATGACATCTCGTCATCCTGGATCAACAGCTGTTCCCCTTTCTCCACCCACATCTCTCTGGGGTCACCATGACTACACACAGCTGCCTTGTGTCCCATAGCAATCCGTCTGCAAGTCTTCTCCCCACAGACCTGTGACCACCAGCCCCTCTTCCCTGTGACCCTTTCTGTATCTCTCTGTCTGCCCAGAAACTGCTCTCCTATTCCTGTGGTGTGGAGCCCTGCAGGCTCATCCCTCGTGTCTGGGTCCTCGGTCACCTCACCTGACCTTCACAGCCTGACCTCCCATCCCTGTCCACTCCCTCTTCTGACCTGGGTCTGTGTAGGTGCATCTTTGGGGAGTCTCCCGTGGGCCAGGGAAGTCCTGGAGATGAAGCCACTGCTGCCTGGGACCAGAATGTCCCTGCCAGGCTCCGAGAGGCTGCCTCTAGATGCACTGTGAGCCTGGTGGGCTGAACTGGGCAGGCCAGGAACCTCCGCAGGCATTTGTGTCCATCAGCCCCATCCCGTCCTTCCTGCCCTCTCATCTCTGTCAGTCTCTACCCATTTCTGCAGTTCAGTGTCTCATGCCTACCCTGCTCCTCATTATGATTTGATTTCTTTTCTTTTGGACAAATCAGCCATTTCTGTTGTGATTTATCGTGGTTTTTTTTTTTTTCTTCCTTTCCCATCCAGTTATTGTGATCACTCTAAGCCCTGCTCCTGCCCCGTCCCAGCGAGCAGGTACCAGCCTTTTTATCATCACTGCTTGGACATCTGCACCATTGACCTAATCGCAGCCCTGGCCGCAGAATGCCCTCCCCGCCTGTGCTCTGCGTGCGTCCTGTGTCTTCTCACTGTCTTTCTGTGAGAGCAGCTTGGACTCTGTCCCGGGCTCCTCTGTGTCCTCTCCGCTCCCCACTTCCTCCTGACTGCAGTTTGGTTTCCCTAGAGGAGAATTGTACCCCTAATGAGGGGAATCCGTCACCAACTGAGGGGGCAGGCTGGTGTGTGTGGGGATGTACACAAATGTGTGTGTGTAACAGAGAAAGTGGGGCCAGGGAGCTGCAGTGTGCCCACACAGTCTGTCTCAACACTTGGACGAGTGTCATGCCCAAGCGTGCCCTGCCCATTCCCAGCAGTGGGAACACAGCTGTGGTGGCAGGAGAGAGTGAGCCGCCGCCTTGCGTGGACAGCGCGTATGTCCCCAGAGAGAGACTGTGTTTTGGTTGTCGGTGGGGCCCTGCGAGGGAAAGCCACAGGGTTGGAGGACAACACCTGAGCAGAGTGTGAGGTCCTGAGGGCTGGGTCAGCCCTGCTGGGTCCCCACACTGTTGAAGCACTTTTGGAAGCAGACACATCTCACCATGCAGTTGCAGGTGTAGGGGAGAGTGCACCTGTCTCAGCGGCACTGGGGACAGGTCCGGCCTCAAGGGTGGTTGTTTTGTGTAGCTGGGTGGGATATTTGTGTGTGTGCAGTCCCATGTGTGGGTGTGGGTGTGTGCATGTGCACGTGTGTATCTGTGTGATGGCCAGGAGATGGGGGCCAGCTCTGTTCTGCATGTGTGTGGGCACACTGCATGCAAGTGTCAGGGTGGTGTGTCAGGATGGTGGTCACACCTCTGCGGCTCCTGTGCGTAGCCCAGGCCCTGTGCTGTCTCTTGCATTCATTCTGTCCTTCATTCATTTTCACCTTCACCTGTGCTCTTTCATCTCCTTTCCTTCCCTTTGCCCTCCTGAGCTGGTGTGTGCTTGTCACTACCTCTGTGACATCCGTGTTCAGGGTCTCCCTCCCTTCCCTGCTTCCCTTCCCTCCCCACCACCTGCGCTGGTGTCTGGGGCAGGCAGGCTTTTGTGTGGGCCCTGGAACAGCCCAAGGGGCATGGGGGAAGTTCAGGAAAGGAATCCATAGGGCACCTCGAGGCGGGGCAGGCTGGAGGTGTCAGGTGGGCAGGGGCCCAGTTAGGTTAGGTACATTCTGGACCAAGTCCCAGGCATTTCCCTGAGAGCCCAGGTGCAGCAGGCTGGGGAGCCAGCCAGGGACCTGCACAGTACCTGGGCTGAGCCATGGGCAGAGCAGAGGGCAGGGAGAGCTGCAGGACCCGCACCCCCTCTGATCACAGATCACAGCTCGCTGCCTGCCCTCTCTGGTTGCCAGGCCGCAGGCCCAGGAAAGGTATATCTGGCTCTGTCCTGCGCCCTAACCGGGTCTCTGAGAGCTGTAGATCCATAGGAAGAGAGGAGTGAGACGGGTCACAGGGAGAAGGGACAGGTGTCTGCCGAGGGCCGTGGAGAGTGGCGGGCTCTGGGTCCCTGGGTTGAGGTTCTTTGGAGAGTACTTCGTGCCTATGCCCTGGGGTAGGAGGTCCTCCCGGAGGGCAGGCCCCTCCAGAGCTGCACCAGCACCTGCCCTCCCTGCCACAGACTGCCACCAGTCCAGGGAACCCGCTTCTCAGGGAACCATCCCAGGCTCCTCTCTGACCTGTCTCTGTAGTAGTACTCTGGGCAACTGGGCCCCAGACTTTGGCTCCTTCTGTCTGTCTGTCTCCTACCCTCCACCCTTAATGCCGCCTGCCTGTCCTGAGGCGCCCGCTGCCTGCCCTCCTGCCTGCCCACCCGCCCGCCCGCCTGTAGCATGTCCAAGCTGGCTGCATGCAAGCTCCTGGAGAGTACTGAACCCCCCGCCTGGCCCAGCACCCGCTCCTTTCCCAGACCTGCCAGTCCTTGGCGGAGCCTTATCCCAGATCTCCTCACAGGCCCAGCCTGGCCTTCTGCCCCTGCCCCCCAACGCCAGCTCTGCAGGCGGCCGGCTCCCATGTCCACTGTCCCCCCAGGGTGGTCCTCACTCATGTTTGGCCACCAAGTTCAGTGCTGGCAGCAGAGTCTGGGTCCAGGCTGCCCCTTGCAGGCATCCATCCGTCCTGGCATGGTTCACTGTGGGCACTGTGGTCGGCACTGTTTGCTAGAAAGGGATAGCCAGTCAGGGAGGCCACCTGGCCTAGGGCCCCCACCACGTGTCCTCCCCTTGTTTCTCTGCCAGCATGAACTTGGGGACAGACCTTTAGCCTCTGGGGATCATCCCTCCCCTGCCAGCCTGCTCCATCTCCTTCCAGATCAGCAAGACAGGAGGAGGCGCCCTGAGGACGGCTGGGGAGAGGAGGGAGGAAACCCTAGCCAGCAGGGCAGGGGCTTTGCCAGCCTGGCTGAGTGATACTGGGGGTGTCAAGGGTCTTGCCCTCCCCAAAGTGCCAGGTCCTGAGCTGAGTCTTTCAGATGCTAACCCCTTCCCCGGTCCTGGTTCTCAACCTCCCAGCCCTGCAGCTCCCACTGGCCAATGATGGAGGCAGCCGCTCACCATCCTCAGAGAGCTCCCCGCAGCACCCCACGCCCCCCGCCCGACCGCGCCACATGCTTGGGCTCCCATCTACCCTGTTCACACCCCGAAGCATAGAGAGGTGAGCAGAGTGGCTGATTGGTGGGTCCAGGGTGGGGAGGCCGGTGGAACCCCAGCCCCACTCTGGCGGGTCAGGGTCCCCGCCACTGGCTGCTGCCATCTGTCCCCAGCATCGAGATTGACCAGAAGCTGCAGGAGATCATGAAGCAGACAGGCTACCTGACCATCGGGGGCCAGGTACTGCTGCGCTTGGCCCCCCAGCAGGGCAAGGGTTGGACATGGCTGGGCTGGGCTGTCGGGGTGGGCAGTGGAGGCCCCAGGGACCCTCCAGCCCAAGCTGTGTCCCCAGCGCTACCAGGCAGAGATCAACGACCTCGAGAACCTGGGAGAGATGGGCAGTGGCACCTGCGGCCAGGTGTGGCGGATGCGCTTCCGAAAGACGGGCCACGTCATCGCTGTTAAGGTGCCCAAGGGCCTGTGCTCCCTCCAGCTCGATCCCCTCCCAGCCCCGTTCCCACACCCTTCTGGGCATGTGGCCCTGAGCTCCCCCCTCGGTGCCCCTCCCTGCAGCAAATGCGGCGCTCGGGGAACAAGGAGGAGAACAAGCGCATCCTCATGGACTTGGATGTGGTGCTCAAGAGCCACGACTGTCCCTATATCGTGCAGTGCTTTGGCACCTTTATCACCAACGTGAGCCCCCCAGGGCCCCAGCACCCTGGCCCCTCGGGTGGGGAGGCAGGGGTGTCTATCTCCAGTCACCATGTGCCCTATCCCCACCCTCACAGACGGACGTCTTCATTGCCATGGAGCTCATGGGCACGTGCGCCGAGAAGCTAAAGAAGCGCATGCAGGGCCCCATCCCTGAACGCATCCTGGGGAAGATGACCGTGGCGGTGAGCAGCCCAGCCTGGGCTCTCGCAGGGCTGCAAGGGCGGCCCATATCCCAGGCCCCTGTCATGGTGGCTTCCCCATGCACCCCACAGATCGTGAAGGCGCTCTACTACCTGAAGGAAAAGCATGGGGTCATCCACCGAGATGTCAAGCCCTCCAACATCCTGCTGGACGAGCGGGGCCAGATCAAGCTCTGTGACTTTGGCATCAGTGGCCGCCTGGTGGACTCCAAGGCAAAGACTCGGAGCGCCGGCTGTGCAGCCTATATGGCAGTGAGTGGCCCAGTGGGGTGGTGGCTGGAGGCACCTCCTCCCCTCCCCCTAGCCTCATAGCCGCCCCTCCCCCTGACAGCCAGAGCGCATTGATCCCCCAGACCCCACCAAGCCGGACTACGACATCCGGGCTGACGTGTGGAGCCTGGGCATCTCGCTGGTGAGTAGGGGCCTTGCCTGTCTCCTCAGTGTAGGGGTGCGCAAAGGAGCAGGCGCCCCCTCCCCACCCCCTGAAATGCCTACTTTCCCTCCCCTCCCAGGTGGAGCTGGCCACAGGACAGTTTCCCTACAAGAACTGCAAGACGGACTTCGAGGTCCTCACCAAAGTCCTCCAGGAAGAGCCCCCACTCCTGCCTGGTCACATGGGCTTCTCAGGGGACTTCCAGTCCTTTGTCAAAGACTGGTGAGCACCCCGTGCCGTCTGCCCCTCTGCTGGGGGGAGGGGACAGGAGGCCAGGGCCAGCGAGAGCTGCAGCCTCCTGGGAGTGCACCTGGTGCCGAGCAGCTGTGTGCCCCGGGCTCCAGGGAGAACCTTAGGACCAGGTTCAGCTCAATGAGCCAAGTCCGCACCTTGCCATCCCAAGCTGAAGGCTGTGGGGTCAAACCGCTTGGTTGGAGCGTCAACTCACCTCCCCCCTCCTGCCTCTGTCCTCAGCCTTACTAAAGATCACAGGAAGAGACCAAAGTACAATAAGCTACTTGTGAGTACCAGCCCCTCCACCCGCGTGGGACGCCCCAGGCCTGAGGACGGCCCCAGGGGAAGACCCTTCATCCTAAGCCCCTCGGCCCGCAGGAGCACAGCTTCATCAGGCGCTATGAGACGCTGGAGGTGGATGTGGCGTCCTGGTTCAAGGACGTCATGGCGAAGACCGAGTCCCCGAGGACTAGCGGCGCGCTCAGCCAGCCCCATCCGCCCTTCTTCAGGTAGCCGTGTGCCTCGGCCAGCACCGCCGGGTCAGGGGCTCAGCCACGGGCCCCCATTCCCAACCCGGCTGCCCACTGGGACCTGCACAGCGCTGAGGGCCAAGGATGGCAGTCAGGGGGCGCCCACCGCCCCCGGCACTCTGCCCACTAACTGTGGACACGCGGCCCCTCCTGCCGGGCGTGTTGGACACTGTGAACACAGGCTGCGGCCGCCAGCAGACTCGATATTTATTCAGTCGTGACCTTGGGGCTGGGGCGGCCATCCAGGAGAGAGCCTGCATCCGTACCAAGCCCTGCGCTTGCTGGCCCCCCTCTGCCTCCCTCCTTCAATGGCTCCCCGTTCTATCCTGGCCTGGCCCACATGGACATGGGCTTGGCTGCCCCAACCCCTTGTGGGAGCCCAGGGGCTGCTCCAGTCTCCCACAGTCCTTGCCAGGATGAGGGGGGTCTCTGGACTGCAGCTGCACAGGGCCTGGGTTCTCCCTCTCTCTTTTTGATCTCAGGGGGTCTTTTTTGGAATTTATTATAGCATTGTTCTTGGCGGGGTGCTAGAGGAGAGGAGAGCTTGTCCTCGTGGGGTGTGTCAGTACCTTCGGAAACTTTTACCAAAGTCATGTTTAGCTGCTTTTGGTGGGGCTCCCACCAGCTGCCCTCGGGCACTAGGGGACAGGGGCTGGGGCTGGGCTGCTGCTTCTTGTTAGCCTGGCCTTGGGGATTCCCCAAAACAGGCTCTGGGCACCTCCTTCCTGGGGGCTGGGGAGGCCACGGCCGGCTCAGGGGGAGCTGAAGTGCTCAGGTGGGGGAGAGCCCGAGGGGGCCTCGGGACAGGGGTGCCAGAGGGAGGGACTTGGGGACAGGAGAGGGGCCAGGGGTCCGAGGGAGTTGGGATGGGCTAAGGCAGCAGCAGTTGTGGAGGTCTGAGCATGTGTGACAGTGACAGGTCGGGGTGGGAATGAGGCAGCTTCCCCCATGGTGACCTAGGCACCCCTCAGCTTTCCCAGAGCCGGCCAGCCCCAGCTCATGGGAGCCCAGGACAGGTGGGGGCTGTGTCTGCCCAGGCTCGGCGGCTAGAGGGGAAGGGGTACGTACGCTTCCTTTTTGTTGGCAATGCATGCGAGTCAAGTGGACAAGAAAACAAAATGGCAAAAAAAATTTTTTAAAAACAAAAAATGTAAAACCACAACCAATGCCAAAGGTGAGGAACCTGGCTGGATGCAGCTGAAGCAGCATAGGCTTAGAGGACGCCACGGCCTTTCCCCTGCCCGCCTCACCCCTTGTCCTGTGTTCACAGTGCTGCATGTGTAAAACGTAACTGAGGTGTGCTTCTCTCTTCCCGGGAGGCTGCCTTGGGCCCTGCCGAGGACTTTCAAGGGTTGCTGGAGGTTACTCTGCTGGTCCCAGGGTCAGTGCTGGCCCAAGGCTGGGCTGCCTGGGCTTGTCTTTATTTAACTTGGTTCCTGGCGATGTAAGCCCATGGGCCTGACCCACCCTCCAAAGCCCAGTGGGAACCTCTCCTGCCGCAGCCCCTGCAGACCTCCCATCACCAGCCACCCCTCTGGACCAGGCAGAGGGCAGATTGGCCGGGCAGCAGCCTGGGGTGGCCTGGCCAGCCTATTGGCCCATGGACCCATCTCAGGCCGCCAGTATTGCCCTGTCCCTTTTTAAAACAAAATGCCCTGTTTGTAACTCCTTAGACGCTTGAGAATAAAACCCCTCCCTTTTCTTCTGAGTCTGTGGTTTTACCCAGCCCAGTGGGGAAGAGACCAGGGTGGAGTGCATCCTCCACCTGGAGAGAGAACTGGTGGACTAGGCGAAGAGTGTGAGGTGACCAGTGGCTGCCTCTGGGCCAATCAGGCAGTAGAAGAGGAACCCCTAATCCCTGCAGGCCTTGAGGGAGGGCTCGGGTGTCAGCTCCGTGCCCTCCGCCCCCGCTGCCTGCTTCCTGGAGTGGTTGTCCAGCCAAGGCCGGGGTTCCCTCTCTGCTTGTGGTGCCCATCTGGTGCACCCCACACAGCTGTCTGCTGCCAGCCAACCTCGGTGGGTACGGCATGCTGGGTGCCGCGCTCCTGCTCCTCTTGCTGCCCGGGGCCTGCCCTGTGCCGGATGGGCTGTTGGGTATGTAGTGTGGGGCGCTTCGCCCTCGGCTCTGGCATCCTTCATCAGCTTGACCATGTCTCCCTATCTGACCTAATGGGGATGCCGGGGATTGCCCCCAGTTTCTGTCTTCAGAGTAGCACCTACTCTAAAGTCCCCAGCAGCCACTAAGGGACAGAGACTGTGTGAGTGGGACCTTCTGTACCTGTGCTTTTCGGATCTGGTTGACATGGACCCCAGCTAAGGCCCTCTTGAAGGCTGACGTGCGCATGTGCACGTGCAGTCGCTTAAGACTCGCCCTTTGCTAATGCAGCCGCCCACAATTGGGAGCATGGACCCCCAACAAACTGAAAACCCTATACCCTGGAATCCACGGGACTCTGGCTGTGCACAGAAAAACCTCTGGGGTTGGCATCCTGCTGTTCCCCCTTCCTGGATGCCAGCGCCTGCGTCCCCTTATCAAGGGAGCCTCCAAACCTGCAGTAAATTTCTGGGCACAGCCTGGGCAGAGGCAGACCTTGTGGGCCACTCAGTCTCCCTGCTGCGCCCTGGGGCGCTCCTCAACTCCTTCCCAGGATTATTCTGCCTGCTCTGCAGGTGGAGAAAAAAGGTCAGAGAAGGCAAGGCACACCTGAGGGCTAGCAGCTATGCGCCCGCCTTCCGCCGCTGGGCTGGCTGCGACCTCCGGGGGTCGCAGCCGCAGCCTGGTAGCTACCCAGTGGGGACGAATCTGCCACCGGCTCTGTGTTCCAATTTCCAGAGGAGCTGGCAGGGACAAGGAGGCCGGGCACTTTCCCGGAGGGCCGCGGGAAGCGCGTCCGCTCTCCTCTGAGCCATCCTCTACCCACCCTGCCAGTACCCCCTTTCCCCGGGACGCCTGGGCCCTGGCTGCGCAGACCCCTTTTCCGTCTGGAGCTGTCGGATGCGGAGGACGCCTTCCCGCGCCTTGGGGGCCCACTAGAGGTGCCCGCGGACAGCCGCGTGTTCGTGCAGGTGCTGGCGCCTTGGTCTCCGCGGGGGCGGCTGGTGGGGGGAGGACAATGCTGATGGTGTCTCCTGTCCCCAGGCGGCTCTGGCGCGGCCCTCCCCGGGCTGGGACCTGGCGCTGCACCGCTGCTCGGTGACGCCGTCCTCGCGTCCAGCACCCGGGCCCGCCCTGGTGCTGCTGCGCGGAGGCTGCCCCGCCGACGCCTCGGTCACCTTCCTGCCGCCGCCGCCGCCGCCGCTGCCGCTAAGCCCGGACAGCGCCCGCCCCGCGCGCTTCAGCTTCCGCCTGCGCCCGGTCTTCAATGCGTCGGTGCAGTTCCTGCACTGCCAGCTGAGCCGCTGCCGCCGCCGCCTGGGAGCCGGCCAGAGGCCCGCGCCCCTCACCCCGCCGCCACCGCATCCGTCTCGGGTACGCGAGAGAGAGGAGATGAGATCTGCACACCGAGGGCCCTGTTAGGCTGGACGCGGCGTCTTTGGCGGCGGGAAGAATCTCCAGGGTCAAGAGAAGATATGGGGTCTCAGGCTGGGGTCAAGGTGCTTAGGCCCCCTAGGGCCGGTGGGATCCCTCAGCGGAGAAGTGATCTCTGGATTCCTTCATGGGTTGGGCTCTAGGATGCCTTGAGCGGGACTCCGGTGTCACTCCAGAGCTGGGCGGATGCAGAGGGGTGCCAGGGGCCAATCTGGGGCAGCTGAGATGTGCGGCTTCACAGGTTAGGTGCTGAGAGTGGTTCCGCCTCCCTCTCCCCTTTTTTGTACTTCCTACTGGGGATCGACCCCAGGGCCTCACCTTGCTACCTCCCCAGCCCTTTGATGGACGCGTTGAGACGGACTTGCTAACCTTGCTAACAAAGTTACCCAGCTGGGCTCAAACTTGTGATCCATGACCTGATGTAAGAAGATGAGGAGATGAAATCTGAGGTCCTTTAGGGCTGGGTCCCACTTGGTTACTTACAGGCGGGTCTCAGGGGCTCCTCAGGAGCCAAACTTCCAGGCCTCCCGTGGCGGCCTCTTGGCTACAGTGGACAGCTGTACTCTTAAGGCCTCTTAGGAGCCCAGGCAGGATCGCCAGACCACGACCTCTCCGGTCTCCCCTCCCCCAGTGTTTGCCTCCGGTCGAGGCTTGCGCGGGAAACGGAGAGAGCCTCGGCACCAACGGCCCCCACCTGCACACGCTGACGCAGCCCATCGTGGTCACCGTGCCGCAGCCGCTCCCCGGTACGCAGGCAGTGCTACCGCGCAAGATGCCCTGGGGCCGGGGTGGGCATCAGGATCCGGGCTCCAGACTCAGCATTGCTCTTCCCGGCACAGGGCCACCCAAGAGCCTCCCGGGAAAGGCAGTGCGCGCCCAGACGCCCGCGCCTGCGCCCGCGCCCGCAGCCCTGGGGCCCGCACCGGTAGTGGCACTGGTGCTGGCGGCCTTCGTGCTGGGAGCCGCGCTGGCCGCCGGGCTCAGCCTCGTGTGCGCGCACTCAGGTACCGACTTCTGCGTGCCCTTCTCGCCCCAGCCCATTCCTGCGCCTCTAGACCGGGGTCGCTATGGTCCCAGCCAGCGGGACCTGCCCAACCCTAGACCTGACTCCGCTGTGCCCGCAGCTACCCGCAGGGGGCGCGCTGACCACAGCGCAGCGCCCCATGATAGGCACTTTCCCCTCCAGCGTCCCCGCCCCCTGGACAGCAGGCCAGGGCCTCGCCCAGCAGCCCCCAGCCTCGGAGGCCCCAGTGAGGCAGGTAAGGAAGGGGAAGTCTGGAGCAAGAGTTTAGGCGGCAGGTGATGGTGATGACTTCCCAGAGTTCACTCTCGTGCTAAACGATGTTGCACACATGTCATTTAACCCTCCTACAACCAGACTGCTACAATCCCCAGGGAAAGCGAGAAAAACAGAGGCTCTGAGTGTCCCTTGTCAAAAGTCAAAACAGGCATGATGGCATAGGCCTATGATCCTAGTACTCGAGAGACTGAGGCAGGAGGATTACCAAGAGTTTGAGGACAGCCTGGGCTACATATAGTAAGTTCAAAGCCAACTTGAACCACATAGTGAGACCCTATCTCAGAAAAAAAGAAAGTCGGGGCTGGGGATTTAGCTCAGCGGCATAAGCCCCTGCCTTGCAAGCAGGCAGTCGTGAGTTCGATCCCTGGTACCGATAAAAACGAAAAAGACGAAGGAAAAAAAAAAAAGTCATAACATTTGGTTGAATGGGATTCGAAGTCAGAGACCAGAATCGGCCCCAGAGATAGGTCTTCAAACCTTGGGCAGCACTAGGTGAGATGGGGTTCAGACCCATTTCTGACTCTCATCCGGGCAAAGATGGGGAGGAAAGAAGCCAATGGGCGCTGAGAAGGCGGAGTCCTGCGTAGTATCCCCTCCCTTCCCAGCAGGGGCACCCCCAGCCAGGGCTTCAGGACCAGGCCTGCCAGGACAGGGCTCTCTGTCACGCCTGGGACGCCTGGGACGCCATGCTTCAGCAACAGGACCTCTGCCTTCCTTTCCACCATCTCATCTGGGCTCAAAATAAACCTCTGGACTGCTCCTGCTAAATTCTGGTGGCATCACGGGGTGCACTTGGCATGGGGGCGGGGGGTGCTCGGGAGAGCACTTGGGACCCGGACGTGGGGGTGGCAAAGGTGTGGACTGGAGGGCTAGGCCTTGTGGGTGGGCTGCTAGCCCATAGCTCAGGGGTTTGTCTCAAAGTGATAACCAACACTCTCCGTTTAAATTTAAAATAAACCCTGTCTCCCGGTACTACTGCACCAGCCCACCTGCCTCCTCCCATCTTCCCCAAGTCAAGCCTTCTCTGTTGTTGTCCATGTTTCTACCTCTTTCCACAGTGTCCCCACTGATCTGATACTGCATTCCTGTCCGCTTACTCCCCTAATTTAGAGGTCCTTACATCTCTTCTTGCCGGGCATGGTGGTGCACACCTATAATCCCAGTACTCGAGAGGCTAAGACAGGAGGACTGCCACGAGTTTGAGGCCAGCGTGGGCTACACAGTGACTTCAAAACCAGACACAACAACGTGGCGAAACCCTGCCTAAACAACAACCCAAACAAACCCTCCTGCCCGAGCTCCTCCCTCCCCAGTGTATAGGCAGAAGACTAGTACTCCCTTTACAGAAGAGGAACCTTCAGCTTGGCAAGGTTAAATCAGTTGCCCAAGGTCGCCAGGGCAGTCCAACCCCTGAGTTCAGGCTCCTGACCACAGCTAGAGAGCCGCCTTAAAAAAAGGAAAGCACACAGTAGGACTTTCACGAGGCAGCCAGGCATGTCGGGGAGAGCAAGCAATTCAAGGTCGGCTCCAGTTCACAAATGAGATACAACACGGGGTCTCGCGCATCTTGCTCCACTTGTGCCGCCGGTCTTCCCATTATTTTCATGGAGGCGGGTCCGCCAGCACAAGCCAAGCCGCCGCGCCCCCCCTGCTTCCGCCTTCGCGCCGCACTTGGGGGCCTCTGCAGCTTCCGTAGCCCCGCCCACCAGGGAAGCGGCGAGAGAGCCCCGGCGCCTAACTGTAAAGCAGCATGAAGCCACCACAGCGGCGGCGGTCGGCCCCGGCGCGCTATCTGGGCGAAGTGACCGGCCTTGTGCCCTGGAACCTTCGCGAGAAGCGCCAGCTACTTCGACTTCTGCTGGCGCGGCGGGGCCAGCCGGAGCCAGACGCCGCCGAGCTGGCCAAGGAGCTGTGGAGCCGGAGCGAGACGGAGGTGAGCCGCGGGTCCCATCTCAGAAGCGAGGCTGGGGGCGTGGCCATGTGGCTGGGGGCAGGCCCACAGTAGGACGCCGTGGGCGGTGGCCCGTGAACCAACCAACGTCAGGAATGCAAGCTATAGGTGGGGCCATGCGGGCCGTGATTGGGTAAGCCTGAGGGTGGGGTCTCATCAGGCGGGGCGGGCAGGGACTAAGGCCCGGGCGAACTGGGCGTGAAAGGCCTGTGGGCTGCAGATCCTGCGGCAAGTGCAGTGGGGCAGTGGACGTTAGGAAGTGGGCGGGGTGGAAGTGAACCGGTTAGCTCTTAGCCTAGGAGCGATTTACATAGTGGGTCACATCCTCGGTGCCTGTCTTCTACATCATGGAGCTCAGATGGTTTTCCCGCCCTCCTCCCTAGATCGGCGACTTCCTCCAGCACCTCAAAAGCCGAGTGGCTCGCGAGGCCACTCAGAAGGTACACCCACATGGTACTCGGGGTCCAAGGCACACACAGGCACAGATACTGGCTCCTATTGAGGTGAGGCGAGTGGGCAGGGCAAGGGAGCCGGGTGAACTGGTCAGGGGACCCCGGGAGGCTAGGGCTCCGGGCAGTGCTGCTGGCCGAGTCCCGGGCTGCCCTGGTTTCACCCAGGTATGGACAGATCTAGCTGAGAAGATAACAGGTCCACTCGAGGAACCGCTGACGGCAGGCTTCTCCCAGGTAAAGGGGGTGCCCCAGAGAGGAGGTTGTAGAAATGGAGCTGGGGGTGTCTGTCAGTAGCAGAGCACTTGCCTAGCATGCACAGGCCCTAGGTTTGGTCCCTACCACTGCAAAACCCCAAACCCTAAACAAGAAACAGTGTACATGGGCCTTTGCCAGCTGTGTGACCCCCCAACCCCAAACAAGCGGTAGACTCCTTGAAACTCAGTGTCCCCGTCTGCCTTCCACAGGGTGTCAGGGAGGGATTTAATGCGGGGGTGAAGGAGGGGGCTCAGCCTGGCAGCAGAGAACAGAGGAAAGGAGGGTGTACCTTTCCTTCCCTGAGGGCTCTGCCTATCTGCCTGCCAGGTGCTCACCATTGCGGCCACTGAACCCCTCAGCCTCTTACACTCCAAGCCCCCCAAGCCTACAAAAGCTCGGGCAAAGCCGCTGCTCCTGAGCACCACCAGAGGGCAGGAGGACTGCACCCCTAAGGCCCCTGGCTCTGCCCCGGAGACCACTGGCTCTGCTCCTAGTGTTTGTGACTTCTCCCTTGGCCCTACACTTAATGCCTCTGGCACTGCATCTGTGACCCCTGGCCCCGCCCCAGTGGCTTCTGGTTCTGCCCCTTATGTATCAAACCCTGCCCCTGAGGCCTGTGGCCCTGCCCCGGGTGCCTCTGGCCCTCACCCTGAGACCCTCAGCTCTGCCCCTGAGGCACCTGTTGAGTCCCGGGTGGGCCCCTCCCCTGAGGGACACTTCATCGTGGACTTCGAGAAGATCTACAAGTACCTGTCCTCTGCCTCCCGGAGTGGCCAGGGCCCAGAGCTCTCCGCAGCTGGTGAGAGGGCTGGGGAGGGACCAAGAAGGCGGGGTGAAGGGTGCCAGGTGGCAGGTCTGCTCACTCCTGTCCCCTCCTTCCATCACCAGAGTCGGCTGTGGTCCTTGACCTGCTCCTGTCACTCCCCGAGGAGCTGCCTCACCTCCCCTGTACAGCCCTAGTTGAGCACATGATGAAAACCTATGACCACCTGATGGCCCCAGAGCCCAGCCCCTCTGGCAGAAGTCCTAGGCCTGAAGCTGGGGATGAGGGGCATGGTCCTAGGGTATCAGAGGAGCCCAGCCAAGTCCCCCCTGGGCCCCCTGGGCACAGTGCACCCAGTGAATTGAGATCAGCCTGGCAAGCAGCTGGTATCTGCCCTCTGAATCCGTTCCTGGTGCCCCTGGAGCTCCTGGGCTGGGCAGCACCCCCTGCAAGGTGAGTGTGTGGCCAGTGGCAGATATACCAGACTCCTGCACTGGACTGTCATGAGGATCGTCTTGGAGGTCGCTGAGTGGCCCAGTTCTCAGCCATAGGTACGGAACTTGGATGCTGCATGCATGGAGGTTCCGGAAATGGAATCCCATTGGTCCAGGGCTCTCCTGGAGCAGCTAGGGCACAGGACCATGTTACTAGGAGATAGACAGGCCAGTTCCCCAAGCTCAGCTGTGACTGTTCTCTGCCTCTATGGAGGGGCAGAGCTGGGCCCCCACTCCAGCACCCCTCACACACCTTCCTCTGTTCAGGCAGCCCAAATTTTCTCCCTGGACTTCAGGTTGGGCATCCCTGAGCCCTCTGCAGCTGACCATGCCACCCCATGCCTCACCCCCGCCAGAGTCCAGCTGTCACCTGGAATAAAGTTCCCGTCTACCTGCTTTTCTGCTTTTTTGTGGTTTAAAGATGGGGGAGCGCAGGTCCTGGGGTGTCACAGCTTGGGGTTATGGAAGCAAAGCTGCTGCCCGGAATGAGCTCAGTTTGGCCATGATTGTCCTGCTAGTAGCTGGGTAGAAGTGGCTCTTTGACAAGCCTGGATGGGATGAGTCAGGCTGGACACGGCTAGTGGGGACAGGTTACAGAGACAGGTTTTCAGAGTGGGGCACCACCGCACATATGACAGAAGGTGGAAGCCAGCAGAGACTGAAGGTGGCCAGATGTGAGAAGCTAGGAGGGGGACGGGGGCAGAACCTGGAAGGAGAGCAGGCCCCAAATCCCTAGAAAAGCCAAAGGCAGAACTGGGGAGCAGAGGTAGGTGGGGGAGGAAGTTGAGTCCTGGTGGGTCCCCAAGACTCCACATTTGTGTGGGCGTGGAGCAGGGGGCAGGCCTGGGAGACTGGGGTTCTTGGGCAGCCGTGTTTCCTCCTACAGTGTGCCTTCCCCCAAGCAAACCTGACATCCTCTGAGGATAACTGCGGCTCCCCAGCCAGCGCCTTCACACAGCTTTCCTTTTATAGAAACGCTCATTTCTCCCCACACACTGCACATGGCTCCTCCGGGGCATGCAACACATCTCCCGGGCTGGCTGTGGAGTGAAGCCAGCCCACACCGTGGTGCTCATAACGCGGTACCAGCCCCACAGGTGCCAAGCCGCACAGGATGACATGAGCTGGACGGCTGGGATGCAGGGGCAGCTCATGGGGAGAGTCTGCATTCCAGCCCCCACCCCAGCCTGAAGCACCTCTGCAGTCAAGGGAAACTCGGGCAAGGAGTCTCGACTTGTGCGAGGAATGGGGAGGCTAAGATGCTATAGACCAGCACCGGCAGGGCAGGTCCACGGTGTGTGCACACTGGGCAGCAGGCAGGAGCCAGGTCCGCACGCACACTGCTTCCAACTAAACGTGATCCATGTGGCTATGGGCAGGTCACTACAGCTGCCCAGATCTCAGGCCCCCTGCCTGGAAAAGGGGATGTTCAAGGGGCCTGGCTCATTCGCCCCATCCCAAAAGCAAGCAGACAATGAATACGAGGTGCTAACTCAAGACATGGCTTAGCATGCAGTAAGAGCTCAATAGTAGCTTTTATTATCACTGCTGTCATCATCATCATCTCTCAGGGACAAGGCAAAGTGAAAAGGTAGTGGAGGGACGTGGGAAGCGCTGGAGAAGAGGCAGGGGCCGATTGCGCACGGGGAAGGGCGCGCTGACCTGGAGGCAGCAGCCATGGTGGGTACTCTAGATCCAGGTCTCGGGCAGGATGTGCAGGGCATTACCAAAGGCAGCGTCCTGCCCTGCAGGACGCCAAGACAGGCTCAACTCTCAGCCATGGTGACACTGGGTGTGGCCAGAAAATGGGGATGGGGAAAGGGCAGGGCTTGGGGAGAACCTACCCACTCCCAAGAAAGGGTGCACTGCACTCATACCTGGCACGTGACAACAGCAGCGCCACTCAGAAGCTGGGGATGCAGTTGGGGCCCGGTGTGCAGAAAGAAAGGGGTGGGATGGACAAAGGCACGAGACGGGGCTCGAGCCAGGCCAGGGGGGATGGGCAGGGTCGAAGGGGTTGGGGTGGACCTGCTCCTAACGCCCCGCGTCCGCGCTGGGGCCGGCCGGGTCCAGCCTTGCAGACCCCCGCCCCTCACACCAGCGCGTAGTCGAACTGGCCGCGCTCGAGCGCCTCCTTGTGGTCCGTCCAGGAGGAAGCGGGCATGCGGCTGTAGGGGTCCAGCAGGATGCGCACGCAGCGCACCATAAGCAGCACCAGCACCACAAGCAGGCAGAGCACGAAGGCAAACACAGTGCGCTGCTCCGCGTCCAGACCCGCGCCCACCGGAGGCCCCGTCGACGGCGGCAGCGGCTCGGGCGACAGCGTCCACGTCGTGCTCATGGCTCACATCGCCGCGCGCCCTGCCGGGGAGGAGGAGGCCGTCCAGGCAGGAGTCTGAGGCGTCGCCCTCCCTCCCGCGCCCCCGTAACACCCCATAACCCGCACCGCTGTCGCCGGGCGACGCCCATGCCCGGCCCGCGCGCTCGCTGCCGCCGCCACGCGGGGACCAACTCCGGCGGTGCGCGCGGGCGGGGACGCTGAGCTGGCCCCGGAGCCCCGACCGCCCGGCCCGCATCCAACAGGTGCGAGCTTGCACCGCCCGCGTCCCGGCGGCGCAGCCAGGTCGGATCCGCGTGGCCCCCGCCCGCTCCCTTTGTTCCCAACTGCCCGGGACCCCTCCCCCATCGCTCCGCCCCCGCCCCGGCCCCGGAGCGCCCCTCACCTTGGCCTGCACCGCACGCGGACGAGCCACCTGGCGGCCGCGCTCTTCCCGGAACCGTGACGGCTTCACGCCCGACCTCTCCCCAACGGTGGCCAAGGCGGCGGCCCCGGCTCAGCCCACCCCAGCCGCCCCTGGAAGCGGCGGAGACCGAGGCGGGCGAGGCGCGCGATAGCCCGGCGCCGCGGCTGTTCCCATGGCGACGGGGGGCGGGGCCGCCGCGGGGGGCGGAGGCGGCGCAGCTAGTGGCAAGGTCTGAGACCCAGCCCTGGCTCAGGGATGCAGAGCTCGATCAACACCTGCAGCAACACCCCGAGCCCAGCGAGCATCCAGGATCTCACCCGGACCTAGGCAGCTGCCATTCCCCATCCCTCGAGCGCCTTGTACGCCCTCGGGCTGACCTCTGCCCCGCACCCCCATCCCCGGGAGCCAGACCCCTTTCTCAGCTTCCCTAATGACACTCACGGGCCCCAGCCCTCATGCCAGCAAAGTCGGGGCAGCACCCCCACAGTAGTTTCATGGCTCTCTGCTGTCCCCTCCCAGCCTGCCTGGTGAGGTCTCGGCCAGGGGAAGGCGCCCCTCTCCTGGGGCTGTGGCACTAGGCTCCGAGGTGACCAAGGTTGGGTGGCCCAGCCCACTACCCCCTGGTCCCCACGTCAGACACCTGCACATGGGCCACGCTGTTCTGCACTTTGGTGTTTATTATTTCCCAATCTCAGGTGTAGGTACAGGAAGAACATAAAAACGTCCTAAAACGGCCCAGCTGACTACCAGGCCACTTGGCAGAGCAGCTGGATTCCGTCCTGTCCCTCCTTCACGGAGTCCTTGGCCAGGGCCCTGACACACTGTGGCACTGTGTGGCCAGCGCTGGGGTGTCCTGGGGTCCCTGTGGTGAGCGTCTGTCTCCTGCCCCGGGCACCCTCAGCAGTGTGGTGGCACCTTCTTCACCCGACTGGCTGGGGATAGTCTCATCCCCAGAATTCTGGAGTTGCCCTGGGTGTCTGCCCGAGTGATGGTCTAGCCCTGGAGCTGCCCTGTGGTGGCACAGCCTCAGAGGATCTGCTCTGTGCTGGAGGCAGAGACATCCAGCAGGCGCCAGGCCGCGTAGGGGTTGAGCTCGTCCTGGTCTCGGCACAGTGCCCACACGTACAGCATGCGCAGCACCTTGTCCTGCAGAGACGTGGGGGGTGGGAGGGCACTCATCACATACTCGGGGCTTCTGAGCCAGCGCCCAAGCTGCCCAGGTAGGGCTCAGACTTAGGATCCTCCAACCTCAGCCCAAGTGCTGGGAACACCAGGCAGAGTCCTCTGGGGTCACTACTCAGGACTTGGGAAAACCAGACAGGGCAGATGTTGGATCTCTACATCCTCACAGGGTCCCCAAACCGCCCAGCTCTGAGATGGCATCCAGCTCACCGTCCACTGCCCCACTCACCGGGTCGCCCTCAACCACCTCGCCCTTGGTATTTCGGATCACCATCACCAGCTGGGCCTGGAAGGTAATGATCAGCACCGGGCCCTGCTCCATCATCTTGCCCATGGCCAGCTGCAGAGAGAGTGGGCGAGGACATCACAGCAGGGCCCAGCCAGGCACAGGGCAGAGCCGCTCCACCTGCTATACAGCCTACCTCCTAGGACTCCGGGGCCCGGGGCCATGTGAGTGCCTACCCCTGCTGAGTGCAGCTGACCAGCAGGACGCTTCACTACCCTCAGGCCCAGGCCAGGACGCCTCACTGCCCCCCCCTCCTTCCCACTGGTGTCACCCCCTCAGATACTCACGTCAATGTTGTCAATGTCAAGGATGCGGGAGTGGAACTGGAGGCCCAGGGCCTTGGCCTGCTGGATGGGGTGGGCCAGCTGGCTGTAAGTCTGCAACGAGAGGCCAAGGGCTTGGCAGGTAACCGCAAGGCCAGACCCCCACTAGGCATCTGCTCACCGTGGAGTCTGGGTGTGCGGTGCCAGCTGCCCAGAGCACTGGGCCAAGCAGAAGGCAGGTGCCACCCAGCTGCTGGCCAGAGTCAAGTATTAGCCTCTCATTATGGAAAGAGCAAGGCACCCAGCAAAGGGCGGCACAAGTGCCAAGAAGCGTTAACCAGCCAGGAGGCACTGTGACACGCTCCAACACACCCTTCGAGGTGGCCCTGGCTGATCTCCAGTTCCCCGAGGGCCTCCCCCAGGGACCCTGGCCTGGAATTCAGCAGCTCTTCCAGGCTCCGGCCCGCCCTGTCTCACAGACCACCCCATCAATGCTGTCTACTGTTCTGTCCCCGTGCCGGGGCAGGCGCAGAGTGGGCACAGCCTCAGCCGGTTTCAGGTCGGGAGCCACTAACCAAGACAGCTCCTTTCTTGTGGAAATCACTCATCTAACCAGGAATAAAACCAGGAGCCAATCCTGTTGGTTTTCCTTTATGACTCCAGGGACTGAAGCCTGGGCTTCACCACACTGAACTGCCTCTGGCCCTTTTCTTTCTTCGAGACAGGATTTTTGAGACAGGATCTCAAATTAGTGATCCTCCTGCCTCAGCCCCCAAGGTAGCTAGGATAAGCAGCTAGCTTAGACCATGCCCAGCTAGCTCATTTCCCCCCTCAGAATTGATGATTAAAGCCAAACCCTTCACACTAAACTACACTCCCAGCCTTTTTAACTCGTTTACATTTGGAGACAGTGTCTTGCTAAATTGCCCAGGGTGGGCTCAAATGTGCAATATTCCTACTTCAGCCTCCCAGAGTACAGGAATCACAGACACTGGTGAAATTTCCAAAACACCTCCGTGGAAGTGTCCAGAACTTCAGCTGCATTCCCAAGGAACCAGCAGCTCTCTGGATGAGCAGCTAGCTTCATGGTTGCACCAAAAAAAGAAAAAAAAAAGAAAAAGAAACACAACCCAACTCATAAATGCCTGCTGGATTAGTCACCGTGCAGAGAAGCATTTAAAAAGAAAATCTGACAGAATCTTCTCTGCTTTTTCCAAGTTGTTGTGAGCAGTGCGCACAACAGAAAGAACCAAAAAAGACTCAGGATTGTTTCACACAAAGAAGCTGGGGAAAGGAAAAAAACTCACAATGCTCAAGAGACAGCTCTGGAATGGAGCTGGGAGGGCCGAGGTGGCCAGAGTTCCTCGGGGACAGGGAGGCTGCCAGGAACAGGGCCCAGAGGCAGATGCCTGCATGGCCTCAGTGCAACCAGGCTCCTGGGGTGGGCGGCTCGGGCAACCTGGGCCCCACTCTTGCCCGGACTCGGGAAGCAGCTCTGGACCTGTCAGGACATGTGCATGTGTGCTGCTCCCAGCAGGCTGGCAGGAGGCCGCTGTGATGTTTCAGGATCTGGTAAGGGGGCCAGCTCTGGGGTCAGCACCCGCACCCTTCCGTCTGCAGCTCATCCTAGGCAACTGCATGCCTAGGGCACACAGGGGCAACCCTGGCAGGGGGCTACGGGGTTGCCCACCCTCAGCCGCTGGGAATGATCCACACCTCACCTGCAATACGAGGACCCTTCCCCTTTCCCCGGTCCCTGCGCCCTGTGGCCATCACAGCTGGAGCAGGTCACCTCAGAAACCCCATCGTGCCTGCACTGGAACCCTCTCCCGGCACGCCTTAACCCAGCAGCTCTGTGACACCAAATGGTCCCTTAGACACAGCAGAGGAGAAGACCTGATTTTCCTTTTTTGCAGTCCTGGGGATGGAACCCGTGGCCTCTATCAGAGCCACAAGCCTGGCCCCCTCCTGTTTTAGGTCTAAGTTGCCTAGGCTGCCCAGAACTCACCCTGTGCCCTCTCCCAGCCTCTGCAGTAGCCGGGACAACAGGGGTGGGGTCTGTGACCACAGGCTCAGTCTGACAGCAGATGCCCTGCCTTGAGGCCCTCAGGCTAAACAGGGCGCCTCGCCCCAGACTTATCGGGTGCTGGGGATGGAAGCCGCCAGGCCCTGCTGCACCAGTGAGTCACACCCCCAGGGCCAGCCTTTCTGTCTTTTCTTTGGCGGAAAAAGAAAGACAAAAACAGTACTCACGGCTTCATAGCACCAGTCTCTGAGAATGTCGAGCTCTCCAGAAATCATGGCCTAAAAAGGGAACGGAGAAACAGTGAGTGGGAGAAGGAGAGCGGCTGGGAGGAGGGAGAATGTAGGGGAGCATCTCCTTCCTGAGCCCCCAGGCTGGGGCTGTGGGCCAAAGGCACAGGGGAGCCATGGTGCCCAGGCAGGGGCAGGGTCCCTGCGTGTGTAGCTCTGGTCCTCCAGGAGCAACACAGGACGACAGGAGCCCAGAGAACCCCATGGGGGGTCTGGGCCCTCAGAAACAAGGAAGGTGGCAGTGTGCCTGGCCCGGCTCGGAGCCAAGGGATGGAAACCGCAGAGCCCTGTTGTGGTTTTGGGGCCCCACACGCTCTGTCTTCTTGGGGGTGTGGGGCACAGGTATGGGAGACCTGGGACAGGGCTACTCTGGTGAGGGTAACAGTAGTCTGCAGGAGGGAGGCGGGCAGGAGGGAGCCGGTGCCACAAGGAGACCTGGCTGGGGGACAGGGGGAGATGCCCTTCCTCACTCACAAGCCACTGGGGCAGTGTCCCTGGCTCTGGATATCAGCGCTGCAGAGACAGTGCCCCACCCAGTTGCATGCTGTACCCCACCACCAGGGAGGTTCCAGCACCGGGGCAGCCTGCAAGTAGGCGGGGAGGAAGGCATGGAGGGGTACAGGGAGGCGGTAGTGGATGCCTGAGCACACAGGGGAAGGGGATCCCAGCCTGAGTAATCACCACCGGAAGGCCACAGACCCCAAGAGGGGTGGGCGTAGCCCAGGGCAGAGCCTGGCCCTGTAGCACCAGCCAGAGGGAAAAAAGAAAAGGCCTCCAGAATGCCCTTCCCAAGCCTGTTCCCACTTGAGCCCCAGATGCTGTGGGTGGCTGTGGTTGGTGCTGGGAAATCTGGGAAGGGACTGGGGCACAGCCTGTGGGGCAGTCACAACCAGATAGGAGCTGGGAGTGGCACTGTGTGCTCAGGATACATCCCGGCAGCCAGACACCCCTGGGGTGCTCTGGGAGAGGGGGCTGCAGGGCGCAGCGGGCACCTCCAGGACGTTGGGGATGATGTCGCTCTCGCACTGCTTCAGAAACCGGTCTTTGTCGAAGGCTGGGTCCACCCGCAGGATCTCAGTAAGCACCTCTGACATCTCTGTCTTGGAGAACAGGCCCCCTATGGACCAAGGCCGGGTGAGTCCAGGGCCTGGGTGTCCTCCCAGTGCCACTGCCAGTAGAGGAGGAGCACCTGGAGTGGTGCTCACCCAACCGGAGTGGTGCTCACCCAGCACGTCGGTGACCTTGTCCGTCAGGGCCCGAGATGCCCGGATGAGTACATTGTCGCTCTCATCGTACTTCATCTTCATCTCAAAGAAGCCTGCGAGGTTGGGGGTGGCACTGGTGGAAGGTCCCTCCCAGGGGACACCTGACGCCACACACGACAGGGCACCCCCCAGACGGGACCCTGAGCTGCTTCCTGTCTGTGCAGGGGGCTGCTGCCCACCCATCTGGCAAGGTCACAGACACCCTTGGCCATGGCCCCGGGTGGGCATGCAACATGGGGTGCCACCCCCACTGGCTGTTGCTTCCACTACAAAGGAAACAGGCCTCTAGTGGTTCCCCCAAGACTAGCGACAGTGGGGGGTGCATGCAAGGCTCAAGGTCATCCCCAAGTCCCTGCCCAGCTGCACTCGGGGTAGAGAGCCACTTGTGCCTCTGCCAGCATCAGGGCTCCTGGGGCCCTAATGTCCCAAGAGGGAGCCACGGCCCAGCGCCTTTGTGGCAGGATCACAGTCACTAGCCAGGTGGCCCTGAGGAAGTGACCCCCTTCCCACTTCTATGGGGACCGCCCTGCCTGGGACTTGGGGCTTGGCCTGACTCACGGTTGAAGACAACATTGTTGTCCCTGAAGTCCTTCCACTGCTGGTACCACCGGGAGTCCTTGTGCAGCACGACCCCGAGCGCCTCTCTGCAAGGACAGGACACGGAAGGCAGGCAGGGCGTAACGGGCCTGGCCCGGCCACCCCCACCCTGCCCTTCCCAGGGCCTGGAGGAGCCTACTCGTTGGCTTCAAACACTTTCTCCTCTCTGAGCTTCTCCCCAACAAACTCCGTCCTCTTTCGGAGCCTCTCAGGCCTGCGATAGGGCCCCATTCGGCCCAGCACGCTCTCGTCGATCTCCTTCTTCACAGATTCCACGCCCTGCCGGGGACGGCAAGAGCCCCAGTGTCCCCTGGTGTCTGGGCCCCATCAGCCCACGCTGCCCTCCCTGCCCATTCTGTGGCTCTGGGCCCAGCCCGGCCTACTCACCTGGGAGAGGGCCTTGAAGGCTGCCGTCCTACCCAGCTTCTCCCCGCCTTTGGACACGGACTCGGCCGACTGCTTGGCTGTCTTGGCGGCCTCCTCCACCCCCTCTTTGATCTTCCTGCCCAAATCGCTCTTACTGACTTCGTCGAGACTCTACTGAGACAGACAGAGGGGCTGCACTCGCTCGCACAGCACCTCAGGGGCAGAGGGCACACCCCAGAGACTGCTGCATTTCATTTCAGGGTGCTGGACCCGCAGGCCGGAATGGCCAGGACAGGATCTAAAACTGTCCAGCAACAGGGCTGCCGAGGGTGCAGCGTGGCCAGTGAGAGTGAGGTGGGGCTGTCCAAGGCCTGACCTGCCTTCTCTTCCATTATTTTGGGCAGGCTCTTGCTGTGTAGCTCAGGCTGGCCTGAACCCTGTGGTGATCCTCCTGCTTCAGCTTCCCAAGTGCTGAGATTACAAGCCTCTACTACCAAGCCTGGCTGCTCTACCCTGCTTTGAAAGCCTTACACCTGCCAGCCTCCTGTGCCCGGGGTAGAAGCATCTTCTGTTTTTGACCAAGAAGAACAAAAATCCTTTTTGCTTTTGCGGTGCCAAGGACAGAACCCAGGACATTTCCTTGCCAGGCAAGCGCTCCCCACAGAGCCATACCCAGACCCCAGTTCAGCCTCTCCTTCTTGCCCCTCTGTGAGCGCCCGAAGCCTGACCTCCCCGAGTCCTGCTTTGATACCTCCAGTGCCTTACTCCATGCCCAGCCCGGGAGCCAGGTCCCTGCCACCTGGGGGGACAGTGACCCCAGCCGCTCCTGACTACGTCCGCCTGTTACCTCCTTCACCGTCCCCGTGAGCTGCCCCAGCTTCCTCCGGATCGCCTCACTGGTGCGCACCGTCTCCGACTCGATGGTTTTCTGGAGGGAAGAAGCAGACCCAGCCACACACTCAGAAGGCAGAGGTCGCATCCTCTCCTCTGCAGCTCGGGCCTGCCTGTGCCGCCTGCTCTCCCTGACCTGAATCCCAGCTCCAGCCCTTTCTCTGGGAGGCAGGAGGCAGTCCACAGTCACATCCTCTCCAAGCACTCCTGGCAGGCCATGTACCTCACTCTGCCGCCTGCCACGCCTCTGGCTGTTGCAGTTTCATCTTAGTTTGTTTGTAAGTGGCCCAGTCTGGCCTCAAACTTACAGCGATCCTTCTGCCTCAGCCTCCCAAGTACAGGGATGACGGGTGGGAGTGACATGGTTTGCACCACCACACTTGGCTTGCAATTCAGTCTTGCACTGCCCCAACTCCATCCTTGCTTAGTAATGACCTGTGTGACCCGAGAGGGGACACTCAAAGGAAAAGGCCTTGCCTGGCGCTCAGCCATCAGGGTGGCCACTGGGTGGGCGGAGGAGCTGGGCCCTTTCACGGAGCACACAGAATGGCTGCCGAGCCCAGCAGCTGATGCTTGGCGGCGGTTCAAGAGGAGACGGTGGCAGTCATGAGTAAGACTGGCCCGGTGACCCAGTTCCTTTCCAAGTGGCCGGCATCTTAGGCTGACACTGGCCCAGCGGGTCTGCAGGCTGAGACCCCTCGGCCCGTCTCCAGGTCACCTGTGCCTATCGAGGAGCTGCCTGGCTGGGACCAGCTGTGTGGGTGGCGGGGCACTCACGTATTTCCTGCGGGCTTCCTGCAGCGCATCAGACTCTTCCAGCTTCTTGGCCTCATCTCGGAATTTTTTAATACTTTCTTTCATCTCTTTGTTTTTGGCTAATTCTTGCTTGATGTTGTCCAGTAAGCCAGACAGAAAGCCTTTTCTGTTTCCAGAAGAGTAGGATTTGGACTAGAAAGGAGGCGAGGGAAAACAAATCAGGGAGGAGACTCCAGGATGCACAGGGAGCTGCCTGGCTGCTCTGTGGGGGATGGTGGGGGTTCCTACTTCTCGCCTGCTGAGGACATCAGTTCCCGCTCAACAGCTGACAGCTGATTCACTTATTACCGTAACAGAGGACGCACCAAGGAGGCATCCACTGACACTGCACAACCCGCGTTCTTTGGGTTTTTTTTTTCTGGGGTCTCTGCCCTGAGCGCCATCCCAGCCCTTTTAGTCTTTGAGACAGGGCCTCAGTAAGTTGCCCAGGCTGGGCTCAAACTTGTGATTCTTCTGACTCAGCCTTCTGCAGTGCTGAGATCATAGGTATGCGCCACAATACCTGGTTACAGTTAGTGCACAGGATCCAGAGGTTCCACATCCTGGGATTTGACCAAGCACAAGTTGAAAACACAAGGGGAAAAATGTGTACTGTGCAGGAGGCTGAGGCAGGAGGATCGCCAAAAATTTAAGGCTAGCATGGGCTACACAGTAAGACCCTGTCTCGAAAAACAAACCTGGGCCAGGGATAAAGTTCAGCAGCACAGCACCTAACTCACAGGCACAAGATCCTGAGTTTGATTCCCAGTACCAAAAAAACTGGCCCTTCTATGCATACGTATACGTGTGTGTGTAAGTGTGTGGTTGTGTGTACATATATATATATATATTTAGAAGTCTGTAGACTTTTCTCTTGTTACTCCCTAAATAATACTGTGTAACAACTATTCACAAAGCATTCACATTGTATAAGGCAAAATTAAACACTGAAAGGTGACTATTTATTTACTGGTACCAGAAGTCAAACTCACAACCTCAAGCCTCCCAGGCAGGCACTGTGCCACTGAGCCATACCCCTAGCCCTAAAAGGTAATTTAAAATTTATGGGAAAGGGTCTGGGGATATGCTCAACAGCAAAAGTACTTGCCTGTCAAGTGCAAGGTTGTGAGTTCAAAAATAATACTAATACTAAAATTTATGGGAAAATGTGTGTGGGTTCCATGCAAACACTAACTATTGTGTTTTTTTGTTTATTTGTGAGACATGGTCTTGCAATGTATGCCAGGCTGGCCTTGAACTTATGGCAATCCTGCTTCAGCTTCCTGAGTGCTGGGATTACAGGTGCACGCCACCACACCTGGCTAAGTGTGGTGTTTTTTTTATCATTTTCAATGTGTTTGAGCATGAAGAGGAAGTCCTGAAATCAAGAGACACATTACTTCCTGGCAACAGGGTATTATACAGCAAAGAAGAGAAAAGAGCTCTGAAGCCATCGAGGAACTTTAAATGCATATTATTAACTGAAGACATCAATCAAAAAAGGCTACATGTTCATGATTCCCACTATAGAACATTCTGGAAATGGCAAAGCATGAGAGTCAGTGAGAAGGTGAGTGGTTGCCAGGGGTTGGGAAAGGCGGACAAACCGGTGGCACAGGCACTATTAAGGCAGTGAAACTATTCTGCAGCACTCTGCACAGATGAACACCTGCTTCTTCATTTGTGAGAACCTGCAGACGGTCAGCAGCAAGACTCAAGACACCCTGCGTTACCCAGGAGTCTGCTAGGAATGCTGCATCAGCTCTGCTTCATCTGTTCTCACAGCGCTGTCCCTGGGCCTAGACCGGGACAGAAGGGAGATGGCAACTTTCTGTAGGGTTTTTCTGTAAACCTAAAGCTGCTCTAAAAATGCCTGTCATCCCAGCACTTGGGAGGCTGAGGCATGAGAATTGCTGCAAGTTCAGTGCCAGCTGAACTACATAGTGAGACCCTGTCTTAAGAAAAACCAATCAAACAAACAAAAATACAAAGAGTTGAGATTTTGAATCTCAGTACAAAGAAATGATCCATGTCTGAGGTGCCAATGACCCAGATCTATCACTACACATTGTGTATCAGTGCAGAGAAATATCACACCGTACCTCATAAATATGTATAATCAATTATGTGTAGTCAGAATAATGTATACATCCAAGAAAAAACTCAGGGTCAGACCAAACTAAAGGGAAATCCTTATTTCATCACATGTGAGGCTGAGAGCAGTGAACTGAAGAAAAGACATATAAACTGGGTGCAGTGGTTCACACCCGTAATCCCAGCACTTGGGAGGCAGAGACAGGAGGATCACGAGTTCAAGGCCAGCCTGGTCTATGTAGTGAGTTCCAGATCAGCCTGAGCAAACAGTGCAATCCTGTGTTGAAAATTTGTAAAGAAAAAGATAGCACTTAGAGAACAACTAAGAGTCACTCAGAGGCAACGAGTCACTCAGAGGCAACCAGGCATGATTCTTTACCAGTGTCTGGGATAACTGCCTGTCTGGCCATGTCAGGCCACCAAGGACAACAGCACCAGGGTGTCACTCCTCAGGAGGGGTTGCCAGGCCTCCTAACAGAAGGCTGCAGGCCCCTCACAGCCCACCCTGGCTAGCCTTTCTCTAGGAAAGGCCAAGTCCTAAGTCCATCAAGAATTCTGTCCCCTTGCGCCAGTCCTGCCACAAATTGTGGGTGACAGGCCTGGACAACAAAGGGGAAGAACCACAGGGTCTGTTCCATACCTGTGACAGCCCCAGGACATGATGGGGAGGTGATGAGCTGCCTGTGAGGGCACTGGATGAGAGGGCGTGTTTTGCTTCAACCTGCAGCTTCAGGGCCTCCCATGTCTCCCTCTCTGAAGGCTCTGGACTTGGAAAGCCCACTTGAGATGCCGTGGGCAGTGTGACTGACCATTCTGGCCCAGCCTCCCCCGGCAAACCGAGTCCAACTTCTCAGCCCCTCCGGTTTGCTTGCTGGCCTCTGGGTCACTCACCAACAGTAGCTCTTGGCCTGGCCAGGTTGTCTGATAGGGTGAACCATGGGGTAGGCTGTGGCTGGAAAGTAACTGGACTCCACTCCCAAGGCATCTCTAGGTGGAGAGAAGAGAAAAGGATCCATTCAAACAAGAGAGTGAGGAAAGAAAGCAAGACATACAAGCTTACAACTCATTTACTGAGCCTGACTGCATTCCTGCTATGTGCTAGATGATCTGCAGTCTTCTCAGGCTGAGAAGGCAGTGAAACCTGGTGGAAAAAGAAACACCCCACTGCACCTCTGGGGCCTATTCTTGCATCTGAAAAGGGGGCAAGAGGTAGGAGGCAGGAAATGCCCACCTGCTGGGGAAGAAGGCTACAGACACCAGTGCAATGTCATCCCTTCAATGCTGGTGGGGAGCAGTCCTCTGTCACAAGCCTTCAGCCAGGCTCCAAAAGCTACAAATCTGGGCACTCAGAAGCAAAGTGATGACTTACGGTGCCAGGGACAACCTTGGAACAAACCTGCAGTGTTCTTGTCAAGGGTTGGGCTGCACACAGAACAATTCAGTGAAATCTTCCTAGGCTAGGACTCAGTGAGTGTCATGTCAAAAGCTCTTTCTTCTCCCACCAAATCAAGAACTTAAAGCCATAGGCCAATCCTGTTCAACTCCACACCCTGGAGCCCAGTTTCGGACACAATGCATTGAAGTCATATGGCTGAAGGGAATCACTCTTTCATTTCCAGGGCCTTTATCCCCATTATCTGCCACCTAGCTGTGGAAAGCACAAGCAACACCTCAAACTCACACAGGTAGCACTGCCACCTTTCTACTCGAAGATAAGTGTTGGGAGTGTAAACTACACATCAAGAAGAAAGTATCCGTTCTGATTCAAAGACATCTGTCTACCAGCATTCACCTTTCTGTGAGCTACCTTCCTTCCCCTTAAGTTTGGCTCTAGAGTCAGACGTAACTGGGCTTTGGACCAGCTCTTGGGCTTGTGTGCACGCTGCTTAACTTTTGTGGAGTTCCCAGTTTTCCTAACTGATAAAATGGGGTCAAGCACCAGCAATATGCACTACTTTCCGATTGGGTCTCACACACATCCTGACCCCAGCCACCCCGCGGCACCGAGAGCCACAGCTCTCGGCATCCCGTCCTTTCACTCTGAGAGCCAGGGGAGGCGATGCAGTCTACGCCTTCCGTGGAAGGCATGGCATTTAAAGGCGAGCTGTGACTGTCACGGTTGCTCCTGCACGGGACACGACCGGCCCAGCCACCTGGCCTCCCCCGGGCAAGTGCAGTCCGATTAGTAGGCAAGGGATGCCAGGCTCCCCGCCAGGCACCGTGCAACCCTGTCCCCTACCCCCCACCCCGCCCCCGGCCTCGCTAGGAGCTCCTGCTACGCTGACCTAAAGCCCCAGCCCTACGTCGCCCGTGGAGGTCAAGCGAAGGGCCACGAGAGGCAAGGGCCTGAGGTCACCGACGAGGCCTTGAAGGCTGCGCGCCCATAGCCTCCGAAACTCCCCTTGCCAGCCTCGCGCTACGGCTCACCCGCGGACAGCGGCACCAGGCGCCGCGCAATGCCGCCGCCGCCATGTTACAGGACCCTGTGCGACCTTCTCGCGGCGCGGCCTGATGGCGTCATCCGCCTGGGAAAAACTGGCCCGACGGGGCGGGGTTCAGAAGAGGAAGAGGTCTCTGATTGGGCAGGACTTCTCCCAATTCTGTGCTAGAGGCGGGGCCTAGTGGAAACGGGGAATTATAGATGAGCTTAGCTTCTGATAGGACAGAGTTTTGGAAGAGCGGGGCTTTATGATTGGTTATCATCTTAGAGGCCGGCACTGCTCTGAAACTCCGACCCATGGTTGGGCGAGACTACGAAGGGGTTGGGCCTGGCAGGAAGTGGATTCAACCCCGAGGGCGAGAGCCTTAGGACTCGTAGTGCTGCTTGGTGGAAGCGAACTGCAGGCAGGAGGGTCCGCTGAGCTTACGGTCGGGCTCAGTTTTGTTGTGATTTTGCGGTGGATTGAACGCGAGTGATCGACTCTGGCTCTACCCGATAATGACTGGTTGACAGTGACTGATAGGCGAGGGAATCGTTCCACGAGAAAGTATAGAGGAGCCCACAGTTTTGCGGCAACTCCGCTGTCGGTTCCGGCCCTGAACAGGAGGGGAAGCTGAGTCGAGGTTGGCTGTGGGCCCGTCCTCCCGTGCGTCAGGGTAAAGTCACATGCTACCCCCGAAGTGCCCCGGCCTTTTGGTTTTCATTTGGGGGGGGTGGCGCCTCCCAGTGGCGGTTCTGTGATCTGCGGCTGTCGGGCAGAGGAGGGCTAAGGGGCGGGTCCAGGAGGGAAAAGACCGTTGATCAGAAAGTAGTGACTGTGGTTGTATTTGCAGTACCTAAATGATCACATTCCTCGTGGGAAGGTGCAACACGGACATAACACGTCAGGATTCTTTTTACTTCTTCCCCTCCCTCTGAATTAAAAAAAAAATTACTACAGTAAAAGACACATTGCCACCAGACATAGTGATGCACACCTGTAACCTCAGCAGTGGGGAGACTGAGGCAGGAGGGTCACTGCGAGTTCGAGGCCAGCATGGAGTACATTGTGAGACCTGGTCTGAAAAGAAAAAAACAAAAAAGGCACATTGCCACCAATCTCACTCAAAATACTCCCTCTGGTTTCAAAAACACATATTCCGCGGCACCTTTTACAGTTATGTTTATAGTACAATGTTTTTATAACTTGTGGACATTCATCTTGTGATCATCCCATGTGTTCGGCCATTCTCCTGTGTTCTTAACCTCTGATGCGCACCTATGGGACTCTTGCCGCAGGCTGTTGGAGACTGAAGGGGACTCCACCCTGAGGTTGCCTCCCTGGGACAGAGTCAGCCTTGGGGACCAGTAGCCACCATGCATTTGGATTTGGAGAACGAAGAACGTAAACAGCGTCTATGTATGGAAACACGCACTTTCTGTGCATCAAGCAGGGCGTGCTTTTCCCAAGCCGACAGCTATATGTGGTGGAATTTCTCTAGGCTGGGTGCATTTGGTGGGCTTTGCTAACCTCTCTGGGAGGAGCACCTGTAGGTCACCTTCCCAGGATTGAATCCAGGGGTGCTCCTTGACTGGGCAAGCCCTGTACTGAGCCATGTCCCCAGTCCTCGTCTATACTTTTTAGTATAGTTTTATTTAGTTTTGCTTTTTTTGAGACTGGATCTTTTTTATGTAGTTCAAGATGGACTTGAACTCAGTACCCCAAGCTAACCTCGAGTTAGAGTTAATCATCCTGCCTCAGCTTCCCAATGGGCCCCTGCACCCAGCTCAGTAAGTTTACTTTTTTTTTGTACTGGGGATCAAACTCACGACCTTATATTTGCCAGGCAGGTGCTTGTGCTGCTGAGCTAAATCCTAGCTCCCAATAAGTTACTTTTATTTCAAATGAAAAGAGGAAAGAAAAAAAAAAGAGAGAGAAAGAGGCAGCATGGCCTGGAGGAACAAGCATTTTGAGACTTCAGGATTGGTAAGCACTGCCCTCAGGCACTCTACTTCCACAGTGGAGAAAGAGAAGGCTGCCACTCTGGCTCTGAGACATCTTTAAAGGTAGACTGGCAGCTGGGATCACCTGTTACCCCAGCACTCTGGGAGGCTAAAACAGGAAGACCACAAGCTCAACTCCAGCCTAGATGATTTAATTAATTTTATCGAAAGAGAGGAAGAAAGAAAGGAAGGAAAAAGAGAAAGAGAAAGAAATTGCCAGGTGGGGTGGCATACACCTATAATCCTAGCACTCAGGAGACTAGGGCAGGAGGATCACTAGGAGTTCAAGGTCAGCCTGGGCTACATTTACATTCTAAGACTAGCCTAAATTATACAGTGACCCTCAGTACCACCCAAAATTTTTAAAAATAACAGTGTTTGGGTATTTCATGCAGTGCAAAGGCACTAGGTTCAATCCTTAGTATTGGGGGTAAAGACTAGTAGGCTAGTTAAGTAGCTGGGTGTACAGATTTATCGTGCCTGTATACTTTAGCTGTCACAGAAACCACAGGGCAGGAAGGGGTCGGGCTGCCACAGTGTATGCAGTGGGCACAGCTGGAGCAGAGCAGTGTGGAGGAGGGGCAGACTCTCCAGGAGGCCAGACCAGTGACAGATCACTGCAGACTTCAGGTAAGGAAGGGCAGGACAGGGCCCTCTCTGTGATGCAGAAGTTCTTGGGAAAATGGGAAGCCAGACTGCAAAGGGTTGAGAATTTTTTCCACCCGTCAGGCTGCAACCAGCTCATGCAGCCTCCCAAAGAGCTAACTAGCAGTTTTAAGAACTTTGAAGGCAGTTAAACACAGCCAATCTTAACAATTGTGTAGAATTCCTATCCAATGTCTTCTATTAGAACAAAGGTAATAGCCCCAGTTCCTCACGCCTTAACTGTTTCACTATAGCTGTACTTTTTTTTGTTGTCTCAGTAAATGGCCCAGGCCCTGTTCCAGTTCATGATCATCCTGCTTCGTCCAAGCTGGGATTATAGGTGTACACTACCATGCCCTGCTTTACCTGTGTGCATGAGGTTATTTACAGTCAGTGTCACATAATGTCACTTCAGGCATTGACATATTGTATATGTGATAGCCACTGGTCCTATAAGATTTTTTTTCTCCAAGAAAAGGTCATTTTACCTCAATCTCTATTTATTTTTTGTTTTTTTGTTTTGTTTTGTTTTGTTTTTTTGAGACAAGGTCTTGCTATGTAGTTCAGGCTGGGCTTGAATTCACTATGTAACCCAGTTATATAGCAGGCCTAGGACTCATGCCAGTCCTCCTGCCTCAGCCTAGGGATTACAAGGGCATGCACCACCACACCAGTTTATAGGGTATATTCCAACCTAATCGGTGTGGCCACTCGAGAGCTGGGGTAAACTTGGCATGAACACCCTACTACAACCCCAAAATTCCCCAGCAGCGGGGAGGCTGGGGCCAGCCCGGGCCACAGGACCTGCTCTGATGTTCACGGTGATGAGATTGCTAGCGATGCAATCACAGCACATGCTCCACCCTGACACCGTGCTTGACTGTGTGGCCGTGTGGTCTCTGGGTGCCAGGACTACTGCACCGCGCAGGCTGCTTCGTCTCCTCACAGTGCAGCCTCTGGCGATGCCTGGTTGGTGAAACTGTCTGTGGTGGGAATAGCCCCACTGTGGATACGACAAGCACTGCAGGCCTGGGGTTTTTCATGTTTACTCGACGGCTGGGTACTGAGTTTTCCAGCATGGCTGTGGCTTTGAGAATATGGGGACAGTGAACACACATACAGGGGATAAGCCCAGGGCCTGTGTTAGTTTTTATTAGTCCACGTCCGCAGTGTATAATCACAGCCCTTGTGAGGAGCTGGTGCGTGCACGTAATACAGCTTTATTCCGTTATCACCCCTTTCCCTCCTCCATCTCCTGATCCCCTTTCCATCTAGGAGAGATCTATTTCCCATTATCTTTTTATTTATTTATACTTTGGGTTTCCCATATAAGAGGAACCACATATTTAAGCTCGTGCATCTGTTTTACTTACCATGATGGTCTCAAGGTGGATCCATTTTCCTACAGATGACTTCTTAGGGCACAGTGCTACTCCACTGTGTATAAAGGTTGTTTTCTTTATCCATCCATCTGCTGATGGACACACTGGCCACTTTCAGGATTTAGCTGTTATATGTAGTGCCGCTACAAACATGGCTATTCATGGATCACTGTAATAGGATATCTTTTTTTTTTTAGATCAGTTTTCATTATGTACTTCAGACTGGCCCTGAACTCACTTTGCAGCCCAGGCTGACCATGAACTTGCAACGATCCTCCTGCCTCAGCTGCCAGAGCCAGCATAAAGATACCTAGAAGGGAAACAGTTGAATCAAGTGGAATTTCTAGTTTTAGTTCTTTTAGGAATCTCCACACTGACTTAGTAGTGGTTGTACCAGTGTTGACTCCCACAAACAATGCTGAAGGGTTTCTTTTTCCCCTCAGCCTCACCAGCACTTATTTGATTTCCTGATGATAGCCACTCTCCCTGAGGTAAACTGGAATCTCAGTGTTGTTTTAATTAGCATTCTTCTAATGGCCAGTGACGGTGGGCATTTCTTCACGTATTTATTGGCCATTGGTACTTCTGAAAGTGTCTGTTCATTTCACTTGCCCATTTTTTGACTGGATCTTTTATTCTGGTGATCTAATTTTTTTGAGTTAAATATTCTAGGAATGAGTTCTGTCTGTGGAGTGGATGGTAAAGTTTCCCATTTTTTTGTAGGTTGTCTCTTCACTGTTGATTTTTTCCTTTTACTGTGGGAAAGCTTTTTGACATGATCCCATCTGTTGTTTTTTGGTACTATTTCCTATGCAAGCAGGGTTCTGTTCACAAAGCCCTTGCCCATGCCTATGACTTGGAGTTTTATCTGTTCCATCTTTCAGCAGGTCAGGTGTTTGTGTTTTGATTTTTAGTTCTTTGACACATTTTGATGTTAAGTGGTACAGGTGAAATCTATGGCTTTAAGCTCAATCTTTGGCACATGAATAGCCAGGTTCCCACCATCATTACTTTTCTTCAGGCTGGGGAGGGCACTGGGCAAAGAGTACTGGGAACAGAACTCAGGACCTCAGGCTTGCCAGACAGGGCTGCACCACTGAGCTAAAATCCCTACCCCCCACCCCATTTCTTAAAAATGTCAGTCTTTCCTCCAGTGTGTGTTTTTAGCAAAGGTCAGGTAGTTGAATGTGTTTGGGGTTTTTTTCTACATCCTTAATTCTGTTCCACTGATTGTCATGTCTGATTTTGCACCAGTTTTTAGGAAAATGAAGACATAGACCTGGGTGCACATCATTCCAGTGTGTCTGCCCTGCAATTTTTGTTGAAGTCTATTTTCCCCATGGCACTAGGGATTGAACCAGGGGCACTGTGCCATGAAGCTACACCTCCAGCTTTTTAAACAGTTATTTCAAGACACAGCCTTGCTAAGTTACCCAGGCTGACTTTGAGCTTGCAATCCTCCTGTTTCAGCCTCCCAAGTAGCTGGGATTCATATGCCAGTGCAATTGGCTAAACCTTATTTTTAGTAAGTCACTGTTTCAGAGCAGGGCATGGTGGCGCACAGCTGTAGTCCCAGTACTCAGGAGGCTGAGGCAGCAGGATTGCCATGAGTTTGAAGCCTGTCTGGGCTATACACACGGAACTCAAGGCCAGGAAGGACTACATAGTGAAGACCTTTTCTCCAACAGTCACTTGTCATGTGGGAAAGTCTTTTTTCCCCCCGTAGTACTGGGGACTGAACCAGATGCTCTTTGCACTAAGCTATACCCCAAACCTTTAATTTAAAAAGAAAAAATTTGAAACAAGGTCTTGCTAAGTTACCACAGGCACAGGCTGCCATGCCCAGTCCGGCATGAGATTGGACTGTGCCTGGCCCAAGGCGCTTCTCTGGGAGGGTTGCCGTGTGTCTGGGTACCTTAGTGCCCACCCAGTGCCCATGTTGTCGTCCTGGTATCTGGAGATAATCCACCGAGCTTGCTTCGGATGTGGCGACTTTACTCTTATGGAACAGGAGGTCAAGTAAGGTCATCAGAAAACGCAGGCTCAGCTGACCATCTGCCTGCACACCTGAGCCTGCCCTCCTGGGCTTCTCAGCTCCTGGGGTTCCAGCATCCTCAAAGGTAGCTCCAGGCTTCTCAAAGCCTATTCCCAGGCCTGCTACACTGCTGCGGGGCTGACATCTGGCTCATGCTGCAGATTCTACTCAACAGAGAAAATAGCATCCTACATCCCCCCAGACGACTCTGGCAGCACCCACTCTGCACCCACCCCAGCCCCTCTTCACTCTGTGTGCCCTTCTGCGAAGGGACCTGTGCCATCTTCTGCGCAGGGACTCCTTGGGCTGCAACTCCTCTCCAGACCCTGGGAGCCCTTCTCTCCTGCACCTGCTCTTCAGGGCCTGCACCAATAGCATTCTGCTTGAGAAGACTCCGCTGGGCAGAGTGCAGTCCTGGGGGTGACCCCTGAACAGACTGCAGGGCATTCCCCAGCAGTGCCACGACAGTGCCGGAGCATCCTCAGAGAGGAAGTGGCTGGGAGGCTGGTGGGGTGTGTGTGTGGACAGCAGGTGGCGTCCTGGGTGGAGGCCCTGACCCTGAGACACATGCACACCTAGCCCTTGGCAGTCCTGCCTCCAGCTGAGCTGGGGACTCAGACTCCCCCCACCCCCCAGAAGAATTCAGTCGTGGAAGTCACTGGAGCATGCCACAGCAGGCTCCAACCAGGCATAGGGACGGGGGACAAGAGGCCAGGCTGTGGGGACAGCTGGTGTGGCATAACCAAGGACGGGGACCCTGAAGACACAACCAAGGGCCTCTGTGTCTCTGCTTGCAAACTCATGCAGGGTGGGAGACCACCTGGGTAGGTGCAGGCAACCACAGGAAGCAGGGCGTGGGGTGCGGGGCGCACCCAGCATCTTTGGGCTCCACCCCTGCCTACAGCATCAAGGCTGTGGGCTGCTCATGAGTCACACACGATCACCCCTACACCATCACATCTCAATGATCCCACTTCATTTATTACCAAAAATATCACAGAATTCCAGTCATCGGTAACATACAGGGTTGGACACAAACCTGACACCTGCGGAAGGAACTGAGTGTTCGACAATCGAGTCTTTGCCATCGTGAGTAACGCCCCACACCGTATCACTCCATGCTTCAAAAATACGCCTTGAGAGCTTTGGAATCTGAATTAAAATGTCTACACAGCTATGAACAATTGTTTAATAAAACTTTTTCATGTTTCCATTACATGTAAATATATCAATTTGGCATCTCTATAAAAACTCTGAAAATGGTGCAAAAGTTTCATTCTCTTTGAGAAAGCCATTGACAAAAAATATTCACACTTCACTAAAATTTTGAAAAATGGTCTTCTTTCAAAGCTTCTTTATTAATCTGAAATCTTCTGGATTATCAAAATCTAGGTTTGCTTTTTCCTCCTACAACACTACAGAACATTTATTCACAAGAGTTTAAAGGAAAAAAAAAAGGCAATGGAGAGATGGAAAACTCAGGGTCTTTTTTTCCCTTTCTTTTTCTGAAAATAATTAAAAAAAAAAGAAAAAGAAAAAGCTAGTTAACATAAGCATCCTCGAAAGAACACAAGGGGATTCATTTTATTGTTGACTTTTGGACAGCAGTGTCAGACTTTATTGAAAACAAATCGATGTAAAAACAAAGTTAAAATGAAAAATGGTACCTGAAAATAAATTATTTCATATAAAACAAATCAGTAACTTAAAACGCTCTAATATACAAAAACGTCTAACCATCTACTGTACAAAGTGGGAATCAGCTGGCCGCGCCCACCCTTCCCCCAAGCAAGCCCCTGTCCATGGACCATCACGGGGGAGAAGTTACCCCAAGCATCGGTGGGCAAGCCTTCGCTCTGGGGGGGACACAGTCCTCACCAAGCCCTGCCAGCCTAACTTAGGCCCTTGCATTCAGTGACTTACGAGGTTTTTTTTTTTGTTTGTTTTTAATGACCAACAACACAACAAAAAAACCACATCACTGAAAGGCTGTAGGGATGTAATACAATTGTTAGAGGTCAGGGGGCAAATGCCCGTGTGGGCGAGACTTGAGTTCCACGGCTCGGGTGAGAACGTGCCAATCACTGATGCCACTGGACGGAAAGCACTGCAACCTCAGAGCTGTCTCAGGGAGGAAGGTGGGGTCTCTCCTAAGAAGCTGCCTCAGGTCCCAGGGGGTGAGGCGGGTCCTGGGAGGACAGGAAGGGACAAGGGACCCGAATGCTCCAGGGGAGGGAGGCCTCGCCAGTGTATTCCACCTGGGCATTCGAAGCAGGCAGCTGGCAGCCCAAAGCACATGGGGATGAAGCCAGGCCATCTGATGGGAAATGAACAGTGGCGAGATGTCCACTTCCACCTTCAAGGCCAGTGCTGGACTGGGGCATCTCAACAGTTTAGAGACTAACAGATGGCTGTCTGGGGGCAGTTCCGTAGTCCCCAGAGCAGCCCGGTTCAGTCCCTGAACTAACGCTAAAGGCAGACTCTCAAGGTTAAGACGGCTGTGCTCGGTGGGACTCACCTGCCTCGGGAGGAAGCCAAGCTCTCACTGGGGAGGGGGTGGCCATGGAGCAGACAGCAGACCCGGTACGGGGACCGGAGGTACAGCTAGCGCAGGGGCCACCCGAGGAGAAGCGGACAGTTCAGCGGGAGTCTGTTGCACCGGCTCAGAGCTGTTGAGGCTGTGGTCAGTATCCAAAGAGGTGAGTTCCCCTGTGGCCTCCTGGGATTCACTGAGCCAGATGCTGGGTACTCTAACATTAATCACCTGCTCTTCATTCTCTCTCATCAAAATCCCCCAAACAAGGAGAAGGGCCCATTGTGCTTGATAGAAACACAACGGGCCTCTGTAGTTCTGAATGATTTCTTTTGGGTCGTGACATTTTTTTTTCTCTTCTCTGCAGTGCCAGGGATGAAGCCCAGGGCTTCGAGTACGCTGGCAACTACTCTGATGCCAAGCCACCCCCAGCCTTCAGGGTGTCACTTTTAAAAAGGGGGCTCTGCTCTTTGTAAAGGGGTCCAGAGAAGATATAAGAAAGTCACTGCCCCAGGCCAGCACCTATTGCCTCGATGGCAAATGGCTTGTCAGGAGTGCTGTTTCCAAAGTGAAACCTTTGCACCCTGGCTTAGCTCGCTTCCCCAAGGAACACCCTGGGCCCTTGGCAAGAGACTGCTCACAGCAGAGCCCGCCTGACATGAGGCCTTCGCTCAGCTGAGAAGCTTTGGGGGTCCACTGACCACCCAGGATCAGACTGGGCCTTGGCGGTGGGGGCTGGGCAGGGCAGCAGCCGAGGTGCCAGCTGTGAGCCCTCGGAACCCTCCACAGGCCACGCCTGAGACAGGAACCTCTGCAAGGGCAGGACACTGGCTGAATGTGAGGAGTTAGGGGAGCGGGCAGAGGGCTCGGACCGGCATTCACATTTCTGCACAAGATGCCAGCTCAAGGAACTCGAAAGGCCCATTTCCCAGGAAAGCACTCTGTTCCCGGGGAGAAGGTGCACTCTGGGGAGACAGAGCAGGAGTCCCTGTGTACTGAATGCGGCCAGGAGAGCTGGGGTTTCTGGGAAAAGAGGAAGTGGTCCCCCACGGCCTGTGGTCCACTCTGAGGAGATCATCTCAGGGCACACAGCAGCCTCTGTGATACATGAGGACAATGTAAACGGCCCCTGTGAGGGGTAAAGGAAAAGGGGCAAGTGACAGCCTCACGCTGCCCAAAGGCTTCTAGAGACGTGGACCTGCTCTGGAGATGGTTGTGGCTGTTACTCAGTTTTACACTTCAATAAATAGCTAAATAAATAAATAAATAGATAGTTAGATAAATAATGCTGTCATCCTATGACATTAGGAACTAAAACACAATCTGTTACACATTTGACATCTCATGTCAAGGTTCAAAGCTGCCAGAACTGAGCTATGCTCTTCTGGCTACCTCTCAGACCCACATCCCATCTTGCCTGCCCCCTTCCTACTGGATTCCTGCATAAGAACCACCTTTCTGTGGTTCCCCATTCCTAGGCTGTGGTCTCCAAATGCTTTTCCTTCAAAGCAAGTGCTTGTCTCTTTAGATTTTATGACCCCTCCCTGAATGCTGGGCTGCCTGTGACTTCCCTAGCCAAAAAGAAAGAAAAGGTAAAACAAAAAACAAAACAAAACTCGAGCAAAACAAAATCAAATTTAATGGTCTTAATTGCAAAAGTAAAAACAAACAAAAAACACAAAAAAGCAAAAGAAAATTAACAGAACAGAACAACCCAAAATGTCAAGGCAGTTATGAAGAAAACTTTTGAGGGTTAATCTTTAAAAACTACAAATCAAAGATTTTTGTTAATAGATAACTGGCAAGAAGTAAGTACTTTTCTGCTGAGTGTCCATACGAAAGCAAATTTCCAAAACAAAATCCAACTAAGAAGAAGGTCTAGCGCTCACAAGGAGGGATGCGAGAAATACAATGCTCAAATGTTTATGTGTTATTAAAAAATAGAGCTATCTTATGCATTCAAGCTATGTTAAATGCTCTTGGAAACTGGAGAAATCATTGTGAACAACAGGATCCGATGTGTGGGGCACCATGCATGCAAAGTGTGGACAGAAACTGGGGGTGGCGGAGCGGCGACACACCTTCAGGAGTGCCCAGCGCTCGGGGCTGACTGGAATACACTGGAGTTTCCCTGAAACTCTTTGGTCCGTTCCCATGGGTGCCCGGCCCAGGCCAGTGTGCGGCCCCCTCCCTGGTGGTGGCCCATGCCGGACGGGGCCACTGCCACTCCCAGGACCACTTGGCAGAGCCTGGGACCGAGTGAACAGGAGGTGGCAGTGGGACCCGCTCAGAAAAGCAACTTCCTATCAACCAAAGCACACATCGCTTAAGATGTTGAAGCAATTGAGAAAACGCACACTCTGCATCTGTCTAACATCTTTAGGTTAAAAAACGAAAACTGAAAGATCACTTGAGTTATCCAGTTTGTGGAGACACTGAATGAACGAGTGTTAGACAGTCTTAGAAGTACAGCATGCTTCAGTTTCACCACCATCCAGAGGGACTGGTTAGTCAACGCAGTCTACTTAGGTTTCTGTTTAATATATATTTTAAAGGAAATAACTTAAGAAACTTAAAATTGGTCTAACATTGTGGGATTTCAAACATTTGAACATGTCGGTTGCATCCCAGAGTATAAAAACCTTTTCACTTCTCATTTAGACTAAGACAAACACTTGTGAAAATTGGCGCAAAATGAGTTGTACACTAACAAAAAAGTTTCAACTTCTTCACTCTTAATTATCTATTCCGTACAAAAAAAGCATGAGCGAGTTATTTGTGGGACTTGTTGGTTTTGAAGGAAACCTGTAAGATTTTGTCCCCCAGGCGGTAGCCATTCAGACTTGCTATGGCCATTGCAGCTTCTTCATAGTTTGTCATGGTCACAAAACCAAACCCTTTGCACTTGTTGGTGTTGAAATCTCGAATCACTTTCACATTGGTGACGGCGCCAAAGGGGCCAAACATCTGCCAGAGGATCCCCTCATCGGCGTCTTGCCCAAGGTTGTAGATGAAGATGCACCAGCCTGAAGACGCGTTTCCTGGGACATTGACACCAGAAAGCCCACTCATGTGATCTACACCCATGGGGGAGAACCTAGCAAACAGAGAGCACAGTGTTCAGGTCAAGGTCACGCGGGTGGGCAGTGACACTGGGTGGGGAAGAGGCAAGACCCGCGCACACTGGCCCCTTCCCGTCCTGCAGCTCATCTCCTGGGACAGAAGAGCTGGGCCCCAGTGAGGGCACAGCGGACTTAGGAAGGGTGTTTGATGGGACAGCGAGAATAGGACTCCCACTGGAGGCAGGACTCCTGTGGTACCCGCCACTCTTCCTCCTGCATGTGCCACCTGGTTAGCAGCTCAGAACCACCTCACAATTTAGGAGACAGTGGCTTCTTCGAGCCCCCTTACCAGAGTACAGAAACACCTTCTATCCTGTGCATACACACGTGGAGGGGGCAGTGGGTGCTCTCTACCCAAACGTGGCACCTTTCCCTCACCGCAACCTCTGCACGGTCAGGGCGCTGCAAGGCAGAGGAGAATCCTCCACAGCTCCAGGCCAGCTGAGTCAGCCTGTAAGGACCCAGGCCCAAAAGCTACAGGTGCGAGCTCCAGGCACGGGGACAGGATGAGGAGGGACACTGGCAGCTGCAGGAGCCTAGCTAGGCCAACACGCAGAGTCCTGTCTATGCCACACTTTCACACGCATCAGAGATGATCCTGGCCACGTGTGGATGCTGCAGTTAAGGACCATGGCAGAGACAAGGCCTAGTGGAGCTGTGCTGCCTTCTAGACACCCACAATTTAAAAAGCAACAGATTTAGGGCCACTTAAGAATACCTAAAGAGGGACAGGGATACAACTCAGTGGCACAGTGCTTGCCTGGCAAGCACAAGGCTGTGAGTTCTAATCTTGGTACAAAAAAAGAGAAGAGAAGAGACTATAATAAAGAGTATCTTAGGAGCTGGGCATGATGGTGCACACCTGTGATCCCAGCATCCAGGAGGCTGAGGCAGGAGGATTGCTCCAAGTTCAAGGCCAGCCCAGGCTACAAAGTAAGTTCAAGGCCAGCCTAAACTACAGGGAAACCTTGTTTCAAAAACACCAAAAAACAAAATAAAAAACATTGTGAGTTTAGGGCAGCCTGAACTATATAGCAAGACCCTGTCTCAAAAAACGAAACAGGGGCTGGGAATTTAGCTCAGCAGCATGCGTGCTTGCCTTGCAAGTATGCAGTCCTGAATTCGATCCCCAGTACCGATAAAAAAAAAAAAAAAAAGAAAAACAAAAAACCAAAAACCTCAAAAATCAGTTTAAGTAGCCCCCACCAGGATATGAGCTGGTGAAACAACTCAGTGGCCTGTGGGTGACACTGAGGCCATTGGGCTGCATGTGTAGCTGGGATCTGAGGGACGCTGACCTGAGGTAACTTTCAGAGAAATGGAAGAACATTGCCTCTGGGGAGTCCAGCCCTCCACCACCCGCCTCCACCCCCAGCTACTGCATGAGGCCTGCGCTACTTGCAGGGTCCACCTCGGGTGGAGGACATTAAAGAAAACTGAACATGCACCGGTTTTTTCCTTGTCACCACTCCTTAGGCGATGCAGCAGAGCAACTGCTTCTGTAGCACATGCTCTATGTTAGAGGCTGTGTGTGGGCTCCATGCGGAGGGACTCAGACACCCAATCCAGTGCTTTTTGGCTTTGTGGTTTTTGAGACAGTCTCACTGTGGAGTACAGACTGACCTTGAGCTTGCAGGGATCCTCAGTACCACAAAACGGAAAGGGAAAACACCCCAGCTCTGGCTGAAGATTGGCTCTCCCCTGAGCACCCCTGGGCATCACCTTCTCTCCCACAGGACAGAGAGGTCCTTCACACTTACGGCGCCCACCCTCCCAGGAGCCCGGGGCCTGCTGCCATCTGCAGTGCCAGTTAAAGTCACCTTCCCTGCAGTCACGAGGTCAACCCTTAGCAAACTAAAAGGGCTGTGGAAACTCTGCACTTATACAGAACGCACAGACTCCATGCCCGTCCCCTAGATGCCATAGTGCAGTGACAACGCACACAGCACTCGTGCTGCAGAGCCTGAGGTAGAGTGTACCGGGCCGTGTGGAAACGTCACGCCATTCTGAAGGGGCCTGGCACAGCCTCCGCACTGACACTGTCTGTTGGGGCCAGCAGAGCACCCTGGTGCTCTCCGCCAGTGACACCTGAGGACAATGGGCGGCTTGGGGTGGACTTACCTGAACCTCTGCGCCTGGTGGTGCACGGGGCCCCCGAAGCGCCGTGCAGGAGAGTGGTATAGCTGTGACAGGAGCGCCACGTTTTTGTTCTGGTTGGGGTTGGCCGCAAACTTCACTGTGATGGGCTCAGAGGAACCTGGGGGTTTATGACCATTGAAACTGGTAATTGCCTCTTCTGCTTCCGACCGTTTGTCAAACCGGATAAACGCAACCCCTCTGGACAAACCTTTTCGACAAACCAACAAAAACGGTGTTAGCGGGAAACATGCCGAGGACTCGTGAAGCTGAAAAACAAAGTTGGGTCAGTCTGTTGTGGCTCAAAGTGGATGGCTGCTCATTGAAGTAAACAAAAGTTAAGCCTAAGGGAAAATGAAAAGTAAATGAACCAACGAAAGCATACAGACAGTGACTGATAAAGACTAAGGCTGCACTCTGGAAACAAGTGCTCCGATCTCAGTGCTGAAAGTGATTTTGGTGGCAAACATTCCAAAGTGCCCAGGCCTATCTTCTAACAGCAGTCAGGATCAGGAGAGGTCCCATCCACCACTCCTGCTCAGCGCCCAGGCCACAAGCAGGACCCAGATCTGCTGGGGGGCTGGGTCCCCAGTCAGACCTCAAGCCCCTCTCTGGGCTCTGTTCCTACTGCTGCCCGAGGAACCACAGAGATCGAGGAGCCATGGGGTGGGCTGCGTATGCCTGGCACTCCACTGCAGCTCCCCAACCTGCACTGGGACACAAATGCCACTCGGAGCTCTGCCCACACAGCCCTGCCCAGGAGTGTGTGAAGTCCTCAGCCAGCCCTCCCTCCAGCTCTTCCCACCCTCATGATTTCCCTGGACACTCACTGCCCTTAGACACAGGGGGTCGCCAGCCTTGAGGCCAAAAGCTGCCCAGGCAGGAGTCAGAGTGGGACTGCCACAGGCTCAGCATGCAGGTTGGGAGTCCTTGCAGGGCACCTGTTCCTGCCACTAGACTAAGTAAAGGGTACTCCAGAGACCCCAAGGCAACCGAGCGAGCTGGGAGCAGGGATCATGGGGAAGGGTTCAGTGCCCTTGACGAATGGGGTGAGAGAGCTGGAGGGACAAGGGCCAATGAACTGGCACCATCTGCTATGAATGAGGATATTGGGCTGAAGGTCAAGAAGACAGACACCCGGCTGGGGACTTAGCTCAGCAGCATAAGCACCTGCCTAGCAAGTGCTAGGTTGTAAGTTTGACCCCCGGTACAAAAAAAAAAGAGAGGTATCGGGCAGGGGGCCTGAGTGATGCCTCTGGGTCACGGTTCTACCTGAGACCCGGAGAGAGGCTGCCCTGTCTCAGCCTCAGCACCCTCATTCTTACCACTACTAAGACTAAGTTGGAGTCTCCTATCTTGCAACACAAGGTGACTAAAAGAGCAGAGCAGGACCACGCAGGACCTTGGGTGACCTGCCAAGGGTGCCATCAACTGTCGCCGAGGCCACTTCCCCACTGCTTTCCAACTGTCCATACCTGTGACACTGTGGCCCTATGTGAACACAGACATCAGGCCAAGGGCTCTCTCTACAGTGACAGCAACGAACCATGGATCCTACACCCTGTCCCCAGCACAGAGGTCCCCAAAGCTGCACTGCTGGGACCGTGGCAGGTGAAACACGGACTAAGCTGTCACCTGACCAGAGGTGCCCATGTGTTAGCAAGGTCAAGCCAGAGGCCATGAGCCTGGGGACCAGGTCCAGTGTGCAGCCTGAGCACACTGTCAACCTTCAGGGCAGGACTCCGCCCTGAAGCACGATTTGGCAGGGGCTGTTTGTATGTATTCTTACACCAGCTTTGTCAGGCCTGGAAACCTACACACAGCTAGGTCCAGGCAAGCAGCAAGGTGCGCATCAGTGCCCTCGTGGCAGCTTCCCAGCAGAAACTGTGCAAGTGAAACAACACCCAGAGAGAAGAGGAGAATGTTATTTCACTTAAGGCCACACAGAGTCATCAGCCTGGTGAGGGCATACCATGGGAGGATGGCTCAGCACTGTTTTTAGGAGCAGGAGAGCCCAAAAAGTGGCACAGTCCCCATGGTGAACTGATAAAGTTCACAATTATGGTAAAGAAGCAAAAACACAGACGTTGCCCAGCAGCCCATCACCCTCAGCTCAGGAGTAGATTCCTGAGCTTCTTTACCCTGGAAGGACAAACTCCATGGAACCCACCTGCTGGCCCTTCTCTTCTCACACGGCCCAGCAGCAACAGCCTGGGAGTGCTCCCCCTGCAGCCCAGGGTGGGGATGAAGGAGTGAGGCAGGCTGTGAGAGGGCCTGCTGGGATACCCTCTTTGCTGGGCAGAGTTGTGGGACTGGCAGCGAAGGCTGAGGGAGAGCACAAGGGTCCGTCATAGCACCTGAGGTGCCTGGCTGATGGAGGACGCACTCCCAAGTGCTCCTAGGAGCTGGGCCACTGCTGTGGCAAAATCCCAGCAAACAGAGAAGGGGAGCTTTCTGCAGAAGTGACCAGTCTTGGCACGGTGAGGATGCACGTGCCCTAAAAGCTAAGAGGAGCTCCAGGGAAGCCCAGGGGTAGAGTGTATCCTTCAAGGAGGGGGCTCCACTTGGGCACAACTGACTCCCCTCTCCCCCTCCGCCGGAGTATTGGTTGCAGCTGGCATAAAGGTAGGGCGAGGCAGTCCATGTGGAGTCTAGAAAAAGAGGGTCAGGAGCTGAACACGTGCCAAGGGGTCACCATACTCAGATGCCCACATATGGACATGGTATGAAGGTATTCCTATGCTGGCCAGCTGGCTATGCCCCCTGAACTGGCCCTTGAGGCTCAGTAAGGGGGCTCAGGGGCCATAGACTCGGGGCTTCCATCTACCCCAGAGCAAGGGCAGACTGAAGGACTTGTATGAGGGATCCCATGTTGTGCTAGCACAGGGCATCTGCACCTGGCTGCAGGCCACACCCAAAGCCCTGTGCCCTGCCAGTGCCCTGTGCCCAGGGGCTGTGCTCCAGAAGCCCAATAAGCCTCAGCTCACTTTGGTGGCCCCTGGTTGTTCCAGGTGGAGCAGTCAGTCAAAAGGGAGAGATGGCAGCTGTCAGGGTCCCCTGCCCCACAGCACAAAGCTCCCTGTGCACAGCCCAAGCCCTGCCTGACCTGGCTGGAGGCTCTACTCTCCCACACCATGGACGGGGCAAGCTCACACACAGGTGCCCATGCTGTTTCCCAAGGCAGCTGCTGTCTGACAACAAGGAGGTGGCTCAGCTGGGCCTTCCTGTGCTCTGAACATCATGGCCCAGGGTGTTCAGTAGCATGAAGATCTACTGCAGATGCATGGCGTGCCTTGCCAAGCCTGAGAAGGGAGGGCTTCCATTACAGTTTATCAGAGAATCCCCACTCTTCTGGCAAGCGCAGAGGCCTCTAAAGCAGGGGTGCCCTGACCCCTGTGCCTCAGACAAGGATGCACTTGGAACCTGACAGGATAGGTCCTAGGAAGTCAGGCGAGGACACAAAATGCATGTAAGCCCGACTCAGTCACACTCCAGGCCCTGCATGGAGAGGGCAGGAGGGGAGATGGCCCAGGCCTCTGAGAGCTGAGCTTCAAGGGTGCACAGTCACGGGGCCCCAGGAAGGGTCTCCACTGCAACACCCACCATGTCATCTCAGAGCACTGATGTGGGAATCAGGACTGTAACAGACACACATGCACACACACACACACACCACCTACCTGCAATGAGAATGGGAGGAGGCGGCTGGGCAGCAGCCCCAACCCTGTCCACAGGGTAGCCCAACACTGGCTGCCACCAAGGAGGTGCCAGGATTTCTGGGAATTTTCACCATAAATTAGTAGCCTAATCCCGGGACTCCTTTGAATGCCCTCAGCCTCATCAGTGAAAGTCAGGATCTTCTCACCTTGATTCTGCCTGTCCTGAGAGTAACTAAAGCCACTAAAAACCCAACAGTAAGCTGTCTCCTGGCCTGGAGGGAAGCCTAGGCCTGTCCCAGGCCTCCTGCTGTACCTGTGGTCTGATCCACAAGGACCCGGGAATTGATGATTCGCCCGAACCGAGAGAACATGTCCTCCACATCCTTCTGGGTCATGGTCCTTGGGAGCCCGCTGATGTACAAGTTGGCGTCTTTGATGACCTCTGAGCTTGGGCGTGCATACGACACCTTGAAAACAAAACCACTTCCTAGGATTAGGACAGGTTCGTGGCCAAATTACCAAGGGAGCGCCCAACAGTCTAGGGTTGAGGACTGCTGGTGCTACCCTAACAACTGAGCACAGGACCATCTCTCACTGCTGAGCCCTGCCACCTGCAAGGGACGTGCCAGCAGCTTCTGCGGGACAGGCAATGGCAGACAGCATGTCCTGCTGCCTGCCTGGTCTCTGCCACAGGGCAGAGAACTGTTCCTACTCCCAGGTGGGGAGACTGGACCCAAGATAAGTCTGACAAAGGCAGGAGGCAGGGCTGGGCCCAGGTCCATTCACTCTTCTCTCACTGTGGACTGACTGATCCTCTGACGGCCAGCACTGGCCCAGAGCTGGGGATAGGCCCTGGTCTGTGCCTGCCAGAGCTGGTGGTATGGCAGGCACAGCTTGGAGTCCCTCTGAGAGAATGCAATGCCCCTGCACAGAAGTGAGCTCCACAAAGCTCACCCAATACCCTGTGAGTTTCAAGGGAACCCTGTGTCCATCATACAAGCATTGAGTATTGTTTGCTTTTGAGATAGGGGCTCAGTATGTATCCCAGGTTGGCCTTGAACTCCCAGGTGATCCTCCTGCCCTGGCCTCAAGTGTTCACTATTAAGAGTCTAACTGGAGAGCAGAGGTGGAGGCAGAAGTGATGGCAAGAAAAGGCGTGCAGCACACTCACAGGTTGAGGTTCATGGCTGTGGGGGACTCAGCCAGGAGGAGCAGCAGCTCACGGGCACCTCTCTGGGCCTCGCAGGACCATCCTGGGTCACCAGGCAGAGGGGTTGGGGAGTGAGTGTTGGAAGGGTGGGGCTCAGGCCTATGCAGGGAGCCTGCCTTTCTGCAGTGCTGGCTGGCAAAAAGGCTGTGAGGAGGTCAGGCCCTGTGAGAGGCTGGAGGTCACTGAGGAAGCAGAGCCACGCACACAGGTCTCTCCTTGACTCTTTCCTGTCTGCTGGAAGTGCCTCAAGGCAGCCGGTCCAGGAACCGGGCAGGACTGTCTCAACTGGCCCACGGTGTCCCCAGTGTGGTCCCCAGGGAGGCCAGAGGGCCAGGGTGGTCGGCCAGGCCCACGGACCACCCCACTCACATTCCTATCCAGGGGCTTCACTGAAGCCTTGGATGGGGAGCCCATTTTGGGAGGACATCTAGGTAAGGCCCCGCCCCAGGACCACCCCACCCTGGGGCCCAGCCAGCCTGTGCTGCCCCAGGATCAAGCCTGGCTTTCGACAAGGACGCAGGGCCATTCCCAGGCCAGGCCAGTGGGCAGGCAGGGCTAAGGCCTCAATGACTACCCTTAGGGTACAGATGCAGGAGGCCCTGCCCCTGAGGAAACTGACACAGAACAGGATTTTTGAGGACCTTTTCTACAGCTACCACCAAGCTTGGGGTCAAACAGGATCACAGGACGGCCCCAGCAGGAGTGCACCAACCCTCAGGGTGAGGTTGGGGTGCTATTCTCTGGCACCCTGGCCCACCACCTGCTCTCCTAAGCTCCGGCTGACATCTGTTCTCCAGCCTCAATCAAGTCACTTCCAGTCTCATTCCTGGGAAGCCTAGGGATACTGGGTGTCCCCATCCCCCAACTCAATTCACCCCCAGGGGGCTCGGAAATGGGGCCTGCATGGGCCTTGCAGGGTACTTAGTGAAGATGGTGCCATGTGGAGGAGGAGGGTAGACCCCAAACCACTGCCAGGAGAAATGTGGACAAGGGCACTCACTGGGAGAATGCTACATAACAATGAAATTATGTGTGTCCTCTGTGTGCATCCATGTTCTACAAGCCCAGAAATGACAGGAATGCCAGCAACTGCTAGAGGGATAGATCCTTCCCCAGTGCTTCTGGAAGAGACCAGCCCTGCAGGCAGCCTGACTGGGAACCTGTGGGCAACTCCCTGCGACAACTATGAGAGGGTGCTACTTTCTGTGGTTTGAGCTGCCTGGTCTGGAGCAGCACATGGCTGTTTCAAAGGCCCACACACTTCCCTGTCTTGCAGTCTCCACTACTGCCGCCTGCCCCTGCTCAGGGCCCCTGCCCAGCTACCAGCTGGGGCACCATGGTGTTTCCTTAACTGACTCATTGGACTGGACACGGGGTGACTCCACTGTCCTCAGCACCAGGAGTGCGGGTATGCACAGCTGCCTATGGGTAGCAGCCAGCACTGGGGCTCAGAAGGCCGCACTACCCTGTCACACCGTGCTGGCTCCCCAGGGAAGCTGTGACCTTGGCAGTAGTGCCTGAGGCCATGGCACAGTCCATCCCACCTCCCACCGTGACCCTGGGAAGGGCCAGCTTGCTCTTGCTCTCAGGAAACTGGTATCTCTGGCTCTGAACAGGGACTTTTCAGGCCTGTGTCGAGGACACAGACGTGGCCCAACAGGGCCCGGCTACCAGAAGCCTGCCCAAGGGTGAGCTCCATGAGTCACACAGGCCTGAGATCCTCTACCTCACTCAGGGCAGCAGTCTCCTGCCATTTCAGGGGAAAAGGCAAACTCATGAGGGGGAGCAGGCCAACTGGGCTGGCTTTGCAGGACGGGCCCCAAGCCCTAGGCAGGCCCTGCTCATGGGGAGGACACCTGCAGCTTCCGGCCCACGCTGGGCCCCCAGGTCTCCTGCACTGCAGTTCCCTTGCTTTGTGCCCCTCTTCGAGTGGCACCCAAGTCTCTGTGGGTCCTTGGTTAACTCCTCTTCCTCCAGATCAACCCTAGTTTTCTTGAGGAACCCTGCCTGGCACTGCTGGAACTCATGCAGGACCCTTAGGGTGATCTGGATCGGACAGCAGTGCCCTGGAAAGCCTGCAGTGGCAACAGAAGGTGGGCACCTGGCAGGGGGTCTGGCGCCAGCCATACCCATACAGTAAGAATCTGCCTGCCAGCCTGGAGTAGCCTAACAAGAGCCCCCTCCCCCACAATCAAACCAAACCAAACCAAACCAAACCAAAAACCAGAAGAACAAGAGTAGCACAAAAAGGTTTGGCCTGTGTGCAGGGGTTCCTGGTGAGCGGTTCTGAAGCCTTCGGGATTTCCCTGCCATTCAGGAACCATGGGTGGCACCTGGATCTGTGTTAAGAAATACTCAGGATGGGGCTGGCCTCCACGAAGACCGAGTCATAGTCAGAGGGCTAGGGCTTCAAGCCAGTCACACCTCTAGAAAGACCCCCAAGAGGGGCTGGGGGTTTAGCTCAGCAGCATAAGCACCTGCCTCGCAAGCAGGTGGTCGTGAGTTCGATCCCTGGTACTGATAAAAATGAAAAAGAAAAAAAAGAAAAAAAAAAAAAAAGAAAGACCCCCAAGAGAGCTCAACACGGAGCTCAGCGGCACTGCCCTGGTGGGGATCGGCCTGCCCCATGGCTGGGACACAGAGCTCTGTGTGTCTGGGACCCTGCTGGACTTCGTGCTGTGCACCTCTTCACTTATGTGTCCCCATCTGCATCCTTTGTAATCAAACTGTCATTGGAGCTGTCAGCTCTGCATGCGAATACTCGAACATGAGTGGGCTTCTCAGAAGCGCAGGAGACCCAGGGAAGCCAGGGTGCACCTGGCATCAACCTCAGGGCAGCCTTTTGGGGACCATGCCCTTGAATGTGTGGGTGGCTGGCAGACCAGAACTGGAGCAGATTGGCTGCTGTAGACAGACACAGAGTGAATCTGTGGGGTGGCTGCCTTATCACAAACTGTGTGGCTCAGCCACCCCTGTGTGGGAGCCTTTCAAGGGCAAGGCAGGCAACCGAAGTCTCTGGATGTCCAAGCACCCAGCTCGGGACTGGCTGGGGGCTCAGGTAAGGTAAGGTGTGTTCTCAGGAGGGTGCATGGAGGGAAGACAAAGCACCCCACAGGGTAATGGGGGAACTGCTGAAGAAGCCAGAGCTTTGCAGCATCAGTGACAGGAAGGAAAATGTGGACTGAAGGCCCCTGTGGTCCCGGGGGACTGATGTGTTTCTGCAGCACTAGGAGAGTGGTGGGAAGCCACTCAGAGCCAGATTGCTGTGCAAAGGCAAGGTTGCCACCTGCGCTTGGCCATGGTGATGGGAAGAGGCAGTGCCAGCTTAGGCCTGTGCCCCTGGAGTCTTGAGAGCACCTGGCTTCAGCCCCAGAAAGGGCCATTTCCTGCCAGTGTCCAGGAAAAAGAGGTAATGGCACCGCATTCACACGGGCCGTGTTGGCACCTGAATGAGCAGAACTGTCTATTAACAAAGGTGATCTGCTCTCACCTCTGCCTGGCTGCCTCAGAAACGGGGAAAAGCAGGAGACCATTGCCCACATGCAGAAGATGATTCCTAAGAGGTGAAGACCCCTAGGCTGAGGACAGACAACTTGGGGCTCCTGCAGAACACAAGGCTGCCCTTGCCAGCCTCCATAATGAAGCCTGGGTGGACAAAGGGACGCAGGAGTCACACTCCTGTCCTGGGGATCCACGGCATACCCATAGGGAGCAGTTTAAGGGCAGGCACAGGAGGCTACCTTCCCAGGTTGAGCACACTGCCAGGGGCTAAGTAAAGGTAACAGGATACCCCAGAGTGACTGACACTGACAGAACTCCCAGCACACCTGGTTCCAGAGCACAAGGAGTGGCTCAGACATGGGATGATGGGCTATGTCCATGATCCTAGCAATTCTGGGGCACTGAGGCAGAAGGTTCAAAGGTTCAAATCCAACCCAGCCAACCTGGCTCCAAATAAGAGAGGAAAAAGAAGAAAGAAAAGGGCCAGGGGTACAGCCATGTGTAAAGACCCTGGATTCAATCCCCAGTCCTAGGAGGGAAGGAGGGAGAGACAAGACAGAGAGGATTCTAGCAAGTGCACATCTAGGAAACAAGAGGTGGAGAGTCAGGCTGTGGCACCCTGCGAAGGTATGTGCCGAGGGATGGACACAGTGGCTGCCAAGCAGTGGCAGGCAGCCAGGGTGGGGAGCAGGCTCGAGAAAGACCTAGCAGCATCTTGGATGACAGCGGACAAGGGCACAAGGGCTCGTCCTAGGCAGTGGGAGCTGCTGCTGTTTGGAACCCTCAGGCAGACACCAGGGTCAGGATGGGGCGGCCTAGACTGGCAGCACTGCCACCAAGCAGAGGCAGTGGCCAATGACACCAGGCTCAGAAGGACAGAGGGAGGCTGCCTGAGCTGAGGCTGTCCTGAGGGCCACCACAGCCATGACAAAAGGACCCTCTGCAAGAGCAGCAACAAGGCTGGTACCTTTGTCACCAATCACTGTGCCACTTCCCTCCAGTCTGCCTCTGCCCCTGCAGTGTTCACCACCTACAGCCCCGCAGCCTTATGCCCTGTAACCCTGGATCTGCGCTGCCCGCTGCGTGGACACAAGGTGCTTGATGGGTGTGGAATGAAGAATGTCTGATGTGTGGCTGGAGAAAGCAGAAGGGCACAGGCAGAGCTGCAGGATGCTGCTGCTGTTGCAAGCCAGGAGCCTCCAAAGGGCAGAGCTGGCCACATGCACATGAAGGTCGGGAATTGCTCACCATGGGAACACACTGAAGGAGGCCAGAGACAGGTGGGGGCTGTGGAGCGGGCTGCTTGTGAGGCGATACACCCCAGGATGCCCTGGGCCAAGAGATGAGGCCTGACCCCATGTGCGTTATCTTTGTGGGACCCTTTGCTGTTAAGACTGAGGAGGCCCAGGAGTTACCCATGCAAAGCCCAGCATGGTCACCACCAAGGGCGAAGGTGACCAGGATCCCTGATGCCTCAAAAGCCAGGCCTCAGCAGGATGCTGCCCCAGATGGAAATGGATGAGTGGCAATCAAGTCTGTTTACCTTAATGGTCTTTGACTGGAGCCGCAGGCCGTTCAGTGTGTTGATTGCTCTCTCCGCGTCCTTGGCAGTCACATAGTTGACAAAACCATAGCCCAAGCTGTGTCCTGTGTGGGAGAACACAAGGACACAGGTAAACCAGTAGCTGGCAAGAGGACAAGAGAACCAGCAGGACTCCAGCTGAGCAGAGTCAAGGGCCAGGGGGGAGAAGAGAGTAGGCGATATGTTAGCAGCAATGTCCTCTGTGCACATGGCCTAGAGATAGGGCAAATTTGTATATGTTGGCAATCATTACAAAAGTCATTTTTGTAACTTAAAAAATGTAAGCAAAAGGTAAGAATGTGTTATGTGTCTTGGGGCCCTCAGGCCCTTAGTATTGACAATGAGGTGGGCCACAGAGAACATGACAGTAAGCAAAGCCCAAGCACAGGTGGCTGTCCCAACAGCAGGAAAACTTGCTGGGCTCTGGTACCATCTAGTGCCAGCTAGTCTACTTTCTCCAACAAGTGTGAGGACAACTGGACTCTGCTGAGGAGCAGGAGAGGCCCAAGGAGAAGCCAGAGCCAAGACTCCCCAGTCCCGGCGAGCAGTCCCTGACCCAGCTCCACAGCCCAGCCAAGGTGCCAGGACCTTGTCTGGCACAGACTGCCCATCATGATCATCAGCTCCAGTTCAGGCCCGTCAGAAAGCTGAACTCCTCAGTCAAAAACAAAAACCAAAACAACACAAGGTGACCAACAGGCAGGGTGTCCCTGGCCCACTCAGGACAGACAGGAGGCATTACCAAGTGGACACCAGGAGGGCAGATGAGGTACGGGGGGACCCAGGAAGAGCAGTTGCCTGGAGTGACAGGTAGGAGGGAGACTTGGAAGATATCCGGTCACAACGTTGCCCAGGAACAGCAGGAGGCCCAGGGACAGCATATCATACAGCTCATGTCATTGCAATGTCCCTCAGCATCTCTCTCTCCTCTGCTCTGGCACAAAGGCTGGGGCCACCTAATGGTACAGATTAGCACTGTGCATTTTTTTTTTCTTTTGTTCCAGGGATTGAACTCACAACACTGCACTTGCCAGGCAGACGCTTACACCACTGAGCTAAATCCCCAGCCAGCACCATGCATTTGGGACAGCAACAAACCATCACACGCACTTTACCATTAACTAACTCTGCACTTGACTTGCATCTTTACCTCTCTCCCAGGACAGCACTCACATCCTGCAATCACCTGTCCTTGGAGCCCTTGCTTGTGAAGGCAGCTCAGAGCATCCTTATTGTCCCTGACCATGATGGGCTGGAGAACCAGCCAAAATCTTTTCCAGCAGCCCCTATGGTGTATGTAGTGAGTGGTTTGGGGAGGAAGACCTCACAGTGCAGCGAAAGTGCAGGGTGCATGCCATCATCCAGCTGGGTAGTGGGGTTGCGAGGCTCTCTACTGCCAAGCTCTCTCGACCATTTTCTGGAAAAAGCCACAAAATGCAGACAATACTTTAGGGGGGCTGTACTCCCTTCAGGTTGCAGCAGTGTAAGTGCAATATTTGCAATTCTGCACAGGACGTTTAGGACGTTTAGGAAACCTGACCTTCTAAACCTACATTCCTTTAAAAAACAAAACAAAATCAAATACCTCCATACATTCAAGAGACTGAGCTCCAAAGCTCTGAAAAGAATGAGAAGCAGCAGCAGTAGCAGGACTGTGAGGCCAGCACTGTCCAGTTCTGTAAACCACTGGTGGCACCAGGCTGTTCCCAAATGGCCCAGATGACACACGTGAACCCTGGGAGCACCGAATGCTATTGTAAGGACTCCCAACCTCTTCCCATCACTTCTCTGCCCATCTCCCCCATGCCCAGGCCTTGGAGCCTGTTCTATCTGCCAAGACCCAGTCTTACTATTCTACCCGAAGCCTCAACTAGCTAGGGTTTCAGGAGGCCTAAGCGCTATTGCAGAAATCAAGCCCCATTGAGGACTCCTGCCCGACCCCATCCTAGTCTTCCGTCACGGCTCCACCTGTTCCTGCCCAGCCTGCTGTCTCATCTCCCAGTTTCACTGGGGCCCCAGTTGGACCCCATGGTGGCCTCTGCTGACTTGGGGGCAGCCCCACAAGTCTTGTAAGACATGTTTCCTGGAACCCTGGCGACACTGGGAACCACCTGTCTCATGGGATCCTGGCTCCTCAACACACGTAAACAGGTCCATTCTTGTGCCTCCTCGGCCTGTGCTTTCTGGTGAAACACGAATACACACTCATCTATGCCATGCAGCTAACATGTAACTGATCAGCAGCTACGGGGGTCAGGTCCTCTTCCTGGTTGGGGGGGGCTGATAACACTCAGGACAGAGGACAGCAGCTGTCACAATGAAAGCTGTGACACCTGGGGGAGTTCTGATAGAAAACTAGAAAGGAACAGGCAAAGACCCCAACACCAAGGTCCTGCAGCAGGGTATGCACTTGTGCTGTGCTGTGCTGGGGAGGGAGGATGCTGACAGTGCAGGCCACCCGGGGAGCCCTTGGCAGTGGTGACCCTGCGAGGCTCAGAGAGGGGCAGCCAACAAAGTCAAGCAAAACTCGCCAGAGCAAGAGCTGCAAGTGGGCCCTGCATGGAAGGTGGCCAATGTGGGGCAGACACTCACAAAAATCCTGGGGGCCGCCTGCAAGTTGGATGAAGGAGGGTGCACAGGCAGGAGGAGCACAGAAGACAAAGTACCAAGGGACTGTAGAGGGAGTGTCAGGCAGACAGCAGCAGGAAGGCAGGGCTAGTCTGGTGGATGAGCCCTAAGCGGGGACCTGGGGCCAGGCCTAAGCAGAGGTGGCAAAAGCACACCCTGCACACTTGCTGCCCCACATCTGGAGCACAGGCAAGGACTCAGTTCTACAGAGCAGTCTTCAATTTGGGTCTAGGGATGCCACAGTGTGCAAATCCACACTGCCCCGCTCCTCCCCAAGGCCGATGCCCCTTCTCATGCTTGCTAGCGATAAGGAGCCCACGCCGTGCCCCTGTAGGGAGACAGAGATCAGCCCCAGGCCAGGGAGAGGGATGGAGGCCTGGGGGCTGGTGAGCAGCAAAGGGCTGGTGCCCTGCAGACTGGCACAGTTCCAGCAGAGGCTGCTGTGGGCTTGGGGACTGTTAAGATTTGGAGCTGGGGGTAACGAAGGTCCTCAAGATGGGAAACAGGATGCAGGAAAGGGGAAAGCGGCACATAGCAAGAAAGGAAGACTGCACAAACCCTGAGTCTGAGGTCTGTGGATATTCTGGAGGCCAGTGCTTCCCAAGCTCCTATTCCCTCCAGACTGTAGGAACACAATTCCAGTCACAGAGCAGGGTTCTGTGCCCTGGTTCCCTGACTTGCCGACACCAGATCTAGGCAGTTAAAAAGCAGGTAAGTGCTGGGGGTGGTGGCGCATGCCTGTAATCCCAGCACTTGGGAGACTGAAGCAGGAGGACTGCAGTGAGTTCGAGGCCAGGAGACCAGCCTGGGCTACAAAGTAAGTTCACCAGCCCAAACTGCATAGTGAAATCCTGTCTCAAAAAGACAAAAAAAAGGGCAGATGATATAAGTAACTCCCTGGAATGGCTGATGCAGTACCCGCAGGTGAAACTCCCCAAACTATTCCCAATCCCCAGGTGCCAGTGTGGTCAGAGAACCCTGGGGTGCACCCCCCAGCAAGACATGGTCTGTGCTGGCGGCTTCTCACACAGCCCCCTCTCATTCCTTGGACAAGGGCTGAGAGCAGAGACGATGTCACAGCACTTTATCCCACCCTGCCAGATCTAACACTTTAATCTCTCAGCACCGTCACTACTGGGAGGCTCTGGTGTGAATGATACTGCTGGTACTGTGACCCCTTCCTTTTTTTCTCTTGTTCAGACAGGATCTGGCTATGTAGCCCAAGCTGGCCTTGAACTCACAACTATCCTTCTGCCTCAGCCTTACGAGTGCTGGGATGACAGGGTGCACCACCACGCCTGGCTTATCACCCCTTCCTTCCTTCCTTTCCTTCCTTTCCTTCCTCGCTCCCTCCCTCCCTTCCTTTCTTCCTTTCTTTTTTTGCAGTACCGGGGATTGAACTCAGGACCTTGTACTTGCCAGGCAGGCGCTTACGCTACTGAGCTAAATCCCCAGCCCTGTGACCCCTTTCTTTGAAGGTCTATGGGGCCTGCAGGAAAGACCTCCATAAGAGACACAGATCAAGGCTTAGGATGGTAGGGGGAGTGAATTCACCAGGCAAAAGGAAGAAAATGGACAAAGGACAAAAAGAGTTATTTTATGAAAGAACTACAAACAGCCTGGATGAAAACAATGGTGGAGTTCACCAGAAATTCGAATCAGCACCACGATCAAATGTCATTCGTCACATCTCCAGCTGACAAAGAGGAGAAATCTTGTCAGACCCAGGGGATGGGACAGCAGGGCTGGGTAGGAGGGAGGGCAGGCTGGCAAAAGAAACCAAGAGTTCTTAGAAGGACACTCTCTCATCTGCTGCTTCACTTCCGGAAGACTGCCTATGGAAACGGTCAATAAGCAGAGATTGCCTGAGTATTTATCTCAGTGGGGCTTATAAATACAGAAATGTGGAAAACTGGCTACCATGCAATGTTCAGTGATCAAAAAAAAAGTCCAGATACAGAAGTTAGTTCACTGCACAGCGCACAGGGTGCCTGTCCATTTCTGTAACAGCGAGACAGAAAAGGCGTAAGAGGACATACACCCAAAAGCTAACTGTGGAGGGATGACGGGTACCTTAGGCATCTCTTCCTGTTTGTTTCACGCCTAAGTTTTTTGTGAAAGGAACAAAGATGACTCACGTCAAGGAGAAACAGTGGCCAGGCCAACAAAGTGTGGCTGGTGGGCATTCCTACAGGCGAAAGCTGTGGGGTGGTCCCGAGGGCAGGAGCAAGAGTGCCTGAGAAACAGCAAACAGCACAGCCAAGCTGAGAGGAGGGCGGGATGGGGCCCAGGTCCAGGAGCTGCAGGCAGGGGTCAGGGCTTCATCCTGACCCAGGGGTGTGGCAGTGAGATGGACACTGACCAGATGGGCTAAAGCCAGGAACCTGCTGGATATGAGGCAGGCATGGGTGTGGGGTGGCTGCTGCCCCTGGAATCATGAGGGCCACTGCAGAGACCAGACTCCGAGAAAAGAGCAGGCAGGGTTGTGCAGGAAGGCACCAAGTAGCACCCTGGACACTGTGGTGGCACCCTGCAGCTGGCATTTGTGGAGGGAATAGCTGTGCTATGGTCCTGGCAGGGGACCGACACTTGGCTAATTCTCAGTCTCTGGGCCAGCGCACTGCACAGCCACCCCTGCTCCTGGTGTCATCTGAGGCTGGCCCCTGGGAAGTACCTGCTGAGTGAACATGCACACTGATCCGCATATTCCCCAGTGCCACCTGTGCATTCATCCAGTACATACTATGGCTATGGAGCTTAACAACACCTCTGAGTACAAAGTTGATCTAGTAGACGACCAAGTTTCAGCCTCAGTAATGTGGGAAACTCCTGGTAAAAGGCTTCTGGTTGTTATGGGAACCCACAAGCAAGGAGCTGATGCTGATGGGGCCGAGAAGGGCCAGAGGCTCAGCAACACTGCATGCAAAGGCGGCAGTGACCTGGGCTGGGCTGGTCCCTAGGGAGAGGCAGCAAACGGACAGACTGCAGGAAAACCCAGGAGGGCCAGTGCCAGAACACCTAGGACAGCAATGAACCTTCCAATGATACAAACAGTGTGCTGCGACATGCATGCCACAGGTTCACCATGAGTGATCTGGTTTTTCCGACCATGTCATTGTACAGAAGTGGTGCCACCCACTAAGCCAGGGACATGGGACATGACCGGCTGACTTGCAGACAAGGTCAGTTTAAAATACAAGAATCCATAGTACTGAGGATCCCAGGGTCCCAAAAGCTTTCTAGTCAAGGGCGACAGAGGACTGAGGGTATACAGAGCCGAGAGTGAATCTGCTCACTCTAGATCTGCTGCGAAAGAAGAGGGCTACAGAATAACCCTGAGGACTCAGCTCCAGGCTAGAAAAAGGAGAGATGCAAAAAGAGACACAGCCTAGATTGATAAGCCTAGTGTTCAAAAAGAGGATGCTCACCCCGCTCAGTGCATGGCCTGGCTCCAGGCAGCATCACCTGGTGCACAGGGGCAGCCATGCTGATGCAGGGGAGCCCTGGGCCAGAGACAGCTGGGGAGCTGGGAAATGACCCCTGAATGCTGACAGGGCAATGCTCCAGGGAGACGGGCAAGTGGGTACAGGGACAGCTTGAGTGTGTTGGCAGACTAGGAAGAAGCAGGAATTCAGCGCAGAGCTGAGGTGGCTGTTGGTTACACTGTGAAGTAAGAGTCAGTCATCGGCTAGGGTACAGGGCACGGTCAGTGGCAGGAAGACGGAGACACTGCACTGGTGATGTGGTGGGTGGAAATACTGTTGGGTGAGCTGAGGAGGCTGGGACTGGAAGGGGCACCCTTGGGTCTGGCTGAGTGTAAGAGACCTGCGGGGGTGGGCAATGCGAGCTCCAGCCTGGAAGAAGATGGCCCAGGTTTTCAGAGTGGTGTCACAGAAGGGCAGGCAGACAGTGAAATCTAAGCCCACAGCCTCCGGATCAGTCAGCAAAGCTGTCACATGATGGTGTCAGCAGGAGAAAAGTTGGGGTTCCAAAGAGTCATCCAGAAGCCTCATTCATTGCTTTGTTTGGTTTTGGCGGTTTCTTTTCTTTTTCTTTTTTTTTTTTTTTGTCTTTTTCCTTTTTATCAGTACCAGGGATCGGACTCACGACTGCTTGCTAGCAAGACAGGCGCTTATGCTGCTGAGCTAAATCCCTAGCCCCTTGGGGCTGGGTTTTGGCTGTTTGAGAGAGGATCTTGTTGTGCAGTTCAGGCTGCCTTCCAACTCACCACATAGCCACGCTGACCTTCCATTGGCGATCCTCCTGCCTCAGCATCCCAAGTGCTGGGATCACAGGAGTGCGTAACCACTGTAACTGAAGGACTCCCAGCAAGATGCTGAGTTGTACCCTTAGCCTAGTGCCTTCTGCATGTGGACTGCCGCCCCGAAGGGCAGGCAGACCTAATCTTGGAACTAAATGGGATTCCCAGCCCACTGCTCCCTTCCCAAGCACTCACAACTAGGTCTCCCAAGTTGGACCTCACCTAACCCAGGTGCTTACCTGCCTCTGGAAACCACCCCAGGGGAGCAAAAAGGTCAGTGCCAAAAGCTCCGCAGACTGCACCCCTCCCTCCCTTAGGAATTTAGGTAGGGGGCTGGGGATTTAGCTCAGCAGCGTAAGCACCTGCCTTGCAAGTGTGTGGTCATGAGTTCGATCCCTGGTACCGATAAAAAAGAAAAATACAAAAAAAAAAAAAAAAAAAGGAATTTAGGTAATGAATGCAGGGCTTGCTAGAGGTGCCAGGATTTTAACTCCCCCCACCCCAGGCCTCTCTTGGTCAGGGTGGAATAGTCTAACACTGGAACATTCTTTTTTTCTGTCTTTATGAGACAGGGTCTCACTATGCAGGTCAAGCTGACCTTCAGCTGACTTTGTAGCCCAGACTGGTCTCAAACTCGCAACGATCCTCCAGCCTCAGCCTTCCAAGTGCTAGGATTACAGGCGTGCACCTCTACACCCAGCTAACACTGGAACATTCTACCGCTGTTCCAGTTTGGCTATCATCTAAAGTCCTTCTTCAGGAGGTGTTTATTAAATCACAGACCTTCCGAGTCAGAGGGGGAGAAGGTGTTGGGTTCAGTGCCCCCATATGAATTCTTCAGACAGCTGTCAGACAGGGATGCCAGGGGTTGTCTAGGGGTCAGGCATTCTCAGGTTACTGGGAAAGGGTGAAGGCTGACAGAACACACCAGGTTCCATGGATCACTCTTTGTTCATGCTTACTTGACATTTTCCTTAACAAAATATGTGTGTCTTAAAAACTTTAAATCAGTTTCAAGATGGAGACTGAGGTCCCCTAAGAGCCAGGTGGCAGCCAGAGTGCTCTGAGAAGACTGTCTGTTCCTTGGCCAGCTGAGGAGCAGGGAAAGGGAACTTCTCGGGATGAAACAGGAAGACAGGAAAGCAGCAGGGCTCTGAGGAACCTGGCCTTCCCTGTGCTCCAGAGGCCCGAAGGCCCGCCTCAGAATGGAGGCCTTCATGTGAACTGGGCCTGGACCAGGGCCAGCCCAATGCAAGGCAGCACGGCCAGACCCAGGCGCTGCCACCCTGCCCCATGCAGGGGACCCAGAGCCCAGCAGTCACACCATGGGGAGAAGAAGAGCAGAGCTTCTGTGTGCCCTGCTCCCACACCCCAGAGTCTAAGCTCTGCAGGTGCAGAAGTTCGAGCTGCTGCCAGTCAGACTGGCCACAGCAACACGGGGCTGTTCACAGGGCACTGCCATGGGCTGGACCACGAGTGGGACTCTGTGTAGATCACGACAGGCATGCCAGGCCTAGCCCAGGCTGTTGCTATCTGGCTCCTTCCAGCCTTAACAGCAGCCCCATCTCTCTTCACCTCTCCTTTTCCTCTCTCCACATTCCTTTTTTTGAGGTAGGGTCTCACTATGGAGCCCAGGCTAGCCTTAAACTCGCAAAAGTCTTGCTGCTTTGGCCTTGTCACTGCTGGGATCACAGGCAAGTGCCATCACAGCCCACTTTCACACTTTAGTCTTGCTTTATCAAGAATATCCCTTCTGGAATGTCCACTTTACAAGCTTTAATTTTGTAACTTGAACAATTATTTCTAAGATGACAATATGTAATCCATTAACTAGTGATTTCCTATTGTTTATTTTTTTCTGTAAATCTGTATAACTTGTACCCTTTCTCTGCTTTTTTTTCTCCTTAATTAAAAAAAAAAAAAAAAAAAAAAAAAAGAAAAGAAAAGAATTTCCCTTCTTTGGGAACCTCTCCTAACTCGTGGTAGGGCAGAGGAAAACCAGAGTGTGAGAAAGAAATACCCACACTCTACGCTGAGGACCATGACGGACATCTCTTGGGCTCCTCACCTGCGACCTTGTCCCGGATGAGCTTTGCTGACTCAACTTCGCCGATGCTGCTAAAGAGGCTGCGCAGCTCGTCCTGCGTCATGTTCTGAGGGAGGTAGTTGACGATCAGATTCGTTCTCCCGATGTCATCCCTGCAGTCTTCGGCCATGTGGTCTTCATAACCATTAGACATTGTATTTTTCTTTTTTTTAATCTGCAAGGAAAGAGCAAGATCAAGTAAATCCAGATGTTGTTCACGCCACGGCATAGAACGTTACAGAAACAACGACGCTTACACTTTCTTCTCACCACAATCGAGACACGGACAGCTCCACCGAAACCTGCCCATGGACCCTCGCAGCAGCCTTACGCCCAATCACCAGGCTCTGAGGTCCTCCAAAGCACCCTCCAACAGTGAGCGGGCGTTACATGGCACATCCTTGAAGTGGAGCATCCCTCAGGGATTAAAAGAAATGGGCCCTAAAAGCCACAGAAAGATGAAGAACTTTTTATTTGTGTTTTGTGGCCTATGTAGAAAGAAACCAGGACAGCAAGCAACCCTCTCAGGTCGTGTTAGAGCTCCCACATGGTGCCACTCCCCAGCCTGACTTGAGGAACTTATAGCACAGTACTGAGTGGGAAGAAGCACCAAGCAAGGCCAGGAGCCATAAGGATCCTCCCACAGCACGGGACCTGTTGGAAAACAGCAAAGCCACGGCCACAGCAGAACACCCATGGGTGCCCTGCGTGACAGTCTCACGGGAGAGGCGGCCATGAGACATCTGTCCAATCCTACAGCTTGAACGTGAGGTGTGAACCCTACTATACATGTGTTGGTTAATAATGATGTATCGATACTGTCATCAATTATAGAAAGATGGAGCTGAGATACAGCTCAGTGGTACAGTGCCTGCCTGCCAGTCATAAGATCTCTGTTCGATTCTCCCTCACAAATAAATAAAAATAATAGTAATGATGAAGCAAGATGTGACTAATAGTGAAAATGGGGGAGGGGTACATAAGAACTCACTAGTTTCTATGTAATTTTTCTGTCAACCTAAAACTGCTCTAAACTGAGATTGATAGTGCATGCCCATAATTCCAGAACTCTGAGAGGCTGAAGCAGGAAAAATGCAGCTCTGAGCTCAGCCTAAGTAATTCAGTAACTTGCAAAACACTGTCTCAAAATTTAAAAAGAAAAGGAAAGGAAGAAAAGGAAGAAATTTAAAAGGTCTTAGAATGTTGCTTAGTATGAAGGCCTTGGGTTTAATTCCTTTTATGGAAAACAAAACCTAAAAATTAAAAGAAAAAAATGCTCTAGAAAATATTAACCCAAAACAGAGCAGCTCAAAATTCAACTGTGTCCACAAAGAGGGCTTTGCAGGAGCCGACACACAGCTCCGGTATTGCAACTCCAACTCTGAGAGAAAGCATTAGACTGAATCTCTGGGATCCGAAGATTTCAAGCTGTCCACATCCCGAGGGCACCTGGGACTACAGCTGGAGACCAGGCCCAGGACCACACACACCCTAACTGGCAGGCAATGGTCCTTGTGCCTTTGTCCCCAGATAGATGAAACTGCAGAGAGGTCAGGACCACTCTCCTAGTCAGAGGACGGGCGTCACTGCTCACAGGCTTCAGAACTTTGCGGCAGCCTACCAGTCTTGGCTTTCAGTATCGAATTAAGAGTCCGCGATGGCTCTGAAAGAAAGAGTGCCTGGACTGAGGCAGCTGGGAGAGCCAAGAGCACTCTTCTGGAAGCACAGCCCACTCTGAGTTGCTCGGGAGTTCTGCTGGGCAGTGCCCAACTGAAGCAGTCACCATCACTGCCACAAAACACACAGGCATCAGCCACAGTACTCCCCTGCTTGGAGGTCACAAAGGCAGCCTGCCCCTCTCCCGGAGCACAGCTCTGTACTGTATGAGCCAGTGGCCCAGACATGGACTCCGGGCCTTATTTAAAAACATCTTTGCCAGCAGCTACCTAAAACATGTGAACCTTCTCGCCAACCCTTAAATCAATGTGGACAGAGGAAAGAGGCTGAGTTTCTCTTTTCTCAGTGGAAAATGTTCAGCTTTTCCTATCCTACTCTCAGACAAACATGCAAATCAGCAAGATTTCCCAGCATTTCTATTACCTGTTTGAGGGTATCTGTGCTGCTTTTTAAAAAATAGATTAGCATTGAAAAAGACTAGAAAGTTAGACTTCATAACATTAAACATAATATACTGCAAAAGATATCATAAATAATAATAAGCAGCAAGAGACACAGTAAAGAAAATCTTTACTGTGCATTATTATTAGATCAGTGCTTCTGAAGCCAGGCAACTGTGCCCTCCAGGGGACACTGGATAATGTCTAGAGATGGTTCTGGTCAGTTCCACTAGGGGCAGTATTGTACTACTGACAGGTACCAGGTAGAAGCCAGAATGCTGTTAATAAAATATTCTGCAAAGCATAGAGGGAACCGACAACCAAGAACTATCCTGCCTAAACGTCAATACTGCTGAGATTGAGAAAACACAATACAGACACCTATAATTTAGTAAAAAGAAAATAAAAATTAACATATCACCAATAGAGAAGTAGAGAAAGTATATGAACTGTGGCTTACAGACACCAACAACTCAAATGGATAATAAACACACAAAGAAAGCTCAACTTCAAGAACAATGAAGAAAACGGAATATCAAATGAGATGCGATCTCCTGCCAGTCAGATGGGATAAAATAAGAAATGGAATTAAAATCCAGTGTCAATAAGGATAAGCTGCAGGAAAAGGGCTCATGCAAGACTGTCCACAAGAGCACAAGACGATGTGACCTTGTGGAGAAGGACTACAGTGTGGTGCTTACCAAAACCTGTAATGTGAACACCACCCTTTGCCTGGGAACAGCTGAGCATCTGCTCTCTAGAAATAATCCTGTGTGCAAGTTAATATACGGGCGGAATTCTGTCCTGTGTATGTAAAAGTACAAAGCTGGAGGTGATCCAACAGGGGATGGCTAAATAAATACCGACTTTCAGAAGAAAGCATTAAAGTTAAATAAAGAAAAACTGCAGCTAATAAACTGCAGTCATGAGGTTTAAAAATAGATGGTTCACTCAAATACAACCAAATAAAAACATTTTCTGAAGCCCATCTCAAAGCTCACACATTAACTCAGAAAGACTGAAATGCATTCTGAAGTGTGCTTAAGAATGATTCCACCGTTTCTCTTTTACTGGCCTCAGTCTTTTTCTCCGGCTCTCCACCCTTTCCCTAAGAGTTAGGCACCCGATTTTCTGCTTTTTCCCTCAGCCTGCCTTAATGGATGATGAACTGGACAATAATTACCCAACTCTAGGCCTGGTAAAAGCAGCCCTTCTGAAATGGTCGGTAGGCCATAGCCTGCAGGACAACAGATGTAGCTACTGCCTGCTCTGACAAAGTCTCACTGGAACACAGTCGCTTCTGTTTGCTGATGTGCTATGGTGATGATTGCTTTTCCTGCTACAAAGAGAGCTGAAGAGTAACCACCACAAGGCCGGAAGAGCTGAAGTTGTTACCACTGGGCTCCTGAGAAGAAAACACTTGCTGACTGTTGCTCTACAATGTAAAAATACAGTATTTCTAGGAGAAAAATCTGTGACACTGGGCTAGGCAAAGATTTCTTAGTTATAACACCAAGCATCTTCCCTTTAAAAAAAAAAAACCTGCTAAACTGGCTACCAACAACGTTTAAAACTACTCAGTGAAAGATACTCAGAGAATGGATATCTACAGACAAGAGAAAGTATTTGCAAAAAAGGGCATCTTTTAAAAAGCTCTCAAAACAATAAGAAAACAACCCAATTTCAAAAATAGCAAATGATCTGGATGCTGTGTATGGATGGCAAATAAGCACAAGAAAAGCTGCTCACATAGCCTGGGTGGTGTGCACCCCTGTAATCCCAGAACTGGGGAGGCTGAGGCAGGATGGTCACTGAAAGTTTAAGACCACCCTGAACTACATATGTAGACCCCTGTCTCTAAAAAATAAAGTAAAACAAAACCAATAAAATAAAACCATTAAAAAAAGATGCTCAAGCTGCAGATGTAACTCAGTGGCACAGCACCTACTGGCAAGCATGAGGCCCTGAGTTTGATTCCTGGTACAAGGAAAAAAAACCACTCAGCATCATTAGTCCTTAGAAAATGCAAATAAGAGTGACACATAGAAATCATTATGCACCTATTTTTTTTTTTATCAGTACCAGGGATCGAACTCACGACTGCGCGCTTGCAAGGTAGGCGCTTATGACACTGAGCTAAATCCCCAGCCCCTATGCACCTATTAAAATGGCTAAAACAACCACCATGTCAAGTGCTGGGGAGAAAGGGCACAAACAAGACCTTTCTTGCATTCCCTGCTGGTGGGAATGTAAACATGTCACAGCCACTTTGGAAAAATAGCTTCTTAGTTAGATACACAGTTAGCCTATGCCCCAAGCATCCAACTCCTACTACTGATCAAGAGAAATAAAAACCTACATTCGTATAAAAAAGCCTACACACAAATGCTTGTGGTGGCTTTGTGCATGGTCACCAAAATCCATACAACACAATGTCCGTTAAGCCCTGCAAAGGTGAGAGTCCTGCGTATTGAGGGAGGCTCTGCCACTGTCAGCTCAGAGTCCCCATGGGGAAACTACAGTTACCTGCACTAGGAAGACTGGTCAGTGAAAAGGTGCTGCCCCTCCATGACTCTCATCTAAATCTCAAACATATTTTGCTAAGTGAAAGAAACAGACCCAAGAGGCTTCCTCATGTGTGACTTTGTTTCTATGGCATTTTGGAAAGGATAGAACTACAAGTGGCCCCTAACTTAATGACCCTTGAATGGTACAGAAGTGATACTCATCCTATAGAAACTTTCAGTGTTGGATCTGGACGTTTTTCTGGGCTAGTAATACATTTCTGGGCTAGTAATAGCAATTTTCTCTTATGACACCGGCACTAGCAGCTCCCAGCTAGGCACGTGCTCATGAGGGTTTAAACACTGATACAAGGAGTCCCCGACTCACATCTGAGCTCCACTACGGGAAGTGTTCAAAAGTCACATTCGTTCCCACATCTGACAAAGTGAGACTTGCACAGCACACCTGTGAAGCTCACCACCTGCATGTTCATACATCAGGGGGCTGACTACTCTAGAATGCAGCATGGATGGGCTGCAGCACTCAGTAGACAAGGTGCGTTCAATGCACTTTATTTTTATTTTTTTGGTGCATCTTAGACTTACTGTATTTTCATACCCCAGGGGGGTCTCTTGGGCACAGGCCCACTATAAGAGCGTGGACGCACAAACAGCTCTTTAGCTACCCAGCATAGGAGTGACAGGAGGAGGTGACTATGGAAGGGTAGCAGGAGGGGGTAATTTTGTTTTCAGATGACAGAGCTTCCCAGTATCGGGATGCTGGCAGTAGTCACACAAGTCTGTGCATTTGTCAAAGCTCAATGAGCCTTACTCAGAGGCCGGGCGTGTGTAATCCCAGCTATTCAAACAGAGGCAAGAGAATTCCAAGTTTGAGCCCAGCCTTGAGCAACTCTGCAAGAACCAGAACAACAACAACAACAACAAAAAAAAAAAAAAAAAAAAAAAAAAAAAAAAAAAGAGGAGGGAGAGGCCCTGAGTTCATCCCCAGGACTGCTAAGTAAAGACACCAACCAACTAACAAACCTTCTGCCAGAACAAATTTTCCCATATGCAAGTCTAAAAATTAAGATTTTTAAAAGGCAACATCTGTTTCACTTCTTCCTGACATGGAGTCAAAGCTAGGCAGTGGCCTTCAGGCCAAGTCTTTGATGAACGGGTAGCAAGGGGAACAGCAACCCCAGGGTGTCATGGAGCTTGGGGACACTCCACTTGCCCCGCCTGTACCCTTCCAAATGTGCCCTGCCCAGCTTGGGCCTGACCAGCAGCCATGCCCATTGGTTGTGACCACAATCAGGCCTTATCACCACTAGACACTGATGACTCCCAAGTCACTGCTGCCCCTTGCATCCTCCAAGCTCACCTGCTCAGCCCCTGCAGTGTCACCACCACTTAGTACTTTGTGGTCACACTGCTATTAAGTGGCAGGATGTGGCCTTGAGTTGTCATTACAGGGCAGTTCCTGGCCCAGACCAAGGCCACTGTGACGGGGTCCCCACCCTGGCCTCTTCCCAACATGCCACATTGGACCTGTTCTGGCTGCTCTCCTGCAGGCGTGCCCACCTGCTCACCTTCCCCAGGACACCAGGCTGCTCAAGTTATCAGCACCTCCACGCCATCAGTGGGAACCCTTACTGCTGCCCTCATCATACTGACTTGTCACCATCCACTCTCCACCACTGTCAGAGGTTAACAGCTGCACTGCAGTCATCTAACGGTCCCCAGGCAGGCTGAGTGTGTGTCACACGGTGAGGGAGAGTCACGGATGGCCAGATGCCCCTGGGATTGTGTGTTTGCAGTATTTCCTTCGTTGGGGCAGGGGAAATTGTGCCAGCCTTCTACCAACAATCAGCAGCCTCCTTTCCTAGGCTCACCACTACATACCAGACCCACCCAACTGCAGGGAGCAAAGAGGGAAACTTTAGCTTCATCCCAACGATTCCTACTACATTGGACACTAATCCCACAACCCACACACATGGGCGGGAGATGTGTGTCTTTCCACATGGTGAAAGCGAACATTGGTGGAGCATGCAGAACTGGCTTCCGTGAAGCACACATGAGAATCGGTCTCACAGCAAAGTGATGGGTCAGGCTTTCTTGAGCCAGAATAGAACTAGAACAGTCAAATATATCTTTCAGTTCAACCTTGACACCTAACACATCATCTGACGGGGCCTGGACTCAATTATTTCTAAGGTCTTTTCTACCTTCTACCAGAGATGTAAAACTCTGAGCTTCAAGGTAAAAGTGTCAGGACACCCAGAAAACGCTCTGGTGTCAGAAAAATATGAAAGCATGGGCTAACCTAATTACAGCTGCCATCTGAGGAGAGAGCTCAGGTGGACATGGTGTCACTGCACCATGCTGGCTCCTGCCCATGACCAGGGAAGGCCACCTGGGTGAGACAGTGACAGTTCAGTCGCAGCAGTTCCCCGCCAGCCAGCTGAGAAGCCCAGGTGCAAACTAGCCAGGCACAGCCAGCACGGGGAGCAGCCAAGGGGTTTTCAGAGGCCCAAGGGGCCTGATGGCCTCTAGAGCCCCACTGGTCCAACCAAGCTCTTTCTAGCTGACCAAAGCTCACAAAGAAAAGCAAAGCAACACAGGGCAGCAGAAAATCCATGGACTCGCACCACCTGAGCCTCAGTTTCCCTGCAGTGCCTGGCACCTGGCAAATGTTTACTGCTACTTCATTAGCAAAAACAGGTGAGCATGTGACTCATTCTCTGTATCTCCAGAAGCAAACGCCTCATCCTGTCTCTTCCTATCCTTGGCCCCACCAACACCGCTCCCCCGCCCCGTTTTTACTTCATATGGCAGCACCTCCCCCATACCTGTCATCCAGCTCTCAGCTCCACTCCTGGCACGATGCAGCACCAAGTCCTGCCAGCATGACATGTGGGCCGTATCTCTGTCCTTTCCTGCCTAGACCAATTCCTAAGGGTATCTCTGAAGCTAACCTTTCCATCCTCCTCCTCTGCCTCCTAGCTTCTGTGCATGGTGATAACAGCCCTGCCACTGAGTGGCTCTGCATGGTTCCCTCTCCTGTGACTCCTTCCTCTGGCATAAAGGTCTCTGGTGAGTAGCTGGGTCCAGGTGTTTCCAACCTCCCTGCTAAACCTTCCTTCCCCTGGTACCGATGGAGTACCAGCCCCAGGGCAAGGCAAGGCAATCTGGCAGGGTCACCCTGACTGTTTTGGGAACTGTCACTGACTCTGGCTTACTTTTCTAGACTGACCGCCAAGATCCTCTTCCTGCCCTTCAACCTGGCCAAACCGGTCCACTCAGGCCTGCACGGCCTCTCTGACGTGCTTGGGCCTTGTTCCCGACAGCCCCTCACTTCTCTGACCACAATGACCTGCTCAGACAAAAACGAAACCTCAGCACCACATTCATGTCTTTCACCAAGTTTCTGAAGCTGGACCTTTCACTCTTTGTTACTCAAACTCACATTCTGAGGTCACTTCTCTCCAATGCAGGTTCTAAGTTCTTAGAGGAGCAATTCTACCTCTGCCCTATGACAAAAGAGTTGTGTTCTGTTTACAGACTACACTCAAGTGCCATGTGTGGTGGCACAGGCGTGTAATTGCAATGCTCGGGAGGCTGAGGCAGGAAGATCACAAGTCACAGTCAGCCTGGGCTACAGTGACTTCAAGGTTAGCCTGGACTACACAAAGAGACCTTGCCTCAAAAGTGAAAAAAGTAAAAGAAACACAAAAAACCCCACTTCCCCCCAAAAAATACACTATCCTGAGGTTTGGTTTTGTTGTTTTTGAGATTAAGGTCTTGCCATGCACTTCAAACTCGTCTTGAACTAGAAGGGATCCTCCTGCCTCAGCTTCCTGAGTGTGAGGGTCACAGGTGTGTGCCCCTACATCCGGCAACGCTGAGGCTCTGGACGAAGTGGGATAGACATCTTACTGAACACATGAGCGGGCCTCAGGAGCACACATGTGGGCACTCCTGTCACCTTCCCACACCCTGCATGCTGCTCCAGCCAGAAGCTTTCTGGTCCCCATCCACATATAGAACCTTGCCTCTCCGAGTAACCATTCACCTTCCGGCCACTCAAGCACAGGCCCTCAGCCACTGCTGTCCTTTCTAGCGCATCTCTTACATTGTGTCTCAGGCCTCCCTTCCCTGTCCTGCCACCACAGTCTGGGTCACAATGGCAGCTTCTGACCTGCAGGAATCTGTCTGTCTCCTGACTGGTCTTCTGGGCTTCAGCCACTTCCTGCACAAACCTGAGCCCACCCTGCAGCCAAGCCCTCTGCCGCTGCTCACTCTGAGTAGTAGCTTAAAGAGCAAAGTCCAATGTGGCGTCCCTACCTCTACATCTTTGCCTTTGTGGCACCTGCATCTTAAAAACTCCTCACTCCTAGTATCACCTGCCTACCTCCTCCTACCCCTCCCGCCTCACCTCCTCCAGGAAGTACTTCAGGATCTCCTCAGCCCACCCAGGATTGGGTAACAGTTTCTTCTTTTCTGCTTCCACATCAACCAGTGTGTAACAATGTCAGCCCTCAGCAGAGATGCTGAAATGATGTACACACACTATCGCCTTCCAAGAGCCTAGAGCAGAGCCCAGTCGCGGAGCAGACACACAGAGAGTGCAAGGAAGGGAAGCTGCGCTGGTGCTCCTCCTTACAGGCTGGTTTCCGATGGGCTTTCCCTGACCCACAGCCTCTCCACTTCACTGCTGCCACCTAGGGACACCAGGCTAACACTGCACCTCCTGCACCGTTGAGCATTTAATTTGATTCAATAAATTGAATGGGATGGGAACACAAACCAGGGAACAGTTGATTCCAGTGGGGGTGGAGGAAGAGTGGCAGCTGGAGGAGGCACCAAGTGGTGACTGAGCTCAGAGCGGGGGGCCTCTCGGCAGGAGATCTCCAGGTGGAAGAGGGGCTCTCTCTGTGCAGATGAGGTCAGAAAGGAAGGGTTAGAGTAGCAAAGAACTGGTGTCCCAACTTGAGGGCTCCTGACTTTATCTTTCATGCCATTTACATAGGTCAACACAATTTGCTTTCTTTCTGACAAAAGACTTCTAATTAAGAGGGAAGCCACTAGATCTGCATTACAAAAACTATCTCTTGCTCAAGTGTGCAAAGGCCAGGCAGAAGGGAAACAGTGAGAGAGCTACAGATCACACATCAGGAAGGCAGCAGGACCTTAGAATCCACAAACAGATCCCAGCTGAAGTTCTGTCCCTTCAAGCCTGTGCTCTGACAGAAACATTTCCAGCCACATCTGGAGAGTGGAGATGTTCACTTATTTCTGCCTCTTCGTGAATCCTGAAACTGTAGAATTTTAAAACAGACACCAGCATAGGCTTTTGTTTTTGTTGTTTTGGTTTTTTTGAGCTAGGTCTAAACATATACAGTTCAGACTGGCCTTGAACTCATGGTGTTCCTCTTGTCTCAGCCTTCTGAGTGCTGGGTTTACAGGAGTATGCCCCCACACTCCACTCCAACAGTTCTGCACACAGACATTCAAGGGCAATTGGATGGGACTCACTGAAACACCATCTCTCAGGGGTCCTCAGTGACTCAAAGTAAAGGCTTTGAATCAGAGGGCCTGAGTTCAAATCCTGCCTTAGCTACTCCAGAATATGACACCAGGTGACCCATCTAAGCCTCAGTTTCTCCATCTTTAAGATGGAAATTACAACAGCACCTACCTCAAGGGCTAGAAACCAGTGTCTGCGAGTGTCAATCAAGCACATGGCAGACTGTCAGTAAACCCTGGTGTTCCTTTATAACACCATGTGTTCAGTGTCTACCAGGTACAGCCCATGGATAATGCTAGGGGCTTCCCAGACCCTTAAATCTGCATAATACTTTCCACTTTCCCATTTTAAAGATAAATCAACTAATGCACAACAAAGGTGAGCTTGATCAAGATCCTGGGAACATTAGGGAGGGTTTCAGACATGAGGCTAAAAACATTTTTAGCGGAAAATTATTTAGTTTGGTAGTGGTGATTGTGCACAGAGTAAGAGATAAGGACAAACAGGGAGAAGAGGTGGAAAGAAGGAGGAACTCTGATCCCTGGGGATGTCTGGCAATGTCTGAAGGTATTTTTGATCCTCCTAATGGGGATCGGGACAAGATGCTACTGGAATTTAGAGCTGCCCAACTTCCTACAATGAACAGAGCACCCCCACACACAAAGAATTATGTGCCCCCCCCCCAACTGTCACTAGTATCAGACTGAGAAACACTTCTCCAGCCGGTACACCCTTCCCATCTCCCCCATTTCTGGAGCACTGGCAGAGATATCCCACATAAACACTTTTGATAAACGCTGGGATGGGGAGGCCTGGGCTACATTGTTCCAGGGGTAGCCCCGTTGCAAAAGTTCTCCACCTGCTCGGCAGGCAGTACCTATTAGAGTCCTATTTTAATAAGCCTCGCACAAGACACCGGAAAAGGAAGACCATCCGTCCCCCATTGTTCCATTGCGTGCAGTTTATGTTTGCAACATACACACACATTTTAAAAATCTCAACGCCCCACGCCCCACTAACAGCTTTGTTAGAGATGGCGACCAAAAAAAATTAAATTTTTTTTCTTTTCTAGAACTCTCCTATGTACTGAAAATTTTGCACACTTCTACAGGGACCTCAGATCGGCCGCGGTGCCCTGACAACCACCACAAAAGAATTCGTGCGGTTTCCCGGGGGAGCGAGCCCGTGGGCCGTGACCTCTGAGCGACGGGGCGCCCGCCCCACTCTCCTACCCCGGCTCACTCTTCCGCCCCTGGATCCCAGGCTTCTGGGGTTGCCCGCGCGGGGCCACGGAGCCCGGCCCCCATGCGCGTGCCCACGCCGAGTCCCCTTGCTGACTCTCGCGGCGCCCGAAGAATCCGGCCGGGGGCCTAGCGCCTGCCCCACGCTGTGCGGCCCCCACGCTGCCTAGCCCCCTCCTGCCCGCCGCGGCCCGCGCGCGTCCCCTCCCGGCCCGGCGCGGCCTGGGCCTCGGCCGGTGTAGGCCCGCGGCCGGGTCAGGCGAGCTCAGGCCTGCCGCGGCCTACCCCGTCGGGCGCCACCGCGGACTCCTCGCCTCACCTGGAAGCGGGCGGGTGGGCCCGGGCTGCTCCGGGGTGGGGGGGCGACTGCGGCGCGGCGCTAACGGCTCCGCTCGGCCTCGGTAGTGGCGGCGGCGGCAGCGGCGACGGCGACGGCGGCGACGGCGGCGGCGGCGGCGGCGGCGGCTCCTCCTCAGCGCGCACGACCCGCTCCGGCCCGCGGCCCGGACACGCCCCCCCGGCGCGCGCGCTCATTGGTCAGTGCCCGCCATGGCGTGCTGTTCATTGGTCAGCGTGCCTGTCGCTGCACCTGGGGCGCGCGGTGGAGGTGGGACTTCCTGTCGGCGCCGCCTGCGAAAGGCTCGGCGGCCAGCCGAGACGCGGGTGGCCAGCGATGGCTGCGGAGGTAGCTAGTTGGGCCCAGGCTCACGGAGGCCGACTGGAGGCAGCGGTCCAGGAGAGGCGCTCCTTGTCTATCGTATGTTGTGTCCCCAGCATTTGTTCATCTCACCGCCGCTGCCACCCAGCAAGGTAGGAGCGGTCGGGCGACAGGGATGTAGGAACGGGACCGGCGTTCAAATCCCGCTCCGACGTTGCCGCGCTAAGTGCGGTTGGCCATGGGTTCATATTACCTCGCCAGACCTCAGTTTTCTTGAGTGGTTCAATGAGGAGGCGGGCATCGGACGTGATCAGAACTCCATCTGTGCTAGCCATTACAGCATGTGGGCTCCCAGAAGCCCAGCCTCTCATTCGTTCATTTATTAAAATTTTATTGAACTGTTATGTGCTAGTCATCTATTGGACAGAGAGCAGACAAAAAATACATTTTGGGCTGACATTATATGTGAGCACTGTCCAGGAAAAGTGTATGCAAACTGCAAGTGTAATTTGGCAATGTTTTAGTAACATTGTGTGTGTGTGTGTGACAGAGAGAGAGAGAGAGAGTTTGAGATGGAGTCTCACTGTATATAGTTCAGGCTGGTCTTGAACTCAGTATTGTGCCCGTAGCTGAGGGTGGGCTTGAACTAGCAGCAGTTCCACCTCAGCCTTCTCTGTTTTGGGATTACAGGCAAGTGCTGCCACACCTTGCATAATTTACAGTTTTAATCCGTGCAGTCCAGTAGAAATTTAATGGAGCCACAAATTCGTCAGGTACATATCTAATTTAAATTTATTAAATTATAAACTAAGGGTGTGGCACAGTGGTAGAGAAGTTTGCCTAATACAACAGGCCCGGGTTAAGTCTGACCCACAGCAACACGTGCATACATATACACACACACAAATTATTAGCTGTGTTTAAAAAGGGACAAAGAAGCTGATGAAGGGCAAGGGATTTAGCTCAGTGGTTTAAGCACCTGCCTGGCAAGTGAGGTCTTGAGTTTGATCCCTGGTACCAAAAAAAAAAAAAAAAAAGCAGATGATATTAATTTTAATAATATGCTTTGCTTTCATTTGGAGACAGGATCTGTGTATTTCAGACTGGCCTTGAACTCACTGTGTAGCCCAACCTGGCCTCAAACTCTAGTGGTTCTCCTTCCTCAGCCTTCCTAGTGCTGGGATTACAGGTGTGCATCACCACACCTAATGTTTTGTTTAGCTCAGTGTGTCCAACCTATCATTTCAACATGCGATGTAATCAGTATAAAAAGTTAAGAGATGTTTTACCTTCTGTTTTTTTATCCCATGGTTTTAAAATCTAGTGTGTATTTTAGATCTCAAATGGAACAGTTTCGAAGACTCAGCGGTCATACATTGCCGGTGGCTCCTACATTAGCAGTGCAGGGCTAGGTGGGGAAACAGAAGAGAAGCCAAGTAGATCTACCTCAAGCTACTGGTGATTGGTAAGGAAGTAAACTGGGGAGATGTGGCAATTTGTTGTAGACAGGGTTTGCAGGGAAACAATTTAATAAAGGACACATAATTTATAGAATTATTTATAATAGTCACCCAAAAAGTCAAACACAAGAAAAGTACAGAAAATCAGTCCGCTCCCTAAACAACTCAGAGAATCCAGCTGAGGGCCCAGATACCATGGCAACATCTTATGTGAGTCCAGCCAAAGACCTAGAGCCCATAACAATGTCTCATGCAAGTCTGTTCCATGGATCTGCGCTGGGATGGCCCAAATGTCAGCAATGGAAGCTATAAAGTCTGTACCAGGGGGATGAAGGATCTGTACCAGCAGGAGGGATCTGCACTGGAGCCAGGAAGTGATGCTTAAAGAAATGATCAGAGCTTCCCTGAAAGGTACCAGAGCCATCTTCAGCGGCAGTGAGTTCCCGAGCTCCTTTGATGAAGAGAACAGCAGAGCTGGTATCAGGAAGCCAGCGTGGCCAGCTTCTCCAGGAGATTGAACAGCACACATCTTCCCCTCTGGAGCCAGGAAGTGATACTCAAAGCCAGAACCAGAGCTCCCCAAAAGTGAACCACAGTCATTCTCAGAGATGACCAGGTCCTGAGCTCCTCTGATGATAACAGCCAAGTTCATATCAGGAAAGAAGCTTGACAAGCTCCCCAGGAGAACCCACGGCAACAGAAGAATCAACAGTGCTGCAGAAAACTAACAACACTGCCTCTTCCTCTCTAGTTCTTTTTACATTGGCAACAACCCTCAGGTAGGCCTTCCATACCCAGCACCACGCTGAGTGCCATTTCAGCTGGGTGCCACAAGTTGCAAACCAGTTGTCAATCCACCACATAGTTTGAGAGGAAATGGTTAGGAGGGTTGAGAAGATGGCGTTTGCAAAAGAATCCCAAGGAGTTGAGAACACTGAACAAAAGAAATTGCATTTTTCAGCATTTAGTACCATCCAAGATAAGTTTTTGAGGTAATGGGCATGTTCTGTGTCAGTACCATCCAATTCAGTAGCCGTGAGCTCTGTTGCTTTCAGACACTTGACATGTAGCTGAAGAACTGATGTTTCAGTCCTGTTAATTTTTCATTAATTTTGCTGGGTGTGGTGATGTATGTGATCCCAAGCCTCAGTAGGTTGAGGCAGGAAGGTGTTCAAGAGTTTGAGGCTGGCATGGGCTTCATAGTGAGTTCATGACCAGCCTGAACAACATGCAAGACTCTGTCTCAAAAAAAAAAAACAACCATTTTTTAATTAATTAAAAAAAATTTTTTATCCTTTTTAAGACAAGGTCTTACTATGGTACTTCAGGCTAGCCTTGAACTCACAGCAGTCCTCCTGCCTCAGCCTCCCAACAGGCATGCACCACCACACCCAGCTTTTTAATTAATTTAAATCATCAAACAGGGCTGGCAGGGGGTTCCTGTATTAGATAGTAGCTGGTACTGTGAATTAAGCATGAATAAAACTGTAGAAATAACTTCTTGAAAAATGGAGCTAGGGGCTGGAGATTTAGCTCAGCGGCATAAGCGCCTGCCTTGCAAGCAGGCAGTTGTGAGTTTGATCCCCAGTACTGATAAAAAGGAAAAAGGCAAAAAAAAAAAAAAAAAAAAAAAATATATATATATATATATATATATATATATATATATATATATATATAAAGAAAAATGGAGCTACAGTGAATTACACCAAGTCCTTAACCGGGCATGGTGGCGCACACATGTGGCCCAGCATTCTGGGAGGCTGAGGCAGGAGGATTGCAAGTTTGAGCCCAGCCTGGGCAATTTAGCAGCTTAGTGAGACCTTGTCTCAAAACCAAACAAAACAAAACAATTAAAAAGAACTTGGGGGGTGGCTCAGTGCAAAGGCTCAACATTCAATCCCCAGTACTAGGAAAAAAAAAGACCGGAATAGAATTCTGGTTGAGGCCCAGTGGTGTGTATCTGTAATGCTAATTACTTGGGAGGCGGAGGCAGGAGGATCACTGCGAGTTTAAGGCCAGTTTAGGTTACAGAGTAAATCTCCAAAAGATCAGCTTGGGCAACATAGTAAGACCTTCCCCTCAAAGAAAAGAAATTAAGACAAAATGGCAAAGTTCTTCAAAGTTCTACTCTTCTTGGTTTTGATGGTAGAGTATTGAACTGCATCTTCTACCCTTTTCTTTATTTTTAAATTTTGACACAGGGTCTCGCTACCCAGGCTAGTTTGAATTTGTTACCCTCCCCTGTCAGCCTCCTAGGTGCAGGTGCCTGGGATTACAGCCACCATACCTGGCTCACTCATCTATCTATGTTCTTGATAATAGGTTTTATTTTTTAGAGTGGTTTTAGATTTATAGGAATATTGCAGAGATCGTTAGTTACCATTATTCTCCACACCTGGTTTCCTATACCAATAACATCTTTTTTAAAATAAAAAATTTGTTGTTGATTTTTGTACCAGGGATCGAACTCATGATCTCACGCTTGCCCTGGAGGCACTTACACTCTGAGCTAAATCCCCAGCCAGTAACATCTTTTATTAACATGATACATTTGTTGTAATTAATAGGCCAGCTGAGCATGGTGGGCCATGCTCCCCAGCACTCAGGAGGCTGAGGCAGGAGGATCTCTACCAGTTCCAGGTCAACCCAAACTATGTAGTGAGACCCTGTCAAAAGCATAACAAAACAAACAAATCCATCTAGGCTCCTAGAGTATTAGTTGCTAAAGGTGTTACTTCTTTGAGATCATGAATACTTTTATTTGTGCATTATTTATTTATTTGGGTACTGGGAATTGAACCCAGGACTTTGCATCTAGCTGCATCTCCAGCCCTTTTCTGTTTTTTGTTTCTTTTGTTTTTGTCTTTTTCTTTTTTACCGATACCAGGGATCGAACTCAGGACTGCCTGCTTGCAAGGCAGGCACTTATGCCGCTGAGCTAAATCCCCAGCCCCCGTTTTGTTTTGTTTTAAGATGGGAGTCTTACAGAATTGCCCAGACTAAACTCAGATTTGCAATCCTCCTGCCTCAGCCTGGGGTTTCAGGCTGTACCGCCTTCCTGGCCATCAGTACCCTTTGACCACCCGCAGTGCATGAAATGTGGGTGCTCACCGCCAGGGGGATACAGCCGTGGCCTCGGAGCTCAGCATCAGCTCCGTGGGGACAGGTCTAAGAGGGCGCCCTGGGCAAGGTAACTGTCTCTGAGCTTCAGCCTCTGCTTCGTGAAGTAGGGGTGATTATAATACTCCCTGAGGGCACTGTGACAATTAAGTGAGATAACCTACTTTTAGAAACTCTGGAACAGAACCTGACCAAAAAAAAAAAAAAAAAGTGCTTATTACATCTCCCTGTCTCTGTCTCTAATGTTTGTGGTGCTTAGGATGGAACGTGGCCTTGCTCCTGCCAGACAGGCATCTTGGCCCATGTCTTATCTGCACTACTACAATAACAAGGTAGGCAGATGACTGCCAAGTACAGGCTCTGCACCTGGAGAGCAGGTGATGGGAAATCTTGAGTGCCTTTGGGGTGGCCCTGGAGGGCTTGCCGTGTTGCAGTGTTGCTGCTGAAACACCAGGGAAGAGACTATTTCAGGCAGAATGAGCAGTGATGCCAGGTACAGCGGCACATCTTTGGGATCCCAGCTGCCTAGGTTCAAAGTCAAGTTCACAGTCAGCCTGGGCAACTCAGTGGGACCCTAGGGATCAGTCACCTTTTGGAGGGTAGGCACACAGTGCCCGACGTAGGCAGAAGGTTGGCTTGGGACCCCAGTGGCAGAAGTTTCAGGCTGTTGTGAGAAGTACACAGTAGAGCAAAACAACTCCAACGACAGAAGAGGGCTGGAAAAGACAGAAGCAGAGGGGGCCAGAAGAACACATTTTCAGACTACACCCCCAGGAACCTGCTTTCCCCAGCCGGGTCCCACCCCTGCCAGCCCCTGTGGCTGGGAATTCAGTGGAAGGCATTAGTGCCCCTGCAGGCCAGTCACCTTCCACAAGCCTCACCTCTACACAAAGCCCTTGTGGGATTTTGATCCAAACTGTACGACTTTACCAAGGCCCTGAGATTCCATCCTGGCTCCACAAAAACTCTAAAGTAAGGGCAAAGATCCTGAGTCAGGCAGGAGCCAACAGACTCTGGGATCGAGGAAAGGCCAGCTGGGCCACAGAGGACACCCATGGACCTGACAGGATCGGGTCACATGAGGCCTCATTGGTGCTGAGAACCAGTCCGGAGGCCGAGGGAATGACTTTCAGTAGCGTTCAGGCCTGGAAGACAGCAGTGAACTGAACCCAGACCTGCACAGTTTCACAGATCTTCCCTGAGGAAGGGAGCTTGTTCCCAGTTTTGTCTCTGGGCAGGAGTGTAGTTTGGGCCCTCGGGTAGGAACCAGAGTCCTCTCTGGCCAAAGTCATCCAGGTGGTTCTTGCCAGCACACCAAGTCCCAGTCCCCTCTCAGCCCAGGCTGTCAAGGAGTCATAGGCCCAGAGACAGATGACTTTGTGGGTCCCTGCTCTCAAGGACGTGTTGACTCTGAAGGAGACAGAGGCCCGTGGGCACCGGGACCCACCCAGCATGACCGGACTGGCACAGGTTGGTCTCACCTGGCACAGTGAAGGAGGGTCTGTGGGGGGGGGGGCAGATTGGGCCTAGAGAACCAGTGGGGTCACCAAGGGAGGGCGGTGTCTGCTGTGTCTGTCCTCAGCTGTGAGGTCCCTAGAATCATGTGAGGTAGTTGGCAAGCGACCCCACAGCTAGGTGCCCCTAAGGACTGGGCCTGTTTGACCCTTGCCTATGTTCATACAGCCAAGGAGCTAGAAAAGCTTTAGATTTTACACAGCTGGGGGGAAAAAAACAAAAACAGGACAGTAGCATTATGTGACATACAAAAATTACACCAAGTACGGATATCAATGTCCTTAAGCTTTTCCAGTACACAGCCAGCCCAGGGCTGCTCCAGAGCCACACAGGTAGAGGCTGGTGGGGCTTTGTGCACTGCAAACTGTATCCACCTTAGCCTCGTCCTTCGGTCCTCAGGATCCCAGGATGCTTGGTGTTGTTTCCAAGAGGAGACCTGCGTTTTCAGGCTGGCCTCGAACTCACGATGTAACCCCAGCTGACCTTGAATTTGTGATCTTCCTACCTCAGCTTCCCACATACTGGGATTACAGATGTGCGCCACCACATCTGGCTTGAGTTTTTTAATGGTCATTGAAGAAGGGCACTGCCTACAAAGCTTCAAGTGCTTGCTGTCAGATTACTTCCAGGAAGACTGCAAATCCCTGCTGGGGTGGACAAAACAGCTGTGCAAAGAAGTGGTGTGCCCCCACCCCCGGAACCTGAGCGTTCGGCTTCACCCAGTAAGTGCACCTGGAGGGGGGATCAGATAGAGGGTGTTGAAGTAGGAGATGACCCTGGGTTGTCCTCCCAAGAGGATGGATTGATGACTGACTGATCAGTTGAGTTTTTTTGAGATAGTCTCACTGTGTAGCCTAGGCTGGCCTTGCTTTCACTGTGCAGCCCTGGCTGGTCTTGAACTTGAAGCCATGCTCCTGTCTTGGCCTCCTGAGTCCTGGGATTACAGGCGTGCACCACCACGCCTGGCCTACACTGGACTTTATAGGAGGGCGGCAGGAGGGTGTGGCACAGACCTGAAGATGCAGTGCTGCTGGCTGTGAGCAGAGGGAGCCAGTACCTCTAGAAGCTGGAAGGGCAGAGGATGTCCTCCCTCAAGCCTCTGGGACGGACTTGGCTTGCCAACCTCTTGGTTTAAAATTTATTTCATCTAAAGGACATAACTGCATGTATATTTAAGTGTATAAGATAGGTAACCATATTACCGAGTTTTATTGGATCATTGAACAGAACTGTTTGCAGTCTCACTGTATAAATGTCCACTCTATATGCTTTAATTTTGTAACTTGAACAACTATTTCTAAGATGACAATATGTAATCTATTAACTAGTGATTTCCTACTGTTGATTTTTTCTGAAATTCTGTATAACTTCTACTCTTTTTCTGTTTTGTTTTTCTCCTTAAATAAAATTAAAAAACAAAACAAAACAAAAAAAACTTATTTCAGACGTCCAAAATCCAGAGCCATGAGATAGATAAGTGACTGGGTTTTTTGGGTGGTTTTTTTTTTTTTTTTTTTTTTTTTGGTCTTTTGGAGACAGGGTCTCATACAGTTCAGGCTGGTTTTGAGCTCTCTCTGTAGCCCAGGCTGATCTCAAATTTGCAGTAATCTTCCTGAATCAGCCTCCTGAGTGCTGGGATTACAGGCATAAACCACCATGCCCAGTTGATATGTGACTTTTATTTTATTCTTTTTTTGGTACTGGGGATCAACCTCACAACCTAGCACTTGCCAGGCAGGCACTTATGTGCTGAGCTAAATCCCCAGCCCCAATATGTGACTTTTAAACCACTTCATTGTAGTATTGATTACAGCAGCCATCAGGACTATGTGATAGGCAACCAGCATCTAAGAGAGGTTAAATTACTAAATTGCCCAGGCCAGTTTTAAATTTGCATCCTCCTGCTTCAGCCTTCCAGAGTGCTGGGATTACAGAAAGGTACTACCACACCCAGCAGAATTTATCTTTTCTTTGAGAGAATTTTAAAATGAGATTTAGAAGTTGGGTGTAGTGGAGCATGCCTGTAATCCCCACATTCAGGAGGCTGAGGCCAGAAGGTCACTGTGAGTTGGTGGCCAGGCTGGGCTACATAGTTCAAGCCAGCCTGAACTACGCAACGAGATCCTGTCTCAATAAATAAAAGTTTTATGTTTTTTTCTTTACTGGAAGAGAGAACAGACAGCAAGCAGGAAGTGGAGTACAAGGAGGAGAAAAGGTAGGTGGCTTCTTGGGTGAGGCAGGGAGGGAAGGTCAGGAATGCTGGGGGGTACAACAGAGGAGGTGGGCTCCACAGGGATAGGAGGCTGGACCTGGGGGCTCGGTGAGCAGGTCAGTGAGGTATGGAGACCTGGGGAGAGGCTGGATGGGGTGACCATGGCCCGGCCCTTCACCTCTCGGTCCCTAGACAGCCAGATGGTGTTCAGAAACAGAAGCCAGGCAGGCTCCATCAAGGCCAAGCCACCTTTGAGAGAAGATAGGAGCCTAGCAAGTCCTGCAGGTGTGGTGATGCTTTTCTGCATTCAGAAGGCTGAGGCAGGAGGATCACAAGTTCGAGCCAAGCCTGGGCAGTTCAGTGACTTAGTGAGATCCTGCCGCAAATGAAAAGGATGGGGGATGTAGCTGTGTGTGAAAACCCTGGGTTCCACCCCCATCCCCATACTACAAAAATGAGAGGGCTCAGCCTGACTCCAGCTGAAAGGCTAAGTAGGTGCCTATCACAGGAGGTTGCAAAGCATTGCATTTTTTTCTCTGGGCAGCTGAATTGATTTTCAAGTTAGCAAAGGTTTGGCATTCAGTCCACAGTGAGGTCACAGCCAGAGGGCAGATAGGCTGTGACCTGTGTCCCAGTCTGACCCTAGCGACTGGCCCTGGGGCAAACATAGCCACGTGGCCTCCCACCTCCAAGCCTCAGGCTGCGTCTCTGCAAAAGCTAGGTGCAGTGCTGCCTGCCTGCCTGCCTGCCTCCCATTCCAGGAGGAATTGCAAGTTTGAGCTCAGCCTGGGCAGTTTAGCAAGATGTCTTCTCATCGAGGGGAAAAAAGAAAAGGCTGGGAATGTAGCTCAGTGTAAAGGCCCTGGTTTAACCCCCGTACCACACTGGGACAGAAAGAAGACAGAAGAAAAGCAGGCAGTATGGCTCACAGGGTGACCCACAGGAGCAGCGCCGGGCGGGGCACTAACATGCAGGTGCCTGCCTGATACACAGAACTGTGGTCAGCACCCCAGGAGCAGCCGCAATCTCTGTCTCCCCCTCCTCTGTCCTCCCCCCTCCCTTCTGTCTGTCTGTCTGTCTGTCTGTCTGTCTGTCTGTTTGTCTGTCTCTTTTAGTTCAGACTTTGACTCTTAAGATAAACATGGGTCACTGACCTGAGCTGGCCAGCAAACTTTCATTTTCTAGAATCAGAGTCCAGGCCCTTGCATCTTTCTGAGCCCTTTATCCTCTGGGCTCAGGGCGTGGCCTGGTGTGCCCTGCTGTCCCACAGCCTTGCTGACAGTGACCACTCTGCCCCCGCTTACCGAGTGAATAAATCAGTAACTTGTACCCTCCCTCTCCCTATCCCCGGAGGACTGAGTGGTTTCTTTCCTAAAGTTCCCCGCTCTCCTATCCACCCCTCCCTTCTCACGCCCTGAGCGCACCCTCCTGTTGTGTCTCCCTTGGGTGTTCACAATGCCCATTTGGGCTTTTCAGAGAGAAGCTGGGGGCTTCTACCGCAGGTTCCCCCCACCCACTCTGTTTCCTGGCCGGCATGGGCTGAGCAGCGCTTCCCTGCGTGGCCCTCTCTGCCTTGGGGTCGACTGAATCCTCGGAAAACCTGGCTCCTGTGTAAACCTGGCCTCCTTCAAATCTCAGGTGCTGGGTATTTTGTCCCAACCTATGCAAAGCACCTAAGACAGAAAACAGGTGCCTTGTACTCTTCACATAAGTGAAATCTTACAGCACTTGGCTTCTTGAAAAGGGCTCTGTCACTGAGCATAATATTGTGATTTGTGTCCTTCATCACTGTCATGTGCCAGCACTTCATCACTTTGTCGTGGAGATTGAACCCAGGGCCTTTGTCCCTGGGCACCCTTTTGGGCGGGTGGGGGTCAAGATCTCACCAAGTTGCCCAGATGCCAAATCCTCCTATACTGTTATACTGTGTGTATCCATTTATCCATCATTGGATGCAGACTGTTTTTACTTTTTGGCTGTCAGGAATACACTGCTGGGAATGTTCAGGTGCCAGTCCCTTGTGTGGGGTGTATACCAGATAGGTGGAGGACGCCAGACACGATGCCCTGTTGCACTTCCAGGACAGGCCAGACTTTTTTTCCAATCTTTTAGCACCCAGTACTGGGGACTGAACCCAGGGCCTTTGCACCAAGCTCCAGCTCCAGTCCTTTTTCTTATTTTTATGTCTCGCTATGAGACATGAGTCTTGCTATGTCGCCCTGGCTGAGCTTGACCTTGTGATCGTTTCCCTGTGAAGAAGACGGCTTCTGGCTTATTAGTCACTGGCAGGCGGTCGGCTTATCATTTCAGTTCCTCCATCCTAGGCACAGAGCTCTGTAGTGCAGTGCTTGCTTAGTCTGCAGAACCACAAAATAAGAAAAGAGGGTTGGGGATTTAGCTTAGTGGCATAAGTGCCTCCCTTGCAAGTGCACTGTCATGAGTTCGATCCCCAGTACAAAAAAGAAAATTCCCCTAGCCTGGGTAACCCCTGGGAAGCAGCCGGGGAGCCCCGAAAGTCTGCAGTGAGCAGCCTGCAAGCTTGAGAGCCCGCGTGCTGGAGCGCTGGGGAGGGAGTGGCCAGAGCTCCAGGCCTTGTCCTCACAGACAGCTGCAGCGTTTCCGGGAGTGCTACGCACGCGCAGACCTCCAGGGCTGCGCTCAGAAGGGAAAGTGAATCTGTTCAGCAAGGCCAGATGTTACCAGGCCACTCCAAGCTCATGCACGTGGATAAATGCCAAAGGAGCAAAGAGCAGAGGCAGGATTCAGTGGAGGAGTCGGCAAGCTGGAGCGGGGTGGAGTGGCTGCCGGGCAGGACTGGCTCAGGCCAGGGCTCACTGCAATCTGGGCAGGGCCCCCTTGCTGAATTTTGAGACCGCATGGTGGACATTTACTCCCCAGACAGTCATGGGTTTTGTGGTCTAACCCCATGTGAGTTCTCCCACTGATGACCCTGAGCCAGCGTGAAAGGGCAGGAGGGTGATTGTCACTTTTATCTGCAAGGCTGGGGGTGGGGTTCAGTGCCAGAACACTCTCCTAGCAGGCCCGGGGTTCAATTTCCAGTGCCATAGAAGAAAAAAATAAAAACCAAAAAAACACCCTCAAGTTGGAGACCAGCTAAAAGCCTAGCAGGCCAGCTCACTTGGCGAACCCTAGATCTGCTAGAGATAGCAGCTAGACCTGCAACCATGCGGAATACTAGTGGCCCAGACCTCAGCCGAACACCCACTAACCCCCATGGTAGGCCCCTGACAGGGCCCTGTTCACCCCATTTTATAAGATCATGTGGGCAGCCGTAGGTCACAACACAACGCACACGCACACACACACCCTTGGGAGAGGGCTCAGAGGGGGCAGGGGTGTGGGGTCAGCTGACCCCAGAAGTTGTGCATGGAACCTGGATGTCTCCCTTGACCTAAGTGGACCTCAAACCTTCATAGGTGACAGTGAAAGTGGAAGAAGGAAGCGGGGTTTAGCTGGACAGGGCGCCAGCTAAAGTGAGAAAAAGCTGGAGGAGCTGATTGCAGTGGGCTGCTCTGGAAGGGAAGGGGAGGACAGGGCCCAGGCCTGTGGGAGGCTATGGGCTCACCATGGTACATGTCAGCTCTCCTCCAGTCAGGTGCCTGAGCTTGGAGGCCTGGGTCCAGGGAAGCAGGGGCGTCCTCGGGGTGCGACACAGCAGTGGTTTCTGGGACACATAAGACAGGGAATACCAGGGGCAGGCAGTGGGGTGGGGAAGAGGGGCTGCATCATTATCCTTGTCCTCCCATTAGGCACCTGGTGCCCCTCTGTGTCACTCGTGTGCACCCTGGATGAGCACATGGCTTCACAACGGCCCACTCAGGGGAGCTCAGGTAGCTCTCCTCACATGGAATCATTTCTGGGTCTTCCACAGGTCAAGGCACTGGACACCATGTGACAGTTCATCTTGACTGGATTGAAAAATGCCCGGGAAATATGTGAAGCACACTTTTGGGCGTGCCTATGAGGGCGTTCCAGAGCTGATTGGCAGATGGGACAGCCAATTGAGAGGGGCCCACCCTAAGTGTGTATGGCGACATCCAGTAGGGTAGAGGCCGGGATATAACAAAAAGAGAAGCCAAGCATGGTAGCACATGCCAGTAATCCCAGCACTCAGCTCTTGGGAGGCCAAGGGAGGAGTGTGACCACGAGTTCAAGGCTAACCTGAACTACATAGTGAGACTGTCTCAAAAATAAGAAACAAACTCAAACAAATGGGCAGCCAGGGCTTATTAAATTCCAGGGCAAGTGAGGCCTGTGGTTGAGCCCAGCATAGCTCAGAGGTTCCCCGGGGACGTCACCTCCAACACAGTCACCTCACCCGGTGCAGCCAAAGTCCTGGGACCCAGAGACCAGAGCTGGACAGCCTGGTGGGAGGAGAAAGTGCTGCTATTTTGGGATACTTTCACATTCCAGGGGTAGGGAGCCCACAGCCTACACCAGTGCTCCCAGCGGGTGGAGCCAAAAGGAAGCAGACCTAACTTGCCTCAAGAATGGCAGCTGGGGAGCTAGGGGTGTGGGGATTGGAAGGCCAGGGTCAGCAGGTAGAACCCTCCACTGTCCATGGAGGAAATGCAAGTAGGGTGGTAGCAAAGGGCGGGGGAGGGGGGAGCGGTCAGCAGCCAGGCTTTGTGGTGCATGCCTGTCATGCCAGCACTCCTAGGCACTGCGAGTTCAAAGCCAGCCTGGCTAGACAGTGAGTCCAAGGCCAGCCTCAACTGCATATCAAAACCCCATCTCAAACACAAACAGAGAAAAGAAAGAGCCCAACAGCAACATCATTCACAAGGCCTCAACCACACTGCTGACCCCTGGGCTGGATGGTTCTTTGTGATGAGGACAGGTCACTGTGCATGGTGAGACATTTAGCTTCATTCCTGGGCAACCAGCCACCCGCTAGGTGGTGACAGCACAATCTTTTGGACCTTGACAGGTTCCTTTGGGAGCCCCAGATGAGAACTGGTATTGTGTTGTGTTTTGGCTAAACACAACCTTATGCAGATATTTAAAGAACCAAATGATATCTAGGGCAGGTATCTAAAGAGCCTGCCATTTGGCCTTTTGCCTTTCTTTTTCTTTCTTTTGCATAAAGGAAGTTCAAGAGTCTTTGGAGGATCAGGGGCAAAATGTTATGGTTTGTGTCTGGAGGTCCCCCTAAAGCCTCATGTCATGGGAGCAGGCTTCTAGAGTTTGTGAGGTTTTCCATTTAGTAAAGGTAGGAAAAGAAGTTTGCTGCTCACAGAGTTATGGTGGCCACAAGGTTCATGCTGGAGGTCTTTGTGTCAGTTACATTTTTCTCATTGCTAAAACAAAATAACTGACACCCATTTAAAAGAGGGAAACGTTTATTTAGCTTGCAGTTTATGGAGGTTTCAGTCCATACTTGGCTGGCTCCAAGGCAGAATGGCAGAGGACAACAGTTCATGGTGGCAGAAAACATTAAAAGCAGCAAGAGCAAAAAGGGAAGAGCTCAGAGAGAAGACTTGTCCCTTATATTGTATGAAGGCCACACCCACTTGGGGGTAGCACTCACATCCATAATCCCAGCACTGGGCTATGATTCAATCACAAACTCTGGAAATCATGGCATGATTACATGAGCCTTGGTGGGGGGGAACATCAAGACACAACCATATCATTTTGCCCTGGGTACCCTCAAAGACTATGCATATCTTTTATACAAAAGACATTTAGTCAATCTCCAAGAGTTGCCAAAGTCCTAACATTTTCAGCATTGCTGAAAGTCTCCCCCAAGATCTAAGGCAAGCTGATAGCTGTGAGCCCTTGTACAAATGAAAAGTTAAACACTTCCAGCATTCAATGGTACAAAATAAACATTACCATCCAAAAGATAAAAACAGGAATACAAATAAAGTGCAAAATCCATCAGGGCAAACATTAATTCCTGCAGTTCACGTGGAATATCTGAAGCAATCTGTGGTAAGTTGTGAGCTCCAAAGGCTTGTGTGACTCTGCCCCAGTGGCACTTCTGGTGGTTGTAGCTCCCATGGCTTCTCCTTAGGTCTGTTCTGCTCAATCCTTGCAGCTTTTCTTAGATGACCCACCTTCCTGGCTTTTCCAAACTTCTGGGTTCTCCTTTGGACCTTTGGCGTCACACTCACGTCTTCACACACTGCCCTTTCCCCTGACCTCCCAGGCCTTCTGAAACCTGGATGGAAGCCTTTTTAACCTCAGAACTTTTGTATTCTAAGTAGAGTATACACCATTGTTACCCCCTGATTGATGTGTTTGAAATTTTACTTTCCTTGGTTTTCTTTTTTTCTCTTTGAAATAAAATGGATTTGGGAAAGAAAAGAAAAAACTCTTGCATTCTGCATGCACCTAAAACCAGCGTCGCATGGATGATTCCAAGGTCTGCTGGAGCAGTAGCCAGGCTCTCTTCTCTCTTGGCTGTAAGGGTTGAGTACCTGGATCACTGGGCATTCTGAATCCAATTCTGAAGAACAAATTCTCTATGATGCTGCTATTCTGGAACCTGGTGCTCTGCAGCTTTGTCCTGAAAGCAAAGTCTTTCACTTTTGCAGTTTTGAGGGTGCAAAAGGTGGGACTTGTTGCTTCTTGCACTGCTCTGAGGCCATCTTTTGTATTTTCCTGTTCCTTCTCAGCAATCAAGATCTTCTCAGCTTTATCTTTGCAGTGCACAGCTTTTCTAGAGCTTTTTTCTTGGCCATACTCACAATATTTAAATCATCCTGCTGAGTTCTTTGCTCTTGATTCACAACATAGATCTGGCTTAAAGTCCCCAACAATATCCATGCCATTGCCCCAAAATTAGACTGCCTTAAAATTTCTTCCTCCAGGTTAATTTGTCCACTGCCCTTAATCCTAGTCTCAGGCAAAGTCTTGACATGAGCAAAACACAGGCAAACATTTTACTAAGTTATAACACACATAATCTGGACTCCCAGTCATGAGTTTGATCCCTGGTACAAAAAAAAAAAAAATCTGGACTCCCAACAACCAATGCAATCCTTTTTCCAAGCAAAAACCTCCCAAGCCTGGTCTTTATCAGCAAGATTTCTATTAGCCTTCTGACTTCTGAGCTCTGGCCAGAATCTCCCATACAAAATAGCCTAAGGCATTCCAGCTGTACTCTTTCAGGCAGCTTCTCCAAACCATTCCCAAAGGCTCTTGAACCACATGGTCAGGTATTGTCTCAGCAATGACCCCACTTCTCTGGTATGTAATTCTGTCTTGTTAGTTTTCTCTCATTACTGAGACAAAATATCTGACAGCCAGGTTTGGAATGGTTTAATTTACCCACAGTTTGTGGAGGTTTCATGCCATAGTCTGCTGATAGTAGAGAGCAAGGTGGCTGATAATAGAGGGTAACAGTTCATGGTAGCTGGAGGACAGCAAACACAGGAGCAAAAAGGGAGGAGTGTGAGAGAAGACTGTCCCTTATACTGTATATAGGCTACACCCACCCTAGGGTGGGTGTAACACTCACCACCATAATCCCAGCATTGGACCATGAATCAGTCACAAACTCTAGAAGCCTGCCCCCATGAGTGCATGAGGCTCTGGGGGGACATCCAGACACAAATCATAACATAAACACTGACTCAAAAGACCAAAAAGAGCAAAAATATGTTACCTACAAAGAACCTATAACAGCTTTGCACTATACCACAGAATGCCCGAGACTACTGACTTATAAAGAGAAATGGTTTGTTTAGCTTCACAGTTTCAAAGGTTCAAGTCCAACATCAGGTCACGCCTGCTGGTTTAGGTTCCAGTCAGGCCCTGGATGGTGCAAATGCCATGCTGTTGCGAACTTGGTCACGTCTCAAGACAGGAAGTGGCAAGGGACCCAGAGACTGTGTCCTCTCAAGCCAAACAGATGAGAGAAGAAACCTCAAGGAAAATTAGAAGTCACTGTAAATGAAAATGTAAATACAACACAGCAAAACTTCTGGGATACAGGTGAAGCAGCACTTGGAGAGAAACTATATACATTTTTAAAAGATAAGAGTGAAGGTGTATGGGGCTGGGGATTTAGCTCAGCGGCATAAGCACCTGCCTTGCAAGCAGGCGGTCATGAGTTTGATCCCTGGTACCGATAAAAAAGTAAAAAAAAAAAAAAAGGAGTGAAGGTTTACACTGTAACTCCAGCACTCTAGGAGGCTGAGGCAAGAGGATCTCAATTTCAAGTCCAGCCTCGGCAACTGAACAACTTACCTGAGGCACTGTAAAATAAAAATTAAAAGGGGGCAAGATGTAGCGCTGTGTAACAGGTCTGAATTCAATCCCTAGGACTACCAAAAAAAAAGATAAAAAACAAAGATTTTAATTGATAACTTTATACCCTTGGAAGCTAGAAGAATAAGAGTAAACTAAATTAAAGCAATAAGAAAGGGTATAATAAAGATTAGCATGGAGACAAGTAGAAATAGGGATAAAAAACACAAGAAAAGAATTGATTAATATGAAAATTGGTTCTTTTAAAGATCAACAAAATTGACAAAATTCTATCTTGACTAAGAAAGACAAAAGACTGGGAGAATCCAACAAGAAGCCAACCAGCCAGCCTTTCTGACAAGTGGTACAAGCTGTGCGGCTTTCAGGAAAAGTCAGAGCATCAAACCCCACCCGGTAAGCAACTCACTGGGAGGGCAGGCTGAGGCGACAGCAACTGAGGTGCATAAAGCCACTAAACACCTGTATTGCTTGGTTGATTATGCTGACCTGGGGCCAGCGGTCTGAGCAGCTCTTGGGAGGATGACAGTATGCAGTAGCAAGTGTGGGGGATTTCCTCCTGTCTTGTCTTTGAAATCCAATATTGTTTTGCACTGTTTTTGCTTTATTCTGATTAATTATTTTGCTTTATTCAGTATTCTGTGTTGATTGGTTTCTTCTGTTTTGTTTTTGTTTGATTTTGCTACACCTGATGGAATGGACAGCTAATGTGAAAATAACAAGATACACTATGGTAGCCATTGTTGTTTTCCTAGTAGCCTGCTTTGAAGTTCTGTACCAGTTTTCCTGCTTTGTTTTGATTGGCTCTGTTCTGTGTTTTTTTTGTTTGTTTGTTTGTTTTTTGTTTTTGTTTTTGTTTTTTGGTTGGGTTTTACTATCTTTAAAAGAAAAAGAAAAAATCCCAAATAATTAAAATCAGAAATGATCATAGTGACTTAACTACAGGCCTTGCAGAACTAAAAGGGACAGAGTTATAAGAGAATATTATGATCAGCTATAAACTGACAAAGGAGCCAGGGATTTAGCTCAGCAGCATAAGCACCTGTCTGGCAAGTGCAAGGTCATGACTTGGATCCCTGGTACCAAAAAAAATAAACTGAAAAATGAGATAACTTCTATGAAATGAACTAATTCATAAAAAAGCAAACCATCTAAAGTGATTCAAGAAGAAATAGATTTTTCAGGCTAAATTTGAACTCAGTATGTAATCCAGGTTGGCCTTGAACTAGTGGTGATCTTCCTGCCTCAGCCTCCCAAGTGCTGGTATTACAGACGTGCAGTACACTACCACACTCAGTAAAAACAGAAATTTTGTTGTACACTATACTCTAGGGACTCCCTTTTTGGCCTGATCCTGTGGCTTTCAAAATCTTCCTGAGAAGAAAAAAAAAAACAAAACATACATATATATATATACATTTACTGGCAATTGAACTCACAATCTCACACTTACCAGGCAGGTGCCATGCCACTGAGCTCTGTCTCCAGCCCTCAAACTCTTTTAAAAGATCCACAGCTACTCAAAAGCCCAGGGTGGGTGGTGGTGGGGTGAAGGTGCTCCAAAGTTCCCATCCCTGATTGAACCCCACAGCTCCACTCTAATTTGTTTTCCAGGTCAGGGGAAGGGGGAAATGAGGGGCTCTGCACCCTCTCCATTCGACCTTGCTGACCCTCCAGAGAAAGATCTGGCCAAGCAAGGTCAGGTTGCAGAGGCCAATGAGGTGTGGTGCTGGTGAGGGGCCCTCAGGGGAGACCACACATCCAAGTGTGACAGCCAGGGAGAGCAGGGGTTCCACAGGGTTCTCGCTGGCAGGTCAGGAAGAAGAGGCTGGACCAGCCCTCAGCACTGGGGGTCTCAGTCTGTCTAGTTTGACTTGCTGTTGGAGACAATTCAACCCCATATGAATTTCAGGATCTGTTTTTGCATTTCTGAGAGAGACAGAGAGATACAGAGAGTCAGAGACACACAGAGAAAAAGAGAGAGAGAGAGAGACAAAGAGAGAGAATGCCTATCACTGGCATTCTGATAGAGATTGCATTGACCCTGCAGATCACTAGAGAAAGTCTTAGTTAATTTTTTTAAATTTTATTTGAGAAAAAGAAAAAAAAAAAGAAAAAAAAAGCAGAGAAAGGGTACAAGTTATACAGATTTACAGAAAAAAAATAAACAGTAGGAAATCACTAGTTAATGGATTACATATTGTCATCTTAGAAATAATTGTTCAAGTTACAAAATTAAAGCTTATAAAGCGGACATTCCAACAGTGAGACTGCAAACAGTTCTGTTCAGTGATCCAACAAAACTCAGTAATATCATCATCTATCTTATACACTTAAATATACATGCAGTTATATCTTTAGTTACTTTCTTGTTCCTGGGACAAACTACCTGACACCTACAAATTAAAGGAGGAAGCAGAGCATGGTAGCACATACCTGTAATCTCAGCACTCAGGAGGCTGAGATAGGTGGATTGTTGTGAGTTTGAGACCAGTCTGGGCAACAAAATGAGCTCAAGACCAGCCTGAACTCTGTAGTGAGACCCTGTCTCAAAAAGACAAAAAAAAAAAAAAAAAAAGGCCAGGGATTTAGCTCAGTGGTGCAAGCACCTGTCTGGCAAGTGTGTGGTCACGAGTTCGATCCCTGGGATTAAAAAAAAAAAAGGAGGAGAGGTTTATTGGCTCACGGTTTATAGAGGTTTCAAGCCATAGTTGGCTGACTTCAAAGCAGGCAGCATGGCAGAGGGGCATTGCAGAGGAGAAACAGTCCATGATGTGTCGGCAGGGAGCAGAGAGGGATCAGGGGAGGAGAAGGGAGATGACCCTTCCAGCCTGGACCCAGGAGCTCCTCCCACCAGGCCCCATCTCCCAGCACCACAGTGAGCTGTTAAGGCACAGTGGACTCATTCACTGGTGAGAGTCCCGGCCCCTCCCTAAGCCCCTACCCTTGAGCACATGAGGCTTTGTGGGGTGGTATCTAAATATAATCCATAACAGGGAGTACAAGTTTGGGATTCCCAATCCATGAACATGGGATGTCAATCCACTGATTTAGGTTTTCTTCAATTTTCCACAGTTTTAGTTTTCTGTTGCATTAGTCTTGTCCCTTCTTAGTTAAATTTATTTCTAAGCATCTTAGTCTTTCTGATCCTATTGTAAAATGAACTGTTTTTAAATTTTCATTTTGGGTTATTGATATCATATAAAAATATAATTGATTTTTGTTTATTGCTTTGTTGTTGTTGTTGTTTTGAGACAGGGTTTTACTATGCTGTTCAGACTGGCCTGGAACTGCCAGTGATCCCCCTGCCTTGGTCTCCCAAATCATGAACCACCACGCTCGGCTGCATATTGCTCTTGTATCCTACAAATATGCTGACTCCATTTATTAATTTTGAATCTTGCATGTGTGCTTAGATTATTTAGAGTTTTCTCTAACTAAGATCAGATCACTTGCAAACAGAAACAACCCTCCATACCTGTGGGTCTGTGTTCCAGGGATTCAAACAACCATAGGCCAAAATTATTTGAAAACAAATTGCATCTCACTAGGTATGATTGGTGCATGCCTGTAATCTCAGCTACTTTTGAGGTTGAGGCAAGAAGATGTTTGAGGCCAGCCTAGATGACTTAACCATAATGTACCTAAAAATTGTTAAAAGGTGCTAGGGGATATAGTTTAGAGTTGGAGTTCCCCGAAGTTTGAATTCTAGTACCTCAAAAATGAATGAACGAATGAATCAATGAATGAGATAAAATCCATGCCAAGCTGACTCCTGGCTAGGCAGAGGGCCCTGCTGTGCGCAGGAAGTGGTCGAAGAGGAACAGCAGGGGTGTGACTCACCCCTCCCCAGCTCCTTCTCCAGCACTGCACCCAGCAATGGCTGGGCAGATTTGACTCACGTGCTTAGAATGACCGGAAGCCAGGGGCTGGGATGGCAGATATAACAGATGGCTGGGCAGAGGCCTTCTGTGGGCACTGAAGGCATGGCTGGTGTGCACCCTACTACCCGGGCTCCACATCTGAGGCCCCCGGGGCTTGTGACCTCCACGCTACAAGTCCTGCCACCTTCTGTTGCTTGGGCTGTGTCTCCCTGCCCTGCTCTTTGCATCTTCCCCATGACCCTGGCAGAGCTCGGACACAGCCCCGGCCACAACTTCCCTCCCCTGCTAAACAAAGCCACCAGCAGCTCTGTAGTGCTCTCTCCACGAAAGTCACCTTTCTTGGTTTGGTACTGGGGCCCTGAATAATCTGTCCCCTCCCACCTGGCCTTCCGCTGTCACCCCTACCCCACCTCCCACCCCAGCTGTCCTGCACCTGCCAGATTCCCTCTAGCGCCCGGCTCTGCTGGCCTCCCACCAACGCCTCAAACTCTAGGGCTCAGCCAGCTGCTGTTCCTTCCGGAGACCTGGTGGACACCCTCCCCGCCCTTCAGCCTGCCTGAGCAAAATCCCCCACCAGCCATGTGCTCCACCCGAGGTGTGGCTGTTATCTACTCTCTGTCCCCAGCTCTCTGCATGTCACTCAGCACCTATTTTTAAATGAAGGTGTTGGCCAGCTGTGGTGGTGCATATCTGTGGTCCCAAGACTACAGGAGGCTGAGGCAGGAGGATTTTAAATTCAAACCCAGATTGTAAACCTCGGTGACCTAGTGAGACTCTGGTACAAAATAAAAATAAAAATAAAAAATGAAAAGAGGGCCTAGATGTAGCTCTGTTGAAGGCCCTAAGTTGAATCCTTAGTACTACAAAGTATTGATAAATGAATAGATGACAGATAGATAGATAGATAGATAGATAGTAGATGTGGGTTTTATGATTATGTAGATGTGGGGTGCCCAGTAGACGAGATGATTGACAATGAAAAAACACTTTGCCTGTAATCCTAGCTTCTTGGGAAGCTGAGGCTAGAAGATTACAACTTTGAGGCCAGTCTGAGTAGTTTAGCAAGATACATTGTCAAAAAAGGGAGGGGGGCTGAGAATGTGGCTCAATCATAGGGCAGCCCTGGGTTCAGTCTTTAGTGTGACACACACACACACACACACACACACACACACACTCAGGAGGAGAAAGGAAGGACCTTTGTACTCTCAGTGTCCCAGAGGAGGGGTTGTACTGTCCCAGCAGGGCCTCACGGGAAGCACCTGGGCCCATCAGAGGGCAGAAGGTGCAGGGGTGCCTGGGCGGGAGCCTTCCTGGTGGTTTCCAAGTGAAGGGCTGGGTGTGGCGGGGTGCACAGTGTCTGGGGCACAGGGGTGCTGTCTGGTTCCCGGGTGATTGAGACAGGTGGGTAGGGGCTTGGGAGTAGCACACTGGTCAAGCACTTGCTTAGCATGCAGGAGGGCCTGGGTCCAATCCCCAGCACCCCAAAGAAAAAGATTTCAGGTTTTTAAAACGTAAAGCATCCTACTTTGTCATTTGCTGCTTGTCTTGCATGTTGGCCCTAAGCAAGGAGTGCTTGAGATCTCTTTGCCGGGGTCTGCAAAGGTCCCACAAGAAAGCTTCAACATTCGTCAAGAGGCCCAAGGAGTGTGGAACATGGGGGGAAACAGTCTCTATTTTTGTGGCTTCCTTGGAAAGGAGACTTTGAAGCTGAGTAAGTGGGGTTAGGATTGGCACCCAGCTCCACACCCGGCATACAACAGGCACTTATACAGTGTTTGTTGAATGAACGCAGTACGGAACAGCCCCAAACTGGAGTTCAGTGAGAATTGAGCAACATCATCTCCAATGGCCCTGATGTGTCTACATGCTTATTGCTGTCACTTCATGGTCCTGCACTTGGCTGATGCATAAAGGATGCTCAGGAGGCAGATACAGTGGTGCACACCTGTCATCTCAGCACTTGGGAGGCTGAGGCAGGAGGTTCAAGACCAGCCTGGACTACAAAGTGAGCCTGAGGTCAGCCTAAACTACACAGTGAGACCCTGTCTCAAAAAGACAAAAAAATGCTGGAGACGTAGCTCAGCAAAAAGGCCTTGGGTTCAATTCCAAGTATTGCACAGAGAGAGACAGACAGACAGGCAGACTGACTTAGAAAACCTGTGTGGAAAGGAAAGCAGAGCTCAGCAGTAGCTTCAAAGAGTGACTCAGGGCCCCATAGGACCCCTCTGCTTGGTCCCTTGCCTCTCCCTCCCCTTCACCCCTCTCCTGGCCCCAGATTAAAGAGCCAGTATCAGGAAGCATCGTTTCCCAGCTGTTCCTCCCAAACACTTGAGCAGGGGTAGGGGAAACGTAAAGGTGGAGGCCAAACAGCACCAGTACCCGTAGCCTGAGTCCCTCCCCATGGCCATGGCCCCTGCCTATGGCCACTGCTGCCACTGTCCCCTGGAGCAGAGAGGTTGCTGGTCAGCCTGGGGCAGGAAGTCTCTCAAAGCTGGCCTTCCCGGAATGCAGGCCAGGGATTCGCAAAGCATCCTGTTCAAATCTTTTTCCTCCCTCCTCCTCTGGTTGCCAGATAACCACTGTGTATCTGGACCAAAGCAAGAAGCAGCTGGTTTAAAGGCATACAATTAGCAAAATCGAAGGGATGAGGAAGAATATCCCTTGCGAACAGGAAGGAAAAGAGAGCAGAGGTAGCTACACCTACCTCAGATAGAATAGACTTCAGGGCAAACACTGTAAAGAGAGGCCAAGGAGATGAGTATCTAATGATGAAGGGGTAAGTTCTCCAAGAAGATTTAGCGATGGGAAATAGAGTTACACTCAACATCAGAACACTTAAATACACACAGCAAATACTTAACCAATGTTTTTATTAGTCTATGCTTGCAGTATATATTATTTATATTCCTGTGGGGAGTTGTCCTTGGACATAATTCATCTTCATTCCTTTTTTAATTCCTTCCCCTCCACACTCCTCCCCACCCCTTCCCTCCAACTCTTGATCAGCTTCCAAAATCTACCTTGGAAGATCTAACTTCCTACTTCCGAATTTATCCTTCTTTACAGCTTAGTAGTACTCTGTCGCATGTAAATATCACATGTCCTCTATCCATTCATCTGTTGATGGGCATATAGGCCACTTCCAAGATTTTTCTTCTGTTGTGAATTGTGCAGCTATAAACATGGGTATGTATGGGTCACTGTAATATGATGACTTGAATCAGGAAGATACCTAGAAGAGGACTAGCTGGGTCAAATGGAATTTCTAGTTGTTCTTTGAGGAATCTCAGCAAATGTTAATATAACTAAAAGAAGAGAGGGAGAGAGAGAGGCTCCAGCACAATAATAGCAGGGCACTTCGACACCCCTCTTTCTACAGTGGACAGATCATGCAGATGGAAAACCAATATGGAAATATCAGGCCTGAACCACTCTGTAGTTCACACACTGAGACCGTTCCAGCTACAGAACACGTGTGCTTCCCTGGGGCATGATGACTGTTCTCAAGGGAGAGTCATGTGTTAGGCATAAAACAAGTCTCAGCAAATGTAAGAAGAGTGAAATTTGATTAACTACCTTTCCCAATCAGCATTCCCAGAACTTTCACAAAAATAACACATCTGTAGATTGTTTACACACTCGTAAACAATCGATGAGCTACATAACATATCCAAAAAAAATTCCTCAAAACTAAAGAAATAGGGGGCTGGGGATTTAGCTCAGCGGCATAAGCGCCTGCCTTGCAAGCAGGCGGTCGTAAGTTCGATCCCTGGTACCGATAAAAATGAGAAAGACCAAAAAAAAAAAAAAAAAAAAAAGGAAAAAAGACAAAACAAACAAACAAAACTAAAGGAATAGAAAAAGATTAAATGACCTGTCCTCTCTGGTCCTCTGCGTCCTCCCTGTCAGGCTGGATCTTCCATCTGTGGGCACTGACTAGAGGTGCCTTCCAGGACCCAGGGTCCTGCCCAGCCCCTGCCCCCTCCTGCCCGAGACAGCTGGCTCAGTGTATGAACAGAAGACCCCTGCCTACCTTCCAAACCCGTAGGCTCTGGAGTGGCCTCAGCCCCCAAGTTTGAACAGCAGCTATGGATCCCCAGAACCACCACATCACCCGAACTGGTAACTGGATGCCAGAAGGGCGGGTGATTTTATCCCCCAAGCCAGCCTCACTGGCATTGGCTCCTCCAGTTCAGACCTGACCATGAAGTCCTGGCTCCCACACTTACCAGCCATGGTCCCCAGGACTCCATGCTTTGAAAAAAAAATTTTTTTATTAGTACACACAGTGGTACATGAGAGTTACATTCCTTGTGGGAGTTGGTCCGTGCACATACCACATCTTAATTCTCTTTAAATCCCCACCTCCTCCACTTCCCCCACATCCCCTGGTCTCCTTTCACTCTCAAAGAAAGGATCTGTCATCTGGTTTCCTATTATCTTTTCTTTCTTTCTACGGATCTCATCATGTGGCACAGATGGACCTTGAACTTCCTATGTAGCCCAAACTGTCCTTGAACTGGCAGCGACCAGGCTGAGATTCCAGGCATGCACCACCATGCCCGGCAGTTTTCATACTTTGGGCTTCTCATATGAGAGTAACGTGATATTTAAGCTTGTGCATCTGATTTATTTCATTTAACATATGGTCTCAAGGTGTATCCACTATTTTACAGATGGCTCAGGTCCCGGTCTCCTTGAGCACCCTGTCTTCCGCTGGGACACCTGGGTCCCCAGCGCACATCGTAGTCCCACGCCCTCCCCTGTGGGACTCCTTAGGAGACCTCTCTTCCCAAAAAAGCTGCTGGTGCAACCACCCTGCAGGGCAGGGCAGACAGGTGAGTTCCCACCCACCACGGTCAACTGCGCAGGTGGGGGGCAGCGAGTCGTAGCGGGTAGGTTGGCCGTGGCCCGCCACGCCGCGTCCGCAAGCCCGCAACCACGCGAATCGGAGTCTGCCCAGCCTCGCCCACCCAGGGTAACAGGCCTAGGAACTTGAGAAGCTCACAGCACAGACCCGACGCCCACAAGCCCCGCCCCCAGCTAAGCCCCGCCCCGAGCTAACCCCCATTCATGAAGCCGGGCCACTTCTAGAAGCCCCGCCCACACCGCCAGCTGCGCTGCCATTCGTCAGGCTCCACCCACTAGCCCCGCCCTCATCATAAATCCCGCCCGCTCCTCGCACTGATCTTCGCTAAGGGGTTCAGAATGTGACAGGCACATTCGTGAGCACTGGGGCGATACAAAGAGAACGGCGGGCCTGGTGATGTGGCTCAGCAGTGGAGCATGCGCCAAACCCTGAGTTCCCTATCCAGCACTGCAAAAAAGAAAAAAATAGCAAAAAAAAAAAAAAAAGTTAAAAGTATTCAGCGGCACCTGCCTGCAATCCAGCACTTGGGAGGCTGAGGCAGGAGGGTCCTGAATTCGAGGCCAACCTGGGCAACAGTGCTTAGGGTCTTTGAGACCCTGTTTCAAACAAAACAAAACAAAACAAAACAAAACACCAGTTGAGAGCTCTTTGCCGGGCCCCTGTGCTTCCTGCACCCCTCTTTCCTCCCCAGCCCACTCCCCCCGGTTCCCAGTAGGTCGCCGTGAGCCAGAGAAAGAAGAAACAAATGCCTGGTGGATAAATTTTGCTTCGCTTCCCAGACATGATTAACCGGGGTTTTTGGCTTTGCTCTCAAACCCAATCTTTCCTCTTTATGGCTGCGGTTGTTAATAGCAGCTTTACTGGGTTCACTCTCAGTAAACCACGGGACAAAATCCGGGCGCCGCGCCCTGGGCCCAATAAACGGGTGCCACTAGTGACATCAACAACGGGGGGGCGCCCTCCTCCATGACCCGGGTTAGCACATCACAGACCTCCCGCCCTGTGCCCTCCCCACCCATGGCCACCAGGCACGGGCTTCGTTTTTACGGAAACGGCATTTCTATGCGGTGACACAGGAGTCTATAGTGCAGAAGGAGCACTATGAGGGTTAGGGACCCAGAGCGACAGGTGGCTTAGGAGGGGGCTGTGCGGGAAAGTTGTCCTCTTGGGCTTTGGTGGCCTGGGGCTTGTTGGCAGGAAGCCTAGCTTGCCTGAGTGTGTAAGGGTGAAGGGGCCAGAGAAGGGAGGAGGGGGGAGACCGGGACTGGTCAAGAGGCTTGGGAAGGGCCCAGAAGGTGCGTGGGGAGCCAGCCTTTGAGAAGCTGGGGGTCAGGGCTCACTCTATCTGTGCAGCAGGGGGAAGTCCAGAGTCTCAGGTGTGGAGGGAAGGGGGCGGGAGAAGGGTGAGGCATTGCAGGGTGTAGGGCCTTGCGTATAAAGGGTGCAGCTCACCCCTGCACCCCACAAGCTGCATACCTCACAGGCTGTGCACCGCAGCTCCTGCAAACCTGTGGTCATCGGTGAGTCCTCCTGGGACCGCGACTGGGCCCAGCAGCAGGTCCCCTCTGTCCTTGGGATCCTAGGTGGTGTCACCCACCTCTCCTGCGGAGGGCCGGGGAGCTGGCTTGAGATGCAGGTGTCCCCAGGGCCTGCACTGTCTTCCCCAGTCCCTGTCACTCCTTAGGAGGCTCTGTGATCCCTTGAGGTCCAGCCTGTGCCATGAACCCGTGGCTCCTCGCCTGCCTGGTGGCTTTCTTCGTGGGAGGCTGGGTCCCGGCCATGCACACCCAAGGTACTGTCCTCAGTCTACCTCCCTCCTCTGGAACCTGCTCTGTCTGTCCCCTCTCGGCATTTGTCCTTCCCCTCTTTCAGCAGTCCGTGGCATGGCAGGAATTCCTAGTGATTGTTCATCTTCCATGGAAGGAGACAGAACAGAGCTACTTTCCCTGGACACCCCCCCCTCCATGGTGGCTTCTTTGTGGCCTAGAGACTTGGGGAGCAGAGCAGTCTCTTGGGCCTAGAGACTAAGCCATTTACAATCCTGCACACATCACAGTGTCCCAGCTGGGCAGAGCCAGGGATAGGATTGGAGAGCCACGCTGCTCCGGAGATCTTTGGAAGTAGGGTCCACCTAAGGTCCTGCCCCCAAGTCCCTGTGGAGCCTGGCTGACAGTTGCAGCTTGGCTTTGTGGGTGTCAGAGATCTGAAACTCTCACTTCACAGAGGAGACGTGGGGATCCACTGAACTGCAAAAGGAAAAAAAAAAAAAAGAACTATTACCATAGTAGTGAGACAGCTTTTCTGTCTTCCTCCCTACTCCCACTCCAGAACAGGGTTTTGGTTATTGAAGGCCAGGTCTAGGCATGCAGCCTGCAGAGTGGAAAGCTATTGGCTCAAATAACCAGCCAACGGCTTCAGGCTCAGCTGGATCCAGGCGCATAAATTAAAGGGTGTCTCTCAGGAGCCTGGATGTGGGTGCTGCATCCCTGTGGGCACTGGCGATGCCACTGGGTCCCACAGACAGCCTAGCAGGGGCCTTAGCCGGGTGGGGGTCCCACTGTCCTGCCCTGCCTTTCCCATCTGCCCCTTTCCTGGATCCAAGCTCCCAGCAGTGCTTAGCCTTTGCCCAGCAAGAGACTGGGCTCCATTGTCCTACTATCAGAGCTAGGCCCAGCCCCTGCCCTTTGATCAGGGGGGATGTGGCCCTCCGCGCACGCGGGAGCTACCCTGGAGGATCTCCGGAGCACCCTTTGTGCCACCTATCCTCAGGGCCAAGGTCCAGGATGCACGGGGATGGGCCTCCCCTGCTCCACAGCCTGGCCCCTAGCAGCGGAAGCAGAACTGAGCACCAGTACAGGATGGCGGAGGAGCCCACTGAGGCTGGCACCAGGCCTGCCCTTCAGCGCCTCCCCTGCCCGTTCCTGCCACCTGCTCCTCTTCTTCTGATTTTTTGCCATCGCCACCTCCTCCTTAGGCAACCCCAGTAGGTGTGTCCCCCCTTTGCTCAGATCAGCCTCCCTGTCTCCCCAGCTCACCGGGAGTTCCCCATGTGCACCCCAGTTCCTCTCTGTGTTGTCTACATGTCCAGCAGTCACAGGAGCTCTTTAAATGCTTCTGTGCAAGCTAGGTGTGGGTGCACATCCCAATGCTCAGGAGGCTGAGGCAGGAGGATTGCTGTGAGTTCAAGGCCAGTCCGGGCTGAATAGTGAGACCCTGTCTCCAAAAAATGCCATTGCTAGACACTTAGATAAACCTCACATAGAATTCCCAGATTTGGCCAGGTCACGTGCATGGTCACTGTGGTGGTGATAGCAGGGAGAGGTATTTGAGCTACACCACTGTAGGAACAGGGCAGCCTAGAACCAGAGCCTGGACCTTGGGTGCTCCTTTCTAGGAAAAAAGGTCATCAGACTTGGGACTGATGGTCCTGGGGTCAGGGTGCTGACCTGCCCTCCCTTGCCCTCTGGCTCAGAGGGCATAGGAAGCATCTGAGGCTGTTCCTCTGGTGGTCCACACCCTGGGCCTGTGGACCCCCTCTGGCTCCTGCAGCTGTCTCCATATCAAAGGGTAAGAGTTAACCAGGAAGCTGGGTGTGGTGGTACACTCCTGTAATCCCAGCACTTGGGAGATTGAGGGAGGCTGAGGCAGGCGGATCACTGCAAATTCAAGACCAGCCTGGGCTATAAAGTGAGCCCAACCTGAACTGCACCGCAAGACCCTATCTCAGGGGCTGGAGATTTAGCTCAGCGGCATAAGCACCTGCCTTGCAAGCAGGTGGTGGTAAGTTCGATCCCCGTACCGATAAAAAGGAAAAAGACAAAAAAAAAAAAAAAAGACCCTATCTCAAACAGACCAAAAAAAGAAGTGAACCAGGCCAATTTTCCTCTTCCTTCCTTCCCTCCCTCCTTCCTTCCTTCCTTTCTTCCTCCCAGAGTCTCACTATGTAGCCCAGGCTGGCCTTGAACTTAGGGCAATATTCCTGCCTCAGTCTCCTGAGTGCTGGGATGACAGGCGTGTAGCACCATGCCTGGCTCAGGTCAGGTGTCATTGGCCTCTGCAGGGTGTAGATGTGTTGTAGTGTGTGCCAAGCACACACACACACACAGCTCTGAGTGCGTGGGTGGCGTGTGTCCACAGGTGTCTCGGAGGACTGCTGCCTGGCCTACCACCCCCCGCTGAGGTTATCCGTGTTCCTCCACGCCAGGTATTTCCGGTGGCAGGAGGTGAGCGGAAGTTGCAATCTGCCAGCCGTGATGTGAGTAAGGCCCCAGGGGGTGGCGGTGAGGGGCACAGATGGCCTCATCCCCCACCTCTGCACCCTAACTTGCCCACACCCTCTGGGCTTCCGTAGATTCCACTTCCCTCAGCCAGGCAGAGTGGTGTGCGGGAACCCGAGGGACAAGGTGGTGAGGAAGGCCATGCGGGTCCTGAGGACTCAGATGAAGTCCCAGCAGCAGGCCAGCAACGTCACTGTCCAAGGTGGGTGGGACCCAGCCCTCCCCTCGTGGGGGTCCTCTCCATTTACTGTCTCTGCAGAGAAAACCCAGAGAAACCAGGGGCTCTGCATGCTCCTGTTGCTGGCTAGCAGGGGACAGAGCCAATGAGCAACCAACCGGCTGGGTCCTGAGCAACTGCTCTTAGAATCAGGCCGCTCTTAAGGGCTGCAGAGGGAAGGTTCAAACAAAGTGGAAATTCATCCATGCAAACAGCCCACCGCTCCAGGCCTGGCTGGACCCCGGGGCTCAGAGATGGTGGCGGAATTTCTGATTCTTTCTGTCTCCATCCTCCCATAGGCCTACAGGCCCGAAGGAATAAGGAGAATTCTTCACTGTCCAAGATGCATTCCATCAGGCTGAGGCATCACCTGGGCAACGGCAAGAAGAATGCTGGGTAAGGACTCTAGGACCTTCAGTCCTTGGTCACCTGTGCTTAGGTTTGAGCGCGATTCTGGATCTGGACTGGGATCAGGCGGTCATCTGAAGACCAGAGGGCTGGCTGCGAGCTGGCCTGGCCTGCTCATGTGGGTGGTGCCTACTAGCGGCCCATGAGGTTTGGCTGAGCTCCCAAGCACAATACCAGGCAGGTGAGCCAAGAGCTGCTGGGGTCCAGTGAATGCAGAGAGTATTTTCATTCCTTCGTACCTCACCCAACCCAGAGTAACTCCCTCCACTCCGAGCCACTGTGCAGCAGTCCTACAAGGTTCAGTCCTCACCGGCTGGGGAGTGGCCCAGCGTGGAAAGCGGCCCGGGCATGTGCAAGGCCAGGGGTTCTGTCTGGCACCCAAAACAAAATCAAACAAAATCATGGGAGGTAGCCCCAGTTCCCATAGGTGAAGGGCCAGTCTGCATACAACTGCTCTCTCCCCACTCAGATGCAACCCACCCGAGCCTCAGTTTCCCCATCTGTAAAGTGGAGATGACAGTAGCAGTGTTTATTCCACAGGGCTGTAGTGACCAGCAAATGAATCAGCAATCAAAAGGCATCTGGCACGTAACACCCGTTTGGTAAGTTGCCACCCACACCTCCGACTGACTAGTCACAATCAGGATGCTTGTGGTCACCTCCTGGGTTTCTATTGCCAGCTAGAGCAGTTCCAGGATTCGAGGAAACACTTCCTTATACCCACTGGTTTATTATAAAAGATATTACAAAGGCTGTCAGGTGGAGCTAGATGAAAGCGATACCTGATACGGTAAAAAAATTACAGTGAACGTTCACTTTTTTTTTTCAGTACTGTGGATTCAATCCAGGGCCTTTGTACTGAACTACATCTCCAGATTTTTGTTTTGCTTGCTTGCTTGCTTGCTTTCTTTTCTTTCTCTCTCTCTCTCAAAACTAAGTCATTAACTGGGTGCAGTGGTGTTCACCTGTAATCCCTGCACTTGGGTGGCTGAGGCAGGAGGATTGCCTCAAGTTCGAGGCCAGCCTGGACTACAAAGTGAGTTCAAGGCCAGCCTGAGCTATACAGTGAAACCCTGTGTCAAAAAAGGCGAAAAACAAAGCAAAACAGAAACAAAAAAAGAAAAGAAAGAAGGAACAATGTCATTAAATTACCCAGGTTCAATTTGAACTTGTGATCTTCCTGCCTCAGCCTCTGAGTGCTGGGTTACAGATACACACCTTAAGATCCAGCTTTTATCTATTTATTCATTTATTTATTGAGAGACTGGGTCTCTCTATGTAGTTCAAGCTGTTGTGTTGAACTCACTATATAGGGACTGAGGATTTAGCTCAGCGATAGAACACTTGTCTAACAAGTGTGAGGCCCAGCAAAAAAAATTTTTTTTTAAAAATCCAAAAGCAAACAAAACAAAAACAAGGTCACTGGCACTCACTACAAGTGTAGCGCAGGCTGGCCTCAAATTTTTGGTGTTCCTTTAGTCTCCCAGCTGCTTCCAGCCATTGTACCACCATGCCTGGCCAGATTAAAAAAAAATACTATCACTGAAAGGATTTTGCCCTGCATGGGAAGCTGCAGCGGTAGGGGGCTGGGAGGAGGAACCAAGGGGCTCTTTCTTGAGGTCATCTTCCCTGCCCCTAAGCAAAAGACACATTGCCACTGATCCCCCTCAAAATACTCCCTGTCCCTTTGTGAGTGTCTTAAGTTGAGCTGCCTTCGTGTCCAGAACTGACTCAGATTTCCCTTTCATGGTCATTTTGAGCCAGAGGTCACACAGTGTCAGACCAGTAAAAAAGGTGGCTGATGACACTTGTGAGGTTTTTATGAGCTGGCCTTTCTGTTGGATATTACCTGGCAGCAAGCGTTCACAGTATTTTTGATCAACGTCACAAAGATACTCACGACATAGGACGTCTGCAGCTGCTTCAGAAAGCCAAGAACGGTGGGATAGGAAGAGGGGAAGGTTTTGAGTATGGTGAGGGGAGACCGCAGCAGTCTGTCTTTCACTGTAATAAATAGTTTAAAGTTTAGACACACACTGCACGTTTTGATCAGCCCCTTGCTTAAAGCAAGATCAGGGGAACAGACAGCCTGATAAAACAGATGCGCGGGGCAAGGTCTGCAAGGGTGCCCAGCTCCCGCCCGTGGAGTCGGGGTGCACCGCCCTCTTGGCACACAGATGGGTTCACCAGCCTGGAAACTTTGTTAGGGAGGCCTTATCACGACGCAGGGTGGATTATTAATTCCACCCCCAGTGCCTACCCCGTTCCAGGGCTGAAAGGAAACCTTGGGGCCTCCAATCAGCGCTTGCACTCAGCAGCAGCCTCCTAGGAACAAAAGGCGCTGCTCTCCGCCCGGAAATTCCGAGGAATTAGGGGCCCCGCGCCAGGCACTGAGGTCAGAGACCAAATGTTAGGACGCGAGAGGCTCCGCCGGCTCCGATCGCAGGGGATTCGGGAGCTCCGTGGTGGACAGGGACAGAGCGGCCCCCAGCACCTCCAATTCCTCTCCTGCAGGAGGGACCCCGAGCCCTGGCACTTCCGGGACCCTGCGATGGCACCAGGGGGGGCTGCCTCTTCCTCCACGACCCGCTGCACCCGCGCTGCCCTGCGCCTGCCCCTAACCCTTCCCGCCCTGGGACGGCTGGAAAGAGGAAGCCAACCCTACTTACTGAAGGTCACCCGGGACCTGCATCAATCTGGGGGCAGGGACCTTTTTTTAAAATTTTTTTTAAATTTTTATTTTAAAGAGAAAAAAATAAAATTTCAAAGCAAAATAATGAGAGTAACAACAGTTAATACATTGCATATTGTGATCTTTAAATTACTCAGAGTACAAGGTATCAGCATTTAACAATATTGGCACAAAACTTTTTCAATGAACTAAGAGGAATTAGTAGTATAACAATTTTTAACTATCATATATATGTGTATTTTCTTTTTCTTTTTCCATTCCTTTCCTTTTCCCCATCCCAGTGTCTTTCCTTTTGAAGTTTCTTCCCATTTTACAATATCTATTGTATACTTTGGATTTTATTTACTCTTTCAGCTTCTCACAATAGGGAGACAATATGATGTTTATACATGTGCATCTGGTTTATTTTGCTTATGATTATGATCTTGAGTTGTACCCATTTACCTATAAAAGTCTCCAGTTTATCCTTATTTATGGCTGAGTAATTCTGTGGTATGAAAGCACCACATCTTTTTATCCATTCCCAGTCGATGGACAGTTAGGTTGTTTCCAAGATCTGGCTATTACAAATTGTGCTGCTATAAACATGGATGCATGTATATCACTGTGGTATGATGTTTTCAAATCTTTTGGGAAGACACCCAGAAGGGGATTAGCTGGGTCAAATGGGACCTCCAGTCCTAGCTTTCTGAGGAACCTCCACACTGATTTCCACATTGGCTGCACCAACAGTGGAGAAGGGTTTCTGTACCCCACAGCCCCTGCAGTCATTGATTTCTTGAGCACAGCTATTCTCTCTGACATGAGATGGAATCTTAGTTTGCTTCTCTCAAATGACCAGTGATGCTGAGCACTTTTTCATATGTTTATATTTGCTGTTGGTATTTCTTCATCTGAGAAGTGCATGCTCATCTCAGATGTTGGGCAGAGATTCTTGAAGACCACACTCCCACCCCCTGGCACACTGCTAACCTGTGACTTCCTGCCACCCACCCAGGTCTTTGGTTTGTTTGTATTTGGGGCTACCAGCAATCGAATTCAGGACCTCATGCTAGCCAGGCAAGTGCTACACCATGGTGCTAAATCCGTGGCCCACAATTTGTTTGTTTTTTTGGTCTTTTTGAGACAGGGTCTCGCTATACAGTTCAGGCTGGCCTTGTGCTCACTTTGTAGCCCACGCTGGTCTCAAATTTGCAATGATCCTCCCACCTCAGCCTCCTAAGTGCTGGAATTACCAGAGTGCATCACGACACATAGCAATAAAGAGAGCTACTTTTTTTTTATTTTTATTTTGGTACCGGGGATCAAACTCATGACTTTGTGTTGCCAAGCAGGCACTTATGTCGCTGAGCTAAACCCCCAGCCCTGGCCCACAATGTTTAAACTTTTGAGGTGGTTCTTGTTTCCACACCTGTCGTGTTTTACTATGGGGCACCCATGGGATCCACCCTCACCCCCAGATCTGTGTTCCCAGCCCTCAGAATGCACAGCTTCCCAGGGCAAGTCTCTGTGGAGCTGTTTATCTATACAACGGATCATCATTGCATTGCCCTGCCCAGCTTCTGGGGCTCTGAGGGTCCACTTGGCTAAGAGTTGGAAAACTGCTCTCTCCACAAGCTGTCCTGGCTGCGCAGAGGCCACAGGTAAGTCAGTGTCCAGGCAGGGATGGTGCCCCCCCCTTTTTTTTTACTACTTAAGGCAGGGTCTCACTAAACAGTTCAGGTGGCTTTGAGCTCACTTTGTAGCCTTGGGTGGTCTCAAACTTGCAGCAATCCTCCTGCCTCAGCCTCCCAAGTGCTGGGATAGGAATGGAGGCCTCGATCAGGTACTAGAGGAGTCAGCCTCAGTCCCAGTACATCACAGAATGTCCTGGGGGAAAATCAAACATCCCCCTGTCTCTTAGGGATGCCAAGGTAGTTTGAGGCCTCAAAAAACAAAAAACAAAAAACTCAGCATGCTGGCACAGCTGTCTGGCTTTCCATTTGACCTGACCTTCCTTGGCGGAGTTACTTAACCTCTTGGAGTCTTAGTTTCCCTCTCTGTAAAATGGGAATATAAAGACACATCTGTTTCATGAGATGTTAGAAGAGGTCCGCAATTACAAGGTATTCGAAGAGGTGTCTGGTGCATAGAGTGGGGGCCATGAGCTGTCCCGGCCGCTGCCATTCATTGCCGGGCTCTGGGGGAGTGCCAAATGTATGGGGGTGACATTGGTGGAACTAACGGGTCCCTTGGGATGCTGCCCCCCCCATGCAGGAAGTCCTGAGGGCAGTATCTTATTCGAACACTTGCCAAAAGACAGACTGATTTAACCCAAAATAATTTTATCATTGTCTCCACTTCAGATATAAAAGCACCCTTGGGACCCAGGTCCAGGACCCAGGGGGACGAACAGGGAGCAGTGGAATCACTGCCTTTGGGAGAGAAGGACACTGGAGTTCCCTTTTCTGCCCTGAGGGAGGAGCCCCTCGCCCACCACCCACCCCAGCCACCCGTCCTAGTGTCCTGCCAGTCCCTGGCAGGGCACGGGGAGCCACAGTGCAGTACAGAAGTTTAAGCCTGAGATTGACCAGAGGCTGTGCCCCTGGGGACCCTCACGGCCTGGTGGGGAGGGGTACCCGGCAGCAGCTGGGTGTCTCCAGGAAAGACAGTGGCTGAGTTCCCTGGGCTGCCGCAGAGGGCGTGGGCACAGGCTGGGCTCGTCATCTGAGGTCAGAGTGTGGTGTGCCGCTCTTCCTGAGTTTCGGCGTTTGACCTGGTCACGCATCGCTGCTGGGGAGCAGTCCCCCTAGTTCCAGAACCCCCCATAGGGAGGCTAGGGCCCCTTCGAGGCTCCTCCCTACTAGAGGAGCTGCAATTGCACCTTCAGCCACAAGGCCCGGCCCTGAGGTCCGTGTGGACTGCCCTGGGACCCTGCCACGCTCACCACCTCCAGCTGGTACTTTCCGGGCCCCGGCCTCCGCGGCCCCAGTTGCAGGGAGCTGAGCCCGCTGCGGTGCACCATGCGGAAGAAACTTTGCCCGTTGCCACGGGCGACGACATATCTGACTCCCTGCCCCTGTAGAGCAGGGCGCAGCTCCAAGATGTGCTCGGCTTGGGTCAGGCAGGAGAGTTTCAGGCCCAAGGTCAGGGGGACTTCGGCGTCAAGGGTGGCCATGCTCAACTGGAGAGAAAGACCGGGAGGGGGATGGGAGGCTGGATGAATGGAGATGCGTTCTTAGGGCGCCCAGGACCATCCTAATGCAGAGTGAAAAGGTTTTTGTTTTTTGAGATAAGTTCTTATTTAGTTCAAATTGGCCCTGAATTCACTGTGTAGTCCACAGGCCTCAAACTTTTTTTGTCTTCTTTTTTATCGGTACCAGGGATGGAACTCTTGATTGCCTGTTTGCAAGGCAGGCGCTTATGCTGCTGAGCTAAATCCCCAGCCCCGGCCTCAAACTTTTTTTAAAACATTTTTTTTCTTGGTACCAAGGATTGAACTCACGACCTTATGTTTGCCAAGCAGGCACTTGGGCCACTGAGCTAAACCTCGGGCAGGTCTCAAACTTTGGGCGATTCTCCTGCCTCAGCCTCTGGAGTGCTCGGTTTACAGGCAGGAGGAAAGTCTTTCATGCACTCCGCCCTTGGCTTCTGCATAGCTCTCCAACCACAAGGCCACGCTGGTGTAGGCTGAGGATGGAGAGGTACAGCTGATTTCAGGGGAAAAAGCAAAGAATGCTTGGTATCAGTCACTGCCCCCACCAAAACAAAACCACCCCCAAACCCAAAAACAAACCAGGGCTTTTGCACTGAACTGCATGCCCAGTCCTTTTCTTTAGTTTTTATTTTGAGACAAGGTCTCACTAAGTCACTAAATTCCCCAGGGTGTGATTGAAATTTTGATCCTCCTGCCTCAGCCTGCCAGAGTATTGAGATTACAGATATGCACCACCATTCCTGCCTTAGGCAGGATTTTTGATTTTTTGAGTCTCTCTATACAACCTAGGCTGGCCTGGAACTTGCAGCTATCCTCCTGCCTCAGCCTCCTAAATGCTGGGACTATAGGTTTGTGCCACCATGCCCTGCCTAGAAATTTTTAAACAGTTTTCAGACTGCTGATCTCAGCTAATGGGCATCAGTAAGACTCCCACCGGCCTAAGCTAAATGAACCAAGGGGTTGTCTTAGGCAGCCAGCCAGGGGGTCATTCCGATGCCACTGGTCATCACAGTCCTGAGGTAACTCCGAGGTGGCCCTGGTGGCTGGTGTTATGCTCAAGGAACTTTTTGCAAAAACCAGCCCCCAAAGGATGCCAGAGCTGCAGAGAGACAAAGAGGATACCCAGCTGGGATACAGAGAAGGGAGCAGGGCCAGGTGACAGATGAGCTGTCCTGGCTTCCGCTGGACTTCCTGCATCTGGTGCTCTTAGAGGGCCCCTGTGTGTAGGTGACAAACCTCCCTTTATCTGCACTTCTCTGAAGTGTGTTCCTGGTCCTGGCAGTCAGACAGCGTTCTCAGTGAGCTAGTGAATCTCAGCGGCAGGCTGCTCTGGGCGGGTAGACTGAGCCAACCACACAGAAGGTTAGCTGTGTTTTCTCCTTTGCCTGTCTGCACTGGGTGGGCTTCACCTCATTTGCATACCCCCTGGCCTCATCTGCATGTCCATGGACTCATTTGAATACTCATGAATTTATTTGCATGCCCACCAAGTGTCCTGCAGCTGCATTAAAGTGAAAGCTCTTCCTGGCTTCCAGCCGCTGGTTCTGGGGATGGCAGGTCCTGCCAGCAATGTGAGCAGCACATTTGTATTTACTGATACCTGCTGGTGGCGAGTGTATATTGCAGGCAAATACACAATACAACACTCTCCCCTCAGGCATGATAATCACCTCCACAGAGGGTTCTACCCTTTTGATGCTCATAGCAAATAACAGGAACTATGGGTCTATGACATAATACCATTTTTTTCCCTAGCAAGAGGGGGAAAAACAACTGGGGAAAAGAGGGTGAAGTAATACACTTGGCATTTGACTAAATATTGAAAGCCCCTCCAATCCATTATGGCTATTTCACTTTGGCTTTATTTATTCTCTTATATTTTTTTTTTTATCAGTACTGGGGATCGAACTCACCACCACATGCTTGCGGGCAGGTGCTTATGCCACTGAGCTAAATCCCCAGCCCTATTCTTTTATAATATTTACGATAGATCATATTTATCATGTGCTATAAACCATGGTACATGGCTAGGTGTGGTGGTGCATGCCTATAATTCTAGCACTCTGGGAGGCTGAGGTAGGACAATCACAATTTCAAGCCTAGCCTGAGCAATTTAGGGAGACCCATTCACTCTGTGTGTGTGTGTGTGTGCCGATTTACACAGTCTCACAATGAAGTTTAGGCTGTCCTTGGCTCACTTTGTAGCCCAGGCTGGTCTCAAACTCACAGCGATCCTCTTGCCCCAGCCTCCTGAGTACTGGGATTACAGGCATGCACCACCACATGCAGGGTGCAAAATCTACTCAAAAAAATAAAACAAAATAAGCTGGTGCTATAGCCCTGGGTTCAATCCTCAGCACCAAAACCAAACCAAGCCCCCCCCCCAGATGTTTTACTTATTGTTTTTTCTTCCCCTTCAGAATATCTACCCACGAGCAGGGACTTTTTCTTGTTTACTATTGCCTGGCAGGGTCTGTGTGAGATGCTTGTATTATCATCTGGAGATATAAAGTACCTAGGAGATGTTTTCCAAAGAGTCCCCAAGGGAAATCTCAGGGATACGGAAGGACAGGGAGGCCGATGTGCCGTGACAGGAGGGACAAGCTGAGATACTGCCCGCCAGTACTAAGTATATCTCCAGGCCTTTTTCTATTAGATTTCATTCTAAGATAGAGTCTTGCCCAATTGCCCAGGCTGGTTTTGAACCTGAGATCTTCTTGCCTCAGCCACCGGAGTAGTTAGGATTGCAGGTATGTTTCACCACACCTGGCTGCGTCTAGTGTTCTTTAGGGTCACAGACCCCTTCCCACCTTTAAGGAGTCCCCTGACTGCCCCTGCTCCATGCAGCCCCTGGGATACCTGGTGGCCCTCATGGACACTGCGTGGTGGCCGGTCCCGAGGGGTGAGGCCATTGATCTTGCATTCATAGCAGGCTTCTGGAGAGAGTGGCTCCTCCTCTGGAGCTTCCTGGGGTCCAGGGCTGAAGCCCAGGGCAGAGACACAGTGCCTGGGCCAGGACAGTGGGGTAGGCAGGCTTTCAGCAGCAGCTGGAAGCCCTCCCCAGTCAACCGCTTCCACCCCTCTGTTGTGAGTCAGTTGCCCTGGAGGCAGGAGTTGTCATGTAAACGTGGCTGTGTATGTGATGGTGTGGCACTGTGGGCACGCATGTACACCTGCAGAAGTTGTGTGTGTGCAGGTGCAGGTGTGTGGCTCACCTGCACATGGGTGTGAACATGGGAATGACACAATATGCAATTCCTGGGAGAAATGAATGTACCCAAGTATCCCCAGGGTGTGTACAGGTAGGGGCCTTTGTGCACATGGGGAGGGTAACATGCAAGTACACATGTGCCACGTATGAATCTACACTTGGGCCTCCGTGTGCACAGGCTCCACATTCTTCTATTCAACCACCCAGCACTGAAAATGTTACGAGTTGGGGGGCAGCTCAGCAGTGGAGCGCTTGCCTAGGGTATGCAAGTTCCCTGGCATCTTCAAAAAGTACATTGTCCTACCAAGGTGGTGACGCATTTCTCTAATTTTAGCACTCTGGGAGGCTGAGGCAGGAGGATTGCAAGTTTCAGCACACCCTGGGAAATTTAGTGATTTATCAAGACCCAGTCTCAAAATTTTAAACAAACAAAACAAATAAACAAACAAGGAGAGGAAACATAGCTCAGTGTGAAAACCCTGGGCTCAATCACCTTATGGGGAGAAAAGTCACAAGTTGCTACTGGGCACTTATGCTCAGGCTAACTCTTTGCCAGTACTGAACACATGCAGACTTTTTCTTGTTATTACTTCCTAAACAATGCATGATAACAGCTACTTACAGAACATGTGCATTGCATTAGGCTTTACAAATAATCTAGATGGGATTCAAATTATCCACGAGGGCCGAGGTTGCAGCTCAGTGGTAGAGGGCTTGCCTGGGTTCCACCTCTACCACTGGGAAGAAAAGTATAAAAGAGGATGGCTGAGATCATGTGCATGTTGTATGCAGCTGTGTGTTTTATGTGTGCATGTGTGTGTGTCTATTTCCAGGGATTAACTCCATGGTCCTTGCACTGAGCTACATCTGCAGCTCCACCTTTTTAAAAATTATTTTTTTGAGACAGGGTCTCACAAGTTCCCAAAGCTGGGTTTGAACTTGCGACCCTCCTGCCTCAGCCCCACACTCAGGCACAAGTGTACATGCGGGCCACGGTACCTGTGCCCGTTCCACCCCTTCCCACCCACTCACACCGCTCACCCTTGCCCAGCCCGGAAGTAGCCTTGGGGGCAGCCGCATAGAAAGCCACCCTCCATGTTGGCACAGCTGTAGCTGCAAGGGCTACCCTGCCCAGCGCACTCGTCCACATCCTGGCAGCCCCCGAGGGTCTCATCAAAGTCAAAGCCGGAGGGGCAGACGCAGTGGAAGCCACCGAGGGTGTTGTGGCAGGAGGCACTGCCACAAGCCGCGGGTGACACAGCACACTCGTTCTCATCTGCGCTTGAGGAGGAGAGAAATGGTGGCAGAAGACTTCACACCCCCAGAGCCCTCCACGGGAAGGCTCATCCTTTGGATCCCAAGTCCAAGGTCACAGCACAAAGGAACTCACCGGGAAGCCTGACTACACAGGTCTGCCTCCACGCCTTGCTTATGACACTCCTTACTTGTCAAAGCCTGGATTCTCCTTGGCGGTGTTTCTCAAAAACATCTAAATCCTAAATCGTGGGCTTCTCGGGCACAAATCGTGCTGCCCTCAGCCCTGTGACATGGGAGCTGGGCCACTCTCTATGGGTGGGGTTGATCTTGTACTGTGGGGAGGTAAGCAGTACCCCTGGCTTCCCTGCACCCCACAATCTCCAGTAGTGAGCTCTGCTAAAAATGCTTCCAAGGGATTTCTTTTTCCATTGCCAGGGATGGAACCCAGGGTCTTAAGCATGGTTTTAAAGTGCTCACCACTGAACTATACCTCCGGTCCTTTTTTTTACTTATTTTTTTATATTTTGAGACAGGGTCTCATTAAATTGCCCAGGCTGGCCTTGAATTTGCAAGCCTCCTGGCTCAGCCTTCCGAGAAATTTAGGATTACAGGCATGTACAACCATGCCGGGCTTCAAAATGTCCCCTGGGAGGCAAAATGTCTTCAATGGAGAGCCCAATGAGTGGTCTAATGAGGTATCTCTGCTGCTAGGATGGGGCCTACTTGGGGCTCATTTCTGCACCCTGAAGGGCCTGGTACAAGGCAAATCCTTGGAGGAGAACTGGGGAAGGAAGAGATGTAAGCAAGAAGAAGAAATGGAAGAATCACCAGCAAAGGCTAAGGATCTGTGCCATCCCTGAGAGCACTGGAGATGAAGACTTGAGGGTACAGTGGCATGGGAAGACAAAAAACAAAATTTAGTTGAAGAATAGCCACAAATGAAAGGAGGAAGACAGAAAAGGCAGTGCTGTTACAACAGGTATGATAAAGATCTGATATATGCACATACCTTTGCAGCCCATTGCTGCATCCATAGTAGACATCACTAGTTAACCCCAGTATTCATTCCCCTGCTAATTGCTAATCAGTCACTGTACTCTTTCCATGCAGACATCACTAATCAATCATCACATTCTCTCCAGTCACCCACAGTAGACATTACCAATCGACCACAGTATTCTTTCTTTTGTTCTTATGGCAGGCATCACTAATCAATCCCTGCACTCTTTCCCCATAATCACAGGCATGATCTCGGATTCTTTCTCAATTCCTGACAACTACCTTCCAAGAAAGGGACTGGAGCAGCATGTCATGTTTGCTTAGCTGCCCCCTGGTTGCCCAGTGGTAGATTTCCCCAGGCTGGCTCATGAGTTTTGAACAGTTCTGCTGGTTACAACATCTGGCAGTGAAATGGAACCTTGTTGCTTGCTGTTCCCAGGTTTTCCTCCCCACCCTGGCCACTCACCTACACACTGTGCCCACTGGGAGTGCTGGGTGAATCCCTGGGGACAGCTGCAGCGGTAGCCCCCCACCTCATTCTGACAGCCATGGCGGCAGCGGTGGGGTTCATCACACTCATCCACATCTGAGACACAGAGAGCCAGGGAGAGGGGGCTCAGCTGGTGGCTCTCAGGACCGCACCCCCCAGCCCTGTACCCTGCTCTACCTTTGCAGCCATGGCCTGAGCTGTCCAGAGTGAAGCCTTGGTAGCACTCACAGTGGAAGCTGCCTGGGGCATTGAGGCAGCGTCCACGGGTACCACATGGGCTGGGCTGGGCCAAGCACTCGTTGTTGTCTGCAGAGGACAGAGGACAGGTAAGGTTTCCTGGTGGTGAGGGAATGCTGTGAGGTGCCACGTGACATGCTGTGTGGCTTCAGGAAGTCACTTTCCCTCTCTGTGCCTGTTTTCCCCTCTTCTGTGAAATCAGAGCTGTAACAGTTCCTTTCTCTGCCAGTATTTGTAATGGTACAGACCGAAGGCTTTGCTTAAATCTCATATCCCCCCATCTTTTTAAATTGTAACACAAAGGTCTTCCTGCATTGCTAAACTGCCCAGCCTGGGCTTAAACTTGCAATCCATTTGCCTCAGCCTCCCAAAAGGCTGGGATTATGAGTGTGTGCCACCACACTTGGCTCATCTCTATCCTGAAGCTGTGCAACCTGAGACACTGATCTTCCCTTTTGGTCTCAGTTTCCTACATTACAATATGGAGGTGGCTGATACATCCTTTTGGCATTTTTGGGGTGAGAATTAAATTAACTGCACACAGGACTTAGCATAGTACCTTGTAAGGGAATAAAAGATGATCAAAACCCCTTTGTGGGCTGGGGCTCACTGGGAGGATGTGTGCTTTCCATGTGAGAGACCCTGAGTCCCCCAGCACCACACACACAAACAAGAAATAAAGTAAATCAGGTGTGGTGGTGCACATCTGTAACACCAGCATTCTGGGAGGCTGAGACAGGAAGATCAAAAGTTCAAGCCCAGCCTAGCAAGACCCTATCTCAAAATAAGAAGTAAAAAGGGCTGGGGAGATAGCTTAGTGTCAGAGCCCTGGTTCAGTCCCTAGTACAATAAATAATAATATAAAAGCTATAAACAGCTTAAGGTAAAGCTTAGTGGCAGAGTGTATTCTTGGCATACACAAGGCCCTAGATTCAATTCCTGGCATTGAAAACAAACAAACAAACAAACGAAAAAAACTTTTTTTTTGAGAAAAGGTGTGTAGTTCAGGCTGGCCTCAAACTCCTGGTGATCCTCCTGCCTCAGCTTCCCAAGTACCTCCATACTGGCTAGCTGATTGCTCTTTGAATACTGCATCCTTCCTTTCTTCCTCACCTCCTAATTTTGTTTTTACTTTGTTTATACTTTTATGTTCTCAACACCTTCTATCCTATTAAGGTTATTAAATCTGTCTCCACTCTGATTCTCTGCTGAAAATTCCATGATGCTAGTGGTGGCCTCTATTCTCCGGGACCCCGGGATCTGTTTCTTAACTTGCCAGACAGTTAACTTTTTTCCTCTTTTGAAAACTGGACTCATTATAACGCCAACGCAGCCACATGGTAGTCAAAGTGGGCGTGGCTGCATACCAATAAAACTTTATTAACAAAAGCAAGCGAGGGGCCAGGCGCGGCTGGTGGGCTACAGTTTGCATCCTCTGGCTGCAGGCACTGACTGGTATAAAGCAGGTGCTCAGCAGACTGTCGATGAATGAATAAGAGCGTGCTCCTGTGTGGCGCTCCTTAGCTGGGCTCAGCCTCTGGGAGGAGATCTGGTTCCCTGGGCATCACAAGATAGTGGCAGATGCCCTTGTGGCTTTGACTTCCAAACTACCTTTGGACAGTGCAAACCCCGGGAGCAGGCTGGGGAGGGCCAAAGGGAGAAGCCAGGGCCCAGGCTGGAAGACTTCTGAGGGTTGGGCTCCCAGCGCCCCAGAAGGACGAAAGAGGAAGGTTTAAGATGCCACCAAGGAATCAAGTGCTCTGTTCCAGTCACCCCCAAGTCCCTGACCTCTGGTACACAAGGGTGGCTGCTTCACACTTCTTTGGCGCCCAAGGGCATGAAGGCTGGGAAGCACCTACCTTAGAACGGGCTGGGGCACTCACCGAAGCAGGCCTGCTGGCGCTGAGTGAAACCAGGGGGACAGCGGCAGGTGAAGGCGCCCACGGTGTTGACGCACAGGAACTGGCAGTTGTGCTGCCGAGTAGAGCACTCGTCCAGGTCTGCGGCACAGAAGCCCCACTGGGTGCTCAGGGTGCGTGGCCAGGGCACCCCTGGGGTGGGATGTGGGCGGGGCCATGGGGCGGGGGTGGGTCGTGGGCGTGGCCACAGGGCAGGGCAGGGCCTGGACCTCCCAAGAGGGGGGGAAGGGGAGGGGAGAGGAGGGGTGCCTTTGGAGAGAGCATCACCTCTGCAGGCCTGGCCGTCTTCCTCCAGAAGGTAGCCCCGGGGGCAGGTGCACAGGAAGCTGCCCTCGGTGTTTTTGCAGTGGAAGGAACATGGCTTGGGGTCCTGGCTGCACTCATCCACATCTGGAGGTGGGAGATAGCGAATGTGAGGAGGTCAGGTACTGAGTGGGTTGCTCAGGGGCTGGGGTTCCCTTCCCAGACTCTGGATATCCCAAATCTGTGGAGTACACAGGAACTGGCACTTTTTCTGTCAAAAGCAAAGTGATGAACATTGAGTCTGTCCTGTGTACCCACATATTCAACCAACAAGATTGAAAATACTTTTTTTTTGGTGGTACTGGGGATTGAACCCATAACCTCACACTTGCCAGGCAGGCGCTTGTGCTGCAGAACTGAATCCCCAGCCCTGAAAACACTCTTTAACAAGAAGGTCTGAGTAGAACATGCAGGCTTCTGGCTTAATGTCAGCCCTAAACAATACAATGTCTGTGTATGAGGCACTTAGGCTGTATCAGATGTTTAAAAAGTCATGATGCATTTATTTGGCAACACTGGGGACTGAACCTAGGGACTGTGACCCCAGGCCTTTTAAAATTTTTTATTTTGAGACAGGCTCTCACTAGGTCACCAAGTTGCCCACACTGGGCTCAAACTTGCAATCCTCCTGCCTCAGCCTCCCAAGGTGTTGCAGTAACTAGCATGAGCCACCATGTCTGCTTTAGAACTAATTTAAAGACCACAGAGGGGCTGGGGTATGGCTCAGCGGTAGAGCGCTTTACTAGCGTGTGCAAAGCCCTGGCTTCCATGCCTAGCACCACAGAAGAGATAAGTAAATAATAAATAACAGGTGGCACATGCCTGTAATCCCAGCACTTGTGAGGCTGAGGCAGGAGGATTGCTGTGAGTTCAAGGCCAGCCTGGGCTACACAGTGAGATCCAATCTCAAAAAAAAAAAAAAAAAATCATGTATGTAAATCATATACAAATAGAAGGGACTTAAGTAGTCTTGATTGGGCTGAAGATTTAGGCTCAGTGGAGTAAGTGCCTGCCTTGCAAGCAAAGTCATGAGTTCGATCCCCGGTACAAAAAAAAAAATTTAAAAAAAGTAGTCCTGGGTTTTGGTATCCAAGCAAGGATCAACAACCTTTGTGTGAACAAGGTAGCCACTGAGAGTAAATAGACAAATAGACACTGCTGGGTGCTGATAAAACCTTATTTACAAAGCCGAATGGAAGACCCACTCCTCCAACAGGGTGGGGGTTTGCTGCTGTGTGACTTAGATGCGAACCCGCTGGAGACGGAACGGAGGTGATCAGAGCAAGAACACAGTCTGGACGGGGGAAGCCCGGGAAGCTCTGCTTCCACTTTCCTCATGCAGTGGGCACACTTTGAAAATGTCAAGTGAGTGGTGCTACGTTGGCAGCACCCACCGGGGAAATGTTGGCAGGGCCCAACTGGGTGAGGGGAGAGGAGAAGCTCACCCAGGCAGGCAGTGGCGGTGGTGTCTGGCCTGTACCCGGCCTGGCAGTGGCAGTGGAAGGAGCCGATGCTGTTGATACACTCACCGTGAGTGCACAGGTGTGCGAGCACACGGCACTCATCCACATCTGGGGACAAGTGGGACAGGGCAGAGTGTCCTTCAGGGCAGGCCCAGTCCCCCCCACTCCTCCGCCCCCGTGGACTCCGCTCTCCAAATGGGTGGTCCCTGAGCCAGGAGGACATGCTGGTGGTGTACCTTCACCGAGCACACGCAAGTGTACATGCAACACAGACACACGCCCATTAACAAGCTTGCACACAGCAAACACCAGCTCACGTGCTCATCTCATTAATGAGCTTGCATGTGCAACGAACGTGCACAACGCTGGCTCACACATCTGCTCACTTGGTCACTCACTCAAGTTCATGCACATCCAAAACACACACTGTTCACATGCTTGCTGTCACAAAGGTGCACACACACACACACACACACACACACACACATGCCCAGTAGCTTACACATTCTAGTACCTGCTAAAGCATAGGACACAGAAATGGAGCATGATCACCTCTAGGGCACCCACCTCGTCCCTCAGCAGAGTAACCTGAGCCATGAGGACACAGCTTCTTGTAGGCAGAGGTGCTAGGCAGAGGGCAGAGCTCGCAGCTGGGGCCCCAGCCTCGGCCACCCCCGCAGCAGCACATGGCCCTGGACACCGCCTCGCCGCTGCTCCAGTGGGCCAGGCACACAGCCTGCAGCACCTCGGAGAAGCAGAGCCCTTGCCGGACATCTGTAGAGAATCAGAGCAGACGGTGGGTGCGAGAAGCTAGAGGCCTAGGATACCCTTGTGGATATGCACAGGGAGAACTCTGAAGTCATTATCACTGGATGCTGTGGAACACCCTCACTACGCTGGGGCAGAAGCAAGACTCACTCAGCCCTCAAAAGGATCACCTCAGGCTGGATTGCAGAGGCAGGATGGCCCCTTGGGGGCAAAGTGAAGCATCCTTTGGTTCACAGAGAGAATGGATGCCCAAGAGGTGGCAGGGAAACCAGAGACATCGAGGTGGCAGCAAGAAGTGGCAGTGCCTGGGATGGAACAATAGAAAGATGACATCCAGAGACAGACTGGACGCTGGCCTGGGAAAAAGGGGTCATTCTGGGAAGCTTGCAAGGGGCCTTGCTGGTGAGCTGAGGATGGGGACAGGCAATACTGTGGACAGCGATGTCCAGGAGGCCTCCAGACAGGCACACCTGGGAGAGAGGTGTAGGATGGAGCTTGCTCAGGAAGAAGTGTGGGGACAGGATTGGAAAAAGGAAGGGGCTGGGGACTTAGCTCAGCGGCATAAGCGCCTGTCTTGCAGGCAGGCAGTCGTGAGTTCAGTCCCTGGTACCGATAAAAAGGAAAAAGCCAAAAAAAAAAAAAAAAAAAAAAAGAAAAAGGAATCAGACAGAAGTGGCGCTCAGGTCACCTGCTGCGTTTAGCTTCCAGAGAAAGGGAAATTGGGAGAGGGTCAATTCCTGGGTGCTGCTTCGGGCTGTGTTGGAATCTGTCCGGTTGGGGAGGGGGAGACAGCAGGTTTTCTGGGATGTTTGATTGAAAGGACTAAAGCAAGAGTGGAGCACACGCTTGCGTGTGTGTGTGTGTGTGTGTGTGTATGCCGCACACATGTGTGCAGTGGACAAGTGTGTTTGCATTGGCTCAGCTGCTGCCTACAGATCTCCGTCCCCGCCTCCCAGACTGCAAGGGGACTGCAAGGGACAGGTGTCTGCCTCTTGCCTTTCTGGCCACACTCACCGAGGCACTCAGTGAGGGTCGGACTGGGCTGGAAGCCTTTGTGACAGTCACACCTGAAGCTGCCCACGGTGTTGACACAGTGGCCGTGGGTGCAGATGCTGGGCTGGGTATGGCATTCGTCCTCATCTAAGGTGGGAAGGAAGAAGCAGGCCAGCAGGGTGGCCAGAGCCCCCGGCCAGCCGTCCCATGGCCTTGAGTGCCCTCCTTGCCCAGGGGTCCCTGCACCCTATACCTGTGCAGCCCTCCCCAGAGCCGGGCTGGGGCCGCATGCCCACAGGGCAGATGCACTCAAAGGTGCCAATGAGGTTCTTGCACAGCATGCCGCGGGCCTGGCAGTCCTGTGAGGTGTCTGCACACTCGTCCACATCTTTGGATGACAGGGTCAGGGGTCAGTAAGGCCCAGGTAATCCACGGGATGGACCCTGGATCCCATTTTCTGCAGCCCTAGTGGGACTGTGGTGGGATCTCTGTAGTTCTGGCGGAGCCTATCTGGAAGGGACCCCCAGGCCATGGCCAGCCCCAGGCAGCTCAGACTGCACCCCACACCCACCTCCCTTGCCTACCATCACCACGGCACCTGGTGCTGGGACTCAGAAAAAGCCCTGCAGGGGCCAAGTCCCAGCCTCAGGGTCTCTTGCCCTTAAGATTGTTCACTTGGGCCAAAGAAGTCCTTAGTAGCAGCAGTGGGAGGGGACTCTATGCACACTGTAGGATGCCAGTGCCTCCTCCCCTACTGTAACAATAAAAATGTCAGAGAGATAACCCCATGTCTCCTGGGACGCACGACCACTGTCCTCTCTGTCCTGCCCCACTCAGGACAGGGCCAGCCTCTGCTGTCCTGTTAGACTCTGGACCAAAGTGTCAGTGGTTTCTTTGATTTGGGAGGGGTAGGATCTCACGGGCCTTAACTCACTAGCTTGTCCAAGTTGACCTTGAACTAGCAGAGATCTTCCTGCCTCAGCCCGAGTTCTGGGAGGACAGGTGTGCACCACCATGCGGGGCATCATACGCTCCTATTCTTTGGTCCAAGACAATGACTCCTCCCACGTAGCACCTTCTGCAAGCTCACTTGGTGCAGCTCCCTGGGCTCCCAGATTGCTCCCTAGCACCCTGGGGGCTCCCGCTCTTACTCCTGTTTCATAGACAGAAAGTGGAGGGCCCGGCCCCACCCCACCCCGTGCCACACCCACCTCTGCACGTGGCCCCATCCTCCCGCAGGGCATAGCCAGCCGGGCAGGTGCACAGGTAGGAGCCCTCCGTGTTGCGGCAGCGGAAGGCACAGAGTAATGGGTTCAGCGAGCACTCGTCGATGTCTGTGGAAGCCACGAGGTATCTGCTGGGGGGCGGTCCGCCCCTGTGGTCCCCGCTTGCACACCAGACTGGTCCCCAGGTGTCCCTGTGACACAGCCCCCGCGTCCTGGGCAGCCAGCATCCTACCCTTGCAGGTGGCAGCCGGGCCAGGCTCGAAGCCGACGGCGCAGGTGCACTGGAAGCCCCCGATGACGTTGGTGCACGTGCCTTCCCCGCAAGGCTTCCCTGCGGAGCACTCATCTGTGTCTAGGGGGAACACGGGTGTTCAGGCCCGCAGAGAGACCCCATCCTCGGGACTGCCCCCTCTGCTTCACCTCGTGTGAAGGAATGAACGCGCGCACAGGCCCCGAACGACTGAATGGGGGTAATGGACTTAGTGAAAGTGCCAGAATGAGCGGGTAAAGAGCAAACCAGTAAGTGGACGATCGAGCCAGAAAGAGCAAGGGAATCAGTAGGAAATGAAGGCTGAGAGACCGAATGAAGGCAGGGTGAATAGTGAATGAGAGTGAATGAGAAGGGGTGAGTGACCAGCTGATGGATGAGGGCTCGGGGACAAATGAGGGAGAAATGAACGAACGAATGAGTGAGCGAATGATCGTGCGAATGAGTGGATGAATGAACAAGGGAACGAGCCAATGGCTGAATGGATAAACAGCAAACTCATGGGAAGTGAATAACTGGAGTAACTGAATGGGTGCGTGGATCATCAAGTGGTTACGCGACCAAGGATATGAATGAACACGGGACAGGTGGAGAATAAATGAGGGACTGAGTGCCTGGCGCGAGTGAATGATCATGAGTGTGAATCAGTGAGGGAGGCCGCGGCGGACCCGGGCCCACTCACCCACACAGCCGAGCCCCGCGGGGTCCAGGCTGTAGCCCGAGGGACACTGGCAGCGGAAGGAGCCATCGGTGTTGACACAGAGGCCATGACCGCAGACGCCGGGGTTCTCGGCGCACTCGTCCACATCTGCAGCAGCCGGGTGGCAGGCGGCGGGGTCACCGTGGGCGCGGGGACCCGGGGACCCGGGGAGGTGCGGTGGCTCCGGGATCGGGGCTCACCTTCTCTAGCGTCCCCGGGGCCTGGGACCGCCCCATAGCCAAAGGGGCAGAGCTCCTGGAAAGCAGCTGCACAGGCAGAGGGGCGCGAGTCAGACGGCGGCCCCGGGACGGCGAGGGTCACGGGCGGGCAGCCACTCACCGCCGCCCTCCTGCGGACACAGCTCGCAGGGCTCGCCCCAGCCCTCCCCGGGGCTCCTGCTGCAGCAGCACCGGGTCTTGGTGGTGTTGAGAGCTTTTGGCGCGGAGCACTTCCCGGCCTCAAAGCGGGTGAAGCAGACGCTCTGCCGCGTGTCTGTGGGCGTGGGTGGGGGGGTGGGATCAAGGCCAGCGGGAGGGAGCGAGCGCCAGCACCGGTGCCCTTCTCCGTCCCAGGCCTGGTGGAGGCGCGCTACCGGGTCCACCAGGAGCCAATCAGAACACCCCCACCTCCCTGGCCTCGGCGATTGGCTCAGGGCTGAACACGTGACTCCTCTTGGGCCAATGAGGATCAACCCAAGCACTTTGCCCGGGCAGATGAAAATCTTTACGCGTAAAGTTCAGACCTATTCATTCCCGGAGAGGCAAAGCCCGTGATTCCAGAGAGCTGGAAGTCCCTGGGCGTCAGATCCCAAACTCCCAGACCTTGGCTCTACTCAGAATCCTATCAGCCTGGGAGGTCCTGGAACTAGCGCAACTCACTGTGCTGAGGCGCAGGTGTCGGGCTGGGCTCCTGCAGTGTGGCCTTGCTTTCCTGGGTGCTCGGACCCTTCCTCACCCTACCTGCCACCGTCCCCTTCCCAAAGCCCTGCGCGAAGCCCGTGCCCAGCTCACCAAAGCATCGGTGCCTATGGTCAGAGAGGATAAAGCCAAGCGGGCAGAGGCACTGGAAGCTCCCGGGACTGTTGGTACAGGTGCCAAAAAGGCAGAGGTTGGGCTCCTCCAAGCATTCGTTGATGTCTGGAGGGGCAGGGACATGAGCTGGGAGTGATACAAAGGGACTACCGGCAGGACGAAGAGGCAGCAGGTGGGAGCAGGGCCAGATGGAAAGGGCATCTAAAGTGGGGAATCTGAGGGCTCAGTGCCCACAGCACTGGGTGGCCGTGTGTATGTGGGCGTGAGGCCATCACTCACCCACGCAGTGGTTGCTCTGCACCTGGAAGCCAGGGGGGCAGATGCAGCGGAAGGATCCCTGGAGATTCTGGCAGGTGCCTGGCAGGCAGGTTCCCGTGAGCGTGAGACACTCGTTTGTGTCTGTGAAGAGGAGGAAGGGGTCCCAGTGCCAGAGGGGAGGCAAACAGCTCACCCGAGTCTGGGCTTCAACTTGCAGTCCTCCTGCCTCAGCCTCCCACAGTGCTGGGATAATAGGTATGCACCACCACACCTAGCAGGAAACTTATATTTTCAAGATAGCCTCACCCTAAACCACACACTCCGTGGAAACAGAAGGTGCTATTGTCTTTCTTTTTATACCTTAAAATAAATGCATCGATATTAATTGAGAGTCGCGCTTACTGGGAAGCACAAACTTCTGGTCAGTGTGAGCAGAGGCTGCTGGGATGGCTGCCAGCCCCCTTAGCGACACTCACCCACACAGTTCTTCCCATCGGGTGCAAGCTCAAAACCACCCTGGCAGAGACAGTGGAAGGAGCCAGCTGTATTGAGACACTGTCCCATTGGACACACCTGCCCAGCCATGGTGCGACACTCATCGATGTCAGCAGAGGACAGAAGGGCAGGTAGGGTCACCGCAGAGCCTGAGGGAACCGACCCTCTCCTGCATTTCCATCCACAATTAAGCTGAGCTGATGGCACTTTTATTTGCTGGGCGCTTCTATACATGTTTCTGAGTGTTAACCTTCCTGCCATCCTGGTTACTAAGTATTGGTGTTTTCTAATACAACCACATAATGCTTTGTATTTGCCTCTAAGTGTCCTCATCTTGGTCACTTTCCTGTCCCTGGATACAGTATTTGACACCTAAAAAAATGTATTTGACACGAACAACTTAAAGGAGGAGAGGTTGGTTTTGGCTCACGGTTTCAGTCCATGCTTGGCTGTCTCCAAGCAGAGACAAGATGGTGGAAGGGTCTGGCGGAAGAAAGGTGCTCAACTCATGGCTTATGGGACCAACCTCCAACCATGCCCTGTCTCCACACAGCACATCCAGCTACTGAACTTGTCAGTGGATGAATCCACTAATGAGTCTTTAACCCCACGAGCCAGTCCCCTCCCAAACACATGAGGGATCTTTTAGTCGAAAGCATCACAACTCTCTTAGCTGTGCCCCACACATTTTGATTTCATTTTCAGCTAATTCTAAAACATTTTTTGTGATTTCCCTCTAAATTTCTTATTTCACCTATGAATTAGGAGTATGTCACTATATTTCCAAATATTTAGAAATCAAATTAAATTTTAAAAAAAGAAATGATTTCTTGGTTCATTCCCATACAGCCTAAGGATTTATTCTGTGTGACTTCAGTCCTTAAAATTCCTTAAGGCTATCTTCATGGTCCAGTGTATGATGCTGCTTGGTGAATGTATCTGACAAGAATTTTGATTCTAGAATGTTCTAGAGGTTGAGATGGCTGACAGTTTCATCCAAGTCTTCTATAACCTGACTCATCTCCTACCTGCTTACTCTTAGAGAACTGAGGGAGGCATGTGGAAGCTGCCAGCTATACTTATGGATTTCTCTATTTCTTTTCCTAGTTCTATAAAAATTTTTTGTTTGTTTTGTTTTTTGGTACCAGGGATTGAACTGATAACCTCAGGCTTGCCAGGCAGGCGCTTATGCTACTGAGCTAAATCCCCGGCCCCAGATCTGTAAATTTTTATATGTTTTGAAGCCCTATTGTTGGTCACTTGTGCATTTATTATATTTTCTCAGAGACCTGACTTCTCTAAATAATGTCTTTTTCTGGTAATACTTCTGGCATGTGTGTGTTTGAGACAAGGTCTCACTATGCAACCAAGAGTAGCCTCAGATACGTGGCAATCCTCCTGCCCCAGCCTCCTAAGGGATTATAGGTTTGTGCCGCTGCACCTAGCTTTTTGGTAATATTCTGTTTTTAAGTTGTTTTTTGTTTGTTTGTTGAGACAGGGTCTTGCTATGTAGTTGAGGCTGGCCTTGGACTCATTATGTAGCCCAGGCTGGCCTTAAGATCATAGCAATCTTCCTGCCTCAACCTCTTGAGTGCCGAAATTATAGCTATGCACCACCATAGCCAGCACTGATAATATTTCTGTTGAGAAGTCTGTGTAGTCTGATATTGCTCCCAGAAGTCCTACTACTAATCCTCCTTCTGCAAATAATGAAACGGAAGCACAGGGTGGTGGATGGCCTGTCCACGATCACACAGCTGGTAGGTGACAAGCGTGGGATTCCAACCCACACCGCCTGAGCCTGCACAGCATGGTTTCAGCCAGTGACTCCAGCTGGGCAATGCCATGCTACCAGGGTCCTGCTTTCACTCTTCACCTCCTTCTCTTAGGAGCTCACCAGGAAATAAGTCCTAAGAGAAGTCAGGAATCATTTTAAATTAATGCAAATAAAAAACAACGTATTCAAATGTGCGAGATGCAGCTCAGAGGGCACAGAGAGGCCAATTCATAGTATTAGGTCATGTGGTCTGTCTGCACTGCCTGCCATCAGCCTTAGCCTGAACTCTGACACTGGGAAGTTGGAGTCATTCCCAGAGGAAATTCCAATCTCTAAGGTAACTTTTTTTCCTCCCACAGAGGGAGCCCTCAGGCCACACGTCCTCATCTTTCCAGGGAGGACGGCACCCATGTCCCCAGCTGGCTCACCCACACAGTTCCCGCTGCGTGTCGCTGTGAAGCCAGGGGAGCAGAGGCAGGTGTAGGAGCCCACGGTGTTCCTGCAGGTCCCGTTTCCACACGGCTGCTGCTTGCACTCATCAAGGTCTGTCAGAGCGAAGCCAAGACCCCCGCACTCACCAGCCCTTCAGCTGGTGGGCCAGATGGCTGGCTAGTGATGCCAGTGGGGGCAGCTGGGAAGTACCCTGATACCACCCACTACCCTCACAGACAGGCAAAAAAAAAAGCCATTTGTCCAAGACACACATGCCAGGATTCAGACCCAGGTCTGTGGTGAGCTAGGATGGATGGAAGGACGGTGCCCGCCCCAGAGGTGGGGCAGACCCCAGGCAGGGCCTGGCCCTGGAGGGCAGTAGGAACGGCTCTCACCCACGCAGAGGGTCCCATCTGTCGAGGCTCGGAAGCCGCGGTGACACAGACAGATGTAGCTGCCCTCTGTGTCCACGCAGTCGCCATGGATACAGACATGGGGGATCTCCTGACACTCGTTCTGACCTGGGGGTACAGGTAGCATGGTGTCCTCAGGTACCCCTCCAACAAAAGCCGACCTCATCCTCCTTCCCTGAGCTCTGGCATGATGAGGTCACGCTATGCAGTGCAGTCCAGGCTGGCCCTGAACTTGCTAAGAATCCCAGGCTAGCTTTGAACTCTCAGCGATCCTCCTGCCTCAGCCTCCTGAGTGCTGGCATTACAGGTGTGCACCACCATGCCTGGCTTTATTTCATTCCTGTCACGAAACAGCTAATCTCAGGACTGGGAGCTCAGCTCCAGATATGCCATGTTCTTAGTGGCCCCCCAAGTATGTGGTGTGTTCTCAGTTTACTTTCTGTCCCTCCACTAGTACAGACAAGGACTCATGTTTTGCAAATGGGAAGGAAAGCAGATGGGAGGAGGGGAAGAGGATGAAGAAAAGAATTAAGATGTGTTATGTACATGCACCAGCTCCACACAGTGAACATAACCATTATGCACTGCAAACATGTACTGGCTTAAAAAAAAGCTGCTGTGAACAATAAAGAATTAATTTTATGGTTTTTTTTTTTTTTTTTTTTTTGAGATAATGTAATTCAGGCTGGCCTTGAACTCACTTTAAGACTCCTGCCTCAGCATCCCAAATGCTGGGACTACAGATATGCGCCACCACACTTGGATATTGCTTTATTTTAAAAACAGGGTCTTCCTACATAGTCCAGTCTGGCCTGGAACTGACAGAAATCCTCCTGCTTCAGCCTCTGGGATAAGCATTTGCCACTATGCTCAGCTCAATGTAAAAAGAATCAAAGAATCAAAATGTGTTAAGCACATGGACCCTGTGTGGGTGTAATCACTGTGTACTGCAAACATGCACCAGTACTAATAAAGAGACTAAAGTACTAATAAAGAAGATTAAAAGGTACTAAAAAGAAAAGAAAGTCAAGTGTGGTGTTGCACCCCTGTCATCCCAGCATTCAGGAGGCTGAGGCAGGAGGATCATTGCAAGTTCAGGATCAGCCTGGGCTACAAAGTGAGCTCAAGGCCAGCTTGAACTGCATAGGGAAACCCTGTCTCAAAAAAAAAAAAAAAAAAAAAAAAAAAAAAAAAAAAAAAAGACAAAAATAAAAAAAGAAAAGAAAAGGAGATGGTAGTGCACACCTGTCATTCTAGCAGTCAGGAGGCTAAGGCAGGAGGTTTGCTACAAGTTTGAGGCCAGCCTGGGCTACATAATGAGTCCAAGGCCAGCCTGAATCACAGAGTGAGACTCTGTCTCAAAAAAAAATTGAAAGAAAGAAGAGAGAGGGGTAGAGCCATGCCCTACCTGAGTCCAGCAGGTGACAGAGCCTGGCTCCCTCAGGTAGGGATGAGAGAGTGCACAGCTGCACAGAATCAAACCCTGCACCCCGGAAAGCAAGTGCAGGCAGGCAGGGGCTGGGCAGATGGAGGCCCTTGGGAAGGTGGTCACCCTGGGCGATGCTAGCCCTAACTGGTGGGGTCACTAGATTGAGAAACACTGGACAGATTGCAGAAGGTGCTCCTGAGAGGCTCATAGAGGGTGACACTGGGCACCACATCCGGTTCCTGGTCCCTTCCTCTCTGGCACTGCCGCCTCTCTGCTTCCTAAGCAGCTTTGCCCTGCCAGGCCCTCCCACCATGACGCTCCTGACCACGCACGGAACCCTCCGAAACCATAAGCCCTATCGACTCCCCCTCCTCTAAGCTGTGGGTGTTGGGTATTATGCTCAACAACACAAAGTCAGCAAATACAGCCCACTAGGGAAACTGAGGCTCTCAGCATTTACAGGACCAGACTGCAAAGTGGGGAGCCAGTGTCCCACCCAGATCCTGGGGCTGGGGACAGAGTGGGGCCAGTACCTTTGCAGGCCAGCAGGGCACTGTCGTACTCAAAGCCCAAGGGGCAATCACAGTGGAAGCTTCCAATCTGGTTGATGCAGACGCCACGGGTACACAGGCCTGGGATCTCCCCGCACTCATCAATGTCTGGGGAGGACATGGGCTGTCAAGGGCAGCCCCGCCCCCAGCTATGGGACCCACTGGTCCTGGAGTCAGGTGGCAGAAGATGTGGCCAGCACATGGCCCAGAAGCCACACCAAGGGAACAGAGGGGTGCAGGAGAAAAGGAGAGGACAGGAAGGAAGCTGTCTGCAGCTGGAACTGGACACTGTAGCCGGGTGTGATGGAGCAGGCCTGTCGTCCCAGCACTCTGGGAGGCTGAAGCAGGAGGACTGCATGTTTGAATCCACTCTAGGATCCCCTAGCAACATACTTGCCTCAAGATACAAAAGGGGGTTGGCGCTGGGCCTCAGTGTAAAGGCCCTGGTGCAATCCCCAGTGCTACAAAAAAAGAGAACATACACACACGTGTGTGTGCACACACCCCTCCCATGACTCAGCAGTCCTGTTTCTTGGGTTACAGGAGGGCAAAACAGCTCAGTGTGAGTAGGAAAGCTCACAGAGGACAATATTTAGCAAAAAACTGGAAATATCAGTAGGCGAACAGATAGCCAAATGTGAAATACTTGCGCTGTGGGGTATTACTCAGCCCATAAAAGACTGGAGCACTGGCACGTGCCACAGCACGGATAAACCCTGGAGGCACAGCACCAACAGGGTGTGATGTCCCAGCCAAGAACCCAGCTGGCCTTGAACTCACAGTGATCTTCCTGCCTCAGCCACCTGAGTGCTGGGATCACAGGCGTGTGCCACCTCACCTGGCGAGTTCTGCTTCTTCAGATTCAACGAGCACAGCCAGAAATAATTTTTTATGTTGGAAGTGGCAGCTGGCACCATCATTCCAGCATTCTGGGAGGCTGAGGCAGGAGGTCCCTAAGTTAGAGCCCAGCCGGCAACTTACTGATTTAATGAGAGACTGTTTCAAAATAAAAGTAAGGTGGGGATGGGGAAGGAGCTTAGTGTGAAAGCCCTGGGTTCAATCCCTGATACCAGGAAAAACTAATAATAACAATAATAACTGAACACGGACAGACTCTTTGCTTGGCATTATTCCCTAAAAAAAGGGGCCAAGTACTGTCTGCTTTCATCCCAGCAGGCCCGGGGCCAGCAGATACATGGCGACAGGTTGTGTGGTGGGTTCCAGGGCTGGGGAGGACCGAGGGCCTTGTGTCTCCGGGAGACAGAGATTCAGCGTGGGGTGAGGCCACAGTGCCGGGGAGCGGGTGGGGACGGCCACTCGGCCACGTGTGAATGTGCTTCCCAGCGTGCTGAGAAATGAATGACAGGGTGAATTTCACCCTCTGAATCTTTATCCATCATTCCAACGGCAATTTAGTAAAAACATTCACTGCTTAATAAGAGCTCGGCTGGGGATGCAGGGAGGGGGGGCCCCACAGCAAGGGCGCAGCGGTCACTCACCCGTGGGCGCCCCTGTGTGGACGTCGACGGCGAAGCCCGGAACTTGATTCCCACACAGGAGCTGGTAGTCGGCTGGGCAGAGGAGGACAGAGCTGCAGACCGGACCCCAGGACCTCGGGGCCGGGGCGCAAGATCAGGGCAGGTGGCGGAAGCCACCACGGAGCTCGCTGGTAGCACAGTCCTCTGGTGGAATCTGCAGCCCAGCAGGAGCACTCTGGTCTTGTTTTCTCTCCCCAGTCCTGAGGCTCGAACCTGGGAGCTTGCACTGAGCCCCACCCCTACCCCTTCTTGTATTTTTATTTTGAGACAGTATTTCGCTAAGTCACTAAGTTGCCCAGGCTGAGCTCGAATTTGATGATCTTCCTGCCTCAGCCTCGCAGAGTGCTGGGATTACAGGTTGGCCCCTCCCAGGGTGTTGCTAACAGATTTATTGCCCGTTCCCCTGCCTGGAGCATCTCACCTCACCCCAGCTGCTGTGTTTTCAGGGGCTAGGTCTTCTCCGGGACCACCCAACTCCACCCCTTCCAACCCAGGAGACCCCTGCCTCTTTGTCCTGCTGTGATTTTCTCCCTGGTTGCCCTGAGCCCTCGGGAGCTCCACTAACTGCCTCTGCCTGACTCCAAGAGCTTTTCCTGCCCACAGGGCCCTAAACCAACCCGCCAGCCCTGGCCCTTGGGGAGAAAGCAGGAGCCCCAGGGGGCGGGCAGGGTAGGGGAGGGCGCTCACAGCTGGCGGGGCGGGGGCAGGCCTCGCAGGGCCTATTCCAGGCCTGGCCAACGTTGTAGGCGCAGCAGCACAACTTCCGGGTCACGGTGAAGGCCAGCTCGTTCCCACAGGTGCCATTATAGCGCCGGAAGCAGCTGCTCTTTCTCATGTCTGCCGTGGGAGGGGGAGGGGGTGGGGGGGTGGGGGGGGTTGTGAGTGTGGGAAAGGGTACTGCAGCTCAGCGGAGGTCAGGGCCAAGCAGATGGAATCTCATCATGGACCATCTGGACACGAGGGCCTGGCCGTCTCTTCCTCAACATACTTGGAAGTGCCGTTCATAGTTCAGCCTTTATTGGGCAGTGCACAACCTGGGCAACTGCTCCAAGGGCAGGCTTGGGTTCCTGAGCCCTGCAGCCCTGTTCAGTGACAGGTCAGCACTTCAGATATGCCCGCCCGCCCTTCTCCTTTCTTTCTCAAACACACCTCTGTCACCCTCCTCGATGTTAGAGGCTCCTAGGCACTCTCTCCCACACTTGTGTGCCGCTCCGGCCATTCCTGGGGCCCCCCGTTTGCACACTTCTCACCCATGCAGTTGTTGCCACCGTTGACCTGCAGGTACTCTGCCGGGCACACGCAGGTGTAGTTTCCCAGGGTGTTGTAGCATGTGCCAGGGCCACAGATGCCCGAGTGTCCGGAGCATTCATCGATATCTGAGGAGAGAGTGGGTGGAGTTGTCGGGCAGCTGATGATGACTAGGAGCCGCCTGAGTGATTTATTAGCTGGGCCCGGGATCCACTGCGCTATAGTGGCAGCTTGCGTTCCAAATCAGCCTGTAACCTCAAAGAGACTTCAGTGACCTGAGAGACAGGGCAGAGCAGTGAGTGACAGAAGTTTACTGTGGCACGGCTTCTGTTAAAAGTGGACCAGACTGAGAAAACTCCTCCTACTCATCCTTCACAACCTCACCGAGGCCACGCATGGTGGCTACTCCTGTAATTCCAGTGTTACAGGCAGCTGAGTTACACAGAAATGTTACAGGCAGCCAGACAGGGCTGGGCCCTGAAGGAGCCAGTGGAGAAGACCAGATACCTTGCAACAGAGCAGGAGACAGACACTTCCACTGTGGGTCAGACCTCCATACAAAAGATCAAACAAATGCACTCATATCTTAAGGATAAACTTCATGGATTGATATTCTAAATAGGTCTCTATCACCCTGAGGAGGGCAGGAGTCACCATCCCAACCCCCTATAGGAAGAGTCACTGTTGTGCACGCCTGCCTGCTACCTGGCTCTCTTCCCCATTTATCTTCAATTTAATCAATTTTACCTGAGCAATTAATTTATTGGTTGGCTGTAGTTCTGTCCCGCCTCATGCCCACCTTCCACCTGCCTCACTTTGTGGCTTTACTCTATAGAAGTCTCTAGAATAAAGACAGAGCCTTTGGCAACCCACTCAGGACTCCTTCTGTCTCTGTCTCAGAAGCTTTCTTTCTCTCAATAAATATTCCTACTCTTAACCTCCATTGTTCCTAAAACTCGTTCTTAGATTTTAGAAAACATGAACTTGTACTGGACATCTAGTAGGCTGGAAGTGTCTTTTCCCTGTATCACAGCACTCTGGGAGGCTGAGACAGGACTTCAAATTTAAGCCCAGGCTGGGCAACCTAGCAACTCAGGGCCTCAAAAAACAGAAGTTCTGGGAATGTAACTCAGTGGCATAACGCTTGCCTGGAAAGCTCAAGGTCCTGAATTCGAGTCCCAACACCAATAAAAAAAAAAACAAAACAAAACAACAAAAACCATGCAGATTTAGCTCAGTGCAAAGGCACTGTTCAATCAGCAGTACTGGGAAAAAACCAAACTTGGTCTTAGAAGTTGATTTTCTTATCCCTCAGAAAGGAAGAAGAATGTAAGACAGACCCAGAGAATACCGTTATTCCCTCCCCACACTGGAGATCTTTTCTTGTGTTGAAAAGTAAGTAGTTGTTCTTGCCTGCCTTTAGGGACTACATTCCCCTAGTGGGTGCTTGACTACCAAGCACACATATACTAGGTGTTTTCCTGATGCACACACAGCTATGGGAAAGCTTAATTTCCAAAAGTGGCATGGTAAGGGTTTAACAGTAATGCCTAATAATAAAACAGAACAATCATACTGTAATAAGTGTTATGTAAAACGTGTTTATTGGTATTTCTGTAATTTTTACACGCAGTGTTATGAGATTGAGTTGCGTGTGGGGGTGCATGAGTGTAAGCCTAGCACTAGGGAGGATGAGGCAGGAAGATCTTAAATCTGAAATAAGCTTAAGCTACACAGAATGTCCCAGGGCACCCTGGACTCCAGAGCAAACCCCATCTCAAAAAACTAAAGTAGGAAAAGTGTGGACCCAGTATTTTCAGATTCCAGAGAACTGCGGGTAATATAAACCACAGAAAATAACCATGTGAATGGGCAGGTGACTGCTTTATGAGGGGAGGACTGATTGACAGTCTAACCAACTCCTCTGGCTCAGAGGCACCAAAGTTTTGCTGTAAAGGACCAGGTTGTTTGGGTTTTTCCCAGCCAAACCAGATTCTCATAATTTTTCAATCTTCCTTGAAGCACAAAAACAGCCACAGACGCCAGAGATTTTCCCCCCGAATCATTAAAGAATACAGAAAGAGCATCCTTAGCTGTACACACACAGGCAGTGGCACGGTATGCAAGGAATCATTTCATCAAAAACAGCGGAGGAGAGGTTACTGGAAGTTATCTACAAATGCAGGAAAAGATTTTAAAAAGAAAACAACAGAACATTTCCAGAGCCCTGGCATCCTGTTGGAAGGCTCAGATAAATAATTACACCATACTGCAAGAGGGGAGTGTGGGATTTCAAATGCCTCACGCTGTGCCTCACCACTCAATGCCAGCCTTGGGACTCATGAAAACATCGTAATTTCCCTCCCATTTCTGTTCCTGTAAACTTTTAAAGTCTTTTCTTGTGCGTGACACAGCTCAGTTGCGTACTTGGAGCCTCAAGACGGTTAGCAGCCAATTTCTCTTCAGAAATCATGGAAGCCAGACAGCAATGGAACAGTTTAAGCAGCTGGAAGAAAACGTTTGGTTGAACAAGAGAGTTCTAGAGCTGGCCAAACTGTCCCTTGGAAAGGAAGAGAAATGTTAGACAGGCCCAGAGCTTAGTCTTATTCTCTACCCCGCACCGGAGACCATTTTTTTGCGTTGGAAATATTTTCATTGAACGTGTCCCCTAAAACAAATAGAAAACCTAGCATTTTGTTTCATTTCATTTGATTACTTTGAGACGGGCTCTTGCTATGCAGCCCAGGCTGCCTCCAGCCACCCACACGGCCTTCAGGGTCAGCAGAGACACGCTTTGAAGGGCACAATTTTTTCTTTTCTTTTATTCTTGGTTTACTCCCACTCTATTAGGTTTTTTCTTTTTTGTTACATTTCTTCCAAGTTTGTTCTTGTTTTTATGAGCGTGAACGTGCTTTCGAGGTTTTTCTGTTGCTGCTGGTGCTCTGTTCTGTCACTGCCTCTATTTCTCCCTTAAAGGGACTCACCACAGGCGGTTTACAAGCATCAAGCCAGGGACAGAAAGAAGAAAAGAAAAAAGACACTTAAAAAACTTGCAACCCCGACTTCCAGCCCACCAAAAGCAAACCCAGCAGGCAGAGAGGCGGGGTCATCTGAAAGCCTCTCACTTGGACTCTCTGAAGTGCGGTCAGTGGAAGCAACATGGCAAACGGATGAGGTTTAGAAAAAAAAATCAAACCAGAAATAACTTCTCAGATAACTAGAGATGGTGACCACAGTGAAAGACTTGGTTGGCATAACTCTAGAGCAGGTACAGATTAAAAAAGAAAAGAAAGGCTCAGGGAAATGGTGGGAATCATGAATGGCCACTATTGGAAAGAAATGGAATTCAAGAGGACACATTCAAATAGATATCCAGGAAATCTAAAATCCCACCAAAAGTATATGCAGCAGAATGAATTAAGGTGAAGGCAGAATGTCAGACACAAGAGATGCGATTATGGTCAATGGTCATGAAAAGAAAGACTTCTTAAAGATAGCAAGGGACCAGAGAAATTCTTTGAGCAGCTGCTAGGTGATGCAAAGAAGAATAACATAAGATTGATCGGAGTCGATGAAAAAAGCAGGAGATACAGCCAACGACATTAAAAAAAAAAAAAAAAAAAAAACCTGTTCACAGATGTCATGGCAGAAAATTTCCTTGGCAGGGAAAAAATTTGACATACAAAGCTATATAGAACTCCAATTGGACATGATCCAAAAAATCTATAGCAAGGCATATAACAGAAAGATTCCAGAAGTTCAACTCAAGAATAGAATATTGAACGATGCTAAAGAAAAAATCATCAGTAAAGGAAAGCCCATTGGAATCATGGCAGACTTTTCAACACAAACCCTTAAGTCAAGGTATTTTAAGTCCTAAAAGAAAAAATACCTCCAATCCGTATATATGTACCCCACAAACATATCTTTCAAAACTGATCGAGAAATAAGATCATTCCATGGCAAAGAACACCCGAGAAAATTCATGACCACCAAAGCAGCACTCGACACTGTTCTGAAGGACATTATAGAAAGAGATAACAAGGATTACAACTCCATGAACCCCAACAGAACGAGTCCACCAGACAAAGAAAGCAATTAAACAGAGGGGGAAAAAGGGGAGCCAACAACAGGAGAATAACATGACAAGGTAAGTCAATACACATCAGTCATAACCATCAATGTTAATGGGCTCATTCACCAATCAAAAGAAACACACTAGCCGTGTGCCTGCAATCCCAGGACTTGGGAGGTTCAGGCAGGAGGACTGCTGCAAGTTCAAGGCCAGCCTGGGACTCATAGTGAGTCCGAACTACACAGTGAGACCCTGTCACAGAAACAAACAGAAAAGACCAAGATGGCAGAGCAGTAATCAGCTAAGCAAACAGCCTCTGTGAGAGTCACCATCCACACACCGGAATACAGCATGTGAGGACGACAGGAGGGAGGGTCCCCTGCACCCAGGAAGAATCTAAAGTGTGAGCCGAAGCCCATGCAGAGTGTGAAGAGAGAAACTCCAGGGAAGAAGGAGGCAGCCAGCAGCACCTTCTCCCTGACAGGGAACTCACTGCACAAGAGGAGTGGTTCAAACCTGTGGATGCGCGGTGACGGTGATGGTGATGTGATGGTGATGTGATGGGGATGGGGATGGTGATGGTGACGGTGACGGTGACGGTGACGGTGATGTTATGGTGGTGATGGTGGTGTGGAACACAACCACCCTTGTGCTCATTTTCATATCTGGCTGCACATAGATGCTCAGTTAATACTGGTTGCAAGGAAGAAAAAGGAAAGAAGGAAAGAAGGAAGGAAGGAAGGAAAGAGGGATGAAAGGGATGAATGGGTGATTGGATTGATGATTGAATACATTAATGACTGGATGGGTAGATGAACTGATAAATGGCTGGATGGATGTATAGACAAATAAATGAATAGATGAATGGATGGATGGAGACATGGGTAGATAACAGATGACTGGATGGGTGGGTAAATGAGTACATCGGATGGACAGATGGATGGATGCATGGATGACTGAATGGGTGGAAGGATGAATAAGTGAACAGGTCAATGGATGGATGAATATCTGAATGAATGGATGGGTGGTTGAATAATAAATAAATGATGAATGAATGGGCAGATGGATGACTGTATGTATGTATGGATGATTGGCTGGCTGGCTGGATGGATGAACCAGCATCTTGCATGAAAAGAGCCAGGCTCAGCAATCACAATGGCAGGCACAGAGCCCGTCTCCATTGCTCACCAGTTGCTGCTTCTGGATGAGTCATTTAACCATGAACCTTAGCTTCTGCATCTGAGAACAGGATCATCATAGGAACACCTTCCTCGGGGCTGCTGCGGTGACTAAATAACAAGGAACTCAGCACATGGGTGGCCATAGTCCTAGCCATCAGCCTTTACTGTGAGGCTCTCACGAGGACAAGAGAGAGACAGGCAGAGTGTGCAGGGAGGGAAACGAGGGAAAGTCGGCACCCTTCCTTCTCACCTCCTTTCCTTACCACTCTTAGTTCTGGGCCTCGACCAGCTTTGGCCTAAGAGAGGAAAGGTATGGTTGCTGTTGTAAAGCAGGTCCCTTCCAAGTGAGGGAGGATGAATGGATAGGTGATGATGAATGAGTGGGTGATGGATGGATGGACAGATGATAAACAGATGGGCAAAGGATGGATGAGTGAATGATGGATGGATGATGGATGATGGATGGATGATGGTAGATGATGGATGATGGATGGATGATGAATGGATGACAGATGATGGATGGATGATGGATGGATGGTGGATGGATGACGGATGATGGATGGATGGTGGATGATGGATGATGAATGGATGATGGATGATGGTGGATGGTGGATGATGGATGGATGGTGGATGGTGGATGATGAATGGATGATGGATGATGGTGGATGGTGGATGATGGATGGTGGATGATGGATGGATGACTGATGATGGATGGTGGATGATGGATGATGAATGATGGATGAATGGTGGATGACAGATGATGGATGGATGGTGGACGGTGGATGGTGGACGATGGATGGTGGGTGGATGGTGGATGGATGATGGATGATGGATGGATGGCGGATGGGTGCATGATGGATGGATGGTGGATGACAGATGATGGATGGATGATGGAGGATAGAATGGATGGATGTTTGGGTGGCTGGATCAGGCAGAACCAAGGGTAAAGCTGGGCATTTAGATGTAGCCTTCCCTCTCTGACCGTCATGAAGCCTGGCCAAGCAGGAAGGCAAGGAGGGACAGGCAGAACCTGGCAAGCCAAGGAGAGTCTCCACTCACCCTCACAGCGGCGGGTTTCCTGATGGAGGTGGTATCCAGGCAGGCACTCACACTGGAAGCTGCCAAAGGTGTTGACACAGTTGCCTCCCTGGCACAGCCCTGGCAGCTCCTGGCACTCATCAATATCTGCCAGGAAGTGAGGAAAGGAAGCTAATGTGGGGCTGAGTTAGTACAGGAGATACAAGCTGCCCTGGGATCGCTTTGCTCCTGTGAGGACCCCCACATGATATCCCAAAGACATTTGGGGGCTTCCTCAAGTTAATGCTGGCCTAAGCCAAGTCCTTTCTTTTCATCTAGGGGTTCATCATCCCATTCCCTGCAGTAAAATGTCTTCTCCAACTCCATCACCCCCGCGGGTAGGACTGATGCAAGGATGGGTGGATGGCTTTGAAAAGCAGTGGGCAGGTAAGTGAGTGAGTGGGTTAACAGATGAGAGAAAGAATGTGTGGGTGGGTGAGTGGATGGGTGGATAGGTGGATGGGTGGATGGACGGGTGGATGGACGGACAGGTGAGTGGATGGGTAGATGGATGGATGGGTGGGTGGGTGAATGAATGGGTGGGTGAGTGGGTGGATGGATGAGTGGGTGAGTGGGTGCATGGATGAGTGAATAGATGGATGGATGGGTGGATGGGTGAGGGGGTGGATGGGTGAGGGGGTGGATGGGTGAGTGCATGGATGGATGGGTGGATGGACGGATAGATGAGTGGAAATGAATGGGTGGGTGAGTGGGTAGATGGGTGGGTGGGTGAGTGGGTGCATGGATGAGTGAATGGATGGATGGATGGGTGAGGGGGTGGATGGGTGAGTGCATGGATGGATGGGTGGGTGGGTGGGCAGGGTACAGGTGATGTGGAATGGACGGATGGATGAACTACAGGAATGGACGGAAGGGTACAGAGGTGGGTGTAAGGATACTGGGTGGATAGAGAATGGATTGACAGATGGTGGGTGAGTGGACAGATGGACAGGTGAATAGAGGGTGGATGCATAGATGAGTAGATGAGTGAATGGAGAAAGGATGGGTGGATTGGTGATCAGTGGATGGGTAGGTGAATGGCAATGGACAGAGAGGGGGATATACGGGCACACGGAAGGGCAAAGGCTGGATAGATGAATGTGTGGGCGGGCAAATGGAGAGTCAGAGGACTGATACGTAGAGAAGGGGCGGATGGAGAATGGACAGGTGGCAGGATGGATGGACGGATGGGGAGTCAGTGATGGAGAGGTGAACAGAGGAAGGATGGTTGGACAGATGGACACAGGTGGACGAACAGATGAGTGCACAGGAGGGCAGACCAACAAACCAGCGAATGGAAGAAGACATGGTTGAAAGAATACATAAAAATTCAGCGCAAATCCAAAGCACTCAAGGCTTGCTGCCAGGGCCCCAGCTGGGTTGACAAGTGTCACCCACCCTGGCAGTCTGGGCAGGCGAGGAGAAGGAGAGAGCGAGGAGGAAGCGGGGTGCTCACGTGGGACTCACCTTCCAGGATGACAGTGAGGAGGTTGGGCCGGAAGCCCTCACCGCCTGGGCACAAAGTTCTGTACTCGGCTGCAAGGGGAAGGGCTCCTGTGAGGGGCTGGGGTGAGCGTGAGCAGAGTCCAGGGTGAGGGGCCCCTTGGAAAGGGCTCAGGACTGGGGAGGGGCTGCTCATCTCTATCATCTCTTGGGCCAAGAGCCCTTGACCAGTCTCAGGGCTGTCTGCGGACTTGGTATTTATATGTGTGTGTGGGCAAGGGAGTGTGCAAATGTGTACTCACACCCACCGCGTCAGCAGATGGATCATGAGGTAGCGGCTTTGTACATGCTGTTCCTATTGCATAACACATCCTCCCCCTTACTTTCTAGGAAAACTCCTACTCATCCTTCAAAACCTCTCTTAGGTCTACTCTTACGGAAAACCTTCCCTTACCCCCTTCCTCTCCATGGCTTCCTCCTGGGCCATCACTAAGCTTCAAACAGACCCTTCAGACAGCTCAATAACAGCTGTCTTAAGGGACCCTTCTCTGGGTCCCCAGCCCACATCACAAGGGCAGCACTAAGTGTTTGTGGAGTGACTGAGAAAAAGGTACAAATGCACAGAGCACAATGACACTGGAGAGAGGCCTGGCCTGGGCACTGCCACGAGGTCGCCTTGTGATGGGGTCGCCTCTCCCTCCTGGCTCTGTCTCCCTGTCCCCTTGAGCCTTCTGGCAACACAGCTCCTCGGGGCCCAGTGCTGACTTGGGGAACAGGGGGTCTCACTGGAGTTGGCCGTGGGGCACAGCTCGCAGGGGCTGCCCCAAGCCCGGCCCAAGGAGCAGCAGCAGGAGGCTCGGGTGACGCCAGCTCCGACCTCGGCACCACAGGAGAGGCCGCCGTCCCCGCGGTCGTGAGTGTCCAGGAAACAGCTCCCAGCCCGGGGGTCTGCACGCGTGGGAACCAGCGGTCAGCAGATGTTGGAGCCAAAACTGTGTCTGTGTGCGTACCCATGTGGGTGTGCATGTGTGTGTACACCCGTGTGTGTGTGTGGGGGGGTGTGCACAAGTGTCCCAGAATGGGTGAACAAGGAAAATGACTCAGGGCCAGCAGGGAAGGCGTGCGGGTGATGCTGCTAGCTGTGCGGGTGTGTGGTCCTGTGTTGGAGTCCACCCAGACAGAAGACTGCGTCTCCACAGGTGCCCGGGGCCATCACGCCCCAGCCTGGGCCACGCTCGGACTCACCCACGCAGCCCACCCCGCTGGGGTTCAGCTCGAAGTCCCGGGGACAGCGGCACAGGTAGCTCCCGGGGGTGTTGACGCAGAGGCCGTTGATACAGTTCACGGGGTCTGCACACTCGTTCACATCTGGGGGTGCAAGTGCAGGCATCGGCAGGGAGCCCCCCATCCAGATCCCTCCCACTCCACCCGGGGCACCACAGCCCTTCTCGGGGTCCACCAATGGGATGGCAGGACAGGATGCACCCTGGCCAGGCATGGTGGGGGCCCTGACACTCTGCGAGGCGGAGGCAGGAGGATTGTGAATCAAGCCCAGCCTGAGTAACCCCGAGACTCTGCAAGATTCTGTCTCAAAATAAAACATTGAAAAAGGGCTGAGGGTACAGCTCAGTGCATCGACTCTGGCTTCCAGCCCCACCCCACGAAATAAATTAAATACATAAAACAGAGATGCAGAAGACTGTGACCTTGCATGGGGAGAAAGAGGAGGGGACGGGGGCCCCGGGATCTGCCCCAGCCTGTCTGTCTCCTTCCTGTCCCATTCACAGGCTGCTTCCAAAGGAGCCGGGGGATGGGGGGTGACGGGGAGACTAAACTCCAAACCGCAGGCCGACTCCAGCCCGCTGCGTGTGCTGATAAAGTTTTATTGGCACACGGCCCGCTATGCCATGCCAGGCCAAACATATTTACTATCTTTGTGGTGACAGGGTCTCTCTAAAATGACTCAGGCCAGCCTCCAATTTGTGATCCTCCTGCCTCAGCCTCCCGAAAAGCTGAGATTACACGTGTGTGTCACTGCAGCCAGTTCTGCCATTATTTTGCAGGGCTGGAGACTGAACGTAGGACCTTGCTCGGCTCGGCAAGTGCTCTGCTTCTGCTCATTATTTTTTTTTAAACAGGGAACATGCGGCTCTCACCTGTGCAGTTGCCACCACCGCGGTCCAGCGCATAGCCATCCGCGCATGCGCAACGGAAGAAGCCGGGTAGGTTCTCACAGCTCCCAAAGGCGCAGAAGTTTCCCAGGGCGCACTCATCCACATCTGCAGGAACCCAGTTCAGCACGCCCGCCTGCAGCGCATTCCAGGAACCCACCCTCTTGGTCCTGGCAGCGCCTCGGCCCCAGCCTCACCCTGGCATCCTCCGTGGTCTTCCGTGGGGCCGAAGCCCATCTCGCATTCACAGCGGTATCCGCCGGGGACATTGAGGCACTGCCCGTTCTCGCAGAGGTCCATGTCCTCGGCGCATTCGTCCCTGTCTGAGGCGTGGGAGGAGGTCCCAATGACCGGAACCCTCGCAGTCACTCAGGGTCTCAGGCAACGAGCCCAAGGAGCACCGGCATAGGCAGGGGCCAGGTGACCAAGACAAAGACTGAAGCACAGAAAGGTGGCTGCGGCCGTGAGGCTCCAGCCAGTGCGGCAGAGGGGACTCGGTCACTCGGGTCAGGCGTGGAGGGAAGCCATGGGGTCATCAAGTGTCCCTAGGCACTTAAGAGTCCAAGGAGCTGGGTGTGGTGGTGCACACCTGTAATTTCAGCACTCTGGGAGGCTGAGGCAGGAGAATCTCAAGTCTGAACCAAGCCTGGGCAACCCAGTGAGACCTTGTCCCAGAGAATAATAGAAAGGCTGGAGAGGGAGCTCGGCAGGGAGGTGCTGGGTTCAATTCCCAGTACCAAAAAACAAATAGAACCTCCAAGAGAGGGGGCTCTGCCTGAGACCCCCAGGTGGGCAGAGTGGGGCTCTGGCCTGGCCCCCCGGGCTCCCCCACCTTACCTTCGCAGGAGAAGCCGTCTCCAGTGAACCCCTGCTGACAGGCACAGCGGTAGGAGCCGGGGACATTGAGGCAGGAGGCGTGGCCGTCACAGTTATGTCCCCCAAGCTCACATTCATCCACATCTGAGAGGAGAAGAGCAGTCATGGGGGGTTCCCAGGAGGGAGACGGCACGGTGGCAGCAAAGAGCAGATACCCCGAGAAGCCTCCTCCAGCCACCTTCATCCAGAGTCTAAGAGAAGACCCCAGATCAAGGACCTGATTCCCTGCGGCCTTCGCAATGACCTGGAGAGGTGGCAGGAGACTCAGGCTACACACCGATAATCTCAGCCCTCTCGAGGCCGAGGCAGGAGGATCGCTGTGAGTTTAAAGCCTGCCCAGGTTACAGAATTTGTTCCAAGGCAGTCTGAACTACATAGTGAGATGCTGTCTCGAAATTCCTCTCCAGAACTGCGTCAGGCATGTCTGCTTCGGGAACAGCAGCAGGAACAGTAAAGCCTCCTCTGCTGAGTGTTTTAAGGGGAGCCCTGAGGCACTTTCTTCCCAGGAGGTCTTATTAGTGGAATCCCCAAGAATAAATTCTGACCCTGCTCTGCCCTGGGGCACAGGGACAATCCCCAGGGGACCACTGCGGTGACCTCCAAACTGCTTCTCGGGTCCCTCCTGCCCCCATCACCAACTGCCTGTGTCCCTTGCTCACCCGAGCAGCCCGTGGCCCCCTTCCTGGTGATGTAGCCCAGCTGGCAGTGGCAGACAAAGGATCCGGCTGTGTTCTCACAGTTGCCATGGAGACAGATGTGGGGGTTGAGATCACACTCATTCACATCTAAGAAAGGAGAGAAAATGAAGCCTGAGGACAGGTGCTGGGGTACGGGAGCCCCCAGGACTCCTGAGCAACCTGTCCTTGGATCCCCTCCTCAGGGTTCCATCTCTGGGGCAGACAGCTCTGTCCAGGTCTCCTGCAGGGCGGCTGTGTTCTCTGAGCACTTCACAGCCTGCATGCCGAGGCACACAGCAGCCAGCCGTTCCAAAGGGGGGCTGCAGGGTTGAATCTCCTCAGGGAATGAGCTCCACAAAGCTATTTTCTTCCTGCAGGACTTCTCCATCTCTATGTCAAGGTGGATTTGTAACCAGGGAATGGGGCAGATGGAGCGGCCTGCTGGTTTCCAAGCCCTTTCTAGGGTGCTCTTGAGATTCCTGAGAGCTAGAACTCTTAAGCTCTCCTGCACAGGCTGTGGCTTTGCCAGGAGTTAAGTTGTTACAGCAGCTGCAAGGTGATAGGTTACATTGGTTTAGAAGCTACACTGTTAAGGAGCTACACTGTTGCTACTTCCTACACCTTCCCATGGGCTCTTCAACTCTGTTCTGGTAGGGTATCCAGTACACAGCTCCTCCCCGGCCCTCAGGACCACCCTGGGTGGGCAAGGACAGGGGTTGCTCTGTCCAAATGGCCTAGGAGGGTCCTCAAACAGGGCTTGGACGCCAGGAGTGGTGGTGCACACCTGTAATCTCAGTATTCTGGGAGGCTGAGGCAAGAGGATTGCAAACTTGAGCCCCACCTGGACAATGTAAGGATTTAGCAAGACTCTGAGTTAAAATTTAAGCAGGGCTGGGGATGTATCTCATTGTGAAGGTACTGTGTTCCGTTCCCCATACTGCAAGAACAACAAAATAACAAAAAGGGGGGGGGGTGAGAAATAAAACAAAACAACAACAACAAAAAAAAAAAAAAAAACAAAAAAACCCCAGCAGGGCTCAGAGAACACAGTTCTGAAGCTTTCTCATCTTGTTCACCCTCACCAAAAACAAAGCCAAACCAAAAAACAACAAAGACAGTCCCTACACAGTACACTCGCTTTTGTTTGCAGTGATCTCTCAGAACAGAGCACAACTCTGCTAAGTGCTGGGCACACACTGAGTGCACTCAGACCAAGGCTGGGTAACTCTTTTCTTTTTTTGGTCTTTTTTGAGACAGGGTCTCTCTGTGCAGTCAGGCTGGCCTTGAGCTCACTTTGTAGCCCAGGCTGGTCTCAAACTCGCAATAATCCTCCTGCCTCAGCCTCCCGAGTGCTGGAGTTACAGGCACGTGTCACCAGGCCCTGCACAGGGGTGGCTGTGCTCCTGTGAGAAGGGTCCCTGGGGCTTTGAAGAGTAGGCCAGACCACCAAACACTGCCACTCCTGAGCAGGGATGGGACCAGGAGCGGCCACGCTGGTGCCCCCGGGGAAGGTGTGAGCTTCTGACGCTGCCTCCGCCCCTGCAGTCCTGGTGTCTCACCAACACACGTCTTCATGTCCGGTGTGGCCGTGAAGCCATCGTTGCACAGGCAGCGGTGGGCTCCCGGCACGTTGGCGCACTGCCCCTGGCCACAGATGTCCGGGTTCTCTTTGCACTCGTCCACATCTGCGGAGCAGGGACGGAGTGCGCTGCAGGCACATAAGGATGCGGGGGTGCCCGCGGTCCTTCCCACAGGACGGGGAGGGCGCTGTCTGAGCTCCGGACCGGGTCGGGTGTGACCGATGCACCCCAGGGAGGGAGGGCGCGGGCCCCACCTGCGCACGCCCTCCCGTCGGGCAGCAGCGCGTAGCCCTGGCCGCAGCCACACCGGAAGCTGCCCTCGGTGTTAACGCAGTGCACCGCGCAGCCGCCGTTCCGGACTCCGCACTCGTCAGCATCTGTAGAAGCGAGTGCGCAGGCTGGGTACCAGGAGAGGGGCCTCCGCGCAGGAGCGGGCGGGCCGGAAGGGCAGGAGAGGGGAGGCACGGGTGGGCCGGGTGTGCGCAGCCTCACCCACGCAGCGCTGGCGGTCAGGGCTGGCCCGGAAGCCGGCGTCACAGGAGCACTGGAAGGCGCCCACGACGTTGATGCAGCGGCCGTGGGGACACAGGCTGCTGCTCAGGGCGCACTCGTCCACGTCTGGGGACAGGCGGCGGCTAAGGGGCCCGCACCCCACTGCGGTCTTTGACGCCATGAGACACACGTGGGCACACGTGCACACCTTGTGACAGCCTCTGCTCACCTGCGGGCATGCCTCACACCCACGCTTACACATGCACACCAGCAAGCACGGTGACACAGACCCCAGACACATTCATCCTCGTGTAAATGTGCACCCACACCTAGATGTAGACTCAAACTTGTGTACACACTTACGGAAATACACTTTACACTCATGTGCAAACACATCTCCCTAGTATGAACACACGTTAGTGCCTAAATACACATTCACAGACTCTTGCACACCAGACTCAGACACAAAGCCCTCACATGCAGACTCACCTGCTTTCCACAGACACATTCACACGCAGGTGCACACTCACACCTCTTATCATGTCACATATCCCACATCCACTTACAAGCACTCACTCACGGGTGGACACACGCCCTCACAAACCCATTGGTCTTTGTATTGCTATGGTCACACATGTGCGTGTTCACAACCAAACACTCTCATGCACACTCGAGGACACAAATGCACACTACCACCACCGAAGCATGCAACCACTCACATGCAGGTGCACACTGGCATATGTTCACCAGCTTGCACACTTGCTTTCCCATTTCACACTCATAGGGACACACATACACCCACCATCTTGCATGTGCTAACACTCACACACAAATACAGAGGCTCGTCCTCAAAACACACACCCTCCCATCATCTCACTCCCACAGCACTCAGACACTAACATGCTCACACTTGCACACTGGCTGCACACTCACCCTCACAGGCAGTGCCCTCGGCTGTCAGCGTGTGTCCGGGGGGACACTGGCACTCGTAGCTCCCATCCGTGTTGGTGCAGGTGCCTCCCCTGCACAGTAGTGGGTCCCTTGCACACTCGTCCACATCTGGGTGTGTGGAAAGAGTCAGAGGCTGAAGATCCTAGCTCACTGGGCAATTGGTGCCTGGACGCTCCCCACTCCCATCCCTTCCCCAACCTCAGCCCAGGATGGCCCGGGGGCTCAAGGCTTGAATGAATTTGCAGAATTGGGGCTGGGAGCTGACACCCCTGGGGTCACTGAAGGATGCCCTGAGAAGCCATCCCTTCTCTTGGGGACATGTGGGGAAACAGGCTCTGTGCTTTCCTGCAGCCTCATCACCCATCAGTGCCCTTCTTGCACACCAGCCACACACTTCTCCTTCCCCTCAGGGCTACCCCAGGGCCTTTGCACATGTTGCCTTCCAGCCTCTCTTCACCCAGGTCCCCCTCACTCCTTTCAGGGACCTCCCAAGCTCCCCAGATGCATCCTCCAGCTGCATCTTCCCATTAGTCAGTGTGTGGTCCTCTCTGTGGATTTATTTCATTAGCCTCTGTTTCTCCAGGAGCTCCAGAAAAAACGCATTGCTCTTTGGGGTAGGATGTCATACTAAGACTCAAACCCAGGGCTGCTCTACAACTGAGTTCCACCCCCAGGCCTTTTCACTTTTAAATTTTGAGACAAAGTCTGGCTAAGTTGCCCAAGTGGGCCTCAAACTTGCAAAGATCCTCCTGTTTCAGCCTCCCAACATGCTGGGACGACAGGCATTCCCTCCCCCACCCCTTCTACTCATGGCGATGCTCAGAGGCCCTGTACCCCGCAGGCCCGCAGCTCTGCCCACGCCCACATCTGCACAGCGACCTCCCGCCTGCTCGGGGAGCCCGCGTAGCCCCGGCTCCTGCTCACCCACGCAGCTCCTCATCAGCAGGGGCCCGCTCGCGTAGCCGCGGAAACACCTGCACTGGAAGCTGCCCGGGGTGTTGACGCAGGTGCCCTGGCCGCAGAGGTCGGGGGAGATGCGACACTCATCAATGTCTGCGGGGACAGGGGTGTGCGTGTGACCGAGCCCGCAGCCCGGCAGGGGCAGAGCCGGAGAGGGACCCGAAGACAGGGCGGCCCTCCGGCGCTCACCCCTGCAGCTCCTCTCGCGGGCGTCCAGGGCGAAGCCGCCGGCCGTGTTGCGGCAGGAGCCGCGGGCGCAGAGCCCTGGGAACGCCCCGCACTCGTCCACATCTGCGGGACACGCGCAGGGTCGCCCCGGGAAGCTGCCCGAGCTCCCCGACCCGGCCCGGTGGGTCGCACCTTGGTACATGGGTCGGCCTGACAGGAGGTCGTGCCCGGAGAAGCCGCGCCCTCGGGGACACAGGCTGGGGAACTCCGGGCTGTCAGGCTCCGGGCAGGACTCGCACTCGGCTCCCCACGCGGCTCCCACGGAGCAGCAGCAGACGTCCTTCCGGTACTTGCCGGGCAGGGGGACCCCGCAGTCACCCTCGCCCGGGTGCAAGAAGCAGGGCTCCAGCCTCACGTCTGCGCGGAGGGACCGTCATGGGCCCCAGCCCCCCACATCAGGAGGGTGGGAAGAGGGCCAAGGGGTGACCTCTGCATGGCGAGGCGCCGTGGCACCCCAAAGCAGCACCCGACAGGGACTAGACTGCCCGGGGCTCACTAAGTAGTGGGTACTGTTTTGAGTGCCTCAACTACTGAATCCTCTACATAAAACTGAGACGGGGCTAAGGGGCTGGGGTGGAGCTCAGTGAGGTCTGCGCCTCATGTCTCCAGCAGCAGCAAAAGAGAGAGAGAGAGACAGAGACAGAGACAGAGACAGAGATAGACAGAGCAGACAGAGACAGACAGAGAGACAGACAGAGACAGAGACAGAGACAGAGATAGAGACAGAGAGACAGACAGAGACAGAGAGACAGAGACAGACAGAGACAGACACAGAGACAGAGACAGAGACACAGAGACAGAGACAGACAGAGACAGAGACACAGAGACAGACAGAGACAGAGACACAGAGACAGAGACAGACAGAGACAGAGACACAGAGACAGACAGAGACACAGAGACAGACAGAGACAGAGACACAGAGACAGAGACAGAGACAGAGACAGACAGAGACACAGAGACAGAGACAGAGAGAGACACAGACAGAGAGACAGAGACAGAGAGAGACAGAGACAGACACAGAAACAAAGACAGAGACCCAGAGAAAGAGAGACAGAGACACAGACACAGAGACACAGAGACAGACAGACAGAGAGACAGAGACAGACAGCGAGCGAGCGACTAGGCAGGGTTCACACGCCTGTCATCCCAGTACTGGGCTCCACGCCCAGCCCCTTCTCAGTCGTTGAATGACTTCACAGGACCTTGTTTCCAAATTAAAAAACATACAGGGACCCTGGGAAGTAGCTCAGGGTGGAAGCCCTGGGTTCAATCCCCCAGGACCACAAGAGCAACACAAAATAGAAAGTAAGGGGGCCTCTCCTAAGCCAGCGTCAGAAGTAGGGTCTCATGAGATCGTGGCAGGGGCAGTGACAGACAGAAAGCAGTGAATTCTCGGGGTGAACTACAGGTCTGGGGGGGGGGGCGGCCTGCAGACTCACCCACACACCCGCGGCCCAAGGCGTCCAGCGACCATCCCAGGGAGCACTCGCAGAGGAAGGAGCCCTCGGTGTTGATGCAGCGCCCGCTCCAACACTCGCCCGGGAAGGATTCGCACTCGTTCACATCTGGGGGGGTCAGGAGGGGGTGCTGAGGCCCTGCCGGCTGTTCCTCTGAGGGTTCAAGGAGCCCCAGCTGTCCTTGGAGAGGACAGATGGGGACCATGGCAGGGCCATGGGATCCCTGGAAGCCTGGGAAATGAATGTTTCTTTTTTGACAGTCTCAATATGTCATCCAGACTGGCCTTGAACTCGTGTAGCTCAGACGATCCTCCTGCCTCAGCCTCCGGAGTGTGGCACTGCAGGAGTGTGATGCCATACCGGGTTTAGACTGCAAAGTGTTGCCAGTGAGGAGCCCCCGTGCATTAGACACACCTGGCCCAGTGTGGGTCCTTATTTGTCATTGCGAGTCAGGCCCCTGGGGCTCCTAAGAGACTCCCTATAGACGGGGGACCCCTTCATCATCTCCTGTAGTGCCTCACGGAACTCAGGGGAGCTCCTGAAGGTCATCTCAAGGGCTGCAGCTTGCTGTCTTCAGCCTGCCCCGCTTTGCTGTGAATTGTTGCTTCTCTGGGATGAGCCTCTGCATGGGTCGCCCTGCCTGAGCACGGACCGAAACCTCTACACACTGGGAGCTAAAAAACCTTTCCTCTTTTGACTGTCGGTCTCGGGTATTTTGTCTCAGCAATGAGAAAAGTCTAACTAAGATGCTTGTGTTATTATTCCAAAGGGTGTTGACACGGGGAGAGAGGAGCAGTCAGGTGAAAGACCCGAGACGGACGAGAACGGATGAGGACAGAGAGCGCAGCGTCTGGGAGACTCCGCGGCTTGGGTTTTATGATCGCTTCTTAACGCCACCATTTCAAAGCCCAGAGCAGCTTCTCATCACAGCTCGGCCTTTTTGCTAACCGGTTCCTACCCAGGAGCCACCAAGAGTCACCTCATCAGAACCAAGACGGTCCTGTGACCCGGGAAACGCAAGGGCTGAGGGGCTCTGTGTCGGGAGCTGCGGTTAAAGACCAACCAGCTCGCAGGACAGAAGGCATCTGTCCCTACCGTCCTCCCCGCTTGGGTCACAGGGAGCTTAGGAGCTCTCTGCTGGGCGGGGCACGGAGGCTGGGCATGTGTTTTTCCCTGCAAACCCCAGGATCAGAGCACCCATGCATGAAGGCCAACGTGAGGGTCCCATGATGCACAGTGGGTAACAAGGACCCTCAAGGGAATCGTGGCATGGACAGGACTGGGGTAATGGGCAGGAGAAAAACACAGAGGCCGGGAGTGGTGGGGGCCGGAACAGGGAGCAGGGCACAGGGAGTTGGGCCATCCAGTTACTGCATGTGTGCGTGTGTGTGTGTGCACAGCACAGGTGACATATGTCGTGTGCTCAGTAATGCAGCACGCATGTCTGTTTGTACCGCACACAGCATGTATCTGAGTGTACATCTGTGTGCACACTATATGCAGTGTGCATATCTGAGTGTGTGTGCATGTGCACAGTATGAGTGTGCACACTATATGCAGGGTGCGTATGATATGCAGGGTGCAAAACAGTGTACATGTGTGTGCTGCATGCAGTGTGTCTGAGCATGTGCGGACTACATGCAGTGTACACACTGAGTGTGTGTATATCTGCATGAGTACACACTACATGTCCCGTGTATGTGTGAATAAAGGTACACACAGGCTTTCAGCCTGCATGTGCCCATTTGTGCACAGGCCACCCACTGCGTGGATATCTAAGCATGTGTGTGTGCAACCTGTACGTGCACATGCACTGTGTGAAGCGTGCCCAGAAGCCGTACCTTCACAGGTCTCTGTGTCCTGCCGGAAGGTGAAGCCCTGTGGGCAGGAGCAGGTGTAGCTACCCGGGCTGTTGCGGCACTGCCCGTGGTCACACAGGGAGGCGTTGAGGGCACACTCGTCCACGTCTGTGGGCAGCAGGAGAGAGGGTGAGGTCCCGCCGCACAGTGGCCCTCTCTCGAGTGTGGTCCTTGACCGTGGCGCCGGCCTGGTAACCCAGGCTGTGGGTGCAGCCGTAGCTGCTGCACAGGCCTCTGGGCCAAGGGCACAGTCGTTGATGTGTGCAGCCGGAAGAGATGCAGCTGCCCTGGCTTCCTGGGGGTCTCCGCAAGCCAGCCCCACAGCCCAGGGCAGGGGGTGCAGCCCAGACCCCACCTCACTTCTCCCTAAACTTGGCTTTCTCAGCCTCAGCAGGCTGGCACTGGAGCCACACCGCTCTTGGCCACAGGGGACCGTGCCGCGCGGTCCAGGGTATCGGAAGTCACCCTGTAACACCCTGTCCATGAGATACAGCAACCCCGTTGCCCATTTCTCCAGACCGTCAAAGGCTCCCAGGGCGGGGGCAGGGAGCAGTCCTGAGTTAGGAATCTATGGATTTTGCACAGCAGCCCCATAAGGTTAAGTCACAGCCAGCCCTCTGCACCCCTGAGTAGCTCATGTGGGATTCACTGCAGGATGGAGAAAGCCCTCTCTCACTGCACCCAGGGCTCCTAGGTCATGTGGGGGCCCCGGCCACCAGGGATGACCGTGAAAGCGACCGCCATGGCTGACGTCACAGGTGCTCTCTATTCTGCACCGAGCGCTGTCCTGGAGTCTGTCCCTTCCGCACAGCAGCCCCAGCGGTCAAAGACGGTGCCCAGCCACACCCTGCTTGTCACCACAGCAGTGCGTGCTGGCCCCCAACTGCAGGGCCAGGAGGGGAACTCACTGGACCCTCCCTGCCCTGTGAAGCAGTCCAACACTACCCTGAGTTTACAAAGAGTCAGAGCACAGGGAGGGAACTCACCTGAGGTGACTCAGCCAGGGAGTTTTGGGAGCCCGGCTCCTGCACTGGAGAGGCAGCCTCTGGCCGGGGGTGGGTGGAAAACCTAGCTCTATCCCAAGCCTTTGCACTTCTGCTCGGGCATAAAAACTGTACCAGGAAGAGCCAGAGTGGGGCCACATCTTCTTTTATTTGTATGTAATGTTTTTATGCCCCGTGCAGAGTTGGTATATAGCAGGTTAATTTCTTTTCCGCCCCTTGACCACAGTTCAATCTCGTGATCATCTTTCCACCTGAGAAAGAGCTCGCTCTCTCTGCTTCCTGTCATCGACCTCTTATTTTGCTCTTTATCTATAATTTGGGTTTCTCACATAACAGAAACCATGCGACAGTTAAGCTTACATGCCTGATTTATTTCACTTAACACTATGGTTTTTGTTTTGGTACCAGGAATTGAACTTAGGACCCTGTGCTTGCCAGGCAGGCACTTATGCCACTGGGCTACATCGCTGGCCCAACACTACGGTCTTAATGTGCAGCCCTTCCCTACACATGACTCAAGCTAAACCTTCTTTATGACAGTGTAGTATTCCATTGTATATAAATCCCATATTTTCTTTTTCCATCCATCTGTTGATGGGTATACAGGCCACTTCAATAATTTAGCTATTATGGTGCTGCTACCAACATGGGTATGTATGGATTCCCATGGTACGAGGATTTGAACTCTTACAGGAAGATACCTAGAAGGGGAAGAGCTGGATCAAGAGGAATTTGTAGCATTGGCTGTTTGAGGACCCTCCACAGTTACACTCCACCCACAGTGGAGAAGGGCTTTTCCCACCTGTGGTCCCTCCAGCGTGGTTATCAAATAAGCAAGCAGAGACGCCCGCACAGGGAATCTCCCTTCTCAGTACCCACTTCACAGCAAAGACCCCTGGGCTGAGGCCTCTGGGCCTCAGGCGATCCCTGTGGGGGATCACAGAGGGGTTCAATGGGAAATGGGGCCCCGGAGGGAAGGAAATCTAGGAGGGAGCCCAGGCTTCTCCCCAAGTCTCTGTCTAGCCTGGGTGCATCACACCCCTCTCTGTTCCTGTGTGGGTGTCCTGGCCCGGGGACCACAAGGCGACATGACCGGGGGACAGATAATCAAGTGTCAGCGAGGGATTAGGGTGGAGTCTCATTCAAAAGGACCAGCGTCCCTCTAAGTGGAAAATTCACACGGGCGTGCACACGTGGATGCACACACAGGAGTGCACACACACACATAGGTCCTGTGTGAACATGGCAGAGACTTCTACAAGCCCACACCGCTGCCACTGATCGACACCAAACCATGGGACAGGAGGGGACAAGAAACATTCAGAGGGAAGCAAGCACCCTGGCCTATGCGGTGTCACCCTCTGGAATCCCAGCACTCTGGGAGGCTGAGCCAGGAGCTCCCCAAGTTCAAGCCCAGCCTGCAGTCTCTAGCAAGACACAGCAGGGGCCCGTCCCTCCGCCACTCGGTCTCAGCCTCTCCTCCTCCTTCCAGGACTGAGTCGGAATAAACCTCTGAGGCTGAAGCCAGTGGGACTGGGATTCACAGTCACGGCAGCCACAGCGACACTGCCCACCTCTGCCAGGCCGTCCTCCCCCGGGCCGCAGCAGTCCTCCCCGGGCCGCAGTGTGAGCGGCTGGGTCCCGAGTACCCAGAACACCGCGATGATGCCCAGCCCACCGCTGCAGAGCACCTGGGATTCAGCTGTCGGGTTCCAGAGCAGGAAACTGGGGCCAGGAGAATCCGCAGGCGAGGCGCGGTCACACCCTCTGCTGGCTTTTCTTTCTCTTCCCCTCTTCCTCCTCTCCTCCTCCATTCTCTTCCCATCGCTTTTCTCTCCCCATCTTTTATGGGGCTCTTTTTCACCTTCTCTTCCTCCTCTTCCTCCCCCTCACCTCCCTCCCGCTCTCCTCCCCACTCCTTTCTTCTTATTTACTGGTTTTTGGAGACAGTCTCACTGTGTACTCCAGGCTGGCCTTGAACTCACAGTGATCCTCCTGCCTCAGCCTCCCAAGTCCTGCGGTGACGAGTGTACACCATCATCACGCTGGGCAACCAGACTTTAAACCACCTGGAAGCGACTTAGAAGACCTAAAGCAATGTGAATGCTACTCAATGGTTACCACGCAGCATTCTTCAGGAAGTTAAAACAAGATAAAAACCTTCCGCGCCTCAGTGAGGGGCGCAGTCTATTTTCTGAATGTCCTGGATCCAAGTGTGGTTCAATCTGCAGATGTGAGAGCCCCAATACAGGAAGCCGCTCAGGGAGCTGCCCGGGGGCGTGACGAGTGCCCACCTGGTCAGGCGGCACCTTGAGTCCTGACATTCGGTGAGTGCTCCACAGATACTTATTGCAAACATGAAAACGATTGCACAAGATCAGAAATACCCTGAAAGCCACTCAGCTGTTTAAGTGGCTAAAATGCAGAAATGATGCCATGTGGGTTTGTTTGTTTGTTTGTTTGGTGCCGGGGATCGAACTCAAGACCTCAAGCTTGCCAGGCAGGCTCTTACACCGCTGAGCATGCACCCAGCCCCTGCCATGTGTATTTTGCCAGGGTTTTAAAAATGCAGCAAACATCGAATAAACGAACCCAGTCACTGGGGTGCAGGTTTGTAATTCCAGCTGCTGTTGGGAGGCTGAGGCAGGAAGATCACAAGTTCAAGGCCAGCACAAGCAATTTTGCAAGACCTTATCTCAAAAACAACAATTAGAGAAAGTTTGCCTACGTAGCTTGGTGATAGAATAGAGCCCTGGATTTCATCCCCAGTACTGGGACCAAAAAAAAAAAAAAAGAAAAGAAATTAAGCAGATGGGGTGGTGGTTTCACCACACTGGAAATCTACTAGATTCCATCAAATGGTTCAGTTACAAAGGGTGAAAACGATGCATTTTACCTTATGTATCCTTTGCTGCAATAAAATAAAGCAAAACAAAACAAAAAAAACCCTTAAAATACAGTAAATGAAGGGACCGGGTATAGTGGGGCACACCTATATTCCCAACACTCAGCAGGCTGAAGCAGGAGGATTCCCCAGAGCTCAAGGCCAGCTGCTTAGTGAGACCCTGTCTCAAAAATAAAAATCGCACATGAACATTCACAATGTTACTATCACTAATAGCACAGAGCAGACACAATCCCGAGGGCCATCCATGGATGAAAAGGGTGAACACAGCATGTCCCACCTATACGATGGACTATTAATCAGCCATGAACAAGAACAAAACGATGGACTATTAATCAGCCATGAACAAGAACAAAACACTGAAGAGGCCAGACATAAAAGACCACCTAGTGTGTCAGTCCATGTATAGGAAATGTCCAGAATAGGCAAACCCACTGGGACAGGAAGAGGACACCCCCATGTCTCGGCCAGGGAAGAGGAGGGGAGATCACAAAGGATTGATGGACATGGGCTCTATCTCTGAGGTAAGAGACCCTTTAAACTTAAATCACAGTGGCGTTCGTAAACCCTATCCCAATATTAAAGACTGTGATTTGGTTGTTGCTGATTTGGGGCAAGATCTCATTGTGTGTACCAGCCTGGCTTTGAACTCGGTAGGTCGTGCAGGCTGGCCTCAAACTCACAGCGATCCTCCTGCCTCAGCCTTCCAAGTGCTGGGATCCCAGGCGGGCACCCCCATGCCTGACTTTAAAAACTGGTTGATTTTATTATGTATGAATCATGCATTAATAAAAATACTAAGTTTTTTTTCAAATGAATGACCAGAAGTGATAAAATCCTTCCACCCGGAGAATTTAAGGCTGACCCTCTCAGACAGAAGAGACTAACCAGGCAGGCCAGGGAAGGAGCTCAGCCACAAAGGAGCTGCCTGGCAAGCACAAGGTCCTGAGCTCGACTTCCAGTACCAAACCAACAACAACCAAAAAACTACAGTGCAGAGCCTCCCCCGCGCTGGGGTACCAGCCCACGCACACCGGGAGCAGAGGCCGGGCGCTCTCCAAGGTCCTGACCCGCCCAGCCCGCAGCCCCGCTGTCTCGGCCTCCCTGGTCCCAGGAGCACACAGTTGACCGCCCATAAATCCCCGTGGAGGAGGACAGGGGACCCTGGTACCCGAGCTGCAATGCTGGGGGCTGAGAGGGGAGCAGGGAGACCCCACAGGGAGGGCACAGTGAGGGCGCAGGGCCGAGGTCTCCACTCACCCACGCAGCTCTTGCCGTCGGGGCTCAGCTCGAAGCCCACGCTGCACACACACCGGAAGCTGCCCTCCGTGTTGACGCAGCGGCCCAGGCGGCAGAGGCCACTGCCGCCACCGACACACTCGTCCACGTCTGGGGGCAGCAGACGGGCAGTCAGTGGGGGTGCACAGCGTGTGGCCAGCCTTGCCAGCGTGGCCGGGCAGCCCTGGTGGCCCTGGCAGTACCAGGGGCGTTGAGGGGAGCTGCTGGTGCACTCACCCACAACTGCGGGTAGAGGACCTCGAGCCTGCCCGCCACGCGTGTCCACCCCGCACCCCGGCCACGGCAGCTCACCGATGCACACGCCCCGCCCGTCCAGGGAGTAACCGGGCTTGCACTCGCAGCGGTAGCTGGAGGGGGTGGGCAGGCAGCGGCCGTTGGGGCACAGGTCGGTGAAGTGGTGACAGACGTTGCCCGTCTGGTTCAGGGTGGCTGTACCTGCAGACAGGGCCGCTGGGCCCCGAGGCGTCATCAGAGGCCTGTCCCGCTCCTGTGCCCCAGCTCTGCCGCTGACATCTAGACTCACATCAGAGACCGAGACCTCATGCCAGGCCTGGGGCCTCACTGTGGAGTAGGAGCCTCCAGAGCCAGGTCCAGGACGCCACCCCAGCTCAGAGACCCAGACTCAGGTTGGGACTCAAGGCCCAGATTCCCTAAGGAGCCAGATTCCCAACTCCGAGCCAGGCGCCAGAGTCCTTTTATGAGAGGCACCTCCACACATGCCCCCAGCCCTCTCCCCTCAGTCCTGACGATGGAACTCAGGGCCTCTCCCACTGAGCCACACCCCAGTCTCTTTGTAATTTTTTAATTTTGAAGAAATGCCTATGTAACCCAGAGGAGCACCCGGCCCCCCTTAGACTTTAACTCCCGGGGTGATTTATAACACTTGACACAATGTACCCACTCTGCACAGAGCGGTGTTAATGTTTCATTTAGGGAACACCGAGGAGAAGGGGTCTGTGCACAGCCAATGTGTGCAAATTCTTTTTCCCAGAATATTGGGCACTAGGTCAGATCCTAGCATGTGGACTTCTCAGTCACAGAACTGATTACACAGAGCTGACTAGACTTTTGTCCCTCCTGAGGCAGGAGCCAGGTCGAGGGCAAGTCGACAAGAAGGCACAGGACAGAGAACCGAGAAACCAGACGGACACAAGGATGAGGACGTGGAGGTGTCAGAAAGCCAAGAGGTAAAGGTCACCTTGTACCGTCATGCGCCCAGCAGGCCCTGGCTGCCTCCCAGCTGGTCTGCACCAAAGTTTTCACCTGACTTCCTGAACACTCTGCATCACCAAAACCCCTCACCCAGAAGGGCAAAGTCGGGTAACCCGTGACTCCTGTCAGTCCCGACCTTCCACAGCTGGACTCAAGAGACCTAGGCCACTGCCTGTCCCTGAGGGCCCGGGAACTCTCCTCCCCGGCCCGCTCAGGTTCAGGGGGTCCTTAAGATTTTAACACGGTTTCTGCGGTGACTCTTTCTGAGCACCCTTCTCATTCCCATGGGGCAGACCAAGAATGTGGAAACCACTCTCCCAGGACCCCCCATGTGCTGACACTACCGTCCAGCCCAGCAGTCCAGCTCCGGAGCACTGACCTCTCCCTCGGTCCAGAGGTCCCCCTTCCAAGTCCCGAGCCTCACCCACGTGGGAGTTAACAGGGCCTGGGCGGGGGACCCCACGCCCACTGGATCCGTAGGGGCCGTGTGGTGCAGGCCCCAGGGCAGGACCCCTGCCGCTGGACTGGAAGCCTGGGAAAGCAGGGAGAGGACCCAGGTGGGCAGTCGGAGGCAGAACCCCCTGGACACACAGCCGCTGGAATCCATCTGCAGAGACAAAGGGTTGGAGGCCAGGCCCTCGGTCCCGTCCAGGACACCCCACCATGCGCCCCAGCTGGCACTCACCCGAGCCCCTGGGGGGACACAGCTCTGGGGCTGAGCCAGCCGCCCAGCACTGGCCCCCATCGCAGCAACACTGCCTGCGGGTGTAATGGCCGAGGAGGTCCACAGCACAGCGACCCCCAAAGAGCACCAAGAAGCAGGTGCCCCTGCGGAGATCTGCAAGAGGGCCCAGGGTAGGGCTGTCAGTGCCGGGCAGGGGCTGGGTTCCAACCCAGCAGCCAGGCCTGAGGGTGCACACTGGTCACCCCCAGCACTCTCAGGAGGCGGAGGCAGGAGTATCACAAGTGAATTCCCAGTCCGGACAACTGGGTGAGTTAGCATGGAACTCAGTGTGAAGGCCGTGGGTTCAAATCCCAGTACCAGGGAAAGAGAAACACAGCTGTACCTGCACTGCCTGTAGAAAGGATCTCCTTACCTACCTGCGCCTCAGTTTCCCTATTATGAAAATGAAGACACTCCAAGCCCCCACCCTACCTCAGAGGCGTGCCATCCAGATCAGATGGAAAGCCTGGCACCTGGCTGACCTCTGCTGACTGGCCTCTTACTCCCCAGCTTTCCAAATCAACACAGGGAGGTGCATTTGGGCTTTTTCCAGACCAGCGTTCCAACCTCAGGAGCTGGCACTGACAGTGAGCTCCCTGTCGAAGCAGGTATGCAGCCCCACTGAGGGTGACTCCTCGGAGGGTGGGGGAGGCCCAGCGGGAAATTGGATAGGAATGCCAGGATTCTCGCCTACGTCTTGCAGCGCTGGCCTTGGATATGAGAGAGGCACCTAAGAGACCGTGCAGTGAACGGTCTCATAAAAACAATGTGGGGACAGCCACAGCCCGTGGAGACTGAGGCAGAGGCTCCTACAGGAGAACCAGGGACACTCATCTACTTCCCGCCAAGCCCTCGGGTCCCACAGTGTTACTTGGTGGTCAGATTTCTCAGACTGTGACATGCACAGTGCTTATTTTTAGTTTCAAACCCCACCAGTCTTGGCCAGAGGCCCACAGCGGAGAAACCCCTCCCGCCAGCCAGGGGTGCTGCTGGTACCGCGCCTGCCCTGCCTGAGTTGGGAGGAAACCGCTCAGATGTTTCCACCTCCCTCCCACAGCCCCTACCCCGTGCACCTAGGCCCTCTGGGTGTGTGGGGGGCCAAGTCTCTCCCCTCCTTCCCTCTAGGCATCATGGTACCTGAGAGGGGCCCGGCCTGCCCAGATGAGGAGCGGTCCACAGACCGTTCAAGGTTGCCTAGCTGCGGGTGTCCAACCCAGGGGAGCTAACAAGCGGCTAGCTGCCTCTCCAGCAGAGAAGACAGGGTACGCACATTTCTGAGAACAAGGCCCCCACCCCGCCCTCCTCCAAGTCCTTGCCTCAGCTTCCCTGGGGTCTCAGAGCCTTCGATCACCATTGCTATTATCCCCCTTTTACGGCTAAGAAAACTGAGGCACAGAGAGAGCGCTTAGGTTAACCACCCAGGGTCACACACAGAGCCTGGGATGCCCCGGGAAGCAGCCAGAGCTCCAGGACCCTAACCAAGGCCCATGTCTGGAGGTAACCAGATTTGGCTTGGGGCCTGCAGTAGTCTGGGAGGGGGATGCACCTAGAGGCAACCAACCCCTCGCCAGCCAAGCTGGCGCCCAGAAGGTGGAGACCCACAAAGTCTGGAAGTGGCCACAGAGCGCTGGCCCAGGTCCAAACACAATATCCCCAGCCCTGCCCGGTACAGCCCAGCCGGAGGGGCCCCGGGTGATGCTGGGAAACTGCCAGGCCCCCTCCCCTCTCTCTAAACCAGGACCCAGCCCCCACCTCCAGCATGCACGTTTCCTGCTAGCCCTGGCAGCTCTAGGCAACTCCTACAGCCTGGGGACCTGCTGTTGGGAGTCTCCCTGCTGGGTGGGAGCCACCAGGGCAGGAAGAGGGGTCTGGGGAGCTGGGTGTGGGCATTTCTCTGTTCTGCACTTATTGAGTTCACTCTCCTTTCTAAGCCTCAGTTTACCCATCTTAGAAATGGGGTGGAGGGGAGATAAAAGATGAGGTGCTCTTGAGTCTTTAGGGTTGGAAAAATGGATAGAGAAACAGTGGTGGAAGACAGAAAGGATGAAGAATAGAAGAGCATAAGGATGGATGCTAGAGTGTGGGGAAGGGGCACAGAGATGGAGGCTAGAGGGTCTGAGAGGGGCATAGAGATGGAGGCTAGAGGGTCAGAGGGGCATAGATAGAGATGGAGGCTAGAGGGTCAGAAGTGGGACACAGACATAGTCAAAAGTGGGCAGAGAGGTCTAGGCCAAAGGGCCAGAGGGTGGGGATGGGTCAGTGATCCAGACAGGAAGAGTCTAAGGGGCGGGGGTCATGGAGACGGGGTGATTGTGGAGCCAAGCGGCCAACGTAGGAGAGCAGAGTGCTAACAGGCACAGAGAAGCTGACTGGGGTCCCAGAATAGGGTCCACACCAGCACAGAGGCCGATGGGTAGGGAGCCAGCCAGCCATCAGGGAGGAAATGGGTCCAGAAAGGAGAGGGGCAGAGAGAGCGGGGGGCTAGAGAGCGGAGGACCCCTGTTTCGGAGCCGGCTGCACAAGGCGTCTGTCTCTGTGACCCCACCCTGTCCGCCGCCAGCCGGCTCGCCCACCTCACCCAGGCAGCGCGTGCCATCCAGGCTGCTGGCAAAGCCTCGGGGACAGGTGCACGTGTAGCTCCCGACTGTGTTAGTGCAGTGGCCCCCGGAGCACAGGCTCGGGACACTGAGACACTCGTCCAGATCTGCAAAGGCAGAGGCAGTCAGACCCCCGGCCGGCCCTGCCCGGCTGGAACCCTCCGCTGCCCTGCAGAAGAGGTCCGGGTCTCCCACACCTTCACACATCACGCCACTCGCACTGAGCCGGTGTCCGGGTGGGCAGCGGCACTCGAAGGAGCCCACAGAGTTCACGCAGGTGCCCCCCTGGCACAGCCCCGGGATGGCCCGGCACTCATCCACATCTGCAGAGAAAAGTTCAGCACGGGAGTGAGAGGCCCATCGGCGGGAGGAACCAAGGCTGCTGAGGGCTCCCCAGGGCCTCCGCGTCCCCTCAGCACCCCAAGACTGACCTTGACAGGCCCCCGTGTGGATGTTAAGAAGGAAGCCTCGGCGGCAGGGGTGTGGCTGCGGAGGGCAGAGCTCGCACGGGAGGCCCCAGGCCTGGCCCACGGTGGCACAGCAGAGCGCTCTGGTGCACACGAGGCCGGTCAGCCGGTGCTGGCACCCCTCGGGTCCCCCTTGGCTAAAGCAGGGCCCTGTCCGGTAGTCTGCAAGGCACAAAGACAGCTAGCCACAGAGCCAGCCCCTCTGCATCTACACGCCAGGCTTTTCCCTAACCGTGAGCCTCCTCTGTTCATGCTGTCCCCTTGCTGGATAGAACGTCTTCCTCCCCTTCCCTACCTAATGAACTCTTATTCACTCCTCAACACTCTTTTCTTTTAACGCATTCCAAAACTAACCCCCCAAGTGTGGCTATGGTCTCTGCACCCACAAAGCTCAGCATATGTCTGGACCGGCCTCCCTCTCACAGGGATCTGCTTACCTGAGTCTCACTCACAAGCACACACCTAGCTCTCCTGAGTCTCCCAGATTTTGGTGACCTCCCTTCTGCCCAAGAGTTCTGGGCTCCACAATACACCCTGGAACCCCAGAACCCAGCCCGAGGTGGCCCCAGTGGCTTCCCCTACGACTCCCCGTCTCCACCCAGCAAATGTTTCCCATAAGTGAGCTGGCGCGGAACCAGAGAGCCCACAGCCACGCCCACCCCAGCCAAATCGGGGAGGGGGTGCAGAGACCCCAGAGCCTCGCACAGCCCTGCCCTCCACCCTCTCAGGTTTGCTCTCCTCAGCCTCCTGGGGCTTCCCTCTGTCACCTCGCACTCAGGCGACCCCACTCACTCAACCCACGGGCTGCTGTGAAGAGCCGGGCTTCCAGGAAAGGGCGCCCGTCCGTCTGTCCATCGCGTGGGCCACCCCCTGAGATTCAGCAGAGGGGGCTCCTCCTCCGGGAAGCCCTCTGCACTGCTGTCCCCCGAGCCCCCAGCCTCTGCAGCCTTCCTGCCCCGCCCCACTGCCGCCCCAGCCCTGGGGTCTGTTGTGTTTCCAGATGGCTTCCTGCTGCCTCTTGGATGCCAGGCTTTTCCCTAGCAGGCTCCAAAGCCGGGCCCTGCTCAGAGCCAGCGAGTAACAGGTGTTTTGGAGCAAAGGAAAGAGCTGTCTTCAGGCCGCCCCAGAGGCGGGACAGCGGCAGCGGGACCCTCTGGTCCCCTTCCCTCCCCTCCCGGTCCCCTTCTCCCCGTGGTCGGGGCTGTGGTCACCGTCGGGGTCAGTACCTCTCTCGCACTGCGACCCCAGGAAGCCACACACGCGGGCGCAGTGGTTGGGCCCAATGCAGCGTCCCCCGTCGTGGCAGCCATGGTCACAGACGGCTGTGGAGGGACGGGGTGGGTGACAGGGGCTCCCGCAGAAGCTGCAAGCACCGAGCAGTCTTTTCACCCAGCGGCCAGCCCGAGTGACAGGGCATGGACCAGTCCCGTGTGCCCTCCCGTCTGAGGTGCCCGGGAGCTGACTGCAGATGCTCTACACCCCCCACCCCCACGTAGCCGCTCTGGCACAGGCAGGTCCCCCCACCTCTCGGCAGCTGCCCCTGCTCACACAGTTCACCCTACACTTCGACACTGCAGACGGTGCTGCTCAGCCAGCTGGGGCCCTCCCTAGGGGTGGCCCAGGTGCCCACGGGCATCTGTAAGCTTGAGGCCCGGTCCCCCTGCCCTGCGGCCGGCTCACAGGTGCACAGGTTGGGCTGCTAGCAGAAACCCTCCCTGCAGGGGTGCCTGTGCAGGCCCCGAGTCCCGTGGCAGTCCTGCTCAGGGTGCCCAGGCTGGCGGGGAACTGAGGGGGACCCTGCCAGTCATTCCCATCTGCAACTCTGAGCATGAACAGGCGAGTCTGCACTGAGTGGGTGATGTGACCCCGGCTCTGGGATTCTGCTGGAGCCGTGGAGAGAGGCGCTTTGGAGCTAGGCTGGAGGGTGGGGTCCCTGATGCAGGGCCAGGGCCTCTCCTAGGAATGGACTCTGATTCCAAAGATAGAGAGACTGGGGGCTGGGGATACAGCTCAGCCGCACAGCACCTGCCTGGCAAGCGCGAGACTGTGAGTTTGATTCTTGGTGCCAGAAAAGAAGAGACCAAAAGCCAGGGAGCTGGCGTCAGAGATGGAAAAACGCAGAGAGACAGGGAGACCAGCGGAGAGAGGCGGGCATGGAGCCCCTGGAGGTTTAGGGCACAGTGGGAGGTCCAGGGGCCCAAGGCTGGAGGCAGGGTCAGGTCCACTAGCAAAAGGGGCTGGGTTTGCTGGCAGCTGGGGCAGAACCCACTGCCTGCACCCCGACTTCCTGATGGCACCAGCACTCACGCACGACACACTGGCTCCCACCGGGCAGCGTCCTCCAGCCAGGGCAGCAGTAGGCATGGAAACGAGAGCCACACACGTTGGGCCTTTGGGGACAGAGTGATGTGACGGGTGAGCACCTGTCCGGCCGGTGTTCCCAGGACTGTCCACCAACCCCAGGACACCCTAGGGCACTACGCACCCCTGCAGGACACTGGGGCTGCCTCGCCTCCGCACGCGGCCAGCACCTGCAGGTCCCACGGCCCTGTCCCAGTGACCGATGCCACCTGCCACACAGGATAGGGCCACCCACGCCAGCAGCAGCGGAGCCGGGGGTCCCCAGGCCATGTTGAGCCCTCCAGCACCTCTGTCTCCTTGCTAACCGGAACGTCCCCCTGGAGACTACAGAGAAGAAAGAGAGTCAGCCTTGGTGAACCCCGGTGCCACAAGCCCCTCAGAACCTGGAGCAGAGAGCAGACAGGCCGAGTGAGCCAGCAGACAGCTCCAGCCTGGCTGGAGAGCAGGCAGCAGTCAGAGCAGGCTTCCCGGGAGAGGCGCAGGGCCTGGCAGCCAAAGCAGGGTCCCGGGCAGAGGGTGCACCCCAAGGACAGAGGTGAGGAGGGCGTGGGGGGAAGGGGAGGGGACAGACAGCCAGGGAGGAGTCGCCAGAGTGGGCACAGCTGGGCCATGAGCCTCTGCTCAGCCTTCAGGGACACGAAGGGCCCTGGAGAAGCTTCAGGTGGGAGCCCCAGGAGAGGACATGGGGACCCCAAAAGCCATGGTGGGGAAGGAGGGCAGCTGGGCCATCGGTCCCGGAGCACAGGGACAGGCTGGCGGGGCCCTGAGAGGTCGCTCCTGCCGCCGGCAGGGAAGGGCCGCTCCTGGACCCACTTCGAAGATGGGCAAACTGAAGGCTGGGCAGCAGGATGGGGGCGACGCCCTCTGGCCACCAGGAGGCAACCGCTCGGTCCTGGGCAGGAGGAGTGGAAGGGGCGGGGGCCTGGACTGCTCCCCCGAGCCCCGGAAGGAGGCGGAGAACTCGGTGGCACGGAGGGCGGCCAGCCCACACGGCCTGCGGGGCCCCTTCTGGTCCCCTGCGCACTTCTGGGAGGACAGGACGCCGAGCTGGGCTGTGTGGGCGCCGACACCCCCTCTCCGGGCGCCGGCATGGAGCAAAGGTCGGACCGGATGGTCCCAAACTTTCAGAGCTGGGGAGGGGGCGTCCCGGTGGCTGCTAAGTGGACTGCGCCCCGGTGGCTGCTCCAGGCCCGCACGCCCCCTCCTCCCACCGCGGCCCGCAGGGGTGGGGACAGGGCCGGGGTCCCCAGGCTGGCCGGGGCCGGACCCGCACCCCCGGGCTCCCCGCGCCCACGCGGCTCATTCATTCCGCAAAGCCCGGGGCTGCGCGCACGAGGAGGGGGCGTCCCGGGGTCAGAGGGCTGCGCGGCCACCCGCAGGGCCCGGATGCAGGAGCCCGGGGCCACCACGCGGCCGGCCCCGCCTGCGCCTCGGGGATCAGGGCCCGGCGCCCGCGCCCGCGCCAGGGTCCGCGCGCAAAGGGACGCGGGGAGGGAGGGCACCGGCCGGCCGAGGCTGGGACTGCAAACAAAGGAATCCCCTCCCCTCCCCTCCCCTCCTCTCCTTCCCTCCCCTTCCCCCCTCCTCTCCCCTCCCCCTCCCGGGCCCGCACTTTCCCTACCTGCGGGGCGCGCACGCGGGGGCTCGCAGCGTCCGCGGTCGCGCGGGGTGCACACTGCGAGGCGGCCCTGGGGGGCCCGGGGCTGGAAGGCGGGGCTCGAGGCCGACCCCACCGCCTGCGCTCCCGGCCCGGAGTGGGCGCGGAGGAGTGGGGGAGGCGGGCGCCTTCGCACCTCGGAGCAGGGGGGCCCCCCATCCAGGGCTTGGAGGGGGAGGGGAAAGGGAGGGCTGGGGGGCTGAGGGGGCGCGGGGGGCGCGGTTTGGAGAACTTTTTGGTCGGAGGTGGGAGGAAGAGCCGGGCGGGGCGGTGCCTGAGCTCACCTGGGAGCCCCTCCAACACCCCATCCCCCCATCCCCCGCCTTCTCCCGAGCGCCTCCCCTGGTTCGGAGTGGACAATTCCGGGGTGAGGCCGCGAACTATGTCTGGATCCCGGGGCACTTCCCCAAATCAGGTACAGCACTAGGCCCAGCGAGATGCGTGGCGTGAGGAGAATAAAGGTCCGCATGGCTTCCATCTGAGTCTCAACGTGAAGCCTCAGAGAATTTGGGAAATAAATGGACACTGAACTCTCTTGAAGTCCCCGGGGCCAGGCTCCTGCGAGGCAGCGCCTTGTCAGGAATTTACTCACTCAACAAAAACTTTGCTTCCCCACCTGTGTAAACAGTCGACACCACCCAGGGGCCGGGCTCAAACTGTGGGTTGGACTTCATCAGGCGAACTCCTGAGCAGCTGGCAGAACCCAGCTCGAAAAGCCCCTCTCAAGCCCTGAATTGCTGGTTGGTTTTAATAAGTTCTTAAAGCACACTGCGCTGAACATGCCTCCCTCGTAACTTCTGGAACTTGATAAAAAGTACGGGAGTTGGAGCCAGTACTTGTCGAATGTTTACAGCTTGTGCAGTTTGTTGCTAAGAGTTTCATATCCATGATCTTGTTTAATCACCAGAAAATCCTGTGAGGGACTTTTGCAGTGCCGGGGCTTGAGTCCAGGACTGTTGCACTGAGTTACATCCCCAGCTCTCTTTTTTTGTTTTTTGTTTTTTGTTTTTTTTGTTTTTTTTTGTTAAATCACTAAATTGCTCAGGCTGGACTGGAACTTGAGACCTTCCTGCCTCAGCCTCCCAGAACACTGGGATCACAGTAGGAGCCACCACCATTCCTAAAATCCCCACTGTAGCCAGACACAGTGATGCATGCCTATAACTCCAGCCACTCAGAAGGCTGAGGCAGGAGGATAATCAGCCCTAGCAACTTACTAGAACTGTCTAAAATAATAATAATAATAATAATTTTTTAAAGTGCCAAAGATGTAGTTCAGCGGTAGAGCGCCTGCAATTCAAACCCCAGGTGTGGCGGTGCTCGCCTGTCCTCCCAGCAGGGGGCAGCAGGAGGCTGAAAGATCGCCCGCCTGGACACACAGTGAGTTCAGTGCCAGCCCGAGTCACACAGCGAGACCCTGTCTGAAAAAACCAAACGAAAAAGAAAAATGTGGAGCCCAGCCTGGGCCAAGAAAGCGGAGTCCCCTGGGGCTTGTGAGAAGTGGGGACAGTGGCTGGGGGGGGACCCCAAGAGCACAGGGGCTCAGCAGTGACCAAGGCGCGGCGGATTCCTGGACAGAGGACTGGGGACCCCCTTGTCGCCCCCCCCCCCCCCCCCCCCGCTCGCTGGTCCTCAGCCAACAGCAGAGCGCAGGGGAGGGGGCGCCCCGGCCAGGAACAGGTGCCGCCGCAGGCAGTGGGCGGTGTCTCTGCCCCGGGCCCCGCTGACCTCAGCTCCCTGTCACTAAGGAGCAGGACACGTGCTCAGCACACTCCGAGGGCCCCAGGGCCCCCCACTGCTGTCCCGAGTCCTCTGTCTGAACGCTGTCTGTCACTGTGACCTGTACCTGACACTGAAGCACCTTGCTGTTTTCTGTCCTCTCCTGTTGTTTTGGTTTTGAATGCAGGGCCTTCTTGCAAGCAAGCAGTTGTGAGTTTGATCCCCAGTACCGATTAAAAAAAAAAAATGAATGCAGGGCCTTTGCACTGAGCTACGTCCTCAGTCCATTTTAAGGTTTTTATTTTTGAAACAGTACATTGCCCAAGCTGGACTTGAGATGGAGATCGCCCGCCTCAGCCCCCTAAGGCTGCTGGCACTACCGGTGTGGGCCGCAGAGCCTGGCATGAATCACTCTTACCCTCAGTCCCTGGTCCCCTCCACCAAGCTGCTGCCCTGTCACCCTCTGCCATCGCAGCCTGTCTGGTGCTGACATTTCCCTCCACCCCTGTGCCTGTCACGAGGATCCTCCTGCCTCAGCTTCCCAGGATTACAGGATTGTGCCACCATGCCGGGCTCAGCTTCTGGTTTTCAAAGCAATTGCAATGTCACCTGATATTGCCAGGCTGTCTCCACCATTCCAGGCCCTGTGATCACACTGTCACCTGGCAGCGTCACACTGGCACAGTGAAGGTGATTGGTGTGTTCCCACCCCCACTGAGCCTGCTTTGGTTTCTGGGCTGGGGACAGGCAGGGGCGGGGCGTGCCCCGAGGCCAGGAGTGGGTGGACACCTGACACGCCAGGGACAGTGCAACCGGCTGGGAGGGAGACAGGGGCACCAGGAGCAGGGCACGTGGAGTGCGCTGTGCTTGGGCAGGGTGGCCAGGGACAGAGGTGGCTTTGTCTGCGCTCAGGAAGCAGATGGCAAAGGCAGTGGAGACGCCTGACCCAGTCTGGCCAGGCACCGGGGAGGGCAGGGAGGAAGGCGGCCCTCAAGGGTCCCCCAGGTCTCCAGGGTCAGCCCCGCCTGCACAGAGAACCCAGAGGGGAAACTGAGGCTCAGAGCCACTCCCCGGGCCTCCCCAGCTAAGAAAGAACACGAGTGGGCCTGAGCTCCAGCCACAGAGCTGCAGACCTTCCAGCCCCCCTGAAGTCCATGTGCTGAACTGGGTCCACATGTTAACTGGGTCTAAACCGGACACTCTCCCCAGCACTCAGGAAGCTGAGGCAGGAGGATCACTGCAAGCTCCAGGCCAGCCTGGGCTGTACAGAGTTCAAGGCCAGCGTGGGCTCCACAGCCAGATCTTGCCTCAAACAAAACAAAACGAAACAAAACAAAACAAGTGTTTGGTAATTGGGCCTCTGGGGATGATTAGGCAAGATCATGATGCTGGGACCTATCATGACTTTCGTTTTTGAGGTTAAGTCTTGCAGTGTTACCCAAACTAGACTTGAGAGGATCCTCCTGCCTCAGCATCCTGAGTAACCACAGTCTTGCACCTCCCTGCCCCCTGAATCCTGAGCTAAGTGAACTTCTATTCTTTATAAATTACCTGCTCTGTGCCGTTCAGTTACAGCAGCAGAAAATGAACTGAGACACATTCCTGCGCTCTTGGGCTGCTTCTGCCCAACGCGTACCTCAGCCCCTGGGCAGGGCAGTGCAAGAGGGTCCTCCACACACACACACACACACACACACACACACACACACTTTCTTTAAAAAGAATGAACACAGACTGTTGCTTGGGGGTGGAGCACTTGCCTACCATGTGTGAGGTCTGGGGTTTGAGCCTAAACACTGCAAAAAATTTTTTTAATCAATTAAAAAATTTAGATGGGCCAGGCATGGTGCACGCCATGCCTATAATCCAGCACTGGGGAGGCTGAGGCAGGAGGATTACCATAAGTTGGAGGCCAGCCTGGGCTACAAAGCAAGTTGAAAGCCTGCCTGCCTTGGTGAGACCTCTACTCAAAAATAGTATAAATAAATATAATAATAAACCAAAGAAGTTGCCTGTGGCATTTGTTGTAACACAAAGCTGACTGACGCCCCATAGAGACCCTTGAGGGCAGAGGCAGGAAGCCCCAAGTGACAAGAGAGAAAAGGGGACCCCAGAGGTGTCCGCTTCCCGAGCCACAGAGAGGCAGGGTCTCCTGCTGACACCTGTGCCTGCGGCTCACCCCGGAAGGCTGAGGGTCAGGGTCACAAGGAAGCCCTGAGGTTGGGGGTGGGAGGAGATGCTGCCCGGGGTTGGGGCGGCTGCGTGTTGGATCCCAGCTGGACAAAAGAGGAAGAAACAGATGGGGTGCCGGGGAGGGCTGGGAGAGCCATGGAAACCTTGCACTTCGGGCCCACCTCTGGGGTGCAGGGAGCCATCCTCATGCCTGCTGCACGACTGCCATGGAAATGGCCAGTGCGGGTGTCAGGAGCTCCCCAAGGGGGAGACCAGGCAGACACCACCACCCCCCTCCCTATGGCTGCAGGTGGCTGAGGACCCAAGAGGGCTGCTGCCCCACAGTTCCGGAGTCACCCTGAAGCATCCAGATGCACTCGGGTCTCTGCTGGGGCCCTTTTGGCCCCAAGAGATGGACCAGCCTGGGGGTGGCCAGTTCCCAGAGGTAGCCAAGGGTGCTTCAGAGCTCCTGTCCCAGGGGGCCATCAGTTTTGAGGTGTGCATGTATGTGGTACTGGCGACTGACTCCAGGGCCTTTGCACTGAACTACACCCTCAATCTCTTCCCACCTTTTTTTTCCCCTGCACTTCGTATTTGAAACCTCCTCCCACCTTTACTTCTACTTTGAGACAGGGTCTCACTGAGTCATTGAGTACACTAAGTTTCCCAGACTACGCTCAAATTTGCAATTCTCCTGCCTCAGCCTCCCAGAGTGCTGGAATTACAGATGTGCCCCACCACACCTGTCTCACTGAAGGCTTTTAGGCCAGACGTGACTTGGGTGGGTCCTGCAGATATTGAAACCACTCTTTTGAGCAAGGATTTCTCCTTCCTGGAAGAGAGGGCGACCCCAGCACCCAGCCCTGTGATCTGCACCCACTTATCTGGAGCCCTGGCGCCATCCCAGACTCCCCTGCTCCCTAGCCTCCTCCTGGAGCATGTCATTCGTTATGTCAGCATTTATTAAGCAGGATACAGATGGAGAAGGTCCCTGAAGACGACAGCGTGGGCCAGTCTGACGGCGGTCGCAGCTGTGGAGGGTTCCAGGCAGGGAGCCACGCACATTTAAATACCAAGACCTCATTGCCAAGAAGGCTGTAGTTCACGGCTGCAGCCACGAGGGGGCGCGCGGAGATGGAAGTGCGCGACCCACGCCTGGTGCCCAAGACTTCACCCCAGGAAAGGAATGCGTGGAGCCCCACGAATGCTTCACAAATACTAATAATACACGGACGCGACGGGGCAAGGTGGGCTAAATCATGATATCAATAAAATTTCATGGTTTTTTCTTTTTTTACTTTTTAAAATATGGCGTCTAAAAGAGAAGATTGCAGCCAGGAGGTTTCAAATTTGGAATCGTCCTGCCTCAGCTTCCAGAGTACAGAGACTACAGACATGCACTGCCACACCCAGCTTGCTGGCCTTTGCCTGCATGCTTGTTTGCTTTCTCTTTCTTTCAGGGGGCAGGAGCATTGAACCTGGGACCTTCACACTGAGCTACACTCCCAGACATTTATCTATTTGCTTCTTATTTTGAGACAAGTCTAAGTCTCCCGGGCTGGGCTCCAACTTGTGATTCTCCTGCCTCAGCCTTCCAGAGTGCTGGAATCACACGTGTGTGCCTCCTCCACATCCCCACACACCCTGTCAGGACTATTGTCACCCAAATTTCACTTAGCAGCAAAGTTTGAAGCTCAGCGACACTGAGTGACTTGCCAGCTGGTCAGCTCCTAAGCAGCACAGCTGGGATTTGAACCCTGCCTAAGGACTCCACAGTCCTTGTCTGTGAGCACTCTGCAAAGTGAGCCTCTTTGAGGGGCATTCTGAAACTCCTGGCAGTGTGTGTTTTTGTTTCTGTTTGTTTGTTAGATTGGTTGGTTAACATTGAGACAAGGTCTTGCTACTAACCCAGGCTAGCCTGGAACTCATGGTGATCCTCCTGCCTCAGCCTCCTGAGTGCTCAGATTATTGACACAACAGCACCAGGCGGGCTCCTCTAATGTCCTTTGATGGGGGCGGTCATGGATACATTATAACTGTCACGTTAATACTGGAACACTGTATGTTTCCCAATGCAGGCTACATTAAGATAATCAAGTGTTACTGTGTCCAGAGGTCACGGCCCAGTTAGATCCAGAATCTGAGTGGCTGGGTTCGTCTCCTGTGGATGCATTTCCTTCAGTGCAGGACGCACTCCTCTGCCTTGGAAGGATGGCGAGGAGGATGGGGTGGAGCGGTCCTCCCCCACCCTCCCCACCCCCACACCCCGGGCACCTCTACCTGTGCAGCCCAGCTTGGTCCTGGTTGCACTGTTTTTTTAAACAGTAAAAAAAAAAAAAAAAAAAAAAGGCACAATTTCAAGCCAGGCGTGGTCGATCACGCCTATAATCCCAACACTCAGGAGGCTGAAGTGGGAGGATCATTGCGAGTTTGAGACCAGCCTGGGATACAAAGTGAGCTCAAGTCCAGCCTGAATTGCATAGTGAGACCCTGTCTCAAAAAGACAAAAAAAAAAAAAAAAATTAAAAAAGCACAATTTCAAAACCAGACAATAGGAGCAGAGCAATGTTTAATAGATCGCATGCTGTGATCTTTAAGTTAGTGACTCTAACACGGTTACCTCACACTGCATCCTGGGCCCCCCAGCCCCGAGCCTCTCCAGACCCACTCTCTCCAGCCCTGCCCGGGCCCTGCCCCACAGCACCGCAGCCTGGGACCGTCTGTGCCCCTTGCTCCGCCTGCAGTTCCTGCCTGGAGCTGGCTTTGGCTTCATCCACCAGGTCCAGAGTGGGGGCGGCCGCTCTCGGTGGAAGGTGACAGCGTTCGGCTCTGATCTGGGTGACAGGGAGGTGGGTCAGGCTGCAGGCCCAACGGGGAGCCAGGGCACAGTGGGCGTCAGCTCCGCTCTGTCTCTGCCCCTCTGCCTGTTCAGACCGGTAGGCAAGGCTGCAGAGCCAGTCGAGGCAGAGGGACCACAGGCGGCCGGCCGTTCACCTGCTTGGCACCCACCTCGTGCCAGCAGAGCTGTGGCCCGGGAAAGGCTGGGACCTGGTTCCTGGCTGGGCCCTGCCGGGGACAAATAGCAGGTCCAGAGCATCAGGAGTCCAGGGTTGGGGCAGAAGGAAGGCGAGGAGGGGTGGAGGCCAAGCTGAGGGGCCGAAGTCCGGCAGGTAAATCAGGCAGGGCTTCCTGGAGGAGGTGAGTACATGCAGCCAGACTGATGGTAAGCACACTGGTCATCCCAGCATTTGGGAGGCTGAGGCAGGAGGATTGACGTGAATTTGAGGTCAACCTGGGCTACATAGTGAGATCTTGCATCAAAAAAGAAAAAAACACTAGGTAAAATAAATTTAAATACCACATAGTTTCTTGCGTATGAGAATCCAAAGTATTAAGAAATTAAAGAGCAAAGAAATTAAACACTTAACAAGAAACCGGGATTTTTTTTGCTTTGGTTATTTTTGGTTTTGTTTTGCAAAAGGGAAGGGGAGCAAGAGATGGAGGGAGGAGAAAGGAGAGAAGGAAAGGGGGATGAAAAAAGGAATTAAACTGTGTTATGTGCATGCGTCAGCTCCCATGAGGAACATGAGAATAATAAAAACATGAAAGTCACAACCAGGCCCAAAGCACTTAGCCGGCCCGAAACACCTAAACCACTGTTACGAGCACACCTTGACCTACTTCAGTGTCTAGGAGTTCAGTTTTTTATTGAACTAGGTTAGTTTTGTTTTGTGTGAAACATTAAGTGGCCCAGCTGGTCTTGAACCCAGCGATCCTCCTGCCTCAGCCTCCCCTGCTGGGATCACAGGCCTGGCCCCCCACGCCTGGCTAGGAGCCCGTTTCTCAGAGCCACCTCGGTCTGTGGCGCTCTGGGTTGGGCTGCTCTGGAATTTATACCCTACTGCCAAGAAGCTGCAGCCCAGGTGCACCTGCCGTGAACCTTCCTGCCGATGCAGCCTTATCTGGGGGACACGGTCCCACAGCTGGGGTGGCTGCGGGGCAGATCAGGTACATCTGAGAGCTGCATGGTGCCACCTGGCTGCCCTGGCCCCCAGCAGTTCCCATGGCTGAGTCACCTGTACCCCTGTGTGCCCACACCCGTGACTTCTTACCGTCTGCAATCTGATACCAGCGAAGACAAACAGCCTGGAGCAAACAGAAGAGGAGGCCAGGGTGGAGATGGTGACAGCCCAGTGTCAGGGAGCAGAGCTCCCGCTGAGGAAGGCACCAGGGAGGGGCCCGCCGCCTAGAAGGGCTGACCCGTCCGTCAAGCGTGTGGGGTCTCCTGGTGTTGCTAGACTCACAGGAAACCAGGTCCTGCAGAAAGAGGACAGGTTTGCTCAGCACGAGCTCTGAGGTGCCAGGTGTGGCTGTGTCATGTGTCAGGAGGCATCGTGCCAAGAATAGGACAGGACGGCTCTCAGAGGAAGCCAGGGGGCAGGCTGGGGACGGGACAGGGTTTTTGTTTTCCTTTTTTGTGGTACTGGGGGTTGAACCCAGGGTGTCTGGCCTGAGCTATACCTCTAGCCCCTTACAATTTTTTTCTTGCTTTTTATTTTATTTTATTGTTTTATTTTGAGACAAGTCTTGTTATGTTGCTGACCTTCCCAGGCTGGGCTTGAACATGCAATCCTCCTGCCTCAGCCTCCCAGAGTGCTGGGATGACAGGTGTGCACAGCCACGCCTGGCTGACTATCTGCATTTTCTTCTTTCTTTCTCTCTCTCGTTTTTCCTCTCTTCAGTACAGAACCATGGAACAGAAACCAGGGCCTCACACACCAGGTGAGCACCCCGAGACTGAGCTGAGACTTTAGCCCTCTGACTTCGGTTTTGAGGCCGAGTCCCTCTGGGTTCCTCAGACTGGCCTTGAACTTGCTATGTTCTTGACTCAGCCTCCTGAGCACCCAGGAGAACTGCTGTTCAGCGCGGTGCCAACCTTTCTCGCCCCTGCCATGATTTCTGCAGACAGTAACAAGTGCCAGGTGTGGTGGTGGATGCTTCTACTGCCAGCACTTGGGAGGCTGAGGCAGGAGATTGCTGCCAGTTCAAGGCCAGCCTGAACAGCACAGTGAAACCCTGTCTCAAACAAAACAAAACAAAACCAACAGCAAAAAAGAAAAAGAGGGAAGAAAAAAGATATATAATGAGCCACAAGTGATCTGCCCAGGAACACGACTTTCAAACACAAAGCAGCCCGTCCAAAGCCCAGACCAAGGCCGAGCATCTAGGGTACCCCGACTCCCTCCAGCATCTGTGTGCCCTGACCCAGGCAGCAGGGGCAGCCCCCCACCTCCAGATTGCTACAATCACCCAGAGCAGCCCACCTAACCCTGACTGTTTGCTTGCCCTTTCCTTGGAAGTCAGCCCGCAGCCTGGCACCCACAGCCTGGCACCCACGGCTTCCCTCACCCCCCACTTCCTGGGGGCCCTACAAGGGGACTGTGGATTTGGATTTCTGACTTGGGGACAGTTATTTCCATGCCTCATCCAGCTGTGTGTCTACAGCGTCTCCTGTTGTGATAACTAAATACTGGGGAGCTGGGGTATTTTTTGTTTTTATTTTTGTCTTGCTGTGCAGCCCAAACGGGCCTCGAACTTGTGGCAGTCCTCCTGCCTCAGCCTCCCGGCGCTGGGATTAGATCCGAGTGCCACACCCGGTTTTTAAGGTATGACCTGAGGGACTGCGTTTCCACAGCGAGCTCAAGTCCAGCCTGGACTACATGGTGAGATCCTGTCTCGAAAAAGCAAAATAAAAAATAAAATAAAATAAAAACAGAAGCGGCTGCGGTTCATAGACCTCGGCCCGGACGCTGGGCGAGGTCCCCGTGGCTGGGCCTGACCAAGCCCAGGCCCTGGCGGTCCGTGGAATAAGCCTCGTTCTGCCGCGGCAGGTTGTGGAGAACAGATCGCGGTGAAAGTCACAGGCAGTGCTGACACCCGCGCCTTCCTGGTGGCTGGGGCTGGGTGCCAGGTCTGGGCAGGCTGCTGGGGTTTGCAACCGGCTTGAGGCTGGTCTGGGCTCTGTGCTGCACGGGTCTGTTGGCTCCGGCTCCGTGGCGTGGGTTGTTTCCCTCCTCGTAACCGCCCTACTCTCTGCCCCCACCAAGCAACCGAGAGGGGGTCACCCCAAAAACCCCGCGGGCAGAAGCCCTCGGTGGCAGTTTGGTTTCTGCCTGACCCTAACCTCTCTCACACCGACTGAAAGTCACGACACCCCACCAAGTCAAATCACTGTGGGCCCCTATTTAATTATTTAGAAGGAAATTTTTTTAAAAATCCATTGCACTTTTTAATTTAATTTAATTTAATTTAGGTACTCAGAGCCAGCTCAAGAAGTTGGGCTTGCCAAGCAGGCACTTGTGCTGCTGAGCTACATCCCTGGCCACATGCATTTTTATTTTAAAGGGAGTAAAACGGGACAGTAAAATGAAACAAAATGCAACAGTGACAGGACAGTAGGAAACCCACAATGGCTCCTGTATCGCCTATCGTTTTATCCTCCAATAGTTGCTCAGGCTACTGGCCCGGGGCTCACAAAGTCAGTCAATGAGCAGGAAGGTCAGGTTGCCTCCCCTCTCCAGTTGTCACCATCGCAGTCTGGGTGGGGTCTGGCTGCTGGGGGACCGAGGCAGCTTCCTGGCTGGGCTGCTGTCCTCAGCCAGCACACAGTGGGCTGGCAGCAGGGCTTCCTTGCTGTTTCTCCCCTTCAGGCTGGCCGCTGTCCTGGTTTTCTTATTTTTGCTGCATTCCTGAACTCTCTCTCTCTCTCTGTCTCCATGGGCTTCAAGTCTCAACTCAGATCTGGAAGGAAATATTTAAAAAGACCCACTCAGGTGCTGCATGCCTGCAATTCCAGCACTCTGGGAGGCTGGGGCAGGAGGATCACAGACTCAAGCCCGGCCTGGACAATTGAGTGACTTACAAGACCCTGTCATAAAAAATAAAAAGCATACATATAAAAAAAAAAAAAAAAAGAGAGACAGACAGGGGAAAAGGAAAGAAGGAAGACAAAAAACAAAATCCCTCTCTCATACTACAGCAGTTCCGCTTCAGGATTGCACTCAGCAGCAGTGTCCCAAATCAAACAAACAAGAAAAATCTTACTAACGACGGACTGAATGAACACTGGAAGGGAAGTGGGAGTGTTTTTCCTCATATAATACGAAGTTTGGGATTTCAGAGCCCAGCTTTGACACAGAAGGCCTGCTGGGGACCGGGATCTTTATCCCCTTAGCCTGCTCCCTTTGTCCTTAGCATCTCAATATGGTTGCTGAGCTTCTGGGCATCACGACCATGTCCCGAGCAGCACGAAAGGGGAAACATGACCAGCACAAAAAAATGATAGTTTTTTTTTTTTTTTTTTGCCATTCTAATGGTTTCTTTTTCTTTTCTAATCAGGGAAATACCCGATTTCAGAAGCTTTGCCATCAGTATCTTAAGTGGTCATCTTGTGGCCTCTTGTAGCTATGAAGGAGTCTGAGGATATGTGTATTTTACTCCAAGCATACTGCAGACCAAGGCAAAACTCGATGTCACTTAGACCAGGCATGGAGGGGTATGGCCATCATCCCAGCTACTGGGAGCCTGAGGCAGGAGGGCCACAAGTTCAAGGCTGGCCTGGGCTACACAGCAAGACACTATATCAAAAAACAGCACGGGACAGCCCCGGCCATCCTCACACCTAGTACTCTCGTCTGTCTTATATCACCTTAGATTCCTGGCCTGCGCAACAGAGAGAATTCTATAAATAATAGTATGTGAAGTCCAAGCTCGATCATACAAGACATGACAACTTTCTTTCTCTTGTTTTGTTTTGTTTTTTAAGACAGGTCTTGCTATGCAGTTCAGGCTGGCCTTGAACTCAAAGAGATCCTCCTGCCTCAGCCTCCCCAGTGCTGGGATCACAGGCACGGGCCCATCCTGGGCTAGAACATGCCAATTTCTGCCTCAGCTTTTGCACTTTTTCAGTAATGGGTTAGATAGTATCTGGGGTGCTTCTGATCATAGTCTCTGTCACAAGGCCTGGCCTGCTGCCACAATAGAAAAGCAACCAGAGACAGTGGACATGGCTGTGTTCCAATAAAACTTTATTGATAGAGCAAGCTGTGGGCTGCGGTCCCTCAGACTCCCCACCTCCAGGCAAAACACTCCTGCATGTTTTCCTTCTCTTCTCTTTTGTCCTCTCCTCTCTTCTGTTTCTTTCCCTTTCTCTCTCTCCCTGTCTCTCTATCTCTCTTAGTTTCTGTCTCTTTGTCTCTCTCTGTCTCTGTATCTCTCGGTCACTGTCTCTTTTTGTCTCTCTGTCTGTCTCTCTCTGTCTCTGCCTGTTTGTCTCTGTCTCTCTGTCTCTTTGTCTGTCTCTGTCTCTATCTGTCTCCGTCTCTGTCTCTGTCTGTCTCTGTCTCTCTCTTTCTGTCTCCGTCTCTGTCTCTTTGTCTGTCTCTGTCTCTCTCTTTCTGTCTCCGTCTCTGTCTCTTTGTCTGTCTCTGTCTCTATCTGTCTCTGTCTCTGAGTCTCTGTCTCTGTCTCTCTCTGTCTCTCTCTGTCTCTGTCTCTTCTCTGCCTGGCAGTGCCATGGATGGAACCCAGGTTCTGTTCTCGGCAGGCTAAGGCTCTGCCCCTGGGCCACATTGCATCCCTTTGTAACCATGCTCTTTCCCTAAACTATTATACATCAAGCCAGTTCTCATTTTGTTCCAGAGAATTGTAAAGTGGCCCTTAGTAGCCTCGATCACGTTCCTGGGCTTACGTCTGCCTGCCCCAGTGCCTAGGCTCTGCAGCAGCTGGATGCAACCCCACACTCACGCCAGGCCAGCAGTCTGCAGATATTTACAGACTTCCCCTGCTCCTTCAGAAAGGACTCACTGAAGCAGCGGCCCGATTTGCAGTAGGACAAGCGTGTCGTGGCCCTTGATGTGCGTGGTCAGATGCTCCCCAGAGAGCTGTGACTGATGGTCCGAGCAGCGAGCCCAAGCCAGGTTCGGTAATAAAAGGTGTGGGGTGCGGACCTTGCCACGCCCCACTGCTTGTAAGAGGGATGGCAAAAGGCTGGAATGTGAACAGACAAAGTTAGTAATACACGATGCGGGCTGGGAAGGCAGCGCCTCAGGATGGGTAGAGACCGAGATACCGTGAGCCGGCCACCATTTACCAGGCGTGAACTGTGTGGGACGGCTGGGGAAGACCAGCTCTAGGTCAGCAGGAGAGTCAGCGGCCATGACTCACCAACAGATAGTGCCCGGTGACTCCAGACAGTGGGGATGACTCTATGTGGAGGAGCACCTTTCTCTGGGGTGTTCTTTTTAATCTTAGTAGTTTTACTTAAGCCTTAGTGGGTGGGAAAGGATATCCAATCCCAAAAGGGTTCAAGGGAAGTCTCAAAAGGGCAATACC